GTTGTAACTAGCGCTTCTTACAAGGAATTTTGTGATAGGCAATCTGCGCTTCGTATAGCTGATTTCGGACAGGATTTCTAGCCGGATCGACTAGCTTCTTACACATAGCTTTTGTGACTTTTGAGGGCTTTCCAAGCTTGCCTGATCTCCCGCGTGTATGTCGATAAGCTAAGATACCTATATTTTCACGTTGCTTAAGCTAGCGTCGCGCGGTAGACTCAGTAGTGCTTTCATCCTTTGCGATCTGGCGTAGCGATTTGAATGAGATTTCTTTGTCGTACGCTGTGAAGAACCTAGTCTTTTTGATCGTATTAGCTTCGTGGCCACTAGAAGGGCCTGGCGGAGGGGTAATGCGGCTTGTGCGACGTGTAGTTGGGGCCATAGTGAGTGTTTAGAGTGATAATAGATAAATCGCAAAAATCGCGTTTCGCGATTTTTGGTGTTTTTGGCCCGTGCGCCACGAATTCGGGCACCCACTGGTGGTGGTCTTGTTCCCTCACTTTAAAATTGCGCGCACTTTTTTGGAAGAGCACTCCCTCCTTCACAGCATGATCAACTCCTATGGAATTCACAGTGGCTTGATTTTCACTGCGCCAAGTGAGCCAGCTCAAGAAATAGCGAAATGAAAATCGCGAAATATAAAAATCCGAGCGTGGAGACGCGGCCCGCATTCGGTTGTTTTGTCAGCAGCAACTCCTAGTCCCATTGCTTTCTCACCACATCTCTTACCTCCGAAGGATTCTCCGTCGACTTAGAAGAAATCGAGGACTAGGTGACCAAGATGGACCCGGGCTTTAGAGGAATTAACGTGAGTAGGATTGCAAGTCAATTTCAGCCCTGTACGTATTCCATGTCTAGATCAATTTCTTCCCCATGATTACGTTAGGTCTGGGGGCCTTCTTCGTGAGCGCAAGTATTTCCTCCTCAGCTTGTGGAACCTCAGAAGCGGTGATTATTATCAAGCAATGTGAGGCCCGTGATCAGTGATCGTGTCAAATATGTATATAAGTCTCTAGTGAGTCGTCCTTTCTCCTCAAGAGTCACTCTTCAGCGAGAGAGTAGAAGTATCAATCTACAATATGAAGCCTCAAACTTTCCTCCCCCTCTTTTCCGCCCTCTTCTCCCTCTCTAGCCTCGCTGTGGCACTTCCTCCTCCTCACAAAACAACAACCAATTCCTCAATCCCACAAACCATCTACGAATTCGGCAACGATACGTGGGTCGAAAACCTCGCCGTCCGCCACAACGGCAAAGTCCTCACAACAATCCTCTCTCCGCTCCCCCAAGTCTGGCAAATCGACCCCTTCACTCGCACTGGCGAGCTCATCTACCAATTCCCAGACGTGACTGGCGTCGCCGGAATCACAGAAGTGGAACCTGACATCTTCGCTGTTGCTGTGGGAAATTTCTCGCTTGAGACGTTCAAGGGAACCCTAGGGAGTTACAGCATTTGGAGCGTTGATTTCTCGAAGAAGGAGGTCGAGGTTAAGAAAGTGACGGATATGCCAGACGCGCAGTTCTTGAACGGGATGACGACTCTTCCCACGCAGGAGCATACGGTGTTGATTGCTGATTCGTTTCTTGGGGTTATGTATCACCTGGATGTAGTGACGGGTGCATACAGCGTTGCGATCGATAATCCGGATTTTAAGTTTAATGCTAGCGATTCTATACAGCTTGGTATCAACGGTATCCATTATCGAGATGGCTTCGTGTATTTCACCAACGTAAGTCCCTCCTTCAGTTATATCGACGCGGGTGGAAACTCACAGCCAACAAACAGACATTCCTCACACCCCTCATAGCCCGGATCCCCGTCCACGCGAACGGCTCAGCATCAGGTCCTGTCAAACCTATCTCCAGCAATTTCACCACACCAGACGATTTTGCACTCGATAGACATGGCAACGCGTGGATAGCGACTGATCCGAGCAACAGCCTGGTCAAAGTGACGCTTGATGGCGAGGCTACGGTCGTCGTTGGAGGTGCTGACGAGACGGTTTTGTTGGGAGGGACTTCGGCTGCTTTTGGGAGGACGGTGGAGGATTGGGAGGTTTTGTATGTTACTTCGAATGGGGGGTTGGGGAATCCGCCTGCGAGTGGGGTGCAGCCGGGGAGGTTGTATGCTGTTGATACGTCGAAGGTGTGAGGTAGTCGCTGAGAGGAGGTCTGGACTGTTCATGGAATGACTGTTGCTATCCGGAACGGAGTATATGGGGCACGAGGAGAGTTTCGATCATATTCAAATCAAATGTGTATACTTCACAGACGATCAAAATGGGAGAGCTAGAGGCAAAGTGAAATAATGTAGACCAAACAAATGAGACATGTTTAGCTCCAACTAGCCTTTTCTTTCTTGCATGTCTCCAAGCGCCAATAGAAAGGAGAATCCATGAGTCGTTACTAAACTAAGTTTTCAAGTATTTAAGAGCCGATTTCCAATCGCCAAACACCCCGCAAGATTCATTCCAAAGTTTACCCCACCACATAAGGCATCCCCTTCCAGCTTTTCCATGTCCCCTTTGTAGACTCCGGTGATAATCTCAAACACGGTGAAACACCACTTCTTGAATGAACGTTCAAGATGCCAGTCTTATTCTCAATCAAACCATCATTCCATGCTTCTTCCTCATGTGATCCAACAGCTTATCATGACGATAAAAAGCTCTTCTCCCCTTTCTGATACAACCATTAACATTGCAAGGGTGCGTAGGATCACTATGGGCACGCTGATGGCGATGAAGATCACCAATTCGCGCGAAGTCGATACCACAGTTTGCGTGGGGACAGACGAAGCGATTATTCCTAGTGATGATGGGATTCGAGCCAGTGGCTTGGGGAGCAGTAGCTGCTGGAGCGGAGACCGGATTGATGGTCGTTGCGTCAATGGGATCGGGATCAGTGGCAGTGTCGATGCTAAATGATGACGGAATGGTCGTGGACATTCCATTAGAGTTGAAAGTCATTTGCATGTTGTCCATCATTGTTGCTTCATTTCCCAAGTCATCATTGTTGAACATCGACGTGAAGTCAGACCCATCAAACAAGGCACTGGTGGTGTTGTTGCCGCCCCAGAACTCATTGCCATCATTTTCCAGCCGTGGGCAAGGTTCGACGATCTCAGGGAGAAAAGGGCAGTCGGCTCCTGGCTCGATGCCGGCAGCATGGTCCGGATTCAGAGGTTGTGAAGGTGTAAAGGTCGCTGAAAGTGTATTATCTGTAGCTTGGGTTTCCTGTGCTATACCGCTGTTGTTTGAGGGCTGTGGTGGTAGAAGAGCAGTATTCTGACCGTGAAGGCAACAGGGACCGTGGTTCGTGCCATGGATTGATTCTTGGTTGCCGTCTAGAGACTGCAAATGATAGACAATGCAGTTCTTAATTCCTTCGGAGGTGGAAGCATGGTTGATATGTTGATGGGGGCCAATGAGAAGTATCAAAGGTTGGCAAGTGTGGCTCTGGCTGAAAGCATCATTCTTGAATGGCCTCGCTAAAGCCAGGAAGCCCCCAAGACAACCTTGCCCTCTCTGACGCCCTTTTTCGGCGTCGGAGGCGGTGCTAGATTCGTTGGCCATATTCTGTCCAAGGGACAAAGGTGTTTTGAAGCCCTTCGGGGCGCTGAAGGGCGCAAGCGAAGAAGTTCTAGGGCTTAATACAAATAGAGCTGATCACGTGTTAGCAATTTTTGCATGCAGATAGGGGTACCTGAACGAACCTGAGTTGTAGTCTCGAGTTTCAGTCTTCGAGAAGCTCAAAAAGGCATCAAAATTCGACAGGAAAAGAAGATTTATAACAATTCAAGCCAGTATGGGCCACTTTCGCGGTAGAGTTCATGAAAAAAGTTCGACCGGGAATTCGTCCAGTTTTATGGAAGTCAGCCTTCACTTCCTCCGTAGCTTTTGGACATCTTAATATTTTGGTGTGCCGGAGATGAATTTGTTTGGCTGAAATTGGTTGTATGATGAGAATCGATTGGCTCGAGCAAAAGACATCGCATCGCAGAAAGGTATCCCCCGGCATCCCCCTGCATGACTGCCGAGCGGTCAACTTTGAGGCTCCAGCGCGCGAATCACAGGCATTTCAGCTCCTTACCATCCCCCCACTGTACTTGATATATCACATGACTGACAGATTCTGAAATGTGTCGTTGAACATAGGACGTAAAGCCCACATCAAGCCTGGGAACTGTATTTTCAGAGATAATATCACAAGTAGTTGATCCATTAGCAGGACGGGAGAGAATCGACCATGTGACATGCTAGAGATTCGCTACCTTTCAGCACAATGCTGAGTAGAATTTGAAAGTAGATTTTCAGTTGGCAGGTTCAAGCACCTTGCGAACTCTTCGACATATCTTTAGTTGGTCTAAATCGGATCAACCTCAATAAGAAAGCGAGCAAGAAGAAAGCGAGCATAGATAGAGAATTGAAACAAAATAAATTTCCAAGAATGGAGTCAGACCAATGCGAACCGTGCCTGACTGCTTCAGTAGAGCAGTCTGGTATATCGTCGTAATGATCTATCGGGAGACATGCCAGCTCGATTTATCATAGCGCAGTTGCCATCAGGCAAGAATTAAGTGCAGTTGTACAAGCAAATCAAAAACGTTCAGTGATTTATCGAGTTCTATCTATCGAGGGAGAGGAGAACGCAAATGCAAAGCAAGAAGCAACGTCGAGCAGGTCAAGGAAAACTGATCGGAGAATTCCTGCTCGCCAACGTCTACTAGCTCGTTCAAAGAGTGGGGCATTCAGGGGAGCCGAAACTCTAGATCACTTGATCTCCTCCTCAACATGATCAACTCTGGGACCGACATATACCCTAAACGAAAATATAAGCTTATCCCAAAAATATATCACCGCATTCGAGAAAGGGGTGAACTCACTTCCTCGCCCCAGCATACCACCAAACCAACGCAAAAACCGCAATCGCAGCACCCACCACCACTGCATAATTCCTATCCCTCATCAGCCTTCCATCACCATATATCTCTAGCAGACAACTCACATATTGACCGCTATAACCGGTCTCGAGGTCGGGAACAGCAGCACAACAGTAACATAACTAACCCACGCCAGCGCCACGTAATTAACCCATCTACTCCACTTTCCCAATGTAAAAGGCCCCTTTCGAATATCGAGTTGTTTGCCGTAGTAAAGTTTCATGGCGACAACGGCCATGTATGAACAATCGAGCGCCGGGGCAGTGATGCCGAAGATGCTGTTGATGGTTTCGACGCTGCCGAGCGCGATGAGGCAGAGGAGGCAGCAGAGGAGGGTTACGAGCCAGACGCTGTGAAGTGGTGTTTGAGTCCGGGGATTCATTTTCTTCAGCGTGCTGGTGTGGTTGTTAGTTTGGGTTATGAGAAGAGAGGAGGTGACTCACGAGGAGAATGGAAGAGCGTGGTCGCGGGAGAAGGCGTAGCACATTCTTGTGTCTGCTAACATGGCTGCACATCCTAGGAACGGCGTGTCAGCTTGGGCCCCAAGAGACCAGAGGTGCAATACCTGTGAAGAACTGGATTAAGATCGCCCAGAACCACATTGCCAAAGCTGCCTTCTTGCCATTTGCATTGTAGAATATTTGAGCAACAGGGTTACCAAGGCCAGAACCGAGGATTGCTGTAACATCACCGGCGCAGAAGCCGAAGGTAACGTTTAGGAGCCATCCCACAACCTGATGTTTGTTAGCATAAAATAACGGCGTCCGGGAGAAAGTACTTTCTCCAGAAATTATGACTGCCTGAGTGATTGCAACTGGTCCTCGGATGGCGGCTTGCTTGGTCTCTTCGGAGATGTGAGTCGTGGCATCTATTGGAGTTCTTCATGAGCTATCAAACATTTCAATATTTGCCGAGAAGAATTACCATAATCTGTCATAGTCCATGCAACCGAGAGAAAACCAATCATGAACGAGAAGCCTTTCGAATTCCAGTTCGAGCCATCAGTCACAGTTCCGAACACTTCGCTAGCCGGGTTAAGATTGGGAGTCAAGGTAAGAAGTGCTATGCAGATTGCCACAGATGCAATGACTATCATGTCAGAGCCTTTACGAAGCACCTTCTGGCTGCTTGACTTACCATTGACCGGCGCGAACCACAGAATAAATTCATGCAGCCACTTCGTAGGAAACGAGCAAATGAATCCCATGATGATGAGGATAGCCACTGAGACGCCAACGGTGTGCTCCGCGGTCCTAAATCCAGCAAATTACTGATCAGTATATGCCCCCTGAAGAAGGTGGGGAGAAGAGATCGGAAAACGCGCTTACGGCGTATACGCAAATGTCCCAGTAGTTTCATCATAATCCGAACCCATTGCACAAGCAGCTAAGAGCATCTGACCAACAGAATAGCCAACACTTGTCACGCCTGCTGTTTGTCCAAGAAAGTTGCTCCACCCTACGATCCATGAGGCCAGAGGCACATGTCTCTCGGGAACGACATATTTGGTAACGAAATACATCCCGCCCTGTCAATATCAATCAGTATATGGGAAGGGCGGGGTAGGTCCTTAACATACTGCTGTTGGGTACGCGGATACAAGCTCAGCAACTGAAGTATTGTGTTAGTGTTCCATTGGTCTTCCAAATACGAGTTGAGACTATTTACTGGATAGGGCAATGCTCATGGAGAAAAAGGTCCCGGCGAACCACTAAAGATTTCAAATTAGTCCATATCTCTCGGATAATTATGCCACCAAAGATACAGAAAAATAGATTTCGACCACGTCACCCATTTGTGAAGACAGGGCTCGAGGCGCGGAGAACGCAAGACACAACCATCCGACTTACAGTCCAAACTGCGGTTGCTGGTCCGCCAGCCGAAAGTGGTACAGCATAAGTTGCAGGTACGGAACCAAGTACTCCCATGATAGAGATCGCATAGGATAGAGTGGATAGCCTCGTGAATTCTCGCTTGAATTCCTATTTGGTGAAGTGAGGATTTATGTCTTCGGTCCAACAATTGGGCATACCTGCTTGTATCCAATTTCTCTCAACAACTCGTCATCTGAGTTGACAATATCATGCATCTTTCCTACTTCAGTATCACGGACCTGAACAGGTGCAATATCCTCATAGCTCTTCTCCTTGCTTGATACTGCAGATTCAGACATTGTTTCTAAAGAGTTGTTGATGCTGCCGGAACGTTGAGTGGTTCCAAGTTACATTGCAAAGTGCGAGTAGAAGTAAGGCTAAAGCAGAGTATGATATGCAGAAGGCTCCTTTCGAAATGAAGGTGTTTGTACCCCGTGTCAAGGACTGGGCTCAAAAGACATCGCTTCCTACGTGAAAGTTACCGACGCTACGGTCCGTGTATCGAAGGCGGTGACAAAATGATCGTGCAGCTACTCCATGGGTCGAAGATAACGACTTCACTCTGACAGGGATCGTATGCGCTCTCGGCGCTCGCTGCGGTCCTTGCGGTCCGCCCCCAGAAGGCTCCACTTCTGACCCTGGCGAGTTTTTGTGCTGGTAACGAATGAACGCTGGGCGGTCGCTTCGAGATGCAATATGCCCTTTTGGGTATGAATTCGAGAGCTCGAATACTGACGATACTTTCAGAGGACAGAAAGCGCACCAACCGCTGTGACGGTTTTGACGGAGAAAAGTGCCGTCTGGTGCAGGGATGAACCGCTCTCCTCCTAAGGAGTGTGGCATGATAGTGTAAATCAAGTTTCCATATGTATTTTAACATCCGTTATATTCCTATCTCCTCCAAAGGTATGGGCAAGAACACTTCTTCGAAACTCTTATCATGGAACTCAATTTTAACTTTCCCATTCTAGGACCCGAGTCTAGGGTCCATCTATCAAGCACAACTTTGTTAGCAAGCTTGCTAGGTATTGTGCTGGCGATTAGCTCGTATGGATTATTGCTCGTGCGAAGGTTGCTCACGAAGATGAAGGTTCCAGCTCTGGATTTCTCAGATGTCGTCCCCTTTCCAGGCTTCGACGTCTCAAGCACACTGCCATTTCCCTACAGGCCCTTTCGAGCAGGGAGGTATACAATGACTATGGGTATTCGAAAGATGCCGGAGGACGATTGGCTTGTGATTGACAACTTGTATCTGCAAGAACAGGAATTGAGAAGACATCTTCTCCGCACTAATCGGGAAGGGGTCCTGCAATGTCTTCCGAAAGCAGAGGAAGCATGCAAAGAAGCACTACAGGCCATCGTCGATTTCTTGACAAAGAGATTCCCATTGCATTTTCAACTTCCAAAGGACAGACCAGGATATATTCACAACGCCATCACAGACAGGACATTCAGGATCGCAGAACCATTGCAACAACATCCCTTGGAAATTGCTGCGCAGCTGGTAATGGAGGATATCAACTTGTTGATGCAGGGAGTTGGAGAGCATCCAAATGAGTATTACTTGTTCGTCCGAGCGCACCAAGGTCCACAGGCGATTGCTGATGCTCCGAATATAGACAGGCCAGCTACTCGATGGCTCCAGCTGGTTGGTATATACAAGAGCGTATAGGATGGCCATTGTGGAGGATTCATCACCCTGTGCCGATGTGGAATGAAAAGCTCAGAAAACCTATGGAGAAGTGTGTATGCACTCAGCTCAACTCGAACCCTGACTGACTTGCTTAGGTTCTTTCTCGGGCTCAAGGTATCCAGCCCTGTCCAGAGAAACAACTACTTCATGCAGATGGACGATACGATGTTTCAACAAGACCCTTTCCCAGACTCGTGGCCATGTCCACCGAAGATAGAAGACATTCGGATTCGACACGAAAGACAAACATTGCGCAGACTACCCCGCACCAGGGCTGTAATGTTCATGGTGCGAACATACTTGACGCCAGTGACAGATCTGGTGGACGAGAAAGACAATCTTTGGGCCTTCAGAGAGGCAATAAGAGCGTGGCCGTTAGAAATGGCAAAGTACAAAGGAAGACATGTTTGGGGTAAAGTCTTTGAGGATTGGTGTCAAGAAGTGCTTGGAGACTATGTTCCAAGTGACGATGGTGATGTAGAAAGGTCAAGATCGCTGGGTGCGGCATGATGAGCAACAGTTGAGCGGAGACGCATCAGATATCAGAAGAAGGAAGGAGGAAGGAGGAAGGAGAGGCTGAGAATGTTCTGTAACCGATTTCGAGCATGGTGTGGCCTAGTCCAATTTAGGAATGGCAAAAACTTCACGTGCACCTGCCTGGCTGAGCTGGTGATTCCTCGAGCACTTTACAGTAAGGGTGGCTTTTCTTCGTTTCATCAAAACTTTCTCTCAGATACTGAAGCTGGAGTATTCCATGAGCGAGTTCGGGATCTTTTTATTCCCAGACCGGAATTCCGTCCTGCATATTTTTCGCTTTTGACTGCCTTTCATTTGCCGCTGTCCCCTGCACCACTGCCCGGGAGTTGCAGCCACCCACTTCCGCCTTTGTCATATTGATAAGACGTGTCGGGGATCATCCAATGGCGATAAGGTGATGCCCACCAATTCAAAGGCTGCAATGCACACCAACATGCAATGGCTGCTCACTCTGAAGGCCTCGCACCAACATGCACACTTGTGCTCACTCGCAATCGACAGCCTCGTTGCGACTCTGCCATATTTTCTGCTCTTCTACTTCTACTTCTCTTCCCCTCTTACAAATCCTGTCTTACTTGCGCGAGAGCTCTCGTATCTCTGAAGATGGTCTTCGATCGACCGTTTGGTCCTTGCTGGCAAGCGTAGTTTCAATGGCGTCGCAAGCCTCGTCTCCCAGTATTTCTGGGCAAGGCCATGGATCAGAGGGCAACAAGAACCGTCCAAAGAGCAACATCACACGTGTGCGAACAGGCAAGTGGCCTTCTTTCCTGCTTCTTCTATGGCCTTGATTTCGTAGAAGCGCGTCACTGACTCAATCTTATGAGTATAGGATGTTTTACGTGCAGAAAGCGAAGGAAGAAGTGTGATGGTAAGCGACATTTGATATGATTCGTGCAATTTTTACTTCAAAGATGAACCGGGAACCTTTCAATTCACAAATTCCAATTCGTGCTTGGGATGCTGATCTTTGAGCAGAAAGGAGGCCCATTTGCTCGAATTGTCAAAGGACAAATGTGGTGTGTGAAGGCTTTCCTCAGCAAGTCTTCTGGGAGACTCGAAGCGCAGCAAGAAGAGCAGTGGTCTCGAGGTCAAATTCAGTCACAAGCCCAACGTTCTACACTTCTCCAACTTCTGGGGCAGGAATTCCTGATCTCAGCATGGACTTTGGACAGTGGATAGACCATTTGCCTTCCCAATTCTCTCCGCCGTATCAAGGACATGCTCTAGCCCGCCTGGAAGATCGACCGCTCGACGATGATATGGGCTACATCTTTGATCAATTCAATGGCTCGGCAATCGGAGGCGTCGCGAGTCTAGATCAAGCACCTGGTTTTCTCGATTACCAGGGAATTTCTCGCGAACTTGTAATCAGGGAAGATCCATCACAGGAGCGAGCTATAACCCAAAACGCCTTCCAGGAAGCGTTTATTCCAATCGAGCTACCATTTCTGATCACGGGGGTGGACACAACTATACACCAAAGGCTTTTTTGTCATTTCACAGGCGTGATGAGCCAACTCCTTACCACTTTCTCTGGGCAGTCGAACCCTTTCAATCAAGTCGTTATCCCAATGGCCATGGAGGATCACAACGTGATGGATACTTTGCTATGTCTAGCCGGCTCCCACCTGTTAAAGGTACAACCTACGGTGTTGAACGGAGAATTGCTAGCTGAGAAGCGACGATTGCATGAAAATGCTCTACGAACACAAGAACTTCGTGTCCAAGATCTAAGGAAGTCATTCACGGGATCTGGCCTACCTTATTCTATCCAATATCAAGAAACTGTTCTCGCCACGTCGCTACTTCTCTGTCTCTTTGAAATCTGCGAAGGAAGCAGTGATGGAAGTTGGAAGTACCATCTTAAAATCGCCCGAGAAATCATCACCATGGCATCAGAATCCCAAGGCCCAGGTTCTCCCTCAAGCAGAACAACAGACATCAACCCCTTCCTCCTCGAGTTCTTCCTCTACCACGACTCCCTCGCAACGGTAACCAGTCCCTCCAACCCAGTCAATACACCCAAATTCCGCAACAAAGCCGAGATCTCCGACCAAGATACCTCCATGGTCGGCGTCCAAGACGGCCTCATCGAATTCATCATCCAAATCTCCGCCCTCCGAGCTGAAGCAGACGCCAGCAACCACCAACCCGACGGGAACGTGATCTGCAAAGCAGTTCAAATCTGGCAAGACCTCGCGAACTGGAGACCCCGATCCATCACCACCAAAGAGCGACGACTAATCACGGAGTTCTACCAATGGGCTCTGTTCATCTGGCTCTATTCCATCGTCTACCCGGACGGCAAAGCCGATGCCAAGGTCCAGAGCGCCGTACAGCGGATCGCGGAGGGGATGTGCGAGATTAACTCCGGAGATGGAGTTATGGCTTGTTTGTTGTTTCCTTTGTTTGTGATTGGGTCGGCGGCTATTACGAACAGGGATCGGGAGACGGTATTGGCGCATTTTAGGAAGTTGAGGAATTGGAGCGCGTTGGGGAACATTGATTTGACGGAGAAGGTTGTTAGGAAGATGTGGATGGATCATGATGTTGGGTTGCCGGGGTCTTGGGATTGGGTTAAACAGTTGGAAACTCATGGGATGAGTCTTTTGGTTACGTGATGATGATGATGGGATGAGGTGGTTCGGCCAAGAGTGTAGGATCTGGGGAAAATATTCATACATCTATAATGTTACTTCTCATTTTATCTTGTATTCTTTGCTTTGGTTCATTGCTTGCTCGAGGCCTTCAACATATGCCAGCTGGAAATACCTTCTCATTCACATTCATATTCACGTCCACATTTCTCTATGTCCCAATATTCAGCTGTCTCCGCATCCTCCTCAGCTCAAACATTCTTGATCTTCACACTTATCTCAACACCCACTCCCTGCTCCCCAGCAGCAAGCGTTCTCAGCGCTCTCTCCCTTCCCCTCCACCTTTCCACTTCCTCGCAACTCAACCTCTAACCCTAATCCCTCCCTCTTATAAATCAAGGCAAAGATCAGCATCACCTAGTATTGAACCCTCTCTTATCTATCTATCTATCTAAGAACAAGGTGAACTCAAAAGTGGGGTCCTCGAGCGGTGCGCCAGATCCGCTATCTTGGATCTTGGATATCTGCCCCGCATTTCTGGGAACGCTGATACCGCTGCCATGGTTGAGGGATCAGGGGTTATTGGCTTGGGACGTGGGGCTGGGGTTGAGATAGATTGATAGTTTGGGGCTGGGGGCCATTGTTTAGGAGTGGGATATTGAGGGGAAGGTATGTTTGGTTTCAGTTTGGGCGGGGATGAGGGTTTGAATGTTCGTTCTTGAGTGGGATATCTGACGTGAAGTCAATGTCTGGTCTGTTGAAAGAGTCTGAGAAACTGGTATTCATTGTTGATGAGTAGGACATCAAATTTACTGACGTGCTATGGAAACTCTCACAAAAGAACCATATACTCTCCATGATGGATAACAACACACAAGGTGTTTACCTCACGTTCAAGATCCTAGCTACCCTGAGCAAAGCCCCAGACGGAAATGGAAGACTAGCATCTCGATGCACCGATCTAGGTCAAACTTTGTGAAGATTGGCAATATCTGTCTTTGTTCTGATATCTGAGAGTTTGAATATCTGTGTCCGAGTCTAGCATTGTGAGACTGTCAATGTCTAGCGGCGACTTGAATATAAAGATAAGAAGGCTCAGAAGGAGGAGGAGGAGGAGGAGGAGGAGGAGTATGCCAAGAACGTCTATGAGGGCGAGAAGCAATATCGAGAAGCAAGCATTGGAAGCTCATCAAGCAGAACAAGGATTTGAGGATTGAAAACTTGAAGTGATGGAAGTCCGTGACTGTGAGAACCCCAAACCAGGCATGTGTGGCCGTTTGATTGTTGGGATTGGATCTTGCTACTGACACACTCATTACAACGATCCCCGATAAATACCAGCGTTTGGAGTTTGACACTAGCTGATAGCATAAGCAGCTCGATTTATGAACCGAAATTGAGCTTTAGCAAGGAATGAATATCTAATCTCAACTCAAACATTACTTCTAACTATCTGTTGCTGACTTCGACTCTACAAAGTCGGGTATCAAAACACATCCTTCCTCTCTAACACAAGACAAAATCAACACACTCTATCCAAACACAAAGAAATCATAACAAAACCCTCTTTCCCTCGCCTCACCGCTGCTCACCCAAAAGCGGACTGTTCTCCCCCTCCTCCCCACCACTCTCCTTCTTCCCCGGCATCCTCACAAACTTCCCCCCATCCACCTTCCTAACAACCCAACTCCCCTCCTCCCTCGCACTATCAAAAAACTCCTGATTTTCCTCGAAACTACGTCCTCCGCTCTCAGGCGTATATCTCCACGTCCACCACCCCGCGAAGCAATTCGTGACCGCAAAGACCAGGAACAGCCAATATTTGAGATTATTGAAGCCAATTGGTGTCAAAAGGGTGATGGCGAAGTTCGCTAGGCCCCAGATGATGACCGAGATGGCGGAGCCTTGGGCGCGGGCGGTGGAAGGGTAGATCTCAGTGGGAATGAGCCATACGGTTGCGAGCCAGCCGATGCCGAAGATGGCCGTTGCCACGAAGAGCGTGATACTCCCCGGGATCTCTGCAGCGAGAGCAGGGACGGACGGGAATTCTTGAGCTAGGCCTCCGAAGATAGTCAAGATTGCAAAACAGGTAGTGAGACCAATAGCTCCCCACACCATGAGTTTCCTGCGTCCGAGAACGTCGATGGATAGCCACGCGACGGTCATCATGAGGAAATACTGGATGTAGTTTGCTAGGGTGAGGTATTCTGCCATGCGGGTCTTGAAGCCGAGGAGTTCGAAGATTTGAGGGCCGTAGACGGAGACGGCGCCGTAACCTGTGAGGGCTTGGTTCACTTGACCCATTACTGTTACCATTGACGGGTGGAATTGGGAGCCGCCTGGTATGAGCATGTCTTTGTAGCCTGTTTTCTCGGTTTCGTTGTCGTCTGCTTCTTGCATTTCGTCTAGCTTGTTTTTGGCCTCTTCCTTGTCGTAGATGGTTTCTAGTGCTCTCTTTGCTGCGTCCTTCTTTCCTTTGGAGATGAGCCAACGGGGAGATTCTGGGAGCGCGGAAGAAACGGACATTAGGACGAGGGGGAATATTTGCATGACGATGATTGGGATTCGCCATGCCCATTGGTTCCATTTTCCCAGTCCGATCGTGACGCCGAGGTTGATACCATACGCCATTAACAGACCAAAGATATTCATCTGGAATTCTTGTGCCAAGGCTTTTCCTCTTGCTCCATCTGAGGAGAGTTCGCTGCTGTAAACTGGAATTACAGCATCGATGCCTCCTACACCAAGACCCATTATGACTCGACCTGCAAGCATACATGCTATAGCTCCTCCATTCCAAGGAGAGGAACCAGACATTGAGAGACCCGAGATGAACATGAGGATATTGCCAAAGGATGTCGTGGCCAGGCAGGTGAAAATTGACCATTTTCGACCTTGTTTGTCTGCGAGCCATGAGGCTGCGATTGCACCCAGAGTACAGCCAAGGTAATAGACCGAGACAATGATCCCAACGATAGGAGACTCTTCTGAGATCTGCATGGTGCGAAGGTAGGAATAATTGGTGTTTATGAGAGACATCATGCCTTAGAATTGTCAGATAGGGGCAGCAGCTAGACATTGAAACACACCTTGGTCGTAGCCATAGAGGGCGATAGCAGTACTCGAGAAGAGCACTATCTCATGTTTCTTGGAGAGAAGAGGCAGCAAAGAGGAGCCTCCTGCCATCTTGGAAGGTGGGTTCGGCATCTTGACTATCTCTCTTTTCTAGTCTTGAACAAACACTTGAAGAGCTTTCAACGACTCCTTCTACTCTTGAGGACCAAATGAACTCAAAACTTCTTGACGAACCGTCAAAGAATAACAAAAAGCGACAGACTATTCAGAAAGAATGTACAATAGATAAGAAAGCACAGCGAGTCAAGATATTGCAGGTTTTTCGAAAAGTTTTCCCCTCTAATGCAATCACGTTGCGGGGTCCTCTCGTCATGCCGCTCAACGTCATGGCTGCATCTCATTAATCAGGGCCCTGTCACTTGAGCACACCCATCGGGCATTGTGATCTATCAATCATGGGAATCGAGAGAATTGCGCATCGTCGATCTTGAGATGAAGGTGCAGAAGAACTGGGAACGATGTATGCAGAATCTGAGATGCGATGCAGATGAAAAAGAGGTGATTTGGTGAGCAGGACGCGTTTTTGTGGGACATTGTGCCCCTGTCAATCAAAACATCTCTGCCCCGCGACACGAAATGCGATGGGACAATGGCCCCTCCACCAGTAGTGAGTTCCGCCCCTCTCCTTTTTCTCCTGAGGATATATTCTCACAAGACATATCGCAGACTCCGTCTCCTCATAGATTCGTGATCAAGAAAGAAGCTCCAGTACGCAAATCTACCCTTTCGCAACAGTCACAGCCTCAACAGACCCCGCGTCCAAGCACACAGCAGTTCAACACTACACCGCGATTCAATTTCTCTTCTACTCCTCGACCGACTGCAACGCAAAGTCTCCCTCGAACTACACCCTCTGCCTCTCGATACCTGACACCCGCCTCAAAGAAGCACGATGCTATTGACGAATCATCCGATGACATACTTGGGGACATCCACGACTCGATTGAAACAGATAACCATAGGCTGAACTACGTGAACGAATTCTCCGACGACGGAGAAGAATACCAACTCGAAGAACGAACACCAAAACGACGGCGTTTGTCCGTCTCTTCAATAATATCCCAAGACGAACCGCCAAATTCAGACCCCGAGCTCGAACACCAAGAGCAGCACCGCGAACCATCCTCCTCCCTCCCAATCCTCTCCTCTCCCCCCATCGCAGCAACAAAACGCCTCTCGACCACCGCCCCAAAATTCCTGCCCCCGACTCCCCTCCCACCATCAACACCGCTCCCTTCCACAGGAACAACCACATTCCTCAAACCACCTCGCTTCAGACCCCCAGATCCATCCGAGCAAGCCCATCCACACGCAGACCCACTACCAGAGCACTTCTCACCGCACCGAAAAGGGCAGAAATACGTCCACGGCGGCTTAGCAGCCGAAGTTCAAGGCTGGCTTTTCAATCTTGAGACTGCTGTGCCTGTTAAAAGTCTTAGTAGAACGGAAGAGAAATCCGAATGGTTGGTTAAGATTGTGGTTGATGAGGTTAGTGGGAGTTCGAGGAATGGGTTTACGATGGTTAGGGGACGACAGATCCATGGAGGGGACAGGGAGATGGTTGATACGGTTGCCGAGGCGAGGGTTTTGCTTGCGGGGGAGGGACAGGCGATGGGGTTGCAGAGGGGAGAGAGGGTTGAGGCGGGGAAGAGGGTTGGGATTAAGGGGCCGGTTTGGGAGGTTGTTGTTGAGGGGGTGAAGTGGGGTGTTGGTGTTGAGTGGAAGGTTTTGGATTGAAGGATAGGGGGAGAGGAACGAATTTTGATACCCATATGATGCTTGAGCGCTTGCTTGATATAATGATGGACATTTATGGCTGTCTAATTGGATGTTGATACATTTTCGGACAAAGAGTGCTGTCACGTGTCGAGTGCTATTGTTCTCCCTTCTACCACATTACCTGCCTCATCTCGCTCGCCGAATCTTGAACCTCATACCTTCCTAATCTAGCCTTTAATTTGTTTCGTGGCTGAAATCTGGAAACTAGTCTTCAACTCGGCAATGAGTCAGCCGGCAGCACTGCCATTCCCTTCGAATCAGAATAATGGCACAATCAATTCAACTTTTCACGAAGCACGGTACACGTACTTAATTCCGTCAAATATATAGCTAAGTCCAATTTCCCTCTCCTCTCCTCAATCTCCCTCATCTCAACCCTACGAATTCCCTTTGCTGTATCTCATTTCACCACATCCACACCCAACACAAAAATGTCCACCATTTCCATCCTCCCCACCGCTCTCCAGGACTACCACCCCATCGCCGCCCTCGAAACCCACGTCTTCCACGACGACCCCTTCAGCATAGTAGGCTTCGGGCCCCTCCGCGCCTCACCTTCCAACATCGCCCGACGAGCCGCGAACCTTGCTGCACCGTCCTCAAGACCAGGGGAGTGGAGTCTCGTGACCAAGGCTGTGGATGAGAGGGGTGTTGTTGTCGGGGCTGCTGTTTGGGGGTTGGTTACTGGGAGGAAAGGGGAGGTTAATGGGGGAAAGGAAGAGGGGAAGGAGAAGGGAGAGTGGAAACAAGAGGATTGGGGCGAGAGTGCTAACCAGAGGTTTTGTGAGGAGGTTTTTGTTAGAGGGGATGAGCATATGGTTAGGAGTTGTGGGGTGGGGGATTATGCTAGTGAGTTTTGTCTCTTTCAGTTCCTTGTATGACAACTTAAAGGAAACGCAAAAGTTTTGAGAAGAGAAACTTTTGCTAATGAGTGAACAGAACTCAGCGTGCTAATCGTTGACCCTACTTGTCAACGTCGAGGAATCGGGACAAAATTGCTGGAGCATGGACTGAAAGGAGTTGATAAACACGGGCTTCAATGTGTGCTGGGTGCTTCGAAGGAGGGATTGGGATTGTATAAAAAGTTTGGTTTTGAGATGTATGAGGTGATGGAGATTAAGTTTTGGGAGTATGAGGGGGGCGAGGGGTTTGGGGTAGACGAACATGCTATTATGCATAGACCTGCGAGGAAGGTGTAGATGAGCGCTGGTTCTGCGCAGGTAGATGATACAGCTATGCGGAGTACGTAGGGATATTTTTACTCAAGCGTGATTAAAATGAGCAATCCAAGTGACATTAATATAGTGTTGTCGATGTTCTAACGTCATACAGGACGCTTGAAACCCAAAATTCCGTTGAGAGTAAAGATCCCGCGATATGCGTTTTTCGCACTTTTCGCGCGATTTGCGCATCATGCGCGCGATGCGGGTAGAAAAGCATTGATCATAATGCACAACGATTCGACATTAGGTAGGACAGTTGGAAAGAGCAGTGTCATCCGGCAGGGTCTAGTCTAAGGAAAATACATAGTGAAATGTAGTAAGCCCTTTATCAGACGAAGCACCTTGCGTATCTGACAATCATCACGAAGGTTGATACGCAAGTAGAAAAGTCCGAAGTGTATGGGGAATTTATTTCGTACTGTAGTCCAATTCATCAGTGATAACGCCGAAGTCCTCGAAGCAAAGCTAGTTGGCTATTCAAAGAGCTAGAGTCTAGAGTGTTGAGCGTCACTGCTTTGAGAGGAATTTCATAGGATCTGTAGAATTGAGCACTAAGCCTTCGAGGAGGGGAGATCACTAGCAATTCTGTGGACATGCAGGCTGCTTATCTTCTTAGAATTGTCAGAGTCGAGCTTGAAGACGACGACCAAAGATTCTTGATATTATTTGCATAGCTCGTAAGCATGAAGGATTCAAACAGAAGCAAGAACATTCCCACGGTTGAAGGACAATTGTGAATGCAAGCCGTGTTGACAAACTTGAATGCAGCAACGGTAGAGAGATTACCATCTGAATAACATGTTGTTGGACTTCTGAGTCTAGGTCATTGACAGGCACTTGCCAAGTGGAAAGCAAGAAAAGTAGCACACAATATCTCCAAGACCGATCTTCCCAGTAAGAAAGGTGTGTATAAGCCTTTTCAGCTTTCTTTCTGGGAATTTAACACGTCTTTATACATATTCATACATTTTTCCAACGCCACTGCTCCACCGCAAATGCTTCTTGTACAAAGTAAAGTGTGGCGTGATCTGTGCTGGTCTTTACAAGCAGCATTACTCAACACAGAGGAGTCAGCGCCATCTAAGCTGCAGCATATTCTCTGCGGAGCGATCATAACCAGTCCACCACCTATATCGTACGGCTTCCCCACCATCCATCTATACATCTATTCGCCCCTATTCGCAAGCTCATATCTCTTCGCCCGCTCTTCCCGTGCTTTTCGTCTCCTTGGTCCCCATCGCGCCTGGATAGCTTCCAATTTCTCCTGCATCTCCTTCTTCTTCTGCGTGTTATCGACACCGCATTGAGTCAAGCAGATACTGACGAAAAATGTCGAGCAATTGAACTTCCTTGCAAGCTTCGCACAAGTCCAATTATCTGGCTCTTCACGCTTTAGCCTCTGAATCTCTCGAACATCTGCCTCGCTCAAGTGGTGATGTGGTACTGAACGCTTGACGTGCACTGGTGGTGGTAAGATCGAGTCAGTAGCTTGATGTCTCGTTGCCGTCGACGCGAGCAGTTGCCGTCGCTTGTCTTCTTTCGGGAGGAACTTCAATGGGGTGTGTAGAACTGAAGGAGCAGATGAGGGAGGATTGAAGATAATGTGGTCTTGGTTTGGAGAATGTTTCGAGTTGAGGAAGGACGAGTCTGGCTTGATGTTTAAACGTTGCTTCGTGCGTCGATATGAGGATTCATTTCGTCGTGATGCGGCATTGAGAGAGAATAAACATTGGCTTCGGCCGGAGAGGAGATCGAGAACAGGCCTCCGAATCAGCCGTGTGTCCATTGCTGAGAGGAGCGAAGCTGCTGAACTGTACTGCAGAATAATATTTTGAAGCTCTTTCGATGCTCGGAATTTTTGGTAGTCGTTGATTACCTAAGGCTTTCAAGGCTGCCACTCAGGGGTCCAGCCTCGTCGGTCAAATCAAGTCATGAGATCGAATCCAACAGGGAAACATCAATGCATTGAGAATCCTGAACCCAGAGAGGACAGCTCACAAGTCACCAGTCTTCTTATCTGCCACAAACCACAGATTAAAGCTATATACCATGCCCTCAATCTCCCGCGCTCTGTAAGCTTTCATGCTCGTCGAGCTTCCCTCCACTGCCTTTCCTCACAAAGCGTCAGCTGAACGCGTAAGTACTCGCAATTGCTCTGCGTGGAGATAAAGGTGCATGCTCGTCTGCACACCTGCATGAAAGTACCGCAATTATATAGCCTTAACTGACCGACTACCAGCGTATAACATCGAGCGCTGCTCCGGCGCACTCAGATTTTTCTTCACACTTCACCGGCGCTACGAATCCTGCAAAATGAGCGCTTCGGAAGCCAGTACTCTGCAGCCAAATACTCCTGTTCCACCCGCATCGCAGACCTCAAGCACTCCTAAAATTCCTTTACTTGGAGAGGGATTTCAAGAATCTACGAAGAAAACCGTCCCTCGCTCGGCAGACAGTAGCGATGTTGAATGCGACGAAGATGATGTGACTGGCGAGGGCGCGAAACATGGAAAGCGACGATTATTTGGATTTGGGAAGAAAAAGGAGGCTGATAAGATGAAAGAGAGAAAGAAGACCGACTTTCCACCAGCTAAAGTTGCTGCCAGTTCGAATGCACCGCTTGCACAACCAATTGCTAGGAGATTGCCATTGCAAAATGCATCTCCTCCACGATCAATCCCGAACAATCCATATCCATCTCCTGGCTCACCTCACAGAGTTCTCTATTCTTCTTCTCCCCGAATTGTCTCACCAGCTGGGTCGCAAATCTTCGAGCGCGATGTACAAGAGAGCGCTATTCTTGTTCCCAATTCACCCGCAATCCCATCCCATATCCAAACGGAAAACCACATTCCGCCAGTCTTGGATGCGTCATCCGAGGCAATCACGAACAATGAGATCGACCCGGACACTGTTGAGATTGTAATGCACTCCTCTCATCAGCCAGCAGCTGTTACGGTCACAGGAGTGGGTAATGCAGAGCCCATGGGTGGGATGTGGGCAGATGATTTGGTTGCTCATCCAGACAAAGATGATGCGGCCTCAAACTACGGTGCTCTCGATAGCACTGATGTGCGCCGTTTGAGTTTCATCTCCTTCTCAGACATTGTGCAGTCTGAACATGCAGAGCATGCAGGCTCCAGGGACTCCATCTATGTGGCCGGCCTCAGTTCCTTGTCTTCGCAACACAACAGGTCTCCGTCTCCTGTTCGGTCCCCTGTCTCATCTCAAGGATTCGGCACGTCCCCTCCCACAAGCAAATCAGCTTCTATCAAGGGGTTCGATATGTCGCCGAGAGGAAAGCCGCTTGGTAGTCCAATTTCTACTCAAGCTCCTCTCAGTGGCGGGGAACTGACTATAGAGACAATGACTCAGGCATTGAGAAGAACGGGCAGTGGTGATTTGAGCGGTGTGAGAAGTCAACCTCTCAGCCCTTCAAGCCCTGATGGACTTTCGGACAAATCCTTCCGGTAAAGGAGAGTACAGAGTCATAGGATTGCAAGTGTGTTTACTTCTTGGGGTGCTATATATCCGGGCTGTTTTGGTATTGGTTGGGTTGGAGATTGCAATAGGATTGGGCTATGGAAAGAATACCTTGTTGCGAGGTGTCAGCGCGATTTAGTTGCGATTGGTGTTGGTCGGGCAGTTTTGCTTTTTGCTTCTTTCCTCATGGTCAATGTCTCAATGACTGGCGAATACGGGAGGTTATCAAGGGACCCTTTCTATACATGCTGCTTTATGACTTTCTCTCTACATAAGCTTGGGGGTGTTTAGAAGAATGGACTCAAATCAGGGCTCACAAGATGAATTGACGTTGTATTGAGACTTTGAGAGGTTTGTGCAGAGGCAAAGTTGGCAGATTTGCGTAATGAGGCGTCGTAAGAGGGTTGTATTTGCACTTGCACCCCCCGCCACCATCCTCCAAACAAGCTTAATGTTGTCTCTCTGAGATTTGGCTTCCATGCGGCGCTCCTCCTTCGCCACAATCAAACAAGCCCCTGAATCACTTCTTCCCGATAAGCTGACAGGGGCCGTTGATATTACAGCAGCAGTGAGCAGTGAGCACAGCCAAACCTGCTAGGGGGACGATCGGAGATGATGATTTGCTTTCACACAGAAGCCATTGATTGATCACCCGATCGATTGACTCTCCCGGCTTTGCGGACGAGCGTCCAGCTGAGGAGAAACATGGCTTGAGTGGAAATCTTGGCCCGCAGAGGATATAATTCACGGGACCAACTCGTTGACGGTTGAAGAAGAGTTTCCAATTGCGGTTCTAGAATACGGGACAGAGTTCTGCGGTAGTGCTTGAGTAAGATCAGATGCAATCATCAATGCTCCTCCGTACCAACTGTTGGATAGGAGAGGATCGCAACGGGCCGTGACACATTAACCCAACATGTAATTGTATGGATAGGACGGATTCTTCATTTCTTCTAGAAGCCCCCTCCATCCCTCCAGACGAATGGCAATTAGAAATGTCCCAGTCGTCCAGGGACCATCCGTTGGGCTTAAAACGCATTTAAGGTGCCCCAAGCGTGAGTGAGGTGAGACCCGCACCGCCCTAGCCGACATAGTCCATAGTCTTCCATACTAGGCGCATACTGCAGACAACAGAGCTGAACCACCCGCGACACCTTATTGTTACTCTTAAACCGTTTCTGCTTCGTTCGATGTTTGCTTTCCACTCCCCGGTCCCAACTTGTGAGCTGCAGCAAGTCAGCCCGTCGGACAACCTCCCTCGAAAGGAAGCTCGGCCCGTGTTGTCAGACTGCTTGGAAACCGGTCTCCATCGACGTCGACGACTCCCTTCACGACTTGGTTGATGTCAAGCTATGATGAAGAAGAAGTGTCGAAGATCAGGACTGGTACTGGGACGAATTGCCGCTCATCGGACTCAGCACTGTCGATAGGATCTGCTATCGAACCCAACTACGCCTCTTTAAGCTTTTGCGCTGAGGATCATTGCGACTTGCGCCTGCTCTATCTGCTGCTGCTGATCGCTGAAGGGTAACTCGAACTTTCCGGCCATCCGCCGTACCTTTACATACAGACTTCAGATGCAGAGACTAGGGGCGAATATACAAATACACCCTTCACTGTCTTGCGACTCGATCTGCCAGACCTGCTTGCCCAGGCTCTTGAAGGTTGAGTCCATGGGCAGGTTATGAGACTGCACAGATGGGAAGCAATCGTCCGATGAGCATTCTACCTGTAGGAATGGACGGACGACCCTACAATGGGACACACGCGAAAGACGGCGCTCTGCAGGACTGGCAACGAAACGCCACGGAAACACTGGCAAGAAGTTTGGATAGACCGAAGAGTCCACGTATAGCACCGAGGGTACGCTCCGGTATGCAGCACACAATCCGGACCGTCACCCCAGAACCAGTGGTGGACGATGGAGGAGATGAGGTGTATGCCCAGAATAGCTCCATTCATACCTCTCCACGTTCCATACCCGGAGGAGAGAAGCCAAGGGATCGACGCCAGGGTCTTGTCTTCCAAGACTCTTACAGTACTGACTCTCTAGATGGAGCGGGAGCTGGAGCTGGAAGTACTACTCGGACAGGACCACCTGTGAGCTTCCATTCACACTCACGGCCGCGCACTCGCACGATGGAAGAGTCTCATCGACCTCGTTCAACTTCCACCACGGTTTCAAAAAGCCGCCATCGTATCGGCTCGGTGCATTCAACAGCATCCTCTTCGTTCCACGATGTACAACCTCAAGCTGTTCCCGATGTGTCTAATTCGCTAGGATTCCCATCAATATCTACGCGACCTCCTCCACCACAACTCCAAAAATCTAATTCTGTGAAAGGCGGCCGTCGTTTGGTGAAAAAGTCGTCTCGGCCAACTTCTCCCATGTCATCCATAGGAGATGTCCCTTCTGTTGATTCTCTACCCTTTCCAGTTGCTACAGGAGATGCGAACAAGATATTAATGCTAATGAAGAAACTGTGTGGACGAATGAAAGGCGAGGTCAAGTACCAGACTATCGAAAATGGTCCATGGTATTCAGGGGTCTGCTATATCGACGATATCAAGGGATCCCTGATGTACGAGGGTGAGGACAGAGGACCATTTCACTTGACCGTGATTTCCGATCTCCGAGGATGTCGAGTAAAACCAATAACTTCACCAGAACGACCCGTGAGATGCCTCGAATTGTCGAATAGAGCTCTAGGCATAGAAATACATCTGCTTCCGATGGTCAATGCAGAATATGATCTCTGGCTAGCGGCACTGCTATCTTGGCAGCAGATTCGAACTACCACCCTTCCCGCAAGTCCGCCAAGGTCAACTCCTGTAACTACAGAACGGAGACCTGGTCCGCAGAGACGTGAATCGAGCTTTGCGGGTACTTCCAGAGGTGCCAATATCATTAAAGTTGCCAAGTTACTTCTCTGGGATAAAGGTGCACCCACTTCCCCTAGGGCTATTGTGAAGCGTTCCTCAACGCGTGACCTACGAGCATCAACAAGGTCGTGCTGGCGAAGGGTATCTTGTATATTGCAAGACAATGGAGAATTTAAGCTCCTGACGGAGAATGACATTACTTTACTGTCTGTCATACAACTTTCTCAACTGTCTAGGTGTGCCATACAGCGGTTGGACAGGTCAGTCCTCGACGAGGAGTACTGTATTGCAATTTTCCCACAATACACGTCGACTTCTACAACACTTTCCATCTTTCGTCCCGTATATATTGCGCTGGAATCCCGACTCACTCACGAAGTGTGGTTTTGTCTATTGCGTGCGTTCACTATACCAGAGATATATGGCCCACAGCCTTCAAATGCGCCTGAGGTGTACGATGAATTGGACTCACCACAACCGCAACCTCCCACTGAGGATATGTTCAGAATAGAGAAGTCTATCAATCTGAGGATTGTAGAAGCGAAGATCAGGAAACCACATGTTCCCACGGAATCTTTGGGCACTAGCAAGTCCTCAAAGACGGAATTGGATCCATCAATAGGAGATTACTTTGCAGAGGTTGTCTTGGATGGAGAAATTCGTGCCCGGACAATCACCAGGACCGAAACTAGGAATCCTTTTTGGAGAGAAGATTGCGAGTTCATGGATCTGCCTGCACATCTCCCAAGTATCTCAATCATCTTGAAACAGATGGAACCCCCACCGGTCACTACTCATGGATTCTTGTCATCTTCGAGCGTTCACATACCCGCCCAGCCGATCGAAGTTGTTTGTGGGAGAGTTGAGATAAATATCGAAAAATTAGATAGAGGCAAGGACAACGAGACTTGGTGGCCGATACTGGACGAGCAGCAAGAGCCGATTGGAGAGATGTTCCTGAGGATACGGCATGACGAACTTGTGGTTTTGCTTGCGAAGAACTATCAACCAATATCGGAACTTCTTCACAACTTTGGTAGTGGCTTGACCATACAAATCGCTCAAGTCATTCCAACTAGTTTAAGGAAACTGTCAGAGATACTGATGAATATCTTCCAAGTTTCGGGCCACGGTGGAGAATGGCTTACTGCTCTGGTCGAAGATGAGATTGATGGGTTAGGGAAAGAGCCTCCAATACGACGACTGAGATGGAGCCGGCGAATTGGCTCAAACGAATCTTACGCTTCTGCAAGTGATCGAGAACAGACTGTTCGAGACATGGGCAAGTCTCTACAAGGAGAGGCGAACTTGCTGTTCCGAGGCAATTCATTATTAACTCAAGCTCTGGACTTCCACATGAGACGACTTGCCAAAGAATACCTAGAAGATGTCTTCGCCGAGAAAATCGTGGAAATCAATAACCTGAACCCGGAATGCGAGGTCGATCCATCTCGAATTTATCATGGAGATGATATGCAGAAGAATTGGTCACTTCTAACATCCCTTACTACAGATGTATGGGAAAGCATTGCTAACTCAGCAAATCGATGTCCACCAGAACTCCGTCAAATCCTCAAGTACGTCCGAGCAGTCGCCGAAGACCGATATGGAGACTTCTTGCGGACGGTGGCTTACACAAGCGTCTCTGGCTTCTTGTTCTTGAGATTCTTCTGTCCAGCCCTTCTGAATCCGAAGCTTTTCGGCTTGCTGAAAGATCATCCCCAGCCAAAAGCTCAGCGAACCTTTACTCTGATTGCAAAAAGTCTGCAAGCGCTTGCGAATCTGTCAAATTTTGGTCAGAAGGAAGCTTGGATGGAGCCTATGAACCGGTTCCTGAATAGCCATCGGCAAAGTGTCAAGGATTTTATCGACGCCATCTGTGATATCCCTGCAGAGCGAAATACTTTTGCCCTTCCAGCATCATACTCGACTCCTATTACCATACTCGCACGCCTACCGCCTACTTCGAGGGAAGGCTTCCCCTCTCTCCCGTACCTCATCGATCACGCCCGCAACTTTGCTGCTCTAGTCAGACTTTGGCTCGATGCAACAAATTCATACATGCCCCCTCAAGGCTTAGAAGGCGACCTCCTCGAATTCAACGAACTCTGCATTGCACTTCAGCGCCGAACAGACGACTGTCTCCTCAAAGCCGAAGCGGGGGAACGCGGAGCAGATCAACTCTCCCTGCAATGGGAAGACATCGTCGAAACACTCGACCACTCCCACCTCACCGACTCGCCCACCGATCCCGACTCCTCAACCTTAGAACCAGAAATCCACAGCCCGCCTTGGACTGAGCACTCCGGCCGGGGCACAGGCTCGGCGGGAAGTGGAGAGAAAGAGAGGGAGAAGAAAGAACGGCAGAGTTTCTGGGAGAGTACGTTTGGGAAGGAGAGTAAGTATCAAAGACCGTATGCGGGAGGAGATTCGTTTGATGAGAGCCAGGCTAGTCCGCCGAGTAGAGGGCAGAGTAGGAATGGGAAGCCGTCTAGGAGTTTCTTGAGTGGGTTGAGGAGGAAGAAAGAGGGAACTTCGCCTACGGTCGGCAGTTTGGAGAGTGCGGAGGGGGGACGAACTGGAGCTTGGGGACCTGGGGGGATGATTTGATGGAGAGGAAAAGGAGATGAATATATATTTCAAGCACTCTTAGTGCTTAGGATGCATAGTTAAGGATGGGAAGGAAAGGGACGGGGTCACGTTTTGATCGAGTTTTATACCACTTTTTATCTTTTTGTGTGTTGAATTGAGTGTATTAGCGAGCATAGCTAGCATCCATAGCAGTGCAGGCAGCGGAAAACGAAAGAAACAATGAAAGCATCAGCAGCAGATGATCTATCAGCCAACGCCTCGTGCTCCAGACATCCAAGCCATGCATGCTTGCCTCGCCTCGTTTTTGGTCTTCATAACTTTTCGTTTCCCGTTCTTTCATTCATCACTTCATTCAACCATCACGCCAGAAACGAACCTCTCACGAAAAGAACTTGCTATAAGCAGCCTTTTCCTTCTTAGCCCGCTCCGCAATCGCCTTCCTCAGCGCCGCCAGCTCGTTCGTGATCGCCGCATCCTTCGGAGCCAACTTCAGCGCCTCCTCCAGATCCTTCAACGCCTCGTCGTCGTCCTTGAGTCCGATCTGCGCGACACCCCGACGATACAGCGCCTTTGCCGTATCAGCATCGCTGATGTCCGCAACGTCGAGCGCCGCGGACGCACAGCGGAGGGCTTCGTTGTAGTCTCTCAGCTTGTTGGCCAGGAGCGCGGAATTGGAGTTCAGCGTAAAGCGGAGGGCATCAAGACTCTTCTTCGTCTCCGGGGGCTCGTAGTCGAGACTCGGGTCCTCGTTCAGGTATCGGAGGCCCTTTTGGTATTTATCGAGTCCCAAGCTCAGCTTGCCTGCCTTGAAGGCCGCGTTGCCGAATTCCTTCAGGTCGGTGGCTATCTTGACGATTTCGGTCGCGGACGGCGTGGAGGTCTGGTCTTCGGGGAAGTCTTCGTAGGGGTCGCCGGTGGAGTCGGGCAGCTTGGTGGAGGCGGCTTCGGCTTCGTCGCCGGTGAGCTCGCCGCAAGCGGTGATGGTTACGTCCTTGGAGGGGCGGTCGCCGGGTTGGGTGGGCATGTTTTCGATTTTGCGGACGAGGGATTTGCCGTTGAGGACTTCGCCGAAGACGACGTGTTTGCCGTCCAGGTGAGGCGTGGGAACGGTGGTAATGAAGAATTGGGAGCCATTCGTTCCTAGAGGAGGTGGGGTGGTCAGCTTTTATTTATTTCATTCTCTTGCTTGGAATGTTGGAAGGAGGAGGAAAGTCAGGAATGTTTACCGGGACCAGCGTTAGCCATAGACAGTAGGAAGGGCTTCTCGTGCTTGAGCTCGAAGTTCTCGTCGTCGAACTTGGTGCCGTAGATCGACTCTCCACCTGTTCCATTGCCGGCTGTGAAATCACCGCCTTGGATCATGAATTGCTTGATGATTCGGTGGAAGGTGGAGCCCTTGTAGCTGAGAGGTTTGTCGGATTTCCCTACGCCTTTCTCGCCGGTGCAGAGAGCGCGGAAGTTCTCTGCTGTCTTGGGGACTACATCGTCGTACAGCTCAAAAGTGATTCGACCTTCGTGGGTCTTGCCAATTGAGATGTCGAAGTAGACGCGGCTACGTTGCTTGGTTTCCGCCATGGTTGCGGTGGTTTGAGGAATAGACAGCAAGAGAGTTTGGAAGATCGAAGTTTATGAAGTGGGAGAGTGTAGGAAAACACACAAAAATCCCACAGCCTCGAGATTCTGGAGCTTTCTTTGAGCTTAAGTCGGAGAATAGTCTCACCGACCCGACTCACGTGAATTGAGATAGATGCAGGTGGGAGCTCCAATTACAAGTAGTCAAGGAGCTCACCCGTATTAAATGGAATATAAAATAATAGTATCTCAGAATTGTGTGTCAATGTAAGTGCGCCAACTTAAAGTGAGAACTAGCACGAAATGTGGGGATTGGACATGAACTTCATTCTATCTCGACTGATCCCACTTATATTGTCCCACGAAATCTGGAACAATATTATCATATTCCAATCTTTGCGGTTTTTCGATATCATTTCAATCTAGCCGTAAGTAGTTATTGGTGCTAGTATGCAAAACAGATCCATTTGGGGATATTGCATATTTGAAGCAGTGTCTAGTCTAACGCTTTGCTAATGCAGCAAAACTTGGGACGAAAGTCAAGTCAACAGCCATTCTAATTTGTTTGCCATTTCTTTATGTTGCCAAAGATCATTTCTCGTCAATAATTCCGCTAGGTCCTACAGACATCACTAATGTGACCTGGTAGAGTAAGTTGCTATATAAAGAAGGTAGAATGCCATTTTACTTACTGGTCCATCATTGACCAATGCTACCTCCTAACGGCTTGTCAGAACAAAATACCACTCGATGTTAGATTCCTCACCATCATTGCCTGGAATACTCCATCCTTTACCTTCGATGCATCATAACCTTGCTGAACTTTCGAGAAGAAGGTTTGGTACAACTCTTTTGCTTGATCACCTCCTAGCGCTCCGTGGAAATCTGGCTTTGATCCTTTCTTTGTAGAGGCAAGGAGTGTAAATTGGGAGACTGGTACAATGAGCTAGATTCTCATTCAATACCGTCTTTCACGCACCACATAGGACTTCTCCACTGATGTCTTGAACATTGTGTCTCCACTGGATATTGATTAGAGATGGCTGCATGCCTCCATATGTATAGATGGAGTATCTTCCATACCCTGCCACCAGTTTCATCGTCCCATAATCGCATTCTCAACACCTTGGCTGCAAGAGCATCTGCATCTTTTTCCGTGTCTCCTGGAGCTACTGCAGCGAATACCAGAATACCTTTCCCAATTGATGACACCAATTGCTGATCAACAGTCACTGAAGCTGATAGAACGCGCTGAAGTATGGCTGCTAAGATATCAACATAATTGAACTGAGTTGGTCTAAGTTGGTCTGAGGAGAACTTGCCCTTCATGCTGGGATCTGGGGCTCGATCTGAGACTAGATGCTACTGAAGAAGAACAAAGTGCAATAAACGCTATAAAAAAAATTATTGTATGCACCGCTACGTGAACTATAAAGTAGCCAGATCGAGATGTGAACGATTCCAAAGGTCGCCGTGACGATTCTGTAGAAGCGGAGACAAGTGAGACTAGTGTTGATGATGCAACAAGTAGACGCAGCCAAGGACGAAATTCACAACAACCTAAAAGAAACAGCATTCATCATTAGAATTCTGTGAAGAAGCGCAACACCTTCATTGATTGAAGACGTCTGCATATCACGAGAGAGTTTTCCGTTGAATGAGCGTGCAGCTGCATCGTTCCCCACGATCTCAGGCTGCAGGAAGGTGCTAACCTTACCAGGCCAGGCCGAAGCGAACCAATTCCATCACAGCAATCGAGCGAGGCAGCGCAGCTCTTTGAACCTCAAGCAAACTCCGCATCACCCAGAACCTCGCGCCCTCTGGACACGACAACAGTACCATAACTTCTACATAGGACAATACTTGCCACGCCAGCACGTACCAATCTACTCCTCTTCACGCGCATGGGGCTCATCACTCAACACACAGGGCAAGATCCGTGGACACGACTACAATTACCATACCTTGAACCAACACGTTTGGTCGCATCTCTCCCACATCCACGATGGCGGCTCGAAAGCTTCAGCAGGAGGTTGATAAGTGCTTCAAGAAGGTCGAAGAAGGCGTGCAGGAGTTTGAGTCAATCTACGACAAGATCGCGAGTGCAGCAAATCCTGCCCAGAAGGAGAAGTTGGAAGACAACCTCAAACGTGAGATCAAGAAGCTCCAAAGGCTACGAGACCAGATCAAAACATGGGCGGCTAGCAATGATATAAAGGACAAGGGTCCTCTGATAGAAAAGAGAAAACTTATCGAGACGGTATGAGCTTGAGTAATCTGGTAGGTCATGGCTAATCGTTTTTAGCAAATGGAGAAGTTTAAGGCTGTCGAGAAGGCTATGAAGACCAAGGCATATTCGAAAGAAGGATTATCTGCCACAACAAAGCTAGATCCGAAGGAACAAGCAAAGTCGGATGCTTACTCGTTCTTGAGTGACATGGTCGAAGAACTTGAACGGCAAATCGAGACCCTGGAGACGGAGCAAGTACAGCTGAACTCTTCGATGAAGAAAGGCAAAAGCCAGTCTAAGGTCTCGGATCGTGTGGCAGAAATCGATCGTATAACAGAACGTCATAAGTGGCATCAGAATAGGCTCGAGCTTATCAAACGTTCCTTGGAAAATGGCGTGCTGGAAACAGAACAAGTCAACGAAATGGAGGACTCAATCAAGTTCTATGTTGCCGAAGGGCAGAACGACAACTACGAAGGAGAAGATGAGACTCTTTATGATGATCTAAATCTACAAGAAGAGGAAGACAACTACGGCATGAACAATGACGACCGAGTGTCGTCACAAGATACGCAGTCGATACAAGACGATGCTCCAGAATTGGAGTCTAGGTCGAATAGCATACCTAGCAAGGGAAAAGCTGCTCCAGAACCTCCAATAGCAGCATTACGGAGACCTTCGACACAACTCAAGAGTCCTCTGCCAGGATTAGCAACTCTCCATACGGCGTCAACTGGTAATACGAATGGGTCTGGGAACCAAATGAAACCTGCGGCCGTGCCAACTCGTGCACCTGGGGAAACATTGAAGTATGCCTCCGCAGCGGCCGCAGCTGCTGCGAGCGACAAGTTAGGCATTGCTCCATTGCCTCCACCTCCTGAAGCACTACCGCCCGCTGCCACATCACTGACCCATCCGCCTTTACCATCACAAGCTGCTACTGCTTCGCCTACAATCTTGAACTCACAACCCACCAGTCTCAGCCAAACACCTGTGACAAGATCTAGTATTCCTGCTTCAGTGCCGGTATCAGATACGCCGTCAAGTTCGCAAACTAAATCACCAGCTTTGAGTCAATCAAGTACAGCTCCCAGTGGCACTGGTGTCTCGCAGTCTCAGAACGCTGAGCGACCAGACAGCACTCGTCCTGCGACATCTCGAGCATCATCTGGTAAGGCTCCAGCGGGTACAGATGTGTCTGAAAATTCGAAAGGTCTGAGTTTTCTCATAAGAAATTCATGGATAGTGCTAACAACCACGAAGTTACTGCTCCACATACTAATGGTATTACAAACGGGGTCAAGCCTGCACCTGTCGAGGATCCAGATGAGTCAATATATCACCTCCCATCAGGCCTGCAAGATCTCCTCCAGTCTTTCGAGGCCACTCAACGTCGCGTTACTAGTCCACCGTCTCAGTCCACGCAAAGAATGCTTTCAGCATCTATTACGACCTCCCCAGATGCGCTAGATGCATTAGCGCCGAGGAATTACAAGCCAAAGCATCCCGTCAGGACAGCGCCGTACTACCCTCAAGAACTGGATCCAGTCTTTGATGATCCACGATTGTACTCCCGTATTGACCCGGATACGTTGTTCTATGTCTTCTACTACAAGCAAGAGACATATCAGCAATATCTCGCAGCAAAAGCCTTGAAGGATCAGAGTTGGAGATTTCACAAGCAGTATCAGACTTGGTTCCAAAGACATGAGGAGCCCAAGACTATCACCGAGGAGTTTGAACAAGGGACTTATCGGTTTTTCGATTATGAATCGACATGGTGGGGACCCTATCTCACAAACATATTTGACCCCTTTCTCGTTGCTCCGCTGTACACTCGACCCGGGCGGGGCATTTCCACCAGAGATCCTGCTGAGAAAACCCCTTTCGAGTTGTGTCCTCAGATCACGTCTGAGAATAGTCACTCAGCCTTCCAATACGCTCAATGGGAGTTCCACCCCCAGAACTGTCATATGTTTAGGAGCTTCTAGAGGTCCACTGTAACATGTATTCTTCTATTTATTTATTTCTTTTGTCGTATAATTATCACCATTGCTGACCCAGAAATGGTACTTGTAGGATGAACCGGAGGAAAGCAGACTTCAAGTTTGCGTACAAGTTCCTCGAAGACGATGTATGAGTTATGGACCGGCGTCGGAAACATCTCTTGAGTTGGCAAACTGGTCGGCGCATGGTCTTGCTCTAGCCCCGAGGTTAGCTGGGATAATTGACGTTTGCACGCCTCGAAACAATAGCAAACAAACTTGCTCATTTGAGCCAAGTCCATTTTGTGTCTCCACTGCCAACGTGTTCAGAATGATCGCGTGCTTCTTTTGTGCAGCATTACATCCGTCTAACAGAACAGCAGAGGTTGAAAATTGACGAAAACGGAGTATCCCTTCCTGCATATGGCCACTCGGTGAGAAGCGATACTATGCGACCATTGGCCGCCTGCGCCAAGTTTTGGCCAGGTACGTATCATTGCTTTCCGACCCCACGCCTGCAATTGAGATCGATTGGCGACCGAGATGGAAGGCGAGGACGGGAAGAATAGATTCCAGTGGAAAGAAGGGGCTTTGTGAAAGCGTCCAAAGTCCTACATTGGGCAGAGTAGGTTCGTAGCGTAGGCATACATACCTCAGGACAAGTTCAGAGCTCAGGTACAAGCTGCGTTGATGCCCAACAACGACCAACGCGTACTCCCGTTCGCAGAAATCACAGGAACCACGAGGACGAGGCAGAGTATAAAGAAGAATGCGCTTCCCAACCCACACCGGCTTTTCTGCAAGAAGATCTTGACCTTGTCAGAACGTTCTAGTTGCCTCGATGAACAGGAAGCAATTGCACAAGTTGAGATGAAGACGGCAAGCAAGAGCAGTGAAAGAAGAAGCACGAAGGGTGCGGCCCAACTGGAGCTCGCTGACCAATCTCGTGGATAGCCGTCATTGGCCAATCCTCAACCACGATACCCATCTCTCTTTGCCTTTTACACAATCTTCAGACTTGATTTTCTCTTTCTTCTTCCCTTCTCAACACTCACTTGTTTGCTCATGAGCGACAGCTTCCTATGATTTCTTTTGAAAGTGCTAACCATCTTACAGTCTCGCACTCGATGAAGAGAAGTCCGATACCGAGTGTACCTTTCGTCCAAGCATGCACTCGCTTGTCCTGACTCCAATCCTTCGTTCGCAGCTCAGCCTTCTCTTCACATGCGATGCGACAACACAGTCGAGCAACCACAACTTCGCTCAGCAGTCGTTCTTCGGACTCTTCAGCGCGAGCAACGGGGCGCTGTCCGGCAAAACTCACTTTTACGAAAATGAAACCATCCTGCATTCTTATGCCCCGTGACGGCAATGCATCTTGGGTTGCAAAAAGCAGTTCGCAATTGCGTCTTGAAGCAGCGACGAGGCAAAAGGAGGGCGGGCGGACCCCGCTACCAGTCCTGGTTGCCTAACACCTTGAACCTCCCGAATGATTACGCCCATAGCCTTGCCATTACCCAATCGATTCCCAACACTTCATCTCGCATGCCTCCCTGCAAAATGCCCTTTTCTCAACTGAAACAATAATGTCGAGGTCGGGCGACCAAATACAGAGCGACACCTCCATCAATTTGGCAAACATGCTGCCTCTCCCTCGATGAAGCCCCAGCATTGTCCTCAATCGCCCGGATTTTCGAGATCAATGGCGGTCAATCGTCCAGACCTGGACAAATGGTTTGCCCGATGGTGTCGTGGCTTTCGTCAACGCGCTGCTTTCACGCCGTCCTTGGCTTGGAATTGAACGGGGCAACGCCAACGAAGACGAGGAATCTGCCCTTATTTCTGCCTCACGATGGCGAGCCGGACCAGATCCCATATGGGTTCGTAAGCCTCAACGAGGCTGTCCGGCGCAACGTCCATCGCCGCAAGGAACCATGCTCGTCTTTTAATTGTCAGGGTTGCACAGGCGCGAGGCTCTGAGGTATTTTACGCTCCATCGCCGAGTCCCGCCATTTTCAGATGCCCCTTTTGTGCTTACCATCATCGCCGACGACTTGGAAGTCTTCACAGCCTCAAACTTAGTGGTTCCTTCGGTGTGTGATTTTGGACAAGCTTGCCGAGTCTGCATTCGAGACGGGTCTGATCTTGGTTCCTAGCCGTTGATGAAGCAGGGCTGTTGTTGAGGTGCATTGGTTCATATCAGTGGGCATCATTTGTTTCCACGTCACAATCCCGTCCTTTTGTCCCAATTCCAATCACTTCCAAGCATGTCACAAACGAGGCGGGTCCTAGAACATATCGAAGCTAAGGCCCATGCAACCTGTGACTCCAAATTGCGAATGTCTGCGGGAGAAGTCGATATCCTCTGTCGCTCACGTATAGATAAGGGAGTGACCGCGGTCTCTACAATGATCTACAACACTAAGATCTCTGAAGTAAATGATCCACAATTCTTCTTTATATGATAGTATATTTTAATCCTCAATCGTGTGGTACTTTTCAGTCCTTATATCGTAATTTCCAAGCCAAATGTGAGCATGTCTTCGTCTCTTGCTAGCGTATAGACCTGACTTCTTACAGTTCCCTTGAAGTAAGACCGGTTTCTTCTAGCTGTCTGGACGGGGAAAACAGAACCGTTTCGATGGCTCAACAGTACTACATGTTCAATCCTGGTTATGGGCAGTGCCTGGGAACAAATTTTCCAAACCATGAAAGCACTTCTTCTCAGGAAGCGCCGGCACAAGCTCAATCTACGGCGATGGATCGGGTGCAAGGACTGTCTAATAAAAGCACTAGTACAGACAATTCATTAGACTCTACTTGGACAAAAATATCTTGGAGTTCGGATTTCACCGCAGACAGTACAATGTCGAATTGGGAACAAGTTACACCGCCTCAAATCAAATATGAGGACGATCCATACAAGTGGGAAGATCCTGCCGATACAATTGCATATTCTCCTACTGGCTCACAGGGCTTCTCGACTCCAATGCTACAACCGTCCTCCTTCACAGAGCCAGCAATTGACTCCAGACCTACACCGACTAGCCTTCGCTGGAACCCCCATAGTCGACTGCTGGAACTATACAAGTTGATTGTTGGCAAAGAAGAAAAAGAGCCATATTTTCAATTATTTGAAGGATGTGCGGTCACGAATCAGACGCCAGCTCGTGTCTATCTCGACTACCCGAAGTATGTCTTTTGGTTTCAATCGTTACATGAGGCTGACAGATATTGCAGAGCTCCAAAGAAAGGTTCCTATCCCTGTCAGTACCCATGGGGGTGTAGCGGCAAACAAACAGTATTTACCAGACCAGCCGACCTCGACCGCCATTACAAGAACGTCCACGCTTCTCCAGATCAGAAAGACTCTTTCCCTTGCGATTACGCGCCGTGTGGTAGACACCTCGATCCATTCACGCGCAAGGACCACTACCGTGATCACCTCCGCGACTATCACAAGGAGGATCTAGGCTGTGCAAAGATGCCAAAGAAGCTCGGTCGAAAGGTGGGGCCTGCTGAACAAGCAGCCTGGCTATCTGAGCGCAAAGTATCGCGACGCTGGTGGCGATGTGCTCGGTGTCTGGTGAGGAGACAGGTTCAAGTAGACGGGTGGGAATGCCCCAACTGCAAGTCTTCATGCGAGCAGGACCGAATCGATGCTCGTTTGAAAAAGCAACAACACCAAAAGGCCATGGTTGTCGATCCAACTGAGCCTGATGATGAAGTGGGATATCAAACTGCAAGCTCTGTTACAACTACTGTACCATCGACTGCTGCCGACCCTTCGACGTACTATGAATGTGGAACTTGTCGAGAATACTCTGGGTGGGTGTACGACGGTATAGGAGAGTGGAACGAGTGTCCTGACTGCACCACGCGAGTTGCAGAGGCTTCTTACCCTGTTGACGACTATTACCAATAGTTTGCCATTGGAACACTCAGAGAAATAAGGAGTTCCAAGCCTGGATTGGTTGGACCCTGATTCAAAAGCAAAAGAAAGCGTGTATGCGAGCACAACGAAACTCTAATAGGAGTTGGCAGATCTGCTTTGGCGTTGGACTAGGGAGGCAGAACGAACCAGGGGGGGCGTCTTCATATTGGTGGTGGGGAGGCAATTGTCCGATCTCTTCCAGTACTTCTTCCGACTTACGACTTTCAACTTCTCACATCCTTCTTCATCTCTCTACATCCCCGGAATCGAACTTTGCTATTAGGCAAAAGCAAGCACGGCCGTCGTTGTTTTTTCGCACCTCTTATCTTTCATTCTCACTTGTCTTTTTTTTGTGTTTCATATATATTATCTACCTAAGTACTCCCTTCGTTTCGAACTTTTTGGATAGGGCTGGCTGGAACGGAGTAAGTGGAGTTAGGTACACACATGGGACAGGAACGGAAGGAAACGGAGCGGCATACAATATCTTTGGCATTTTTTCGCAGGCTCGACTTCGAGGGAGCACAGGACATCTTATCTCGGGGTGGGTTCGCATGGAGTTTTTTGCTTTTGAAATTGTTCCGGTATAGCATGGTGTTGGGTCACTCGTTAGAAATGCATCATTGGTCTACATATTATGAAAAAAGTGAAGTGAAGTGAAGTCTTCTTGTGCACGTGCTACGTCCCTGATCGAGGAGGAAATGCGGATAAAGACGGCCGAAAATGTGGAGAAGGGAAGCTCCGTTCTCGGATAGCTACAGCTCGAGCTCAAGGGACGAACTCTGTAAATTTTTCCATGTCAAAAGAAATTCAAACAAATGATACAATCGTGACTTCAATTCGATATTGGAAAGAGCCGCGAATTGAAACAACAGCCGCATCACCTTCTTGCCGCGACGCAGTGCCGGCTAAAGACAATTCCCCCTCCTGCGGCAACAACCTTCTCGCGCTTCCTTCTCCAGCTCTGTCTGCACAACCCCACATCCTCGGATAGTACACGCCCCAACCTAACCAATTCTCAACTCTGAGAGGCTACGAACGAAAACCGGACGGCAACTACAAGTACACCACCACTCTTCCTCACAATGAATATCCTCAGAACGCTCCCTCGATTCGCATCCTCTTCTCTGCGACAACGACGCACGATGGCGAGCAGCACTTCCTTCAAGAAAATAGTGGTCAAGAACCCGGTGGTGGAGCTAGATGGCGACGAGATGACCCGCATCATCTGGAAGGACATCAAGGATAAATTCATCCACCCGTACCTGGACATCGATCTCAAGTACTACGACCTGGGGCTCGAGTACCGGGACGAGACGAACGATAAGGTGACGACGGATAGTGCGGAGGCGATCTTGAAGTACGGGGTTGGTGTTAAGTGTGCGACGATCACGCCGGATGAGCAGCGGGTTAAGGAGTTTAATTTGAAGCAGAGTGGGATCTTCCTTTATTTTCTTGAGAGAGAAGAGAGTGCTAATGTATGTATGGCATAGTGTGGTTGTCTCCCAATGGAACAATCAGAAATGCTCTTGGAGGAACCGTTTTCAGAGAACCGATCGTGATTCCCCGAATTCCACGCCTGGTTCCGGGCTGGAAGAAGCCCATTATCATCGGTCGACACGCATTCGGAGACCAATACCGAGCCAAAGACCTCGTTGTAAAAGGCAACGGCACCTTGAAGATGGTATTCACCCCCAAGGGTGGAAAGCCAGAAGAAATCGAAGTCTACGAGTTCAAGAACGGAGGCGGGGTTGCGCAGACGCAGTATAATACCGATGAGTCGATTACGGGGTTCGCGCATGCGAGTTTCAAGCTGGCGCTGGCGAAGGGACTGCCGCTTTATATGAGTACCAAGAATACGATTCTGAAGAAGTATGATGGGCGGTTTAAGGATATCTTCCAGGAGATCTATGACAAGGAGTATAAGACCGGGTTCGAGGAGAAGAAGATCTGGTATGAGCACAGGCTTATTGATGATATGGTTGCGCAGATGATGAAGAGTTCTGGGGGATATATTATGGCTTTGAAAAGTACGCTTCCTCTCTTCTTCTCTTGCAAATGTGCTCTTACTGATGTTCATATGTGTAGATTATGACGGAGACGTCCAATCCGACATCGTAGCCCAAGGCTTCGGCTCCCTAGGCCTCATGACCTCCGTCCTCATCACGCCCGACGGCAAGACCTTCGAATCCGAAGCCGCGCACGGCACCGTGACCCGACACTACCGCGAGCATCAAAAGGGCAACGAAACATCCACCAACCCGATCGCCTCGATCTTCGCCTGGACGCGGGGACTCGTGCAGAGAGGAACCCTGGACAATACGCCCGAGGTGGTGGCCTTTGCCGAGAGTCTCGAGAAGGCGTGTATTGATACGGTGGATATCGATGGTATCATGACGAAGGATTTGGCGCTGGCGTGTGGGTTGAGTAAGAGGGAGGATTGGGTTACGACGGGGGAGTATTTGAGCGCGGTCGAGAGGCGGATGAAGAGTTTGTTGAAGCAGAAGTTGTAGATCTCTCTATTTCTATCTTGGAAGAGTAGAAAGAAGGCATTTCTAGACCTATGAGTAGATTTGCGTCTTGATTGGTACACAAGACAGACAGACAGACGAGACGGAAGAATGCGTTGGATATGGCATTGGTTGCATGCATAGCATCTTTACTTACTCACATACCTACGCGTTTGTACATAGAGATAGCTTTATCATTGCGGTTAGCTCATCGATCAATCGAGACTTTTGCATACGTAAGAAGCTTCGAAATTGAAAGTCCTCGATTCGTATTTGTCTATCAGCCACGTTATTCTGCTCGTGATTCTGCTACCGTACTGTTGGTACATAATTCCACACCTTAGCACCACGAACCCCATGCAAAAAGCCATGCCAATCCCTCCTTAATAATAGTACATCTGGAAGAAAGATTAAAAAAACCATCACATCGGCCCAAATGGATGCGCATCAGGATCTGGACTCGGAATCTTCGGTTTCCTCGCTCTCTTACTGGCCGGCTTCTCCTTAACAGCTCCTTCCCCTTCCTCACCCCCCTTCTTCTTCTTCGACGCCCTCGGTTTCTTGGCCTCCTTTCCTCCAGCCTTTGGATAGTACCCTCCATCATCATCCTCTCCTCTCTTACGCTTTCCTTTCGTGGTAGAAGGACCGCCACCAAGCGCGAAATCGTAGCCTTGTCCGTCTTCTTCGACGATTTCAAGGGCGTCCGGCTTAGAGGGCGCGGGGATCGAGGCCCGTTTCCCTGCTCCGCGGAGAGCACCAGGTTTCCCGTGGGATTTCTCGGAGCCTTCGCCGTCTTGGAGGAAGATTTGAGGTTGGTTTCTGCGGAGCCAGTTGTAGGGTGAGTGGTGGTTTCCAAAGGCGAGGTCTTGCGGGTGGAAGTGTGGGGGGAAGGGCGGGACGGTGCCGAGCGAGGCGTCGATGTCGTAGAGGTAGTCGTCGAGTTGGTCGGGGGTTAGGTAGGAGTAGGGGACTGTTTCTGGGGGTTCGGGGTCCAGGGACTTGGTGAGTTCGGTGGGGAGGGAGGCGCTTTGGGAGGAGAGGTGAGGGGTGCTGGATGTGAGGTGGGCGAAGGATTTCGTAGGGGCTTGGGATGCGTTGTTGAGTGCTGCTCGTTCGGTGAGCATGGTGCGTAGTTCTGCCATGAGGGCTTGGCCTTCTGATGTTTGTAGGGATCCGATGCTGTCGATGTCATCGTCGGTGATGAGGCCAGGGATGGAGCTGTCGCCTGGTGGGACTTCTGAGGAGATATCGATGCGCTTATCGATTGGTATTTGCGCAGAGTTATTCACATCGAGGAGGAGGTCGAGTATTTGACTAGATCGTATAAGCTTGATGCTCGAGGAAGATTGCGCAGGTTGCTCACTCGTTCTCTTGTGCAAGACGCTTTGCGGTTTTGACAGCATGCTGTTCTTGGATGAAGAGGTCGTTGCTTTGTTGCATAGCAGCATCAAATTTCTGCTTCATCTTCCGAAACTTCTTCCTATTGTGAATTGTGGTCAGCTTCTGTATTCTCTGTTGTGCGATCTTGAACGCAATCAGAATGAAGAGATGAGGAATGCTGTGAGCTGGGGAACTCTGGCGATCGAATAAAGGGTAACACGTACTTGAATGACTTGTATGTCTGCTTTGGTTCCTCTGCTTGGCTCTCCATCGCTGTATCTGCCAGGCTGGTCAGGTCGCTACGTTCCGGATTGAGAAGTGTTGAAGACATGGTTGCGCATTTGTTGTGAAAGTATTCGAGCAGATGGAGCTGGAGAAATATATGAGATGTCTCGCTAACAATAGTTCGGTCTAAGCTGGCAAGGGCCGTCGACACGATAGCTAAATACGTGAAATAAAGTCAAACTTCTTGAACAACTTCAATCAGTGTATAGAATCCTAAAGCAGTAGTCATGGAAGAACTCACCGCCTTCGTCTCATTGCTCTCAAAATCGTTAGGCACCGGTAGAAAGGGGACTCAAGCGAGATCTCACCGCTCTGTCTCTTCTGTTCCCAATAGCGTTAGGATGGGGCAGAATAAGACTCAATGTAGAGCTCACCGCCCTGCAGTTGTTATTCCTATAATCGTTAGACTGGGCAGAAAGAAATAATTCTAGATATCAAAATAATTCAGATTCAACAATCGTAGATCGACAAGCAACCTTCATCTTGAGAACCATATTCAGCTTCTTCGCCCTTGATTCGAGTTTCTACCTTTGCGCCCTCGAGGACCTCGTCTCCCTTTTGTACTCGAAGCAAGTCCCCCTCGATACCAGTACACATTCTAAAGATCGCTGCCTCCACTGCGCTGCTGCCCCGCGAACTGCAAGTCTGGTCACGTTCATCCCTTCGTCGAGAAGAAACACCTAAAAGGAGCCATCAATCATATTGAGAAGTATGTCTAACCCCTTTTCTTCCCTATCTCCCTTCTCTTAAACCTCCAGACCTTACACTCGTCGATCCCTTCCTCCTTTCTCTCACGTCGCAATTCAGGCATGGTCCTAATTTGAATACAGCCACCTCCCTGTCAGCTTCCAACATTACAGACCTCGTCCCATTGGCCCAACGAGACGACGATACGACATCCAAGAGCGAAGAGCCAACCTTGACTCTTCCAGATCTTCAAGATATCGTCGTCGTTCTTGTCCATCAGGAGCAATCGAGGATATCATCCCGAGATCCACATCATACGCATTTGCTTCAGAAAGAACCACCACTCGGAACACCATCATATTCCGTAGCTTCGACGACGACTACCTCAAGTCTACTAAGACTAGATCACTTGAACCAACTCAACATAAACGAGTCTCAACCCACGCCATCTCCGCAGCACGTGGCTGCTAATACATTGGGCTCTTCGCCTTTTCGTTACCGGCTACTAGAAGCACCTGACTACTGTTGTAGCATACAACAACAAGCCTACTTCTTGACGTACTTTCATGTTAAGACATTACCTCAATACACTACATACTTGTGTTGAAGGTATCCATTCAAGAGATCTCAAGATGTCCAAGCTTTCGTCTACAGACGCCATGCCGTCTAAGAAGATCAAGAAAGAGAAGTCTAGTAAGAAGAGAAAGGCAGAAGCAATCACCACTTTAGACGAGGAAATCTCTCCCGCCATTCCACTGGACCAAGACACGTCTATGCTGGTTATCACTCCCGCAGTTGAGGATGAGCAAGATGCTACTACTGGTAACGATTCCAAGGCTTCTCCATCAAAGAAGCGCAAGACATCTGTCGAGGAGATCGAAGTAGATGTCACTCTTCCCGAACCGCCATCCAAGAAGGCTTTGCGTCGTCTGAAGAAAGGCAAGCCTCTTCCGCCACCCAAGTCTGGAGCCGATTCTACACCTGAACCAGAAACCAAGAAAGCAAAGAAAGCTGAGGTAGAAAAGAGATCCGAGCACGGTGTATGGATTGGAAACTTGCCATTCCATGTCTCCAAGGAAATCCTGCGCGATTTCCTTGTTGATCACTCTGATATAACCCAAGAGATGATCACCAGAGTGCATATGCCTGGACCCAATGATACCAAGTCAGCCAACAAGGTTAACGAAACGAAGAAGTTTGCCAAAGTCGTAAACAACAAGGGCTTTGCCTATGTTGATCTATCCTCAGCAGAAGCAGTCAAAGAGGCTGTTGAATTGTCTGAGCAACTATTATCTGGTCGACGCTTGTTGATCAAGGACAACAAGTCATTCGAAGGCCGCCCTGAGAAGACTAAAGAGGAGACAAGAAATGAAGGCAAGCCACCAAGCAAGAAGGTGTTCATTGGCAATTTAGCCTTCGATACCACCGAACAGAGCCTCAAGGAGCACTTCTTAAAGTGTGGACCAATCGCCAGCGTTATGGTTGCATCCTTCGAGGACAGCGGCAAATGCAAAGGTTATGCTTGGGTTGTATTCGAGGAACTTGAAGGCGCAGAGAATGCTGTTCGAGGCTTCGTATACATTGAGGAAGAGCTTTCGGACGCATCGGAATCTGAGGAGGAGAGCGACGCCGATGATGGAGCATCTGATGCAGAGGTCAGCAAGTCGAAGCCCAAGAAGACAAAATTGAGGAAGTGGTGGGTCAACAAGATCAAGGGCAGATCCTTACGTGCAGAGTACGCCGAAGATGCACAAGTCCGATACAAGAAACGATACGGCAAAGATGGTAGCAAGAATGCTGCTTCCGAGGGTGTATCAACTGGAGAGAAGTCTGTCTCGGAGGTGCCAGGTCCTGTCAAGCCTGCAAAGGTTGTTGAATATCGGAAGCCTTACGCGGCGAGATTGACAGGCGGTATCGTTGAGAGTAAGGGGAGTAAAATTACGTTTTGAGTTAGCCTCAATGGACAACCGGTGTTTACCACCTTTCTGCCTCGAAAATTGATTCTGGAATTATCTCCTCTACACAACAACGATCTACGAAACCACCGACCCAATCACAACCACCACAATCACTCAAACCAAGTACGTACGTATTCTGTCTCTCTCACTCCCCTTTACTATTCAGTCGCTATCTCACTCTGGGGGTTCTGACCCGCAGCTTCGAGCCCTTCCCTTCGAGCCCTTCCCTTCGAGCCCTCCCCTTCTCTCCTCTTCATCGATACAATCAATACTCCTGTACGCGTCTCGTCAACTGCAAGACAGACAATCTCCTTTCGATATGTCAATACTGTTCTTATTCCAGCTTATCGTCCTGGTTCACAAGTTTTCGAGGCTTTTCACTATTTTGGCCTCAAACGTTCATCTTCAGCCCTCACTGCTTTCTGTCATCTCTCCACGTAGCCTCTCCCCATCTTTCGATGTATTGCTTTTATCAACTACAAGACAGACAATCTTTTCTTCATATTGTCTATTCTTATTCAAGTCTTTCGATCTCACTTCCCATTTCTCGATTTTTGTGTACATCATTTCGAGTTTGCAGATTTTCGTCACTAGTATCACGTGACAGCTCCCCCTTTTGCAGAAATACTTTCCCAGTTGCTGCTATTTGAATTTTCATAGTGCTGATGGACATTTTCTTTTCTCTTATTGTGTTGATTTATTCCAAATAAATCTGGAAGATTGGAAGAGCGACTTTGGCTCAGATTAGTTCATAATGTTATGTTCTACGATCTCGGCCAGCATTAATATATTGAATCTCTTGAAATTCTAATCAACAATAGAAAGAATCATAAGCTAACATAAGGTGAAAGCAGAATGAGCTACACACAAAGGCCAAACCGCCCACAAGGGGCTGAGTATTGTGGTGTGCTCCCTGCGTGCGTCGCACCGAGAGGGCTAGGAGTGGAGACGCTGGAGGTGAGTTAATTACAGATAATATTGTTTCGGAGTTTGTGGGACAATATAAGTTGGAAAAGCAGATTCTACGACGGAATTTACGTCGTTCTTAGAGCCACACTTGGGACTTCATCTGCTTATTGTCCTGCAAACTATGGGAACAGTATTATCTGCTAATCCAATTTTTCCGTCGTATTGTATGGAACTGTTATACTAATTCAATTATCTACAGAGACTGCTCCGGCGCTACAACCACGCTCGGCTGGATTGGGAAGGGCGTCAAAACCCTCCAAACCGCCAGTGGCAAGCGGTCTCTTTAGCCGTCTCCGCTCCTGGGGCTGTTGCCGGAGACCTGTTCCTTCCAGACGGTGACTGGAGTCGACAATCTCAACAGAACGCAGTTCTGTTACAGTCCGTTTGGAGGAGCTCCAGCGGAGTTTCGGTTTGGGCTTCGGTATTTATCTACATTTCTCTCTTCCCCCTTTGTGATTGTCTTCAACCAAGATGTACCTTTTTCTATCTACAGCTTTTTCTCTCTCTGGTTGATTGTCCACGACTAACATGTTTTTTTTAGAACCCCAATCCTCAAGGTGGCGTCCTCTTTCTCCGTGTGCGTGGCCCGGTCACCACAACCGTCGCTGGGGCTCTGGTTGGTCCTCCTCAACCACCCTCATACCAATCCGATTCTGATTCCGATCAGAATACGGACGACGAGGAGGAGGAGGAAGAGGGCAATACCACGGGGATGTGAGGGATGATCTGTGCACCGTTGTGACCACAGTGTCGAGAAGTCTGACCAAACCGCTGGTGTGACGTTTGATCACCAGTCGGAAACTCCGTTGGCGGCATCTCTCGGTTGTTCATGTAGGCGCTTCGGGGTGTTGCGGGATAGCTCTGCGGAGGTAGCCCTTCCTCTCCGCGAGGTTGGCGTATTTCCTCATGCTGCTGTGAAGTGAAAGCTTCATGGTGTGCGGGTGACTCTCGGCGGAGGTAGCCCTTCCTTTCTGCGAGGTTGGCGTATTTCCTCATGCTGCCCTGAAGTGCGATTGTAAAGTCTTGTAATATTAATTTTTCCTTTGTCATCAATACCAGAGATCTGCCTGCCTTTCCAAAATTCGAACATCTATCGTGCGGTTATGTGTTATGGATACCTGAGGTAAGTCACGTTCTGAAAGTTCAAGGACAGGAAAACATTGCGTAGCTTCGCTCCGTTCTTCTTTTCTTGTATAAACGACCAAATATCTCCCTGCCTCAAACTCAAGATGTAGATTCGGCTTCCAAGATTTGCGGCAAGCAAAAGTGGCAAATTCCAATTCCAACTTGTAACTCGTGAAAAGCCTTCTTGAAAGCCGATAGTCACATAGTTTAGATGCACATCCTTCTCACTGTGCTTCGTGGACCATCGCCTTGAATCTGAATCTACCATTGCTTCCTTTCTTAGCTCAAGACATGGTCTCTAGACGCAGGCCAGGTCTAAGACTTCTTCCAACAGGAACCCCAACACAAGCCGAAACCCTTTACTCACTCCAAATTCAATCCGCTCAACACCATAGCTGTCAGCTTCCACAATTGAAGCATCAGCAGCAGATATCCGTGGAGTATCGGATACTATTATAGGTCACAAAATCAAAAAAGCGGTTGGAGAACAAGACTTGTGATCATTCGTCGCTAAGCCATCAACAGATATCTTCCGAATCGAGACCTTGATCTTTGCCACTTCCTTCGTCACCTCCACTCAGCCCATAGCTATTACACATCGTATGAAACGAAAAAAGCCATAACCGCAGTCAAAAGAGCCAAGTGCATCTCCGTTTCGCCACTTGCAGTGTTGTAGAACGCCCGCTCGTGTCCGTTATTACCTCAGCGTCCTCCTTGGTATTTAGCTCTTCGATGACCCTCGATTGATTCCAGTAGTCTCTTGGTATAATCCAGGCTCTCGAATTTATCCGTGGTCAGCACCTCATCAGACATATCCAAACCAGCCTCTTTCTAGCCCATCCTGACTTTATCCCCATTCTCTCTCATTTGTTTTTATTCAATACCACCGCCATCCTTCTGTATCTGCCACAGTCTGCCGTACTGTGTTGATGCTTGAAATTGTCTGTCGATTGTGTTGTATTCCCATGAACCACATCCTCGAGACGCTCCAGAGAAGTATGAAATATGCAGATTTAAATGATATGACTCTCAGATTCTGTCAGCTACTCGATATAATACTCACCCAGCCAAGGGCTTAGCCATGATCTGGTGTCGAAGTGGCGTAGAAGCCAGCGTGCGATGCTGCAGGTGGTGGAGATGCTCTCTTTGATATGTAGGGTACTGGATTCGCGACTGGTGAGGAGTATGACATGTTGTGTGTATTAGAACTGTGGTAACACTATAGAAAAATATAGCAAAGGCAGTGGTAGAGAGACAGATGAACATAGCATTCGAAATTGAATCTATGAGCAGCACCGCGCGCGACTTGTTGACAGAAAAGGAAGGGACCATCTTTGAGAACTGAATTGCTGCGGACATTGCGGCCGAGCAGGAAGCTACGACCCAATGAAATGAAAGAGAAGCCATCTAAGCAGAATTACAAGTCGATGCGTGTTTGCTCTTGGCCTGAAGCGCCAATATCAACAGAGCGATGACGAGAGCAGAAAAACATAATACAAGAGCAATACTGGCAAAAGTCCGACGAACAAGATAAAATTTTGGAATACATATGAACTCAACAGTCACGATCAATCTGACACCTTCAAATATGCCAAATGAAAATGAAAATGTCAAATACAATCAAGTGTTCTTGTGTGTGGTCATCCCACACTAGTCCCATTTTGACTTTCTTAGCACCACTGCTTCAACACCTTATAAAGTTCAATTAGCAAAACGGTCCATAACCACCATGGCGCACTGTGAGGCAGGACAGTGTCTGGTCAATTGGTGTGCAAGAGATGGACTGGGGTAAAAAATCGCCTGGCCCGAACGAACGATACGCCACTTTCGCGATCAAAACTGCAATCGACACCGAGCAAGTCTTTCAAGGCTACCCCATTTCGAAGGGTTAGACCGGATTTTTTGCTGCTTTTTTCTATTATCCCTCGCTTAAAAATATTTTGGAGACTTTTTTTCTACATCCAGGGTTGAAGAGAGTCTCGAGTAGTCGCTTACACAGCTCAACACCCAGTGCGCCCAACGTCTGCGAGAAACAATTAATCAAAACACTAAATGAAATATGATCGCTAGGAGTGTGCTAATCTGTTGCTTGAGTCTCAAATGCTTTTATTCTTGCTGGGATGTGGATTTCGTCTCTTTTGCATTTTTCGCTGCTGTTTGGGATACCTCGCCAAATCTCGCTTAGCAAAGGAGTAAACAAAGCGACAAGAAGAGAGCAGAATATGATGCAATCACACGCTTCTAATCCATCATGGCGAGATCAGGATCAAATAACATGATAGTGTGGAGCATTGGGGCATAGGCTAGGCTTCAAAACTTGATTTTGTTACATAGTACGGTACAAAGACCACAAAAGCACTAAATCTCCGTCTCAAACGTTGTTGGACGCTCGTCGAAATCAACCTTCCGAGCAATTGCAAGTCCGGCATCTCGTCCAAAAGACATGCTTCTTAAGCAAGAAGTTGCAGGCGGGTACTCGTTGTAAAATAATCCAGTCAGTTCTCCCGCAGCATACAGCCCAGGGATTGGAACGTTGTGCGTGCTCAACACCTGGGAATCCAGATTAACCTTCAGTCCACCATATGTGAAAGTAAGATGTGAAGTCAAAGGCACGCCATAGAACGGAGCTTTATCGATCGGATTCGCCCAATTCGTTTTATTTGGACTCAAGCCGGTCGTAGCCTTACATCCAGGGCCATCAGATCAAATGGCTTATCGTTGCAGGCTTTGTTGAACTCCTCGACTGTCTTGGACAGCTTATCTGGATCGAGACCGAGCTTTTGAGCGAGCTCGGGGATGGAGTTGGCTTCGATTGGATCCTTGTCGGATGTGTCGTATACCCAACCTGGACGGAAACGATTCATGATCGTGGCATCTGTGACGAAATATGCTACTTGGTTCTGATCACGCCATGTTTCAAGAGCGATCATCTCAAATGTCGCGAAGAGATGCCGCTTGCCTTCATCGTAGAAGCGTTTACAGTCTCGGTTGACGACAATGCCGTAGTTGTGGCCCCAAACGACGGCATCAGGCTTAGTAGCTCGAGTGTCAACAAGCTCACAGTGCATGCCGTCGAATGAACCTGCTGTGCCAGCACCGACTTCCAATGCCATGTTGATGCCTGCACCAGTGTTGTACTTCAGTCCTGGGGCGATGAGCGGGAGATTATGTGTATTTCTGCCCACGTATTTGGCGAGCATTTCTCGGTTGCCTTCGAAGCCTCCACATGCTAGCATGACGTTCTTTCCAGGGATGTCATAGAGTAGTCCATCGGATTTCCTGACCTTCACGCCAGTTACTTCGCCTCGATCCGAGGTAAGAAGTTTCACAGCAGCAGTCTCCCAAAGGACATCGCAATTGCTGAAATCGGATATATGTTTGAATAGATTCTGGATGATAGCATTTCCGCCACCTTCTGGGAAGACAAAATGTTGATCGGTCTTGAACTCCAGCAGCACATTCTTCTCATCATGGTGATTGAGTTGGACGCCATGGTCAAGTAAATACTGAGCGAGATCTGGAACAAGGTGTTCCAGCTTGCGGCAATAATCTTCGTCTGCAAGACCTCTGCTAACCAATCTCATCTCCTTGATCCAATCCGAGTCGAATTTGTTGTTTCTGTCCAAGCGTAGGTATGCCATTGTCCATCGAGATGCACCGCAGCGCTCGCCGTTCTTGCCAGCTTCGATGATGGCAACTTTTCCTTGCTTGCCATCTTTCTTGCATTGCTCGAGGAAGTTTAGAGCTGTCATGCTTCCGGCAAAACCGGACCCCACAACTACGAGATCATATTGGGGGCTGTCGAATGGAGCCATGTTGATAGACGGAATAGTTTCGTAGATAGAGTGTGTCTGTTGGTCGGATTTTGATCGCAAGTGAGAATCTCGTGGAGAGGATCAGGATAGTATAACTCCTCGAAAGGAAAATACGGCGCTTTTGGACGCCTGTATCAGCGCTTAATCAGCTCTTAAGGAGAATCCGCGTGTGCAACAACCCCTCTTCGTCGATGCGGGGTTCCGCAATTCCACTTGTCCATAGCCAAGCTGCGACGCAGTTCCTGCCTTCGCTGGACCTTAGCTGCCGAGCTGCATAGTGATGCTATACGTAGTTCTCGCTACCCCGCAATCCACGAAGACATCTTGCATAAGCTCTAGACCATATAGGACAAGGGATCTGATTTAAAGGACTAAGAAGGCGGGAATAAGATAGGATTTGAAAGCCGTGCCGATCGTACGAATACTGCTTGCTAGAACATACTCATGCAACTTTCTACCACTCGGTATGTGGAGACCACTGCCTTCTTCGTTTCAACAATCTAGACCCTTTCTTTAACATAGCATATTTCGATGGCAAAATTCCAGAAGTTGAACGCATTTTATCATTGGTTCGGAGAGACTTCCGATGGGTTGGTGCTGCTGATGAGGGGTTGCCAAGCTAAGTTCTAGTCACATGAAAACTCCCATCATTGGTTATTGTCTTGGTGTTAGACATTATCCTAGAATGAATGGCCCAGAACCCGAATGACTTTTGATTTTGTGAATGCTAACCTCCCGCCTATGATACAACTTTGTTGACTTGGTACATTCCCTCCTCGCTCACATTCTCCTAGATCTAATACGGGGCTTTGAATCTATGAGAAAGGTGGAAGCCAGAAAGGGTATCCTCCATTCTTGATCCTGAAAACACTGAGGAGGAAGCTGTACATCACGAAGATGACACCTCCCCAGATGAGCACAGCAACTTGCTGTGTTCTTGGGTCCACTATTCTTGGTACCTTGAGGGCCAGGGAAATGGTCGCAAAGGAGAGAAGACCATCTATTCCATGTCAGTGGAAGCACTAGTAGTATGTCTAATTTCACTTACACATAGCAGCAACAATCTGGGTTTCAAGACCAAACTGGTTGGAGAATCCACCAGCAAAGTAGCTGACACCGCCCCGTCCATCGCCTGCAACATATGGGACCTTCCGGATGTGGTTGAACATATGGCCACTGGTGAACAAAAGGATAGCAATTAAGCTGATAGCTGCCCATACATTGCGGTTTTGGATGACTGGGAGGAGGTAGGGCCAAGCAACACTGATGAATGTGACAGTTCCCAGGAGAGTCGTGGTAACAGCAATGATTCGCATCCAGTTGACAGGTCGGTGGACCTCAGGATGTGGTCGATCTGGTAGGTGTCGAGAGATCCAGGCATGAATTTGTTCTGCAGGTGGGGCACTGGCAGTTGTTAGCTACATTTGCGACTAATTTATGTACTAGGGACCGAAACCTACCCGCTCGTGAAATCATATCTGAGAGGAGCGCTGTCGGATACTGCGTGTGGACCTTGGGTAGGTGGGAAGAGCAGTAGTACAGGAGCTGTTTGTAGACCAAGCTGCAAATGGACATCAGAACACTTTCACTTCATCATAGTATTGGTTTCTTACAGATTGAAAGGTCCCCTTCCCTTCACTGAAATCTAATGTCCCGTATATCAAACGTGATTCTCCCTTCTTGTCGCCCTTCGTCCAACTTTTTGATAGAAGGTCCCATTCTGGTTGGAATTCTCGACACAATTGACATCCAAATCTGTTCTCCAGAGCAGTCAATAGTACTGCAACGGAGTAATCTCTTCCCCCAGACGTCAATTGTCCATAAGATGTGTCGTCGAGCTTCAAAGGAGTCGACGAGAGAGCTTTCGTGTGGAATTGCTGAAACTTGTCCGCGGCAGGTTTCTTGGCTGCAAGCGCAGCGAAGGGCAATAAAGAGACGACCAAGCCCTTGAGGAAATGCATCTTGAAAGAAAGAAACTATGAAGCAAGTCTGTGCCGGCAGCTCCAACAGACTTCGATGCTGACTTGTAAGGTGTTACGCAACCTGTCCTCAGGTACGGGTAGAGCTGTGGATGACTAAGCTAGCTTATCGACTAGGCTCTTTACGGCTGTTTGTTTTTATCAATGCCGACGCGCGACTTCCCCCACCGAACTTCAACTCCTTCTGCTCTATCATTGGCAAACCTTTACCATTTAATCGCAATGAATTCATCAATAGATTATAATGATGACGATAGTATCGAGACTGTATGTTTTCATCCCCGTGACCGTATTTGATAGCTAACAACCCTTCAGCGCCTTACCAAAACACAGTGTTTAGAGATGGCATATCAAGAAACTCTGCGCAATGCGGATGTGCTCATTAAGGAAGAGGCTGCGAGACGATTACGATTACGTATCCTCATGCTAGAGAATGAAAACGACGAATTACATGAGCAGCTGGCTGTTGGAGACGATCGCATTGATATTGTCGAACAAGAAGCCGAGGAGTTACGGACGGAGCTGGGTCAGGCTCAAGAAGATATGTCTCGGCAAGAAACAGAAATACGGTCTCAAGCAAGAGAACTTAGCAATCTAAAGGTATGCAATTACCACTACCATGAACTATAGTCTAATTGTATCCAGGCGGAATTAATCTCAATGAGTGGTGTTACTTCAGACTCTGCGAAAGTCCTGACCGAGAAGCTCTCCCTGGCGCGTGAATTAGCTACTTTGAAGCCGGAACTCGAGCATCTCCGTTCTCAAGCATCATACCAGCAAACAGTACTCGCCGAGAAACTTGCACTGGAGCGCCAAGTTAGCACATTAGAGGTGGAACTTGAGACTGAGAAACGTGCAGCTTCGAAACGCGCAGCACAAAAGAATCAGAACCACGAAAGAGAGGCAGAACTACAAGGACAGATTGACAGTCTGCAGAAAGACCTGGCCAAGGAGAAACGCGGAAAGGACAAAGCTCGCAAGGAGACTGAGGCAGAGCTTCAGGGCCAGATTGATGCACTCCAGAAAGATCTGGCCAAAGAAAGACGCGAGCACGAGAAGACCAGGAAAGATACCGAAACAGACTTACAGAAACAAATAGATACCCTCCAGAAGGACTTGGCTAAGGAGAAGCGAGAGAAGGACAAAGCACGTAAGGATATCGAGGCAGAATTACAGAGTCAAGTAGACGAGCTTCAGAAAAGCCTGGCGAAGGAGAAGAGAGAGCGAGAGAAAGCCCGCAAAGAAACCGAAGACGAGTTCCAGAGTCAATTAGAAGATTTACAAAAGGATCTGGCGCGGGCGAAGCGTGGGAAGGAGACAGCCGGGAAGGAGGCGGAATTTCAAAACGAGATAGACGAGCTTCAGAGAGTTCTCGCACGAGAGAAGCGAGAGAGAGAGAAAGACCGGAAGGAAGTCGATTCAGAACTGCACATTCAAGTGGAAGATCTGCAGAAGGATTTGGCACGGGAGAAGCGAGAGAAGGAGAAATATAAGAAGGAAGCAGAGAAAGATGTGAAAGCATCACAAACCAAGGAGGCATTACTGGAGAGCAAACTCGACCAATTCCGCACCAAGCTTCGATCGACCAAAGAGCAGCTGAAAGAGTGCCAGACAGAATTAGCCCAAGCTCGAGCAGCAGTGGTGAAGAGCGGACCATCACGAGCTCAAGGTGATGGCCCTGCAAAGACTTCACGGAAGAGATCGGCTATGGAGATGAGCACGGACTTTACAATTGGCACACCAGACGGCGTTGCTGACAGACGAAAGAGGCCTGGAGTGATGAGGGGCCGCATGGACCAGATGATAGTTGGGGAAAAGTCGATGTTCTCCGTCACTCCATTCCTCAATAAAACTGTCAATATGGCATTAGATACACCTTCCAAGGAATCTGAGCCAGAAGTTGAGGAAGAAGAGGACAAGCCAATAGAAGCAGAGGCACAAATCATTCCTCAGGTTGCAGAAGAAGAGCCACGAAAGAAGGAACCAGAAGCTGTCAAAGCAGCTACCAAGGTAGCCTCGAAACCAGCTCCGAAACCAAGAGGTCGAAAGAAGGCAGCAGACAAAGAGGAAAGCAGTGTTCTTGGAGAAGCAAAGCCCAGTGCCAAGAATAAGAAACTCCCCCCCAAGAAGTCACGCGCCACACCACAACTTGAGATGGTCATGGAAGAAGGTGATGAGAACGAGGAGCCTGAAGTTACTACAGCTGAGCGAGCCAAAGTTCCAGAGAAGGTGACCAACGCCAAGACAATGAAGGTGCAACTGAAACCTGCCGCCGCGGAAGAGCCCAGGATGAAGAAGCGAAAGGTGCTTGGTGGAAGCAAGACTCTGTTCGACGAGGATGACGCAGAGGCCACCAAGCGACCAGCAAAAATCAACCTTGGTGCTCCTAGATCACTGGCAAAGGGAGGATTGGCTGGGCCGAAGGGTGGCTTGAAGGGAGGACTTGGTGCTGCGAGTGGGTTTGGTGCCTTTTCACCCTTGAAAAAGGATCGGAGAGGAGTTGGAGCGAGCTTCCTGGGCTGATATGTATGATTCTTTCAAGGTGGACTCTGAGGATGGTTGGCGTTTGGGCATTGAAGGCGTTGTCAAGGTATAGCATTGGGACAGGATACGATTGTCTGGATAGTGTGGAGTACACATGCACATTGAATTGAATTGAATGTTGATTTCAGTACCAACATATTACTTATCTGTGATGGTTGTCCTGCTTCTCCTTAGCTCATGGTTTAAAGAAGTCAAAGAATATATCTGACAATATGCACGGACCACCAAAAAGCTGCAAGGCTGAAAGTCTCACTCGACGCTCGAAAAATCACAGCTTGAACACACCCAAGCTCATGCTTCCACGACCTGCCTCATGGGCAATATTTGAAGGCCTGTACAAAAGGCCTAATATCCAACACGAATGGCTTTCTTGTTCTGTATTTAATTCGCTACAGCAGCGTGCTTCATCATCCTCATCATCTACAAGATGGAAGAGTCGTCAAGGTCGAGATTCATTTGCAAGAGAAGCAAAAGTCCAAGGATTGAAGAGTAGAGCTGCTTTCAAACTACTTGAGGTTTGTTTTACAATGGAAGAGATGATATGGATACTAATAGGGAGTGGCAGATTGATGCAAAATATAGGATTTTCAAGAAGGGGCAAACTGTCGTTGATCTTGTGCGTCTCTATCCTCCCGATTGCACCGTACAGATGCTGATGAGATACAGGGCTATGCGCCAGGAAGTTGGTCTCAGGTCAATCACCATTACTCAATGTGGCAGAAAGAGAGGATATGAACTGAAGCTTTGTCCCACAGGTAGCTGTCGAACGAACCAAGCCTTCCGGCCGCATAGTGGGTATCGATATTATCCCCGCCCAGCCACCAAAAGGCGTCTCCACTATCCAAGGCAATTTCCTGTCTGCCGGTGTCAGAGCAGAAGTGAAGCGCTTCCTCTCAGATCCGGATCGCGGACGTCTCAAACCTTCTCTCATATCGCATCTCGAGGAAGGAGGGAACGAGGTTTTGACCAGCGATCGGAGCTATATTGATCTAGAACGCCATGCCGATGAGGATGATGTCGGAGGAGTCTGGACAATGGATAGAGAGGGAGGAAGGAGGTTGGAGAGAAGCAGGAAGAAGGATGAGGAGGAGGGGAGAATGGTTGATGTTGTGTTGAGTGACATGTCCGCTCCCTGGGAACAGACGACTGGGTTTTGGAAGAGGAGTTTGAGTAATCCGTATCATAGGATGATGAACACGAGCGGTATTGCGTTTAAGGATCATGCTGGGAGTATGGTATGTTACGCCATTCTCTGTCGAGGCTCAAGTTTTGAGGGAAGTGGCTGATGTATGATGGGACTCTAGGATCTCTGCGCAGCAGCACTGCAATTCGCGAACGAGACATTGAAGACGGGCGGGCATTTCATATGCAAGTTTTACCAAGGGTCAGAGGATAAGGAGCTGGAGAAGCAGTTGAGGGCACTGTTCAAAAGCGTGCATAGAGAGAAGCCAGAATCGTCTAGGAGCGTAAGTAATACTGTATAAAGTGGCAGAAGGACAAACTGATTATTGTGAACAGGAGTCGAAAGAAGCATATTTTGTGGCATTAAAAAAGAAGAATGACACCCTTGTAGAAGAAGTCAAGGAAGTGGATCCCAACGATGTATTTCCTGAATAGATCACCACTTAGCAAACGCTTCCTCCATATGAATCGTGATTGTCTCGATTGAAATGTGAAAGGTGGATTATTTAGTGATCATCCCGGCTTAGAAAGGAATGGACGAATGTCACAGTGTAGAAAGAGTTGCTGTTTGTTCATGCATTCAATTGAGTTCCCATTTTGTCGTGCCAAGAAAGCAATACGCTACGCCTTGCCATGCACAGAGGATCTCACGAAACCCCCATATCAGCTCCAGGTATCTTATTCTTGCCCAAGCCCAAAGATCCGCCACACCATCATCACCAGTGTTATCGGATTTAGACCTTGAAACCTCTGGAACGTCTGCGACCACGAGCCTTCTCGAATTTGCGGCCCTTCGACTCGACGTAGGGTTTCTATAGGTCGTTCCGTTAGCATGTAACCATATATCATACCGTAGTACTCCTACCTTGTGCTTGTGGGGACCGAAACCGAAGTGCTTGACGGCTTCTCTGGCGTTCTTGGGACCTCTGAGAAGAAGGGTGTTGCTTCCAGTTGGGGATCTCAGGGCAAGTTGATCGATGGTCAAAGTCTCACCACCGGCAGCAAGAATGCGAGCACGGGCAGTGGCAGTGAAGCGGAGAGCCGCAACGCTGACCTTGGGGACCTCCAACAGGCGGTTGTCATCGGTGACAGTGCCGATAATGACAATGGTTCTCTTCTCATCCTTGCCGGTGTTCGCAACGATTCGGGAAATGGAGACGGGTGGTCTGTTGATGCGGGACATAAACAGGCGGCGGAGGATGACCTTGTTGAAGGAAGAATCGGTACGGCCTGAGATATGAAAGTCAGCTTTCGAGGAGGATCGTTGGAGGATTTGCTTGATATTTACGGGCCAAGAAGCGGTAGAGCTTGACTAGCAACTTGAGGTAGACATTGTCACTCTTCGCAGCCTTGCGATGAGTAGAACGGACGTGATGGGCGTCGAGGTCGATACCTATAGTGAGAATGCCGTCAGCCTTGAATCAGATATGCTCTATGCAATCGGTCTTCAGACACAATTGCTGCGCAGTATCAAGATCTCTACGTTGCGCATCATTCTTTCCACGTAGAAGACGGCATCGTAGAGACACAAGATATCCACTTGCATAGGAAGGCGCGGATGGGTAACCTACCCATTTTTGCGGTTGTCGTCGAGGGTCGTGTTGATCTGTTCGAGGAAATATCTAACGAATTTGAAAGAAAATCAATTGTGCTGAATAGAAATGCACGCTAGCCATAAATGGGAAGGCGGGAATCTAAGCGAAAGCTGGGGTGGTGAGTCCTTTCCGATACGAGACGAGTATCTCTTCCAATCCAGAAAATTACGAGAACAGCAAATTATTTCAGTCAAGCTATCAAGAGCTGGCCCCAAATTAAAGTTTCGATTTGACACCTCTTTGAGATTTGTATTTTGTGATTGCTTTGATATCCGATTTGAGGAACCATAAAAGCAAGATACGAATCGCTGCTCTCTTCATTTTACTGTCTGCGTCTGCTCTTTATCCTGGTACATTACCAGCAGATGCAGTCAGTATTCGATAATTGCACACTTCTTTGCAGTCGTAAATACAACCAAAACTGCTGCATAGCTAAATGCTCATTCACAAACCCCAGCCAAGTCAGCTTTGTACTTCTCGAATTTTCGTTTCCACTCCTGGGCGCGTTCTGTATCCGCCTTTCCATTTTCGATCTTTCTAAAGAGTGAATAAATTAAAACTTAATTTCGGCGAAAACTATTTATTTAAAGAATGAATAAATCAAAACTCAACTTCGGCGAAAACCGTCTTTCTAAAGAGTGAATAAATCAAAACCCAACTTCAGCGAAAACCGTCTGTCCAAAGAGTGAATCAAAACCCAACTTCGGCGAAAATCGTCTTTCTAAAGAGTGAATAAATCAAAACCCAACTTCGGCGAAAACCAGAAACTAGCGGACTTGGAGGCCGTCTATAAAAACCCTCACCGCCTTCCTCCCTCGAACCAACAACCAACATCGTCCCATCAGCACAGCTTCATACTGGGCCTGGCTCCGTGACTCCGTGGCGCCTGGCTCCTCCTTAGCTTGAAGGATGATTTCATGTCTGATTTATCCGGCTGTTCGGATTGGTTTGCTGTTGTCGCAACTATTCAACGTCGACGACAGCTAAGTAGTTGGCAATAGATATATTGTCGATAGCAGGGATTTCTTTCTTTGAATTTCTTAGCTGCAAACTTAAATTCACCAATGATGGAATAATTAGTATTTTCATGATTCTTAGCATCTCGATGAATTTAATTTCAATATGGAGTCCAGTACTAGGAGCAAGGGAGTCATCCTCTCGGAATATAGCATCATGCCAAAGCACAGAGAGTCGTTCTTCGATTCTCAGAGCATACGAGACGCTTCATGGCTCCCACATGACCATCGCGAAACAGCTTCTACTTTGAATCAAAGTTTAGAAGATCTTGCAACAATTGAGCGCCAAACAACGACACTAGAGACTTTATAAAGATACTAAAATGCAGTGGGCTTTCAGGATCCGTCATGCTACTAAGCGACAGAATTTTTTGGAGGTAGCTATCAGTTCAATGTTTACAAAGAATCCATGGCAGGCTTGGACATCGTGTCTTACTTCACAACTGAAGAAGTAGCAATGAAACAGCTCAAATTGATCTTGGATCTGAAAGTACAACTGTGCCATACTGTAAGAATCGGGATATAAGATACCATTGTTCTGGAGTTTATAGGACAATATGAATGGGTTAAGTCTTTGGTGTGAAACATCTTTGTAATATCACACTTGAGACCTTAAGCTACCATCGCTTCTCTGTTATTAAAGAATATGGCAGGTCACTTGTGTGGCAAACATCTCCGTAGCTTGTTGTGTAACAAGTTCTTGGAGTTGTTCCTCCACCATAGTACGTACAAAATCTTGCATTTGTGGAGAATCTCCCAACATGATCGATAAACCAGGCGCTGTCATCACATCAAAGGAAGAGGCAATGGAAGACGCCAAAGACGCAGCCGGAGACACAATTGTTGGTCTCTCAAGCGCACGTTGTATCATGCTTAGGGTGGATTTCCTCTTCCCCTTGGTAGGTTCTTGCTAGGCTCCTCGGAAATCGCAACTCGCTTTTTGCTCTGGCGATGTGGTGCAACTGTGATTTTGACTGTTTCAGCTTTTTGCAGTGGCACTATACTTTGCTGCAAATACGCCGAAGTCCACGTGGCTTCGGATTCTGGATGCAATGCTCTGCCGAAGGTGTTTGAAAATTGTGGTAGAGGATCGAGGAAACCAATCGTACTAGGCAATTGCTCAAGAATCGATGAAGATGGGAACGTCCATATAATCGGAGCAATTGAAAGCATGACCATAAGGGCTGGGATCGTCCGGTACTCGTCGTCCTTTGCGGAGCGATGGATGTTGTTCAACATGCAAGCCATACTCTCGCATATTGAGGCACTCAGTCAGAGACTTGCTTTGCGGGCCAAATTATCTCATCACGAATTCCTTGAGGCCTACTTCCCTCATAGGACCTGCAAGCTCGCGCCTAATCTCTATGCCCACAGCGATTCTCGAGATATGATAAGGAATGGAGGTAATGCTCGATTTCGGCATAGGATTCAGGAGTGCTGGCTCGAGATTCTGATAATCCGCGAAAAGCATAAAGAAAGACTCTTCGATGACTTGGAAGTAAGAAATATCTCGTCTGACTTTGATACTGTAGAGTGAAGCAACGAGGGTCTTCGTCATTATACGATGTAGGGTAATGCCAGAACTGGTTGGCTAGGTGGCCTTGGAGGCAAAAGCCGATAAACCATGAAACATCCTGGAACCTAGATGCCTGGGAGCAAATCACGTACGAAGTTGGTGTTCATATTGACGTGTGGCAAGACGTCTTTGAGTTTGCAACGTGTTGTCCACAACTCCCACAGGTTTAGCATGTCGCCCAAGGTAGCACTTTCAAAACCATTGCGGGAGGTTGGAGCAGGCACATTGTCTCCAGTCGATAAGAGAAGAGCAAGATCGATGAAAATATTCTCGGGATCGATGAAGTTATTTTGAGGATGATCCCTCGATGAACGAAGCGTTGAAGCTTCCGCCAGGATGCCCTAAAGGATGCTCTAGAGCTGTCGAAGAGCGATGCTATAGAATTGTCGAAGTGAACGTGTATCGTTGGAAGAGTGTGCGTCGTTGAAAATATGCGCTCCACCACTGTCGAGGACCTCGAGGAGATGTGCTCTAGCATGGTTGGAGGGAGACTCAGCTGAGGAGAGGTGCTCCAGACTTCTTCAAGAGAGGCGCTTTAGCGTTCTTATTTTTCATGGACTCGAGTATGCTTGGTGTGGGAGAGGAGAGGGAGGATTGACGAGGTTGTGGGAGAATGTTACACTGCAGCAGGGACCGAGTGCTTCACTACAACGGAATGCTCGACTGACCAGGTTGTAGGAGTGTATGTATCGGGAAAAGGGCATATGGATTTTGGGGTGCCCAAGATCTGGTCAGGAAGGTGTTGATCAGGGAAGTTAGGGTTGTCAGGATTGACAAGGTATGATCTTGAGAGGTTGTGGAGAAGATGAAGAAGTATTTAGAAGAGAAGATGGGTTGTAAGAGAAAGAGGGAGGACCTCGAACTAAAGGAAAATGCGGCGATGGCGGCTCCTCGGGTTCCTTCTCCATTGTGAGGAATTAAGGTGATGTGCTTGTCCGAAGAAGGAGCTCCCTACTGACGACGTGTATTTGAATAATCATACTGCATTCAAGTATCCCAGATACAGAAATAACATCCATGAGTCGAAATCGCAAAACTATCAAATCGGAACTGCTCAAGAAACATATGAGGTCAAGACAGTAAAACAAAAGAGCACGATGCATGTCTTGTTTGCTTCTTCGGTTGGATATCAAGTCAATCGAAAAATATATAGTATTCAACAACTACGGTAATCTAATCGAGACTTCAATTCTAGACCAATGTAACTGCGCTTTTCTAGAACACAAAAATCACTTTATGCAACAAGACAACTATTAGCTCTTGACTATGTCCTGTATGAAAGGTATAACAATTCGAGCGCTTGCTCCTCGTGATTGCGACCATGCTATTGGAGCACCAGAAGCTGATGTTTCAGCCCCAACAATGTGACTACTGTATTGTTGGCGACTTGCTTAAGACCATTGGCCTCAAGAAAGCTGAAGCTGTGCCATGATCGCATCTTGTGTCACCAACAAGTTGTGACTCTGGTCACACGGAGACGTTGCTTGTTCCCATGGGCGATGGGACATCGGGAGTACCGACATCAAGGTTTCCCCCAGAAGCTGCAGGTTTGAGTTTCTTGCCATGTGATTTTGATTGCGCGATAGATATGGATTGCAGGGTAGGTATTTTGGGAAGCACAAATGCGATTCATGTTTTCAATATTTTAACTCACAAACTTATAATACTCACATTCCTATCTCAGCCAACACGAGAAACTATTTATGTGAAAAAAAGCAAAAGAAGGAAAAGAAAACATCCCTTGTGCCGGCGATTTCCCCAGATGCAACAGGAGCGGCAAAGGGCAATCCCGCCTTGCTGATTCGTCCCTAGTAGGCCTCCTTCAGCTCGCAGCTCGCTTCGTATGATCATCGTGAATCTCAAATTTCAACCCGAGCTTCAGTGCCGCTGCACATCAAAGCAAAGAGACATCGAGACCCTCCGCACCGATAACCTACCTACCTACGAACCTCCTCATTATCTCTATACCTGCATTGCTCCGACCTGTGCCTCGATCTCCCTTGAATGGACCCTAAATTGATACCTCCAAGACCGTTTCTTCATTCTTTCGTCGGAACTTTTCGCTTTCGGTGTCCCGAACTAGCTTGAGCCTCCAGATTGCGACAATCATACCTAGACATCCAAGACCTTCGTCGTGCCACTGCAGCATCGCCTACAATTGGGATACCCGGCTATCTATTCCTAGTCTGCCGATGATACCAGGACGCTGAAAATTGGTGCAATTCATCTGTGTGAACGCGCGAGAGGGTGCTGCTCGCTCGCATGCGCTCAGGTCTGCACACGCGTTGAGCTTCCAGCCTCGGGTTAAAGCTCTCAATTCTGGTCGGAAATGTCTGCCGTGAGTATACCTCTGTCTCCTGCTGCTTGTGATGGTCTGGCTGACGAGTAGGAGGGACAGTCTGGGGGAGATGTCCTCAAACCCAAGTATGGACCGAAAGTTTACCAGCTCAGGGAGCTGGTTGCTCAACCGGTGGTGGCAGCTTTCTGTGCTGGAGGTGTAGCAGGAGCTGTATCGAGGACAGTTGTGTCGCCACTTGAACGCCTTAAGATTCTCTTCCAGATACAAAGTGCTGGCCGGGAGGAGTATAAGATGTCTGTGGGGAAGGGCCTCATGAAGATGTGGAAGGATGAGGGATGGAGAGGCTTCATGAGAGGGAATGGCACAAATTGTGTTCGGATTGTCCCTTATTCTGCCGTTCAATTTGGTAGCTATAATCTCTACAAGAAGGTGGGTCGCGTTCGACAGTTTTCACACAACAATTGAACATGGCAATGAGATGTGAATGTCTGCTAATGGAAATATATAGTTTTTCGAAACTTCCCCAGGCCAAGACCTCGGTTCTCTTCGACGACTAATTTGTGGAGGAGCTGCGGGAATCACCTCTGTCTTTTTCACATACCCTCTAGATATTGTCCGGACACGTCTCTCCATACAATCTGCCTCTTTCGCGGCCCTAAGCCAACAACAAAGATCGGAACTTCCTGGCATGTGGAAAACTATGGTCATCATGTACACCACAGAAGGCGGGGTATTTGCTTTGTATAGAGGCATCATTCCGACAGTGGCTGGTGTTGCACCATACGTATGAGTTCCAACCTTCAAGCAGAGACTTTGACTCACAATTACTAGGTCGGTCTGAATTTCATGACATACGAGATTGTACGGAAATATCTTACACCGGAAGGCGACAAGAATCCAAGCGCAGTCCGGAAACTTGCTGCAGGTGCCATCTCAGGAGCTGTAGCTCAAACATGCACATATCCTTTGTAAGTCTTGGCACAATCCCGGCAAATCAAATGTCTAATTTATCCTAGTGATGTACTTCGCCGTCGCTTCCAAATCAACACCATGTCCGGCATGGGCTACCAGTACAAAGGGATTTTTGACGCCATCAGAGTGATCGTTTCCCAAGAAGGGATCAGGGGCATGTACAAAGGCATCGTACCAAATCTTCTGAAAGTTGCACCAAGCATGGCTAGCAGCTGGTTGAGTTTTGAGATGACCAGAGACTTCTTGCTCACACTTAGACCGGAACCCGAAAATCTCTGATTCCACTGGTATCATGAAACCGACGGGGAAGGGCAGGAATGGCACCTGCTTTGTGCATTATACCCTGGCTCCGTGCTTGCTGAAGGCGTTGAGAAGGGGAAGGGAGGCTTTGCGGATAAGCAGAAAGCTTTGTATATGAAGGCATGACATGGTTTCACCTGGATAGGCATTGGGAGCGGGCGCATGTAGGCTTGTAGAAAGGCTAGATCTTTCTTTGCACTGTACTTGACAGTCATTCAAAAAGGGGTATCATAGATGATGGTTGTGGGCTACTCATCAGGCAAGAGAGCAGAATTTGGATCGAGCAAATGTAACACTTGAATGCATATTTGTATAATATCTATCCTGAGTGTAGTGAGAATTTTCATAGAATGAAACTTTGAAGCTGAAAGGCACTGGCAATTTGCAAGGTAGCACAACGTTAGGTGTTGAAATTTTCGAAATAAGATATATTTAGCATTTGTTTCCCTAACATATATTCCAACATGCATGCCCGTTGAAAGAGTTTATGTTTCCTTCATTTTTAAACTTTCATATTCAAGACCCCTATGCGAGCGACGTCACTAGCAGCAGAAGGGAAGTGTGCTTTCTTAATTGGGCTTAGCTTGGCAGGCAGCCTTTAGCTCCCAGCTTTGCCATCGTGAATCCAAAAACTTCAAACCACAACTTGTTCTCAATCCACCTTCAGAACCAGATACTGTGCAGCCATCTCTTAGCGCGCATATTTGATAACTCCTTCTGACTTTGTATCAAATACAACAAGTTTTCCGCAACCACAAACACAATGTCTCGCGGCGGTGGTACCACCCTCTACGTGACCGTAAGTCAATCCCAGCTCAAGCTTCGATTTACTCTCCATCACATGGCGCATATACAAGAACTGTACTGACTTGCTCCGATATAGGGTTTCGGCCCAGGCACTCGAGCCCGCGACCTAGCTTACGAGTTCGAACGGTATGTCAGCTACACGTCGATATTTCGATGATCACCTTCGAGTGCGATGTCTACCTCTCCCCCCATATACCCTCGATACCTCGCCATTATCTATACACCATCTCCTATACGCGCATTATACATCCTCCTCTTCCATTCCCCATCGATCGAGCGGTCGCACAATGAACCGGTCATTGTCTTCAATATCTTCATAGCCTACAAGCTGTCCGAATCGCGGCGGATCGAACTTCTTGCAATCCGTTTACATCTGCTTGCTCCTGCTATCCTTACCCTCGAACTTGAAAGTTTGAAACTAATGGGATACCTTATAGCTATGGTCGTCTTGTCCGTTGTGACATTCCTGCTCCCCGCACTGCGGCTAGTCGTCTGTGAGTTGACGCCGATTGCCCTTTGCAGTATTCTCTAATGTCGTTGACACCTGTAGTAGGTTTGCCTTCGTCGAGTATGAGAGTCGTCGTGATGCCGATGATGCCTACCATGAGATGCACAACAAGAGAGTTGGTCGTTATGACGAAATCTTGAAGATCGAGGTATACTATCCTATTCCTCTCCTAAGATGTTTGAAACTAACTCTTTCGTAGTGGGCCCGTACTCCTCCATCTGCTTCATGGCGTTTCGACGATGGTCGTGACAATCCTCGTGCTCGTCCAGGTGGTGATAGTGGTCGTCGTCGTTCGCCTCGCCGTCGTTCCGTCTCTCCTCGACGTGACCGTGGCCGAGGGGACTACAGCCCGCGAAAGGATGACCGTCGAGACCGTGACCGTGATTACGATCGTCGTGACCGTGGCGACCGTTCCCGCAGCCCGGACGACAGGTTAGTTGAATCGATTCATACGCTTTTCAAGTATTTACTAATCCATTTCACAGAGATCGTGATGTTAAGGAAGAACGTGATGAACCCCGCGAGAACGGCACCAACGGAGAAGATCGCAAAGGTGATTTACAACTTCAAATCAGAACCAAGAACTAAACTCGCTGATACCCCCAAGTGTCTATGGATTCCCCTCCACCTAGAGATCATGATGAGCTTGATACAGCTGAATAGAGGAAAGGAAAGCAGTGGAAGTCGGCTGAGTACAACCAGGGAACTCATCCACCTCCTCGTCCTTGTTCCCTTCTCAATCCGGCGTATGGAGGGCGGATCCTACGCAAAAAGTCGTTCACGTTTCTACTGGGGTTGCCTGCTGATATTCTCTTCTCCTTTTCGTTCTTGCGTTGGCCTGATTTCACTATGTGTTTCTAGATTCGTACCTACAGGCGTCGGGCCTCAATTTCGGTTTTCGATTCGATGCGATCGATGCGATTCGGTACGACGGACGAGCGAGCAGCAACGACGGCCGCGGCGGTTTTTCTGAACTTCGAGACACCCTTCGGTAATCGGGCGGTCAGTAATAGTTTAGGTAGTTAGCATACAAACTCGCAAACGAAATTGAGAACCTTTGATATGCATGTGTGGTTTTGGTGCATGTGATTGGTGATGGGTACCTACCTTAGGTAGTTTTCAAGTTGCTGTGAGATTTCACTAACAATAGGCATGATTTGAAAGTGTAAGTGGTTGAAATGAGTGGTATTGACACACTTCACGAGTGGTGTCTATTCTCATCTACAGTATCATCTAACACATTTACAAAAGCTCGTCCGCTTGATCTCATTCCAATCCTCACTAATAAACTCCATACCACGCACCCATCCATGCAAGTGCCCTCGATCCCAAAGCAAGAAAACGCCAATCACAAATCTATTCTGCTCCTATCGTGGTGTATACGAAGAATTAAGTTTCGGTTTAGGACCTCCATTAGATCTGAGATTCGGAATAGGACCACTATCTGATTTTGAGTGTGCGCGGGTCGTTACCCGGTGGCGGGATAGGAGCTGTGACATGATGAAGTGGGAGACGTCTTCGTCGGCCCAGTAGGAGAGGTGGGATGCAATTGTGCTTTTTGGTTGTTAGATTTTCTTGTTTCCTCGGGGAAAGGGGGAGGGGAAAGGCTTACTTGATAGGATTGAAATCCAACACAGATCTTTAGTTTGTTGTTAGTTAGGGTTAGGTAGAGGGGATAAAGGAACATACTCCTGAATAGCATAATCCACCCTCCCATTCCCATTCAGCGCTCTAACCTTCGCCTCCTCTCTTCTTAATTTCTTGCCCCTTTCTTCCGCTTCTCCCCACTCTAATTCCTTCTCTTCGCCTGCATCGCTGTTCCTCCGTTTCTGGAACCCAGCGTACAGGGTCTCGATCTCGTCGTCGATTAGTGTCGGTGCGCTGCTCTTGCCGTCACGATCAGCAGCCGCGGTATTCTCTGCTAACTTGTTCTTTTTCTCGTTGGTGTTTTCACGTTGCAAGGCGGGTATCGAGGGGTCGTGCGGGATGACACCACCACTTATGTTGGTTCCTGCGCCTACGGAGAGGGAAGATTGGCGGTTGGGGGTCGGGGCGGATTCCATGCGTGCTACGTCGTCGCTGGTTAGGCCGAGACTGCGGTTTAGGATACTGCTTGCTATTCCGGAGCTCAGACTGGACCAGAGGCCACTGACGCTTTGGCCGATGGTGGCGCCTATGCCGGAGACGCTGGCGGAAATGGTCTTCTTAGTATAGGGGAGGGCTTGGGGTTTCATTGTTGACATTGCGGGGGAGATGAGGGGTTCGAGACGGTAGGCAATAGGGTCTGAAGGGTGGAATATGTTGTAGAGCTGGGCGGTTTTAGGTGATGAGATGGTTAGAGGGAGGCCGGTGATGCTTGAAATGTGGTCACCTGAGGCAAAGCTTGAGGAGGAGGCAGCGAGGAAGGGATCTTGCATGTAGTCTGGGTCCATGGGGGATTCGGCTGGGAGGGCATCTTCTCTGTAATGGCGTGCGAGAATGTTTCTTCCCTTGAGCATCTGGAAGAGACCTAGGACTATTAGCCATGAACTTCTCGACATGACGAATTTTGAAATACTTACCAATTGGAGATCCGAGGCAGTAAAAGTCCTCTACCTCAAAATCAAATTCGAGGCTTTTGACTTGATGCTTGCTTGGTGTCGGTTGTCGCTGTTTGTAGTATTTTTGATGGGCAGGTGAAGCATGTATCTTAGGCTTCTCTTTTTGTCGGCAAAGAATGTCGAACAGAATTGCAGATCCAAGAGAGTGGCCAACCATGCTGACTTTGCCCTTGAAATCTGGATTTCGCTCGCAGAAGAGATTGAAGATACGATTAGCTTCTTCGAGAACAATAGTGCTGATGTGTTCGCGGTATGCACTTTGGTATAGAAGAATGTCTAAAGCTGTCAAGGGTGTTAGCAGGTCTCAATAAAACTAAGACTCGACTTACCTAGATCAGTGATGAGAGAGCGTACAAACGGTACTCCCTCAACAGTGATATCCTCCAAACTTGGATACTCTTCTTCATCACCAAAAGCATCGCCTATATCATGCTCTCTTCGGCTTTGTCGGACACTCTTCTTCGGAAAATCAAGTAGATGTCTCCAGCAAACGGGCAAGACTTGTACGCGACAATTCTTGGGTAACTTGTCGATCTCCGAGTTCAAGGCTTGAAGATCTGCACTGCTTCCATACACGCTTTTCAGTGTCTTTCGAAGCACATTTACATCATGTATGAAATTGACGGATTCGGTTCTGTCCATCTTGTTAGCACATGATATGAGGAAAGAAAGGAGTGGACTCACCTCATGCCCAAACGTTGTCCAATACCATGAGTGACAAGAATCAAATGCTCGATTTCTCGTCCTTGATCCTCGCCATCACGGTCATTGTAATCGTTCTGAATCTCTTTTTCATCTCGTTTCCTTACAGCTTCCGCTTCCATCTCTTCATCTATTTCTCCAGTCAATTGTCTTGCTGATCTTTGAAGAGCATCAACTTCGGGCCTGCTTGTGCTTGGTGGGGCTGATCTTCTCTTCAGAAGCTTCTGCTGCCTTTCGTCGAGCTGTAGAGCAGGAACGTCTGAGCCTTTGATTGCAGCACTCGTAGGAGTCGATGGCGGCTTGTCTGCAGGTGCATCCTTGGGCTTGCTACTCGAATCTGAATATCCTCTAACAAGCTTCACCCCTCCTAGATAGCCACCGCCTGCAAATTTCTGGTATACAGTACTACTGACTCGTGACATGATACTGTCAGCAGAGAGCCAGGCTATAGTAGCATCTTGATATGTCACAACAGAATTCATGTATGTGCCAAACAGACGATAAGTTTGCGGCTGATGAGGGCTGGGGACTGGACCATCTTTGAAGTCCTCACTAGACTGCTGACTGGCAGCTCTTAAGTTCTCAACAGACGCTTTTGGTGTCAATTCTCCAGATCCAGCACGTTGACGACCAAAAGCTCCAGACAAAGCCAGAGAGCTGGGCGCCTCCCCTGGTTTCATTGATGTTGGCCTCGAGGTTGTCTTTTCCGGAGGCTTAGGGTATCTAAATGGCTTGATTTTCAGATATCCTTCCTCCAATTGTGCAGCCAGGTTCTCATCACAAGGTCGTAAAGACGACCCTTCTTGAAAGAACCAGGATCCTCGACGCACTTCGTAGATAGGACCTAACCAATAGACTGGACAAAGCTCTCGCTCCTCAATATCGACATCGAACAGAAAGTCCTCATGGACCGGCACTCGGACCTTTCCTCCAGCTTGCTCATCTAGTCCTGCTTCGTTCATGCTGGTGTTCGGCTTCTTGCCAGCACTCGACGCAGATTGGGCTCCACTGCCAATGTCACCGTCATCCTTCCGTCCTAGGTCCTTGCTTGGATCATCATATTCGTCTGCGAGCTTCTGGTATGCAGTTTCCACAGCACGGGAGTCATGGTCGGAGAAGGTTACAAACTTCTTCGGCGGAGGGGCAGGCTTGGTATCTTCTTGGTGGTTCTTGAGGAGCTTCGGTTTCCTTTTGGGTATCTAACTCCCATTGTCAGTTCTCGAAGGGACATTAAGCTTGGATAGAATATTCTGTACGCACATCCACAGCATAAAACCACCTAGCATTCAACGGCGGACAATCGGGTGGGTATCTCTTCGAACTCAATCCATGCCACCTCGGCGTGCTATGATCCCCTCCATGCTGATTCTTCAAGCCAGACCTCTCTCCCGGAGCAGCTGAACTCGCTGGTTTCGGCGTCGAAGACCGGGAACCTCCCCATGGCGAAATGGATTCCACCGCTGCAGTCAGGTAGGACTTCTCTACTTTCTCATTCTTGTTCGCAGACGTATTCTCGGGCGTGGAATCCATGTTACCGGCTCGGTCCAGCCGACCGGCCACGCCCTTACTGTTGATCCAGTCGAAAGCGCCAGTGGTCCTGAGCAGACCGTCAGGAATGTATTTGGGTACGTTCTTGGCGTGTTGGGCGAGGGATTTGATGTACCCAGCCAATTTGACGACTTGGGGTGCAATAAGATCTTAAGGTTTGGGAGTGGAGGTCTATGGGTGGAGACGAAGGGAGGTAAGGATGGGATTGGCAACGTGCCTGAAGAGTGTGGGGTCACGAATTCATGGTAGGACTTGTAAGGACTGTTGTGAAACGAAGAGAGGGTATCACGCTGGAGTCAAGATAAGGTCTGCTTTTGTGCCCATGTCCACATGCAAGATTCAAGGTTAAAAACAATGACGCTGCGGCCGCTTTGCAGGGGTCACATTGGTTCGAGCTTGATATCACGTGGAGGAGTTAAGCAAGTATCCATTATCCTCTCATTCCTTTCTTGAGTTCTAGCATAGCTATGAGGTAGGAATCTAAAGAGTCTTTGTATCAGCTGCTGGTGGATGTCCGTCCTGTTTGGCCCGACTTTGACAAATGATGTGCACAACATGAACGTTCAGGACAGCTACAGCAGCTCCAACTTGGCCAATTCTTTCTTGAAAAGGACATATAGACATGGTCTAAAGCAAGTTGACTTGTACTTTGGGCGTGTTATGCTTTATATCATCGGTACATGGTTCAGACTGTCTAGATGATGTGTGTGGCGAGTTTAATGTCTCAAAAGCCACCAAGTCAGACAGCCATATATCCGAAGAGGACATTGGGAAAAGGTGGCACTAGTTACATGTGCTAACGATTTGCACGATAATAGAAGATCTCAGAGAATAAGTGTCAAATATATTAGAACGTCCAAGACGAATGTGTATTAATTAGCAACGCGATTTGCCCTAGGTACAAGCATCCTAAGAGTTCAGTGATCACGCCCGCCAAGTACCAAGGCTAAGCTTTTGACCATTGACCATATTTTCCTGTTCCCTGCTTATTTGATGCCCCATACGCCAACGCCGAAGTTGCAATCATATTTCCATGCCCAAGAATAGCCACTTATCACTAGTAACATCGAGCGCATTGGCCCACTTATCGAAAGTGATTGCCTCGAATCCGACCCAGCGAAGGTTCTTCATGAAGGCTTTGCGATCAACCTCCGAAATAGAACGGTCCAAGCAGATGACTACTTGGGTAACTGCAAAGACCGTTTCAGCCAGCTCGATAAGTGCCATGAGACTGTGATATGTTAGCAATCAGAAATGGTCATAGAGTTCATACTTACCCTTGTTTCTGCTCTCTTCCAACGACCGAAGAATCAAAGAATGCGAATAGAGATTTCGTGTCTCCATTGCCTCCCACAAATCCTCGGAAACTGGATCCACTTGTATAGTCCCAGACTTCAATCCAAGCGTCAATTGGCTGACCCGACCATCTTGGAAAATAGTTGTTAAGCCCACTCACAACCTCGTCGGGAGGTGAATGTGCGTTCGCACCCATGCCGATTGAGCCATTACTCAATGTCTGTCCTTCTTCACCAAGGAAAACACCTTTTATGGTCTCGCAGAAGAGTCTCTCACACTCTTCCCGGATGTGGTACGCTGCCCCCTCTTTACGGCTTTTTCTCTTGCCATCGGTATCGCGCTTTCGGGTCGGGTTCTTGATGAGCGCAAGTTCGTTGGCCGAGGTCAGTGCCGCAAGAGGGGGGCTTGACGGTGGGGAGGGGATTCCCGAGGCGACCTCAGGGATACCACTTTGCCCCTGCTGGAAGTTAGTATTTGTCCATTGCGATTCGGAGAGTTTGGGGAGTACGTACCGCCGGCGCCGGTAGTGGAGTAGTGGAAGCCAGACAGAGACGCTGAACGGTCGACGCAGTATGCGGAGGCGAGAATGTTGGCTTGACGGCCTACACTCTCGCCCTTACGATTACTCGTACTATGACTTTGGTTTTTACTGGGAGCCATTTCGATGTATTTTTGCCACGATTGCGTCGGTGAAGTTCTTTGTGGGTGAGGGTGAAGGGATCGTCGGATCTGGTTGCTGTGATTGGAAGTGTGAGGCGGTCGATGGAGGTTCAGAAGGTTTGATTGAGACTTGAAAAGTGGTGGTGTGCAGTAGAGATCAGCGGTCAAGATGCGATGAAGATGTCTTTGTGAGAGTCAGTCGAGACTAAGAAAATGGACAGTGGAAGCCCCGCTTTGAAATTGCACCGTTTAATCAATCACGTGTATGTACCCAATTGGATGGCCCCACGTGGGAGACTAGTCCCAAATGGCATTACTTCACTACGTTTCTTTTTCATTTGATCGGATTGAATTTCCTGCATCATCCTCGCTGAATATTCATCGTCTGAACATCTCCTGACTCACGTACTAGCCGTGTCAGAAAAAGGTATACTCGAGTATTAGAGAAAATGTTTGACTGGTCGAGCACCAGCGGAACAGATACTCCTCACTCTTTGATTTGGGCACAATCGGAACACTTTGTTGTTTTCGAACATTCGAGCTGGTGCTGTCTCCGACATTTCGGATGATATACAGCGGCAGTACAGCCGTCCATATGCGACCCTGCTTGATAATCCTCAAATATCACATGGCACCTGATGATCGGTAAGCGCGGAGGTGAACGTTGATCAGCAGCAGCATCAGCCTTTCACACTTTGTTTCACCAAGAACCAAATCCACGGCAAGCGCCTTAATAAATCCGACTATTCCCATGAAGATGTTTGGGTTTCAAGACAGAAAATGGAATATAATATGAGAATACAATATATAATGATAATAAAAGACTTAGTCTTCAACCGGTACTCTTAGGCTCAAAATAATTATTGCAAGGATCGCTATCTTATCGTGGTAGTCTGCCGAATGTGGATGTCTTGGAGGGGAAAGCTGCATGCTGCAGATGATGCGAGGCTCGGAGAAGGAGGGGCCACACCGCACTGGACATGATGATCTTCATCGGACCACCACCACTACCTTCTCAATGTCCTACATATTGCGGCACATTTCCCAAGCCCAAGGCGTGCGTGCCTCAAATGCTCTCCCGCCGAAGAATAATAAATAATATGCGCAAAGTCGACGCCAGATGAGCGGAAGTGACTGTTAAAGTCAACTGCGTGATTATGGTATGAGACGAAATCACTCAGACAAAGTTCCCAACTACCCGCCGACCAACCCGGCACTGACATCTTCTGATCTCTGAGACTCCAAGATCCAAGCTGACTCTACTCTTCTTCCATAAAGATTTCTCTACCAAACGTTCCTATTCTCTCGGCGGCATACAATCAATATACCTCTCAGATGGCGCAAGAACCTCGACCTCCATTCGCCACTTATCTCATTCCCTCCTTCCATTTCTTTTTCCGCAGACGCTCACACGATCATGAATCGCAGAGGCAGAGACAGCAGTCTACTTCTAGCACCGTCTCCGACAATGTACCTTCGCTAAGCTATTCCCCCGTCTCTTCCGCCGCTACCTCACCAGCCTCCTCTCCTCCATCTCCCCATTTCGTTCTCCCACACATGACTACATACAAAGGCAAAGGCAAAGGGAAAGGGAAAGGCATACTCCACGAAGCCCTGCAAACCCTTCCAAGTCGACAGAAAGACACAATCAGCAAGCCAGATAAATCCCGAGTACACCGACTCCATCGCGCACAGCCAAATACTCTCCGATGCATCACCTGCGCTACGGACATTGCTCTTGCATCACAAATCGTCTCGAAAGGCTTCACAGGCCGTCATGGTCGCGCGTACCTAGTTTCGGCTCCCATTTCGCTTTCTCAGGCTTCATATCCACCTCCAATTCCTAATTCTACCAACAAAGACCATGAGTGGAAGCCGGATGAGCTTATCAATACTAAGACCGGAAGGAGGGTGAATAGAGAGTTGTTGACTGGTATGCATGTTGTGGCAGACGTTAGTTGCAATATTTGCGCTACCACGTTGGGCTGGAAATACGTGGATGCGAAGGAGCCAAGTCAGAAATATAAAGTTGGGAAATTCATTTTGGAGATGAAGAGGGTGGTGTTGAGAGTGGGATGGGAGGATGTGACGGATGATGAGATAGATGAGGATGATGGTGTGAGAGAGTATTTGGAAGAGGAGGGAGAAGGAGAGGAAGGTGGACCAGTGGTGTTTGATAGCGAGGATGAGGACGAGTGCGATGATCTCTTTGCTGGCGTGTGGGACGCAGAAGTGGTGAGGAAGAGGAGGGGAAGAAGAGTTGGAGGTTGGAAGAGAGATTATTGATTTTTATCTCAGGCCTAGGGTCAAGCATTTTCGAACGTCAATTTCTGCAAAGATGGGGACGGCGCAATGCTCACTCGACTTTGCGCAAATTGCGCAGAATGCGCGGTCAGCGCTGTATGCGCTATTCGCGCGTTTTGCGCTCTGGGCGGACATTCAACATAGGAAATTTCCTACAAGCCACAGGTTGGCTATCACGATCACGATCATGGTTTCGAGCTGGAGTTTTTGCTTTTCACATTCCACCAGTAATTAATGACCACAACAAGGGCTTGTCAATAATTAGAGGCGAGATTTTCCATATGGGAGGGTGGGTTTGCTTTTGGCATTTGCGTTGGGATCGGATCCAGTTTGGCATATTATACCCCCTCTTTCAGTTTAGTTGCATGAATGAATTCACATTCCCACTCCTATCTGCTTCTTTGAACATACATGACTTACCTAGCTAGTGAACAGAGATGTTGGGTGGAGGTATGGGACATTTTGAACGAAGCGAGGGGTAAAGGGGCGTCACGTGCAGGTTACATCCCCGACTCACACGTTCTGTTGAGATGAGAGTTTGGGTTGAAGATTCTGCTTTGATGATGTTGTAGTCTTTGTGTCTGGGTAGAAGGTGGATGTCTTCTTCTGTTCTGCATGTTGTGGGCATTCTCGTCGGTAAGTCAAGTACCGCATGAGCTGCTGACAGCAGAAGTTAACTTATAATCGATGAAATTAACCACCTTCTTATCAAACGTATGAAAGAATTCGTCCGTTCGCATATCTTCCCGTCGGATTGGATGCACCAAATGATATGTCCGTCCAGCGAGCAAGTATTTCCTGTTCGCTGGTCAGAATCGTCCGATTATGGGAGAGATTCCGCGCCTGAGGTTCTCTGGACAATGTATTTGTAGAGTTATTCAAGGGAGTGTTTGGGAGTTTAGAAAATAGAACAAATAGAGAATTTGGTTGAATTTAAATGAGGCGTGTGGCTAGGCTCACGCAGGCTCTCATAACAGTTTACACAACGGGTGATTCTTTGTGTGAGGAGATGGTTGGCTGGAGAAGGAATTCTTTAATAGGCATCAGGGCCGGATTCACACATGACATCTAGCAGACCAGTAACATGCCGGTGGCCCTGCTCTGTAGAATGGAGGGGGTTCTTCTATAGGTGTTAAACGTGCCATTCACGCACATGATCTACTAAAGGAGGAAGTTACGGTTGGTGTATCCTAGTCTTCTCTGTTCTGAAGATACGATATGTTAAGTTGAGAAATCGTGAATGGAGAAGAAAGAAATGCTTATTTGTGAGACAGGGAAGGGCTGTGGCACAAACAGTTCCTCTCCTCACCCATTTGCATCAGTTGCTCCAGTAGACTGCATGAAAGGACTATGAAGCTTGAGGACATGGTTCTGACCGTTTGATAGGGTATGAAATGGCAAGCTCGTGTTACCTGACGACTCAGCAGCCTCCAGTTGTCCAATCAATATCCCCGCCTCGAAACTGCCGCTTTGGTCACTACGCACAGCAACGCCTAGGGGCACAGACATGCCCACAAAGATCTGATTTCCGAAAACCATCTTCTACCTTCCATATTCCTCTTCCTCCTCACCATCTCAACAACTCTATCCATACCTCTTGCTCCATCATGACTTTTCATACCTATTCTCCTCCACACTTGATCCACAGTCTCAGGAGGTACGTCAACGATCCACTCTACTTCGAGGACGTGTTCGTCCTTTCCTTCCTGGTGGTTGCTGGCTTGGAGACTGTCTCGAGGTGAGAGTGCGCTGACCTTCGTTCTTGCTGCAAGTTGCCATCTTCAACCCTCTCGTCCTCACTTCGTTGTACTCCTTCTCTCTCCTCAAGCCTCCCTCGACCCTACACTTGATCAAGAACGAGGTCACACTCGCAACTGCGAGTACTATGTACCTTGCTGCCCCCGATCCAACACGGCCAAGGGATGCTGACAGCTCGCGTTGTAAGGAGATGGTAAGCTTCTACCCCCTCCTTCCCTTTGCCCTTCCCCTTCCCTCTCTTTCATCTCTTCCCTATATCTCGAGCGTGTCAGAGAGATCAACACCACTTCCAGATCTTGGAAGTCTAGGACAACGCGCAAGCAGAACTTGAAGCTTACTTGCTCGAAACAGGCAACCAAACCTCCTTGCTGCGCAGGCAAAGCCAACTCCTCAAGCTTGAAGATGATACCCTTGTCACCCTATCTCTTCATACCAAGCAACATCTACGCCCGACGCTGCACCAAGGTTGCCAAGAGTTGCTGGACCTGTACTCTAGGCTGTTCATCACAATAATAAGCTCAATACAGTCGGGCAGCTAAGCACCGACAACGCGCAATGAGCTGTTCCTTTGCAAGTAAGTCTTCGATCCAAGTGCGTGGAGACTCAGTAAATCCTTCTAACATTGCTCCAGCAGTTCCTTGAGAACAGACTGATTGTGCGCGGCTTGCCGTGAACAGTCCCGACACATTACCGCCGTTTCCAACACCCAGGGTCAGTCACCCTTGCTAACCCGCAACCCTACCCTATCGATCCTCTTGAGCTTTCGTGTTAATACCATCTCAAGATCCTCAACAATGTTCTGTTCCATTCGAGGCCGACCTCGGAAGGACGACGATAGGCTAGGTCTTGAAGGCAGAGTTGGAGGAACGTTTGTCGAGAAGAAGTACGTTGTCTTTATCTCATGCTACTTCGAGCCAGGGACTAATACGGGCTATCACTGGCGTTAAGGCTCCATTGGCTGTTCATCACAATAAGCTCAATGATATCACCCACCAAGAAAGGGTGACCATAGAGAATTCCCATTTCTCTGTGAATGGAGAGGTTGCAAGGCCGAGCTACACAACCTGGAAACTCTAAAGGTTTTGTGCCTGGGCGAAGTGTGGTATCAATCCTGAGGGAGAAATTGGTATCGTTTCAGAGGCACCGATGATGGAGAGTAGGGAAGGTTGAGGCATTTGTCAAGAAGAAGGTAATCTTGCTCTCATCATATTTCGAAACACGGCTAACACAGGCTATTGGAGACCTCGGGCTCCAGTGCGCTGTTCATCACAATAACTTCCACGATATCGCGTTTGCAGTTCCCCTCGCAACTGCGACAATCCGCAACCTTCACAACACCATGTCTTCTTACAATGGGTATGGATGGTCTCATGTTACTTTGAAGCATGGCTAATATAGTCTATTATAGGCCTGGGAGCTCTATAGGCTGTTCATCACAATAAGTTCCATGATAACTTCGTTTGTCGATATTTCTCGTCGTCTTTTTTTTTGCGATCCGCTTTTGTTTCTCACTACGTAGACGAGGTGTCTTCTTAGATAGTGTTGATTTGTTGTGAGACTCATTTACGACAAGAGATTTCTCCGAGATGAGTAATAAGTCGACACTATCCAAGAAGACACCTCGTGTACGTAGTGAGAAACAAAAAGCGGAGCGAAAAAAAAAGACGACGAGAAATATCGACAAGCGAAATTCAACGAGCTACTCACCAAAGCTCAAGAAGACGGTGAACTTCGCTTGCCGATATTTCTCGTCGTCTTTCTGTAAATACGGAACACCAGTCGATCGTGCGAAGTTAAACGCAGAAGTAGATGCAGAGGTGGGAATGTTGAAGGAAGATTCTTGTGTGGCTGGCGGCAATCGTGACACTTCAATAGCTGTCTATTAGAAAACAATGTAAATGCATCGAACGTAGCCGTTTCGGCGTGCACCATAATTGTGAGCTGTGACTTGAAATGTACTGATGTATAGCTGACTCTCCTAGACTTTAATGGGAGCCTAATCTGAATGGCCAAGTTTGGACAACTTGCTAGCCCTATGAAGCTGTGTACCAGCAGCGACGGTGGAGCGAGGGTTCCGAGCCTGCCCTGCAGTGCAGGCGACGAAGTAAAGATCAAATTTCCATGTATTTTCCCGTTGCCTAACGACAAAAGTTCCCCTCAAGCCGATGTCGACATTGGTCTCTTCCGGCCTCAAGGACGGTCTTGCATTCTACTACTTCGATCACAATGATGATCCTGAAAAGTACACCAACTTCGGAGCTCTTGGTACGTTGGCAGCTGTGCGCATCCTATCAAGCCTCCGAGAATCATGGCTGACTGGTTCTAGAGCCAGCGAGGGACCATCACAAAGACACCTGCGTGAAGCTCCAGTCGTCAATACCAATCCTGAAGGAGACAGCATATCAAAAAGTTGATGAGTCTCCGCTAAGTCGGAGTATCTACACTCGCAGTTTATTACCACTACGCCGAGTCGGCTGACATCCTCCTCGCCGACCTCAAGGCACAGCAATCGGCACATCCTTGGTACAGCCTCTGCAGCATCGTTCTGTTCTGCTACTTGTTCAGGAAAGTCCAGCAAAAGCTTCGGTACGCCCGAGTCATGAGGTTATGGCAAAGCGGATCGCAATAGCTAAGAGATCAGGGCATTGACATGCCCCAACTCGTCCAGCTCCCAGACCTCCAGTTGCGTACCCAACTCGGGCTGCACCCCCTCCTCCCCAGGGCAAAGACTCTGGCATTGATATGCCCCGCCAATCCGAGAACTTGCCGGCACTAGCCTATATCCCTCCACAACAAGATACAGCTGGTATGCTCCCAAAGGAGCATCGTTCCCGCTCTAACTCAAGAGCAAATGGTGTTTCTGGGCCGTACGGCAATACTCTCGTTCAAGTTTCTTCTCCACAAGCCGTGTATTAACAGCAAATTGTACAACAATAACAACAAGCACAAGCAATGCAGATCGGACGTTCTCCGAGCATGAATTTGAACGTTACTGACGGTGGTACTGATAAGATCAATATGATCATCAGTTACATTAGCCACAAGACTAAGTCAATCACGTTTTGGCATCTCCTCCATCAAAGACCAGTCTCAAGAAGTGGCGGGGAAAGTTCAGCAAATCGAGTATTTACTGCGGCCGCGACAAGAAGAAGTAAGTTAAAGAGACCCTACGCTATCTTTGCTAGCATTGACATTCGTACAGTATCGGGAGATCCTAGGTCATGTAAGTAGCGTTTGAAACCACTGTGGAGTCATTATCTTTTCCAGGGATAAGGAGAGAGAGTAAGAACAGGGAGAATTGTCGTTCGGTACGAGTGCGGACTGAAGAAGAGTATTTTGTAGAAATTAATGAAAGACTGTCAAGATAAAACATGCCTCCAGTATTCAGCTGGTGTCAGTAATGAATTCCAGTAAGATGGGAACCAAATCCAGCTCTGTACAGCACTTGTCTACATACTAGTGAATTCCTGCCATCTAAGCGTACCACCTCAAAGCTCATTCTAATCAAACTGGTAAGTTACTTACAGGCTGAAAAGGAGTTCCTATGTTGGGAATTCAGCCAAGCAAGACAGAGTCCACAATTTTCCGTAAATTTGAAATTTTAAGAATGGTATGCATAAGACATGAGAACTTTCTCGCAAAGGCTGGTCCAGGAAGGTGAGGATCACTGGATCTAGTATAGTGTTCGTTTGTGGCAACAGTCGTGAGATGGAAGTGCAGGGCTGAAAAGGCAATGGTGCTCTGCGCCCGAATTAGGCGTCATTGGCTTCATGCAGATGTCCTTGCTGCGTTTGCCTCGCCAGTGATATTTGGTGAGCGTGGTCTTGGGTCTGATCGAGTCATTTCTCAAGTCAGATTTGAGCGAGATTATGATTCTCATGATAGGGTGTTCAAAGCAGCATCGTGGCCGTAGTAAGACTTTGCAGAATTCGAAGCAGGGGCTGATCGAGTGTTAGTATAACAGGAGAGGATGATAAAAACGAAGAGCCTGGATATCAACAGACGAGGATAGCCTGAATAGAGAGAAGGATGAGGAATAGCAATCATTGGAAAACTACGTAGGGAGCGTACGTATGCAGAGGCTCGAGACGAATATTGAGCATTTTATCGTGTTCATTGTTGAGAGATGTATGGTCTCAAGTCGTGACCCTGGAATGGGACATTCTATGAAGAGTCATAGATCAGCGGCTTTGAATATACACATTGATTCATTAAAAGAAGCACCGAAACAATATCTTTGACTTACCGGATCCCCCCTGTTGAGTCCTTACATCGCTGGTGTAGCATTTCTATCAGACATTCACAACATTCCCTTGTCTATTGTCGCTTCGTGAATCATAAAGGGGGGACGCTAGACCAAATGCGTCTTCGGTTCGTTCGGTTCGCTGGTTCGTTGTTGCCTGGCCGTAGCGTGAAAGCCTGATTTATAAGCTAGTGAGTCGAACTCTTTCTTTGCCGCCGGCTGTCATCTGTCCACCTTTGATCCTACAACATCTTCGCAACGACAATTCATCGCGAAACTCAACAAACAACTTCGAATCATCAGGTCTGGCATCGGAAAGGTCACTTGGCGGACCCGAGCTCGTGTCTACTTGGTCCAGAAGTCGGGGAGGAACAAAAGTTGGTGTAGGAGTTCGGTTTTACGAGTCGTGGTGGAAAAGATTCACTGGCTTTGTCGTGGAGGAGACAATACCAAGAACGTCGCACAATATCAGCGCGCAAGCACAATAGCAGAACTTTCTGCAATCTTGTACATCATTTCCTTTTTTTCTTCACGCAGAACTTGTTCCTGTCACCAGAGCTATCTCCAGTGATTGCAATCAGATTTTGATTTCAAACTCGTTCCCCTTGAACGGAAAAAAAAGAAGAATCTTGATCTTGCGGTCGCACATACTCACTCACAAATATTTGTCCCCCTGTCCCTGATTCTCTCGATTGCTCATCCGTTTGCGTTCGTTTTCGAAGTGCACCGAATCATCGTCGCGACATCGCGATTAACAACATCTGCGAACGGCACATCAATCCATTCAGTCTCACCATCGACCAGACCTCATCATGTCGTCCTCCGTATTCTACAAGTTCAGGAACCAAAAGGAAACTTCTAGGATAGAGTTTGAGGGTACTGGTATCTCAGTCTTTGAGCTCAAGCGTGATATCATCATCAAGAGTGGATTAGGTGATGGAACTGATTTCGACCTTACAATCTCCACCGACGATAGCAATAGTGAAGGTAAGCATCATCTGCAGATTAACTCCTCGCAACCATACTAATGTATCACAGTCTACGATGATGATACCGCAATCATTCCCCGTTCCACGACTGTGGTCGCCCGTCGATTACCAAGCCAGAAGAAAGGCGCTGGACGAGCACAACGATATGTAAATGGCAAGATGCCAGCGAATGCCAAGAACAACTCTCGCAAAGAAGTCTCCAAGGCTGCAGCCAAGGCAACTGCTGCGACGGGTTTGGCACAGATGGACAATGCATCTATGACTGAAGAGGAGCGCTTGCAAGCTATGTTCCAGGCCCAGAACGAGCAGTGGAACGAGCAGTTGCATGAGATGAGCAAGTAAGTTGATTCACACTGTTTCTTTTGAATCTCGCTGACACCGACGCAGGCAAGCAAAAGTCCCTCACTCAGGCTTCCACAAGAAGTCATCTGGCGACGAGCCGCCCTCCTCCTATGTTTGTTATCGGTGTGGTCAGAAGGGCCATTGGATCAAGGAATGTCCTACAAACAATGACCCCAACTGGAATCCAGTTCGTCTGAAGCGTACCACTGGAATTCCAAGATCATTCTTGAAAACTGTAGAGAAGCCTGAGATACTCAATGGTGATGGTTCTGAAGATGCGAAGCTTCCTCCCGGAGTTATGGTCAATGCAGAAGGCCAATTTGTGATTGCAGAGCCAGATAAGGCATCATGGGAAAAATTTCAAGCAAAGACCAAGTCATCTGCTGCCGCTGCACAAGCTGCTGCTTTGGGTGATAAGGAGTTACAGGATAGGGGATTGGAGTGTTCCATCGACAACAGAATATTCATAGACCCAATGAAGACGCCGTGTTGTGAGAAGACGTATTGCAATGATTGCATTACTAATGCGCTCATTGATAGCGATTTTACTTGCCCTGGTTGTCAGACTGAAGGAGTACTAATTGATGATCTGAAGACTGATGACGAGACATCCGCCAAGATCACAGCTTATTTGGAGGAAAAGAATGCTGCCCTTAGAAAGGAGAAAGAAAGATCCAGGACTCCACCAAGTGTCAAGCCAGAAACCCCGACATCCACCGAGAAGGTCGAAAAGGCCAACTCACCATCTCCTGCACCAAAATCGCCAGCTCAAGTCAAGGAAGCCGCCAAGTCAGCCGCCAAATCCCCTTCGACTGCAGTATCAACTCCCAATCCAACGAAGTCGCCAGTAAAGGACGAAGCTAAACCACAACCAAAGAAGCGACCAGCTGAAGAGCTGCTCGAGAACCCCAAGATTCCCAAGGCTCCTAAGGCTATGCAACAGCAAGAAGCACAAAAGCAAGCTATGCTCCAGCAACAGCAAATGATGAACGGAATGGCAGGCTTCCCAAACATGCCTTTCATGCCCAATATGCCCAACATGCCAAATATGATGAACAACTTCAACCCCAACGGTGGTTTTGCAGGAATGCCAAACATGATGAACGGTTTTGGTATGGGTATGCCGAATCCAATGATAGGCATGAATCCTATGATGGGTATGAACAACTTCGGCGGTTTCCCAAACATGTATGGCGGTGCTGGATTCAATGGCATGGGGAACATGGGAATGATGAATGGAAATATGGGCGGGCAACACAATGCAAATGGAATCGCAAATGGAAATGGAAATCTTAATGGTGCTGGTGCGACGCAATTCCCAAATCAGCAGAAGACTGTGTTTGCAGAGCCGCTGCCGAATGAGGAGGATAATGCGTATTTCCGCAAGCCGGTCAATCCTCATCGCCATCAGGGTAGACAGAGACGTGTTAGGCCGAGTGATTATAGGGAGTTGTAAATGAGCAATGCGCTCTTCTTTCCCTTGTGAGGTCTCATTTGATCTCGATGCCTTGCCTCGGTCACGGTACATATTGGTTTTCAGAGACTCTACTCTATTTCTTTCATTCGACATTGGTTTTGCTTTTCGCATCAGGAGTTAGCATTGCAAGGCGTTTATGGATGGGTGGTGGCGGACTTGAATGATGGGTGGGAATAGTCTGCATTATGGGCGTGGGCTTTTGATCTTTTGCATCACAGTATGAGCTATTACGACTGGTCCAGTCATAGATGGTCATTGGCGTTGTGGGTGCAGGGCATGGATAGTAAATGGAAGCTGGAGGGACCGAGTGACTAGCTGCTCTTGCAGTGGAATCACTCGACTCTTCTGGGTGCGTTGCCTTTTGTACATAGCCATTGAGAAAAACCAATGCATACCAGTCTACCAAACAATTTCTTCAAATGTGTGATCTACTTCGTACTAGTGATAAGTATATGACCTTTTTACATATCCTCTTTCTTATTGATCTTCAGCTTGAAATGATGAACATGTCCCAGAGCCACTTGAAAGAATAAAGAGCGATCAAGATTGAGTGTGGATGAGGCTCTTCGGCTCAAGAAGGGTATTATTTTGCCGACCATCGGCCAACTCATGCAAGTCAGCCATCAGCAAGGAATAATTCTCTCTATCCAGAAACAAATTCCTACCCTGCACCTTCAACGGATACGACTCGTGAAAATTTGTTGAGATTCAAGTCGTGCGACGGTGATAGTGACATGGCGTTGTGGATGTGCCAAGTGGCGATGCATGGAGCCTCACTGATGCAGCCGGAGGTTACACCGCGTTGCATTTTGGTTCGGGTACAGGGCTCAGTTGCATATTGGTCTGTATACGATGGTGGATTTTTGATAGGGTGGGATTTTCGCTGGTGGAAGGATAAATGGGGATTGGGGAATGAGGGTGAAGGTTTCTTCGCTTGTTTGAGTTGAATACAAGAGAACGGTGTAACATCAAAGGAAGAACTGATCTCTGTTGCTGTGGACTGCTCTTCGAGGGGTGCTATGTAGAGATGCAAAGGTGTCATACGCAATGCTCAGTCACATGGCTTTTGTGGTGATTGATGATGTGCTAGGTTCTCTTGACGTGTGTATTCGAATGTATGTGAGGTGAATTATGTATGTACTCGACTGTGTATCCTTGACTTCAAACTTAATTTGTAGTAAACTTACAGCTTTGTCTCTCCATCCTTCACTTCCTTGATCCTGAAACCATGTCTTGGTGCGTGAACCCTCACTTCGGTCCCATCTTCCATCTTGCTCTTGATAACGATCTCTCTCCAATCTAACCCTACCAAAGTCCCTCTGTCTCTATGACTGAAGCCCGAATCCGTTGGCCAAACCTCCACCACCGTTCCTTTCTTATACCCACTTGGGTCATTCCCATCTGCACTGGCTTCCACTTCCGCAAACTCAGAACCCTTCACAATGCCCTTAACTTCAGGCCATTTCACCGTCTTAGGCTTCCCCATCTTTTCAGCAGCAGCCTTAGCAGCCCCATCAAACCTCTCAACCCAAGCAAAAGTCCTCGGAAACTGCGTCTTCGAAATCACATCCGGCGGCAACGCACCAGGTAAACCCCGCAACCAATGCAATAGCCACACAGCTTCAATATCCGTCAAACTCGGTTCCTTGGTCCCAGCAATCCACTCTCTCCCATCCGCCAAGAAATTGCGCTCGATATTCTCAAACGTGTTCCGCATCTCGACCAACGCATCCGCTCTCCCCTTCGCCACATTCTCCGGGGTCCACGAAAAGCCCGTGTATTCCTCTCTATCTTTCTGGAACTTGGGATCTTTGAGTAAGGGCATTTCAGCGGGAATTAAAGCTCCTGCGTTTCTGAATCCTCCGCCGTCTACGGCCCAGATTTCGAATAGTTTGCTGAGGCCTGGGTTCGAGGAGATGGAGGGGTGTTGGGGGGATGGTGGGAAGAGTTGCTCGAGTTTGGAGAGGATCAGGCGTGTGTCGTTGTAGATGTCTCGGCCGATGGACATGAGGGGGATGCGGCGGTAGTTGGTCCCCAGAGCTTTGATGTCGGGGCGGGGCATCATTACTGGTTGTAGCTTTGCTTGTTAGTTTTGGGTGGAATGAGGAAGCAGATGGGACGTACACATTGTGTATATGGAATTTGGCGGAAGGCAAGGTACCATGTTACACTGTCTATATCAGAGAGAGAAGATAGGAAGAGAGAGAATAGAGGTTACCGTTTCGCGTAGGGAGAAAATATGTAGTGGTACAGGACTATCTCGGGAACTTGGGATTCTGCCATAATTGTAGATAAACTACGTAGAGATATGCAATTACGATTGGAGATATGTACAATACAACAAAGAATTAAATCGTGAAGCTTCGAGTGAGGTTTTATTTATCTTTCCATTTCACCGGAGAGGAGCTACCCTCAAAGTTCTCCAAACATGACATCAAGCCTCGGCAACAGATCCACCCCTGCAGAATCTAGTTTTTAGAATAAATAATTCATAAAAATTAATAAATCTAAATCGTCAAAATATGCCAGAGGTTCCTCCTCTGCCTCCCTAGTAAAGCAATCATCTCTGGACAGAATCCCTCCGAGATCCACTAATTGGCTTGATGAATCTTCGCTATATCAGCGTCGGATGTTGGATGGTTACATTATCTCAATGTCGTAGTCCACCTCGTCCGGATCAAGACCCTCGTATGCTTCTCCGAAATTCAGACCAGGAATGAAAGCGTCGCCGACTAGCCGATATCTATCGCCGACGGGGCGAAGAATGTACAACCTTTCCGCGCCCTGGAGAGCTGCTATTGCGTCCCCTTCTTGTACTTCGTGCATGCCGTTACAGATAAGGTTCTGTTTGGTGACGCAGAACGAGCGTGCCCTTATCACTTGATGCCGATATACTTCAGCATTCGCTTCCTTCTCCTCAAGACTAAGTTCATCAAGAGCAGAGAGAACGTCAACGTTGATTGTGTTTTTGAGCAACCCAGCCAGCTCCTGGATGACTTTTACGCAATCCTCAGTTATATGGGTCGCAGAACAGATATCAGAAGCACGCGATATGACGGAGAGAAGGTAACGATAGAGTGACAGTAAATGAAACACAGTCTGTTCGATAGGTGAGCGTTTCTCATGGAGAGCGGGTGACCAAGCCGGGTCAAGTGCCATGATTGCTCGACAAAGAGAACAGGCGTTTTCAAGCGTGATCCCTAAGTGGAACAGTACATTCGACAGCCCTGATAGAACTTGCGTGACACTCCGTAAATAGCCAGCATCGAGTACGCCCACTTCAAATGATCGAGAGGTCTCTACGGGTGATGCAGACATGGCAATATAGTCAATGACTCGACCTTTGAGCACTACAACAGAGTAGTCGAGGATGAATCGAGGACGAATCTCCAGGGAAGAGTATGCATGCGGCGCTAGAACACCATAAGGCGCAATATCTGGTAGTGGAAGGGGAGGGATATTGATTGCCCACGAGGGGACTGTAATATCCGACGGGTTCGACCAGCGGGAGGCATAAGCTAGTAATTCAAGATCCTTCCAACGTTGTAAGACGCGCACGGAGAAGTCGAGATAAACACTGCTTGCTGTCCTATCGACGGAGTAGTCTGAAATAATACCCAGTTCTTTGGCATCGGACGAAATAGCTAGTAGGCCATAAATTCGGTCGCGGGGGTCGTGGCAAATGAGACCTTGATAGAATGCCATATTAGACAGAGTTGGCACGAAGAGTTCATCCGGTCCACCTGCTATTCGAGGTTTCAAAGTATTCAGCTTCTTCCGATTATACCATATCGAGTACAGCGAACAAGCAAAATATCCGGGGGCCAGATAAGACTGTGAGCCATATTCCTGGTTAAAACGAAGGTAATGAGCGTTTGGAAACAATTCCGAGAAAAAAAGCATTGCCATAACTGGAATAGTATCCCAGGGGAGTAGTAATGGTCCACGTAACATCGACGTCTCACTGTTGAGTAGTTGCTCCTGCACTATCCATAACCGCTCTGTCCACTTCCCGAATGCTAATTCGAACAATCGTCTCCAACCTTGAACGACATATGCGTCTTCGTCGGTCTTGCCGCGAAAGTTCATCCTCTCATCATCACTATATTGCAATTCCTTTGGTAGTTCCTTCACTGGAAATTCTGATTTTCTCCGATACACCTCGCTGAGACTACTATGTTTAAACAAGAATTCGTAGTTCTCTTCAAAATGTTCGTACAAGCGTGCCAGCAACTTCATCGCGGCTTTCTCTTCTTCGTCATCCCCAGATGGGCCGATATAAGTGATGACCCTTGCTGAATTCTTATAAATCGCTCCCATCATAGCCACTTGATGGTTCTTCTCGTCGCCTTCCTGATCAATACAGATCTGGTCAATCCAGAACACTTTGCTCTGCAACCCCTCGGCATCCCTCAAGTCTCCAAATGCATCTTTAAGGTTTGCCGTAAGGGGAATATAACCGATTCTCGAACCATCATCGCCGCGAACAATGGCTCGAAAGGGTTTTGCTGGGTTGCCCCATACGTAGGAGAGGGCTTGGTAGCCACCGTCAGAGACGTCGATCTGTTGGAGGCTACACTCGATGTGATCTTCGGTTGCGTGGAGGGTCAATATACGGATATTGTCTGATCCACGAAGTGGCTCGTATTGATATCGCGTAAGGGCGTTCAAAACTTCCTCAGTTGATTTGAAGTTGCTTTTGCTCTCCAGCCTCATCTTGGCAGAACGCTTCGTGTTCTCCTTGGTCGACAGAGAATGGCGCACGGCTGTCTAGATACACGATTGACTTGCTTTCACACAAGTTTTTATATATCAGCTAATGAAGACGAATTTAGCCTTTGAAGATGGTTTTGAAAAGGAAGTACGAGAACCCGAATGTAGTTGTGATGATGCGTTGCTCGTTGCCTCAAGCGATGCCGCCTTAGCAATGGTGGCTGAAAGCTTACACCAGCACGAGATCCAGACAATGTTTTAGAAACGGTCATTTTGCGAGTTGCCACCTTCAAATCAAATTTGGTAGATCTCTATCGATGTACCCGTTTGGGAATGACCTCGGGAGGTGTCATTTGTTTGGATCACGTGATCCGAGCATGAGCCTGCACCCCATTTGGTTAATCTCAGTGTTCAGATGCTCCTAGGCAGAAGAAGTTGGGGCTTTAAGTTACCCAACCTTATTGGCCGGTTAGGCTACAAGATCTCTGCACTGGAGTATCTGAACACTGAGATAACATTTGGTTCGCTAAGCCACAATCGTGACGAGAAGGATTTTGCAGCTCACGTACATTTTTGGAACCTTGAATGAAGATCAGCTCTCTACCCTCTGCTTCGAATCTCCAAGCAGTCTGCAGCTGGATGCCAATTCAAACTTCGAGCAATCAATTTGATATCCGAAATGTCCCACACTGATCATGTCATTTCCGAGCTCCAGAGCATGTCTCTTGACGAGATCGCAGCTGACAAGAATACGAAAGCTCCTTACATTGGCTCCATACTCCCCGCTGAAATTCGCCTCCAAATTTGGAGTTACTTATGCGTCGACTGGTACAGCAAAATACCCAACGTGATCAAGGCTCTTCGACCGTGAGATGCGACACTGCCTACATGGTTCAGATAAATCAGCTGACACCACAGAACCAGAGACAGAACTCTCTACCACGAAGCACTCTCAATCTTCTACAGAGAAAACACTTACATCTTCCACTGTCACAACGACTGGAGCTTCGGGGACATGACCTCACACGCAGTCCAAACCATCACTCGTGCAGAAATTCACATTGAGTGTGTCTTCCATCTACCCCTCTCTCTAACATCCACTGAGATAACCACAGACAGAAAATTATGACCACTGGTCTTTGGACTCTTGGCCACCCCGCTCCATCTGAAGATGGCTCCGGCTCCCATTCATCAGCAACACTCTCAGATGCAACCTCCCTCCACTGTCTAACCCTCAGATTCAGGCCCGACGACACATCTGAAGACTGCCCGCCCTTCATTCGTGTAAGCAGAATCTCTTATTCGCCGAACTACTTCCTCGTCACATTCCCGAACTTGATTCGTGTGGAGCTGGGCTGGGATCTGTCTGGACCGCGGAGTCAGCAGACGACTGATCAGATGCGAGAGAGGATAGGAGATGGAATCAAGCTGGTTAATTCTAGGATGGGTATTGAAGCTAAGTTAATGAGAGTGGTGGGTATGTATGATTATGATGAAGTGCGCCGGAATGACCTTAAGCTCTATTTTCTGTGGACCCAAGATACGTGGTTTTGGGTGGCCAGGGAGGGGGAATTTTTAGGAAGGAGGAAGAAGTCAGAGGATAGATGAAAGGATGTTGTAGTTGTATCTGCGGTGCATGAATTGGAGGTTCATTGAAGGGGTGACTAGTATGACGCTCCGGATATACCGCCCGAAGTTGATAGAACGAAATCTAATCACATGATCGCTTAAGGTAAGTTACCCCTTTTCAATCACCCACGTTTACGGGCGATCTGTTTGTATTTTTTAGACCGACCGTTCCAAGGGCCTAGAGTTGTTAGCCAGCATAAAACTTCAGCGCAGATTGAAATCATGAAGCGCTCAGTGCCTGGAATTTCCCGTGTCAGCTATTGATAAAATAGGATATACCTAGGTACTTGAGGCCCAGATCCTTGAACGTCTACAGCAGTCAGAAGAATGGTTACGGCAAGTCAATAATGGAGAATTCTCTCTGGGCCAGCCACCGAAGAATCTCCGTTGACGGGTTACGTTGCGCACCAGTTGTCCTTCTACGGAAGTTGAGATGTACGCTCAACGAATCATGAAAGCTGAGAAAAATCTTGCCTGAGGGTTGAAATTTCTACAAGTTACATCCTGATCAGTAAAAAGGTAGCAAATGTAAGATGATGATTTTCTGTTACCATGCATACACCCACCAGTTTTTTTATCCGATAAAACTTATTTGCGATTCATCGTGAAGTACGAGTACTGCATCTTTTGTACAATGATGAAAATGATCTCTCATGACGAAACGGAAAACCTCCTTTCCGGGATCGATATCACTTGAGACATTAATATTCCTTTCTGGAAAGCCTGCCACGCCGAAGAAAATCACCGGAAAGAGGCATCTTGATACTCCTGCAATTTGGCGACACGCGTCGAAAAGACTCGGAATCCATAATGAATGAGTGGCAAAAGTTCATTTCCTTCTTCCTACAGAATCATGCAGTCATGATGATGATGAGGATTATGTACAGGAAGTATTACACCGAATGCGACTGCAGTATGACATTACCTTTGGTTCTGCTATTACCATGCCACCATTATCAATGTGTCCCAGTAGTTCTGGACACTGGTACGGTACGTTTCGTGAAGCACGCGACCTGAAACGGCCTTTACGTTCTCGAACTTTGGATTGGTTGCAGCCATGAGGCACGATTTTCTCCTTTTTCCTGCAGCAGGACAAGCCGTGCCGATGCCGAGGTGACACGATGCAGTTCATCGTCACGTCAAACGTGACGAGAGCATACATATGTACGCTGGATTGTTTATGAGGCTGTCGAAGTGTCGATGCCTAAGTGTAACAAGACGCGATGCATGGGATGCCAGACCGTGCTTTTTACCTTGCGACTCGCAAAGTCGTAAACGATCAAAGTCGGAACAGATACCTAGGTTGAAGAGTTTTTCGTACACATTCGCTTCGGAGCAGGAGCTCTGACATGCCATCAGGGGAGTGAGCTCATAACAGCCAAAAGAATAAATCGCCGACTCCAGTCTTGGCCGGCATTGACGACGGCAGACACGGGAAGGAAGCTCGCATATACGATTTTCTTCTCAGAAATCAAGCATACAGACCTTTTCGAAGACGTTATTGTGACAGCCTACGCGTCGTATTTAGAGCCGAGAAAAAGAGGAGGAAAAGCCTCGTCCCGTCGGGATATTCTGAGGCGGGGATAAAAATATCTTCCCCTCAAAAAGCTGGGGTGCAGGAATCGTGCAGCATCCCCAAACCTTGCTCTCGCCTCCACCAAAAACACCAACAAAGTACTTGGTAAATTAAAGCACACGATAACAGCTTGTTTCGACCCCTGATCTCCATCCCGACTTGCCTCGTGGTGCAGCCGGCCGTCGGGAATGGAACTAAAGGGATCTCCTCCGAAGGATGAGAGGCAACCGCAGGCTGATGTATCTTTCCGACAGAAGTAGCAAATATCCGTGACATCCTGAGCTGTAGCCTGAGGAATCATTGACTCGGGAAGAAGAAGCTGGTTTTGCTTTGTCGCTCCGGGTTTGAAGTACGTACTTGGAGCTTCGCATTCATGGCTCCGAGCACAACGCCGACTGACTCTGCCATCTCACTGCTTTCGCTCGTTACCACAAGGGATGTATTCGTAAGTATCGATACATTATTAGTCAGAGGATGGCTTCCACACCAAGCAACTTCTGGGCCCTTCGAAGCGCTACGTTGCAGACGCTGTCCGGGGAGAGGCAGATCCCCGTTCAGGGAGCTCTCTTTTATCTCGGGAGTCGGGTTGGTGCCGCGGAAGGAAGGGCCCGTTCCTTCCAGACCATCGACCGAATATCAAGGACTCCACGAGTCAAGCGTTAAGACAAGCGGTCTCATACCTATCACGTTGTTGCTGGGTTTTGTTCTATGCAAACAAACGAGGTCCCTCCTGAAATGGAAACTTGGTCTTGGTCTTCTTTACGAGTAAGTCAGAAAGCGAGATTCCTGGACGAGTGCCAGAAGAGCTGCATGTCGACCAGGGTTTGACGTTACCAACCGGAAACCACAACGCAGGGACAGGTGTTTGATATCCAGTCAAGGCCGAGCAGAGACGGATAGCAAACGAAAATGCGATCTCTCATGAGATTCGATAGCTTGGGTTTGGGTCCGATACCGAGTAGCTCGGCCCTGCCTTGCTTGCTGTTGCTGTGTTGGCTTTTCGGGGCTTTGACAAGTCCAAGTCGCTCTCTCTGACCTCCACACCCCCACGACGATGGTAAGCCTCACCATCACCTCTTACTCCACCCTCCACCCTCCACCTTCCCTTCCCTTCCCTCCCCCACGCCTCAAACTAATCTTATCCCCAGCCCAGACTAAGACAGCTCTCGAAGCTCTGGAAGAGATGCCGTACTGTATCGCATCTCATCTCGACACTAGCTCAAACATGCCCCCCACGACGACGACGAGCTGTGAAGGAAGGGGGAGCGAATAAAGAAACACGGATCTAGCTGCCTAGAAACCAAGAATATCGACCGCATTACCTTCCTATTCGTGTTTTCCGGATTCCGCTTCATGTGTGTTCAGCAAATAGAAAGAAAATATTGACCAATTTCGATAATGCTCACTTTCTCACCCAGAGGCAGGCTCCCTCACCGCCTCTCCCAAAGCCTCATAACCTATCGTCTCAACACTGCAGCTGCAGGCTCTGCATCGCTGGAAATGTGAGCGATGCGATGGCCCTTCCAGCACACAGATTGGCAGGGCAGAGACCAACCAGCTTGTCAGGCTCTTCGGGTCGTTGCTGAATCGTGAGTCCAGTGCAGAGAAGGGAAGGTGAAGCTGGGTGGTCAGTGGCCAGTGGTCAGTGGTCAGTGGTCGTGGTGCGGTTGGGGGCGTTTCCAGGGGTGCGGATTCTCAGCCGGTAACCCCAGACCCGCTATTTTGCATGCGCACGCAAATGCGCTGCCCTGCAAAGGACAAAGCCGGCCATGCATGAGAGGTGTCCACTTCTTCTTCTAAGGCCCTTCCTGGTGCTTCCACTTCGACACTTCCACCCAAGCCACGCAGCTGGAGTCGGAGGAGACGAGACGAGACGAGACAGAACCAACCCCACGAAACACTTTGAAGCCTGCTTGTGGAATGTAGACTAAGCATAGCCAAGCATAGCCAAGCAGTGTCTACAGTGGCTCTACAATAACTACATATGTGATATTGAAAGTGCAAAGGAGAGGACAGATTGGACGCCGCAGTTCAGTAATAAACTGTCCGGTTGCATCTGAGTCGTTCGTAACAAGAACAGGCAGGACAGCAACGACATGTCAGTCTCAAATCTTGCCCTTCCGGGGCATTCGGAAGAGGGTTTGCAGCGAGATTACGAAGTACAGTGCATGCCTTCTTGGGTCCGGGGAGAACATGGGGGGGCCATGGGTGAGAGAGGAGACGCCCTGGCCCCCGTCGTCCCAGTCCCTGCCGATAGAATATGTTGGCGGTCCAGCCTGAGCCCAAGCCTAGCCTTTTGGCCCGGCATGGAACATTCTGAGCCTGGATACGGAATGGCGATGGATGGCTCGATGTCGGGGGACTGGGATGTGAGAGACAAGGCGGCTTGCCGGAGGGATGAGCTGTCTTACTTTTTTTTGTGGAGGATGGGGGATATCTGAGCCTGGTGAGTGGGATGTCCAATTTGCGGAAAGGCACTCAAGGGAGATAAATTCGGGCTGGGTCCCCCGTTTTGGGATCCCTTTTTCCCCCTTCCTTTCCTTTTCTCCCAAAGCTGGACTCTTGTCGACCTGAAATCTTAACTTCCTCTCATTTCAAACAGGGCTGAGCGTATCTTTGTTGTCCGTGTTACACTGCACAGATCCTAAGATATATTTATCATCGCCCGCTCCCACTTCCATCTTGCCAAAGAAAACATTTTGGAGTCGAAAATAATCCTCCCGAGACTATACATCCGTGAAGTCAATCTGACTGTTCGGTGAGCAAACTCTCAGCTCGTGTATGCAGTGTGCAACACAAACCCGCTTGTATATCATTCCACTAACTGCCGACTCAGCTCAGCATCACCAAAGCATTCCACGCCGCCCCGCCGCATTTCCAACATACGAAACCACAAACACTTTACCCTCACTCAAGAAGACCGTGCCTGATCAACTCTGCATCACCCCACAATACCGCAAAATGCCTTCACAAACCTCAACAACGCTCGCCTCGCCCATCCCTCGCCGCCGCTCACCACTGCTCACAAACTCAACTTTCGGAAGAGACGTATCTCTCTGCCTCTCAAATACACTGAACATGAAGGCCAAGAGCCCATACACCTTCATCCTCCGCGAAAACGAGAACGACTACTCGCCCCCAGCTCCACCACCACCTAGTCCCGTCAACTTCCCCATGGAGAGCTGGAGCACCGCTTGTTCTGTCCGAAGATAGACAGACAGACCTCCTGGACAAGATAATGGAGCGTGAAGGGAAGGACGGAGCAGAGCAGAGCATGTACGAGTACATTGTAAGAGGAGGAACTTCAAACCACCACGTGATGACGGCCAGCACACTTCCTCCGTCACTACCTAATCACTTCTTCTCCTCGAAGACCAACAAACGCTCGTTACACCTCTCCTCAACACTACTACAAGACCGACAGACAGAATGTAAACGTCCCGCTCACGCGCGCGCATGGGGTTCCTGGCGTTTAAAACGGTTGCATGGGTCTGCTTCATTTACTTATCATCTTTCTTCTTCTCCTTCCTCACTGTTCTCTCTCATGGACATGTGGAGGTTTTTGGGATACAGATTATCTATCTATCTATCTTTTGTACGTGTATTTCACGGATGGGCTGGGGTGGCATTAGGGATAGCGAGCGAAGGAGCGAGCGTGCATAGCTTTATTGTGTACATGTCTTTTTTTATCTATCTTAGGAAATTCAAGATTACTCAACAAACACATTTTCATCGAGCTGATCGATCTACCTGTGCCAAGTTCCCCTGAGATGGACGTCTCAACAAACCGTTGCGCGCTCATCCCTACACACAGTGCAAGGCCGACACCGGCATCCACATCCACGTAGAATAGGGTAGGGTAGGGTACCGGCACTGCAGCATCGTAGTATCGCGTGGAGCGCGGTTGGGCGTTCCGGTAAGGTTAGATCCACATTTATCTAAGTTTCGTGGGGAGAATCCCTGGGAAAGTATATGTACTGTGCTGTACTCCACATGAAGTTCCATCCACCGGAGCAGCATCCGACTTAGCTGACTAAGAGAGAGAGAGGGTTTGTTAGGGATGGGGTTGGGATGGTTTTGCTGGATGGGTCGATGGCTTTCAGAGGGTCGGATGGAGGAGGTGTGAAGGGCATGGGAGATGAATGGGGATGGGGATGGGAACGGGATGGAGATCATTCGGGCGGTTTCCGAGGGCCGGTCCAATTGAGGGCGGGAGATGGTATCCCTGGAGGGATATGCGTGCATAGTGAGGAGGTGCGGATATGTTGGTTTTACGGGTTGAGGTTGTTGGGTTTCCTTTCTTGATGAAGTGTTTGGGGAGTGGAAGTTTGCTACAGCAGTAGCTGTTGTATGGATGGTGGTGGTTGAAAGACGAGATATGCTGAGGGCTAGTCTTTCTTGTCTTTTGGAGCTCAGTGTTTTTTTGGATGATTTTGTTGTTTTGTACACACTATTCATAAAAGCTTGGGGTGGAAAATCCTATAAAGAGAGGCATCCTAAGTTGAGGTCTAGGATTGGTTGGTGGATGAGTTTCGAATATATCAGGACTCCCTTTCTATTCACTTACTGATGCAGAAATGCACGACGCAACGACAAGGAGGACAGTCTAAAGCTTTGAGTGGTGTGAAGCGAAGATCTTGAATTGCCACATCGTAGCTAGATTCAGGTTCCGGTGTCCAGATCCTGCAAGTTCTTATGATAGAAGTAGGTGGAATAGCAAGCCTTCGCAAATCTATAGTATGAGGACTGATGATGCCTCGATGCGGTATTATGAGATGAAACAGGAAGAGAAAGTAGCATCATTACCAGTCGTCGGTGTCCACCCTCATGTGGACGAAAGATACGCAATACAGTAAGGCTTCTCCTTCCTCTACTTCGCGGATTTATACGGTTGTTATCTACGATTCCAACTACAGTAGCCATTGTACTTCCTCTCAACAGAAATGCGTTCTGATGCAGAAGCGACTCCTTTTGACAATCATACTTAGGATATCAAACAACTCTGACTGATGATAATTGGCACACATACCGAACGACTTGCAGGACAGGGGCTGTCCCGATTCCGTACCGTCCAGAAATAGCATCAGATCCGCTAGCATACCCTCAAGTTACTATCAACGTGCTTCTCTGCTCTTTCTCACTTCCCTTTCTATCCGTTATCTATCATTGAGGCTTCCCCTTCGCTCTCAGCTTAGCACCATATTTCCACAAAACAAGCGGTGCCGGGATCCCTATCCCAATGAACATAAAAGCCAACAGACTATTCCCCCATCCATACCCCAAGCTCTGATACATCTTCGGCGCAAACAACGGGAACGCAAACCCAGCCAGACTGCGAAGCAACTGGCTCGCCGCGGTGGCACTCGCAACATGCTTGATGAAAGATTCCATCACATACGCCTGCATTGCTTGCGTCGAAACTATGATTCCGCAACTAAAAATTGCAATACCGATGTCGGGGAGAATCCAGAATGACCGTGCTTGTGCCGACCATCCATACCAGAATAACCCGATGGGGATGATGATTGCTCCTGGGAGCATCAACGGGACGCGGTATTCGGGTTGCGTCTCGCCTTCAGCGCGCGCTTTGAGGTGTTTCCAGACGCGGTCCATGACTCGAGCGCCCCCTACTGAAGCAACGATGCAGCCGATTGCTATGGAGAGGTAGTGGAGTCCCGAGACGGACACGGATTGATCGTAGCGGGTTATCCAGAGTGTGGCGAATGTGGACTGGACGATGTAGAGGATCCCGTAGTTGTAGGCGAGGAAGAAAGACATGAGCTGGATAAGGGGTTGTGTGAGAAGAAAACGACATGGACGTGCCAAGCTGATTGCGAGGAGGTGAGAAAGGGATTTGTTCTCTCGTTCCCACTCGGTATAGTATTCTCGGCCGGTCTCCTTGCGTAGCTTCTTGGCTTTGTGGTGGAGGATGGTTCCGGCTTATGTCTCGGGGAAGATGAAGAATGCGGAGAGCATGAGGACAGCGTCGAAGATTGAGAGGACCCAGAAGAGCCAACGCCATCCAATGGAACCAGTGAGTACTCCACCAAGGATGGGGCCAATTGCGGGACCAAAAAGAGGGAGGAAGGTAGCAATCGCAAATGAGTGTCCACGGTGTTCTGGCCTCCAGCAGTCGCTCAGAACCGGGGTGGAGACCTGGATTTATAGTCAGGATTTGTCTTTGTCTTTGTGATATCGATCACAAGGTTCTTGTACTTACGGCGTATTCAGCACTAGCTCCTAGACCAGCGAAAAATCGACCAACGATCATCACATTATTAGTCTTCGAGAACCCACAAACAGTATTCCACAGAATATATAAACAGCCCGATAAGATCCAGACCGGTTTCCTGCCAAAGACTTCCGTGCACGGGGCCAAGACCATTGGGCCAATGGCTTGACTGAGCACGAATATGGACAGCGTCAATTGCGTTGTTGCATCGTCAATGTGGAGGTCTTGCCCGATGTCAGGTAAAGCAGGTGCCATCATTGTGGACGACATCAAGGTGACCATGCCTCCGAACGAGGTCAGGAGTGTTACGGCCCATTTTGTTCTTTGAGGCCAGTTGAATGGGTTGAGCGGATCCTCTGGGCTATCCCGGGTAACCTTAAGGAAATGATCGTAGTTAGTAAAGAGATTTAGCAAGCGGGGGAGAGATGCTATCGTGGAGGGAGAAGGCCACTGACAAGGTAAGGATTTTGCGCTTTCGTTGGCATTTAGTCCTAGTTGTTGCTCCACCACGCCGACATCTTGCCACGAACTCTTCTCGTTGTCGGTTCTGGGAGGGATTGATGTGGAAGTCTTTTTCTCTATATCAACATTCGAGGATGAGAGTGGAATGACGGTGCTCGTGGAAGCCATGAATAACTCTTGGCGTACACAAGCCCGAGAGTGGATGTGCCGTGAGAGGTGGCAGAGTCCTCAGAATGTCTTTCAAAGAAGGAAGCTCGACGGAAGGAGCAAAGAGGAGGGAAGTAAGAATGAAAACAACAAAGTAGTTATGTACTTTATGTTACACAGGAATATAATTTTGTCCCTCGAAATTTATAGAAGTCAAGTAGCCCTTGTATTTTCCGAATTCTATAAGTCCGAGCTCCGTATTTCCGAATGCCGTATCCACACCCACTTTGCAGTGTAATCCCCAGATCATTGTGGCTCGAGGAGATATATACGGAGTCCAGGAGAAATTCTAAGAAGTATAGGGTAACGTGGAGGCATGAAGACTTCAAGGGGAAAGTATAATGTGGGACGATGAGAAGCACAAGATTATCCATAAAGAACACCCGCCGGTCGAAGTATCAGTATACAATTAGTCTATGTAAGAAAAGCTGGAGGATCACATAGCAAAGCATTGGATACAGATTCTTCGTGAATGGGTCAGGTCTATTGCATGATCCCAAAAGTATCCTTTTCTAGAGCGTGAACCGCACATCAAACATCCACACCAGAACACTTGAAAAGATTTCAAGGATCTCATGACGAATTAGCTGCGAACTACATAGCGTCGCTCTATACATGTCAATAGTACGTAAAAATGCTTGTATATGATCTTTTGATTCATGAACTATTTTAATTTGTCAAGTGACCCCTTTCCCCCTATTCCCTCTCGCTAAGCGTGAAGCAAATTTCATGCCAACTTCAAAGCGGGGGCTAGTCTCTATTTCACACATTGTTTTTTATGTCTTCACATGCATCATATCGAGTCCTGATTGTTTTCGAACGTTCTTTTATTCTTACTGTATCAAACTCAAAGGTCAAGCAATCAGGTAGTGCCAGTGTATCCATTCTAGTAGCCCGTACCCGACCTCACTCTCTGCTTAGCGAGTGAGGCTTTTGTCAGGCCAAAAAAACAAAACTCAGAGCCATCGACCGAGATCGATGGTTCTTCCAAACTAGCAGCCTGTGCTAGTTTTAGAGAGGCTATGAGTCCATCTGGAAATCTGTCAACTGAGCTAACAATATATTAGATAACCTTTGGTTTTCCGGACTACATGTCAAGGATTTGCTTGTTTAACTTTATATAGAGTTAGCGAGTTTAGGTCTGAAGTGGGCTTAGCGTGGTAAAGGTGCTATGCATACGTCATTTGGATATACTCTCAAAGATACACAGGATATTTTAGAATTGGGACTTTGGGTAGCACTGCATGGCTCTTGACCACTATTTTTTCGGCCACTCACCTCTACTTCCGTGATCACCAGTCTATCCATGGTTCAATCTGCCAGGATTGTACTAACTGTAACGTCGCCAAGGCCGTGATTGCTTGCTCGTCATTGGACAACTTTGCCGGGACCGTCGTAGCAGATGTCCGATCCCAGATGAACAACCTGCACGAACCCAATTTCCTGGATCCCCGAGTATGGAAAGCTCTGGAACGTGGTTCACAGCTGGCTCGACGACCGTGTTTAGTTCCACTGTCCCAGATGTGATAACCACACCAACAACTCATCAGCACTTCACCAAGCGGCTCGTCGACCGCAGTCAACTCTGGAAGGCTTCTGCCTGCCCACATACCTGCTTTTGCTGCTTCTTCCACTGCACGCGAGAGGATTTCCAGCATCCTCGTCTTTCGGTGCTGCCAGTTAGATGGAGTGTATATCTCATCCGGCGTCCACTGCACAGTGAGTTTCTGCAGGGCCTTTAAAGGCGTGAAGTCGATCTTAGTACCGAGCTGAGGGACTCGCGACGAGATCTCAATGAACTTGACCTTGCTCATAGCTTCGGGGTACTGTCTTATGAACTTGTTCAAGGTTCGCAAGCCGGACTTGAAGCAGAGAGTGTCGATGTCAAAGTTGATGAGGATAGGGCGTTGACCGAGGTTATGGAAGCATTTGGTGTAGGCTTTGAGGAAGGCCTCGCGGGCTTCGAAGTTAACGTGCTGTGTTGTGAGGAGGTCGAGGGACATTTATGGTCTGTCGCTTGCGCGCGAGATGATGATTCGTCTTGGGGTGAAACTGAGTTTCGTGATCTTTAGACGGATCTCTGCTGGAAGGTCGCTGAATTTGTGGAAGGTGGTGGCAGCGGTCGAAACCGTGGTGGTAGCGGCGGTGGTGTTTGAGCTCATGCTAGACATTTGAGAGATACGCATTGTGTTGAGTATTGCTGCTTTCTGGGTAATAGGGTTCAGGTGGTACTAGCTGTTTCTGTTTTGAGTGAGATTTAGCTGTTACTTTAGTCTTGTGGTATGTGATTGATGCTTATGCAGAATATGAGGCCATGGAGTGGTTTTATAGCGGTTATGGGAAGTTGTTCAAAAAAGAATTAGACCTCAACTTCACAATGAAAACAAACTTCCGTTACCACCTCTAGATAACAGTATTGTTCAAGTGCTAGGTGCATAATAGAGACAAAGAGAGAACAATGCTTTGACGAGAACAGTAATCTTTGTACTCGGTAGTTCCGCACCAATGATTAAGTCCAACATGAATAAAGGGAAAAGCTTAGTGCAGACCTACAAAGGCCTTGTTACCAATTCGGTGAGAGCACCTAACCTCCTGTCTATGTATTCTCAGCAGACTTCATCGAGCTTTCATAAACCTACGCCAGGAAAGCGGCTGACCAGCGTGGAATACGTGATAAGTTTTGTTGCACGTCGCAATTTTCTTAATATAGTCGACAGCTGTCGGTTATTTTGTTTCAAGTCTCGAGTACTTAGACGATTTCAACTTCTTTGATAAAATCTCACCTTCACAAGCATGAGGTGGGCCTTCAGGTTGAGATTTCTGTAAACCTTTCTGCAAATGCAATATCTATGGTTCAAGAGAGTATTGTTTGACAACTCGGAGAGTGTAAGAAACTCGCAGGAATGTTGGAAAATTCCAGCAATCAGAATGGCCAATTTCAACAATCCAATTAGCGGGAAGGTACTTAGCTAGGACAATAGAGCCCTTCAATTTGAGTATCATAGCCCAAGAAAGAATCTGTTTGTAGATATAGCGAGGAAATCTAGCACTTGACAAAAACAGCACTCTTGCTAGATGAGAATGTCATTGAAGATTTCAACAGCATCATATCCAGAACCCCGCAGTGAGATCCAGGTGATTCGAAAGCAACGACTAGATCATGACTTCTACTCTTGATCCCTGATCCAAAGACACTTCATCCAAGCGTCTCGACAAAGAAGACTTGATATCATTGGGACTTTCCCCGCGAGTTGTGAGAGAAGTTCTGGGAGGAGGAAGCGGATGAAGAATCAAAAAGAAAGCAAAACGACACAAGGTGAATCTCGAAGCAATCTTTAGACCTCAACAACGTGTCATGAATAGCTGAACATCCAAATCAGAGAAAGAAACAACACACTTGGACATGTAGAGAAGCAACTAGCTATCCTCAAAGCCCCGCTCAAAAATCAGAAGACACCAAAAATACGATAGTACAACTCGACTAAAAGATAATAAAGTACAACCATGATGTAATTCATAGTAAACTCAAAGCAATGGGATGCGTCAGGTTAAAGTTGCTTGATATAGACTCAAGCTGGTCCGTAGCAACTAGTGCCTAGCAACTAGTATCACTCCTTAGTTTACCAGAAAACATCAAATCTGGGGTAGTCCGCTGTCAAGTGGGTAAATCTTTTTTTCTAAGTTGAGAGGCTTCTGTGTATGTGAATGAAGCATCTCAGGCTGTACTGTACATGTAAAGATAATTCGGTCGTTGCTTCTTTGGGTTGGATGTGGTTGGCTCATGAATATCAAGTAATTCCACATCCGGAAGAGACGGGAGTTGGGGTAGCAGAGAAGCAGGATTTTGGTCGAGCTTGAATGAAGATTCAAATCAAATCTGTGGAGGTTTCCATAGTTCTGGATTCAGGTAGTTGGATTCTGATTATCAGTGTCAGGGTCCCTCATCTGCAGAGATTCTTTAGTTCAACTTCGACTGCATAGATTCCCAACGTCATCCCGTCGTCTCTGAATCGCAATCCTCTACAGTTCAAATTCGGGGGTTATGAGTATGTCTCTCGAACGGATGGAATGCATCTAGCATTGATGCCATGTTACTATGCAGCCAGAATCCTTGAAAGTGTCCTCATGGCAAAGACCAGTCTCGAGCTGCTTGTCTCTGGACAAATACCAAAACTTTTGAACCTTTCCACAGTCCACCCCTCATCTAGACCAATGTCTTACCCGGTTTCTGGTCGTGTGGTCGCTTATTTTTGACAGGCAAAAAAGGGGGCCGCGCCAGCTTGTTTACGGCACGAACTGCCGATTGATTGGAGAGGCCGAACGAGGGATGATCCTTTCTCGTTATCTATCTATGTGTCTCTGAGGAGTTTATTGTGCAAGAATGCGGTGATGGTGAGAGAAGTCCTGATGAGAAAAGCGGTCTGGATCATTAATCGGTGTACATGCGATGGCCAAGTGTTGTCAAAAGGGTTCTAGAAGAAAGTCTCGTCTCACCAAGAGTCCGATGAGGCGACGGAGGAGGCAACTTGGTGCATTTCTAATCGTGGAGAGCACGCTAATCACGCTCTAGACTCGAATGGCGTGTGGTGAATGCTAATGCGGGCAATTGATTGGAGGTAGCCGAGCGGTGTGCCCCACTCCAGCCCCGTCCTGCCAAATCAGGCATAGCGTGTGAAATGGAGCCAGGGCTTGAGAAAAGGCTTTCTGTGCGTCCTGCGTCATCCTGAGGTCATTTCCAAGGACTTCCTCCATCTCTCACCCAAATCCCATTGCCAGTATTGCATCAAGAACGATCTGCCACCAAGACACGCTGAGCAGAGCCGCACGAAAGCCGATACTCTATCTCGACCTGAATCCCAGGACCCGCGATCCATTAATTGGTGCATTCGTTGGAAGAGTGCAGCGTTCCTGCGAGGGCTGGTTGCTGGGACGCCGTCGTCGTTCTTCGCGACCGTGGTTTTTTGGCACAAAGTCTCCGACGTCACTTTTCGACCGCTTGCACAACTCGAACTCGACCATCTTCAGGCCCCTCGAGAGTATTTGTCGAGCCGCATCCCTTTGATGTCATTGTGCTCGTTGATACTGTACCTTGCCTGATTGCCATCACTACTGTCGTCGTCGCAGTAGCAATTCGAGTGTGTCCTCGAGAAAAGACAGAGAGTGTTCAGGGGTTGCAGGGCGGCTGGCCACTGACTGACTGCCCTTTCTTGCGTTGCGCACGCAATTCTGCTCCGTCTATTCTCTGCGTCCACAACGAACAATTAGCCTCTCTCTCCCTTTCCTCACCCACCACTGGTTCGCATCTTTCCTCCAACCTGTCATTTCTGGCCGCTCGAAATAATAATCTTCATCGGACGATCATTCACTCACTTTCGCTGCCGTTGCGAGGTCGCATTCATTCACTCACTCGAAAAGTGGTGGTGTTCGCGAAAACAGTGCAGGAGAAAAAGAACGAGGCTTGCTTGCTTGCTTGCTTCCCTTCACCTCACCCTAACCATAACTTTCGCTTCCAAATCCAAACACGTCATACTCCCTCGACGTCACTCTGCACTCCCCTTTCAACCTTCTTTCCACAAGCACACACACAAGTCCTCGAACGCCTGAGGCCCTTCCAAGCCATATCATTTGCAGATCTGATATCACTCCATCGTCATACTGCGACACCTTCCACCCCATTACCCCTCTGACCTGAGTCGAACTCAATCATGGGCAACTCTCCAAGAGACACCACCAAGAAGGGCGACAGCAAGTCCCCTGTGCAACCCAATGCTGAATCTCCAAAAGCCCACGGTAAGTAATCAATCAATGTCTCATCTGCTTCTGTTATTCACACCGGGCGGGAACTGGCATGTGGCTGGTTTCGCTCCTTCCATCGTGGCATCGTTGCGACGACGACCAAGACATCAAGCGCTAACATGAGATCAACAACAATAGATGGCGACTCGAAGTCCGACGACGCTGTGAAGGCAGACTCCACGAATGCTGAGCCACTTGCTCCTCCTCCTCGACCTGCGCCGCAAGTGTCGAATACTCCCGATTACTTTTCAGGAAACCACGGTCTCTCTCACGAAACCAACCCCTTCGAGTTTTCTTTTGGTGGCGGTGCCTCGAATGGTGGACAAGTTCAGACACCTGGTGGTACTAAGCTACCGTCCGTGGCTGCGCTGACTTCGCCGGCTGGCATATTGGGGTCAGGAACTACACCTAACTTCTGGGGAGGCCTGCGATCGGGTCCTCTAAGTCCTGCGATGCTGTCGGGTCCTCAAAAGGAGGACTACTTCAGCGACGGGCACCACCTGCGAGGCGGGTTCCCTACACCTAACGAATCTGGTTTGCGCTCTGGATTGACACCTGGTGGAGGTGGTTCTATGTTCCCAGAGCCATCTCCTAACTCGCAAGCTCTCTTTAACTCACTCGCTTCCGGTGGCGCTACACCCACTACACTAGACTTCCACCGCACTGCTATGAACGCAGCTGCGGCACAGAAGAGAGAAACTATCCAAACACAACCCAACATTACTTCTCAACCTCAGGACATTGCCAATGGGTTGGAAGTGAAACCTCCTATGCAAGGTCAATTTGATCAACACGAGGCCAACGACGCCGCTAACGGTCTATACTTGCTCGCTCAAGCTCGTAACGGACCTCAACCTACCAATCATTACACGATGGCACAACAGATGCCAGTTCATGCTCATCCCCAAACCATCCAGATGGGCGGTCAATCATCAGAAACATCTCCGAATATGGCCAACCGAAATGGTGGATCCATCAGCACTACATCTGGTCGTGGTGCCAGTGAGATGAGTGGTTTCTCTGATGAGAATGATCAACAGAGTAGACCAAACACGCGTGGCAAGGGGAAGAGAAACTCTACCCACGAAACAACTCCAGTCAACGGTCGACGAAAAGCTAATGAGGCGCCCGCGGCAAAGGCTCCTGCTAATAAGAAGTCGAAAGCTAATAATGGCAACTCTATGAGTATGGAGCCGCCCTCCGATGACGAACAAGAAGAGAACAAAGGTGACGAATATCATGCCAATGGTAAGAAGATGACCGATGAGGAGAAGAGAAAGAACTTTCTCGAACGTAATAGGTAAAAAATTCTGATGCTACACACTCTTATATGTTCTAATACTTTCATAGGGTTGCTGCTCTTAAGTGCAGACAACGTAAGAAGCAATGGCTCGCCAACTTGCAACAGAAGGTTGAGATATACACGCAAGAGAATGACAATCTCAACGCTCAACTATCCGCTTTACGTGAGGAAATCGTCAACCTCAAGACAATTCTCATGGCCCACAAGGACTGTCCTGTCTCCGCACAGCAAGGCATTTCCGGTATAGGCATGCATCAAATGCTAGAGAGTTACCAAGGACAGATGAATCCTTATGGCATGGCTATGAATGCACAGCAACAACAGCAGGTCATAGCTGGTCAGAATATGCAACGACGATACTCATAATACGCCTTCTCTTCTTCAGATATGTACGATTAGTAGGAAGATTTGAAGTGGAAAAAAGTTTTGAGAGGAATACATAAGGGAAGCGTGGTGAATGGTCATCACGCTCCCTTCGACTCATGGCTGGAGTTCACAGCCTTGGATCTTGAGCACCTTTTAAATGGTTGAATTTCGTTCAGCTATACCTGGATTGTGCTACGACAAAATATACGTACTGGCGTTCCGGAAAACGTCGTCGGCCAGCAAACCTTATACACACTGTAGATTAGTCATTCCTTTCTTGCTTGCATCTCGACCTTTTGCTGCTTTCTCCTTTGCATTTGCAGCTTGGCCCGGGTTCTTGCCTCTTTTTTTTACTATTCGCGTCCTTGTACATATTCGAGACTCAAGTACACGCATTGAGGTCTTCATCATGGAAACTGGCGCTGGGGTTTGAAAGGGTTGCTTATTTTTGCTTGTGTTGCTGTTTGTTGCCTTCTTTCGCTGGCTGGCTGGGCTGGACTGGCGTTTGAGGAGGGATGGGTCGAAATGAACGAACGACGAACGAATTCGGGGTTGGTATTCATGATTGGGGGTGTGTATTACCGATCGTCCGTAGAGGCAGCGAAGACCAGGCAACAATGCAGTGAGATTAAATATTTGAATGAAAGTGTGCCGTTTGATATATGTGTTCGTCTCTAAGTTGTGGCTGCTTAACTTTCTGCTCCTCTATTAAAATAGTTGAAGAGCTTGGGTTTTACATAAGGGAACTGGCACCAAGTTTCACTCACAAATGAGTAGTCCGAACTCATGGTAAGCCCACTAATATGCTCAGGAACCTCCTATCCATATTTCTGGATTTGATTTCCTCCCTCTGTCCCTCGAACCAGACCAATCCCTTTATTCAGCATCCCGACCAGATAGATCCCTGGGTTTACGAGATAATCAAGTCTCTCGTTGACTCTCATCTTCCATGGCTGGAATAGGTGCTCGCGAAGTTCGACTTCGGTGAGGTAATACACTTGTGGGAGGAATGAGAGGGAAAAGATTCTGTTGAGCCAAGAAGTGAAGCCTAGCTTCTAAAAGTCTTATAGGGGTTACAATAGATTAGCTCGACTCTCATCCGTCATGCAGGTTTGTATAGCAACCACTGCCTGCCATTGTTGCTGTGCGAGACGATGTGTAACAAGGGATCTAATGGAGGACTTTGAAAGAGTAGCTTGAATGGTTGTGGAGTACTTGTCATAGAGTTGCTTTGTGGTTGTTGGAGGTGTGATGTGGATCAAGAATGCTTAGTTGGCTATGTGCCGTTGGTTGTATTGGTAAGTGTTTGAGTGGAAAAATTGTGATTGTAGATTCGAATGTGGGCCGGCTTCGACTGTACTTGCAACTTTCCTCTGACCCTTTTTCTGCGCGAAATGTGTCTGAACAGTACTAAAATTCTATCAAGGCTTAATCTTTGACGCCTCTGATTTCGGACCCAGAACTTCCAGGTTGGAGAGGAAGTAGAATAAGTCCGAGGACAGATTATTAAAATTGAATGGCCGTGGTTTCCACAGGTTCCCAACTAGCTCTATCACAGCTGCTCGACGAGGAGGTGGAATTGAGCTCATTCGGCTAGTACCTGAGACTCGGTCATCAAATGAGACGAATCCCGGCATCTACTGGACAACGATTTGGAGAAACAAACATTCAGCGTAAGTATACCTGATCTTGTAATCAGATCCACAATCCGAGATCCCGCTGCAAGGCAAGGTAAGGCAGAACAAGTCATCCCATCACGCGCTGTTGATTGCCAGCACACCTACCGCGGGTTCGCCAACTGCAGATGCGTTCCAGCGAACTGGATGCCAATGCCCTTTACACTTCAAGTTTAGCTTGGAATGTTGACATGGTATATCGTCCAATTGTTTCTTCCAATGCGATGTTGTTATTGCTTGACAAGCGTATAAGCAGCAAAGCAGAGTGTCAAAGTGGACTTGTGGTAAATGCAATGTACCATCAGGAGAAGCTTATGAGGCTGGAAAGTGGGACCTGAGAAGCGGTGTCATGGAGCAGCATCATCCATGGCGGTTGGCTCCACAGCTGGCACGAAAAGGAGGCTATTCAAGAGAATCAAAACGCGTTGAAATGGGTTCGCGACATTGCATGGGTAAAAGTCGCAAGAATGGGGCATGAAATGTATCCTGAAAGACAGCCACGGACAGGTGTTGGGACTGCAAGAAAACAAACAGCTCTGACCTGAGTATACAAAGTCCTGGCTTCACTTCTTTGTTATCAGCGGATTGGAATTGCCATGCAGCTTGCAAAGAGTCCACGTCTCTTGCATATACATCTTGCATACAAATCACGTGACGCAACAAAAAGCAAAACAACAAGACATTTATGACTTAGAATATGGCTGAAAACTTGCGAGATAAGAGGAAGATACCAGAAATCAATGAGGAACATTTGTGCGGGGCATAAATTGAAATTTGGCTCCTCTTGTTCCATGAAATAGAGTTCTGCTTTGTCGTCACAGCTTGAGGAGCAACATATACCTAGGTAGGTAGGTAGCAGCTTAGTCAGGTAGCACCCGGTTTGTGCAAATTGAGAAAATGAAGGGCGATAATAATAAGTGAATTGAACATACAGATCAGGTCTTTTATAAATTGCTCATATATATACGGGAGATTCACAAAAATAATATCCCCGGTGTCAACACATTCCCTCATACCCCGGAGTCTTCGTCGCTTGCGGTTAGTCGAAGAAGGCGCGACAGGGTTGCCAGAAGTTCTCCAAAGTTCACGGCCTTCAGCCTCTCAAATTTACAACCTTTCTCTTCCCCTTCTCGACCTTGCTCATCGGGCTGCAGGTATCACCCATTCAGACTGCTCAACATTCACCAAGATAGAGATTGTCGCATATACACATTTATTGCCGCGGGCGGTACAAATCCGTTCGAGAACGCCACCGCATGATCTGTCACGAACCTGGAAAGATTGCCCATCCATCCTCAACGCTCGCCCGCCAGCCCGTCGCATCTCGATCGACAGCCTATACACTTCCTCAAGATGGTTCACCGACGCAGGAAGGATCCAGCTGCGATTCGAAGACGGGTTGAGGACGAAGGCGATGAGGAAGGAGGTCCTGACCTCGGAGACCTGGATGATGATTCTGGCAGTGAGGGGTCGTTAATAAGTGAGGAGGATGACGCACATGAAGGGGACGAGGTCAGCACAATTGGAGCTGCTCCTACTGACTCTCCCGAGCTATCGAAGCTCAACGGAAATGCCCAGAGACAAGTCAGAGATGTCAAGCAGTCATCGACGAACGGCGTTGCGGACTCAACAAAGAAGCCGCTCACGAATGGTACTACTGATATGGATTTGATGCTGAATGGCCTCAAGCTATCGGATCAGAATGGATCTGTCGAGGAAGTTAATTACGAGGATATGCGTGAGGACGAAGAGATTCTGGTACCATCACCAGCCGTGGTGAACTCAACGGCGCAGATGGACCGGCCACAGGAACTTCCCCACGAGCGCCGCCGAAGAGAACACGAGGAATATAAGAAGAAGCGAGACGCCGACCCAGCATTTGTACCTAATAGAGGAGCATTCTTCATGCATGATCATCGTCACTCTGGTCCTGCTGCAAATGGATTCCGGCCCTTCGGCAGAGGTAGAGGTCGGGGAAGACCAGGCATTGGTGGTCCATTTGCACCATTTAAGTATGCTACCCTCACTTACTATATCCCAGCGACCTGTTGCTAATGATTTATAGTCAAATGCCACAGTCTTTCGAACCTACCGATGCTCCCTGGACACACGATATGCACGAAGTCATCAGTGAGCCTAGCCCTCGAAACCTCCAGGCCCCTAATTACCCCAACGGCGCCTCCCATATCCCTTCTCGAGTTCCTATTAGCTCTTCTGAAGCTGCACCTGTAAATCGAGCTCTCTCGGTCACAAAGCATGTCGGCAATGTGCAAGTACGGGTCTTGTTATCGACGATGAAGGAGCCTATTGTGTTTCCTGGAATTCCGTGGAAGCAATACACTCGTCTACCAGACCACCGTCCTCCTTTGCGCCGAGATAAACCTGTCCGAATTTCTCTTCCGAACCATCCGCCACGCTATATATTCCCTGCTGTCGACAGGTCCTTCATATTTATACCGAGAGCCATGAGACCGAATCAACAGGGTTTCGGCGGTCGTGGCAGAGGAAGATCGGTTTTTGGTTCCGTGGGAGGATACTCTAGAAGAACTAGTGTGTTCGGTGGCAGTATGTTCGGCAGTGCATACAGTCCTAGTGTTGCTATGAGCCGCCGCTCATCACTTGCTCGTGAGGTCAACAGAGAGAGCATAGTCTCACCAACTGGATCGACCATGTCCCGTCAACAAGCGGCATTGGATTCAACAAGACCAGTCCCAGTTGTCAAATTACCACCCTCAAGCCAATCGGTCCAGCCACCCCAGTTGCAGAGTGCTGAAGCGGTATATTCAAATGGCTCCCCACAGGCATCGAATTCGATCGATGACCTACCTCGACCACAGACTTATCCATTGCCTCAGAAGCCTACGTTTCGTGAAAATAGGCCCAACCCTATTCCTATGCATCAACCCCGACCTCAAAAAGCAGTGTCAGTTGCAGACATCGAGTCACCTGCGACCTTATCATTCAATCCACCTCAACAACAATCTCAGCAACCATTCCACCAACAGGTGCCTCTACAGGTCAATGGTAATAATTATCAGCATGATGCTATGCTACATTCACGAAACCCGTCTTATCCGAGTCAGGCTTCAACTGGTACTCCACTATCACAAATTCCAGAAAGAGCTATACATGCTCAACCCTTCCAACCAAACCCGTATCAACAAGCACCACAAAACTTCTATCCTCAGCAATTCCATGTAATGCCACAACCCCAAGGATACTACTATCCACAAACGTTTAATCCATCCATGGCACCGCCAGGTGGAGCGCCTCCGCCGTTTATGCCGCCGCAAACCCAGCAACAGCAGCAACAACCACCGCCATCATACCCTCAAGGAGCACAACAGACAGACAACAACAATTCCCAAGGCGTTCCTCAGAACTTGGTGGCACAAGAAGTCAACGGCATGGTTTACTATTACGACGCGGCACAAATTCCTCCTGTTGCTACTTTCCCATCGTACCAACCTCCCCCGTCATACCCGATGCAGCAAGTTGGTGGAGTTGTTGGGATGGGCGGCATGATGACACCTTCTCCTGATGGTTTCTACTATCCACAGGCACCCCAAGGTGTGGTCTACTACCAACAGTAGATGTCCTTCCCAGCGATTGTTATATTCTCTTTAATGCTTTCAGCGATATTATCTGGGCCATGATGGGTTTCATTGTGCGAAGCGTTGCTTATTTTTCCTCCGTTACCGTTTCTCTGCGAAAAGATAACTGTTATTGTCGATCATCTTCGAGAGAAGATTCTGTTTTGGTTGTCCTCTCGGGTTTGCCCTGACACTCTTTGTTGTCATATTGGGGTATCATTGGCGAGCTGCGACTGGTCTCGGGTCATGCATTCAGCTACAGGCTTTTCAGCTGGATGCAATTTTAGTATCTGTGGCGGTTGCATGATGGTATTCTTCATCATTGTTTGTTTAAGAAAGATTTCTCTGATGCATTCCTCTCGACCCGACGTTGGCTTTGGGTGTGGTAGCAAGTAGAGTTAGGTAGTAGTGGTAGTGTAGTAGTTAACAGGAACAATTCAGTGGATGACATTGGTTAAGATACGAGATCCCTGGTCTGTGCTTGACTTGAGACATTCGTCAGTAAGTCTCTGCCTTGTGAGGGCGAACATACGACAAATCTGCGTAGGAGGCTGAGATACCAACTTGGGGTCGGTGAGGACTTTGGGGCGGGTATCAGGCAACGCCCTTCCGTAAGACGTTCAAAAGTGGTGGCCAACTGGTAAAAACCGATGTCGGCATGACTTGACGGATTACCTTCCTGATCAATTCAACATAAAATCTTTCACTGAACATCGTGCGAGGTAGGCTTTGAAATCGATGAAATTCTGGCGGTCATCCGCCTATCATGTGTCATGGTTGTCCCAATCCTACCTACTCGTGACTTTCAAGCAGCTGGACCTCGTCTCGGGTTTTATATTGCCGCCTTACGGGCGTTACGGTTGTTTCAACTATAAGAGTGTAGGATGAGGATGAGAGGAAGGCACTTGGAGCTATGAATTGGCCACCAGAACTAGGACATTGGAGAAATGAGAATAATTAAAAATTTGAGAGCCTCTTGTGAATGCCATTCACGTTTGTGAAAGAGCTCCCGCGTGACTCGGAGGTCTTATCCCGAGGCGCAACCATACGACATCAGCACCCTCCTTGCGTCAGCTCCCTCAACTCGAACCAACATCATTTTCAACGAAAGGAAAAAAGAACAACCTCAAAGAAACCTCTCAACTTATTCAAGAAGTCTCATAGATCAATCACATTCATTATTTGTCTTGATTTTGCCTCTCTTGTTCATCCTTCCAGGCTCTTCTCGAAGTTGATCAGTCGTTCTGCGGATTAGGCAGGCAGGCGAGCTTATCAGGTTAGCGGCACCTGGCCCAGGCGTGCTTCGGTCATCAAGCTCGCAGGCAACTCCTCCCCTCTTTCCCTCCGACCTCCTCCTTCCTTCCTTCTTCCCATCAACACCAAGATCAACTCAACATCAGGATCTTACCTGGTCACCCATACAATTATTCTTTGTGCCTTTGAAGGTATTAAGATCCGATCTGCTCACTGTTCGTCTTGCCTTTCTGAAACGCTGCCGTCACCGCCGCTTGAGCTCATTAACTGACGCAGCTCAGCCTTGATTATAGCAGACATGGCGTCTACTTCTGCGACGAACGCAGACACTCTCGTCACCCTCAAGATCAACATCGATGGCGCAAACCGCCGATTCAAGCTCCCCCTCAAGGACTTGAACGCCAGCACCCTCCCCGATAAGGTATGTATGGTGTCACAAGCTCCTGATGAGGCTCCCCAGCCTGATGTCTTCACGATCATCACAAGATGTTCCTGGGATTGTATTGAATGAACATTGCTAATATTTATTTTGCGCTCAGCTCCGATTCCTCCTCTCCATCCCACGTTCCAGCGAGGCTATCTTCGAGCGATATTCTGATTCCGCTGCGTCATTCATCGTTCTCGACTCGAATAACACCTCCGTCTACAAGCAACTCTATCGTGCTGCGAAGGCCAAGCTAAAGCTCCGTCTTAAGGTAACTGTCAAGGACAAGGAACCTGTTACACCCAAGCCTGCTACTGTCGAGGACGAAGAGCAAGAGCAAGAAGCTGCCCCAGTCAGCCCAATCGTCGAACGTCAATCCATTGTGGAGACTCTCGTTGAACCTACACCCGCAGCTCCACAAGTCTCCTCTCCCATTGACTATTCCGAGAAGGCAACCTTCCCAGGTTCTGTAGCAGAACTTCAACGCGGATTTGAAGACTTGCTCATCAACGGCTGTCGTTCTTCCTTCTCGCCTGCATCTGCGGCACCTGTCTTCCCATACCCACCTCCCGTCGTCAACTCTTCTTGCTGTGCTCCGCCAGGAAGCTTTATCAACAACATGTCAAGCATGTACCACCACAAGGAAGCTCCTAGAATGAACACCTGCTCGAGCACTGAGATTCCAGTCACTCGTGGTACTGCTGCTCGTGACAAGTGGTTCGCAGAGCTTGCGTCCTTGTCCAGTGAACGCCGAACCCGCCCAGCCACTACCGAGACTGTCAGTGTCTTCACCGTCTATTGCAACAACTGCGACAGATCTATCCCCGATGTTCATTTCCACTGCAGTACATGCGAGGATGGAGATTTCGATCTCTGCCAGGCCTGTGTTGATGATGGTGTCACCTGCCAGGGTGAGGATCATTGGCTTCTTAAGCGTATTGTGAAGGATGGAAAGGTCATCAACAGCACCACGGAGACCATGCCTCCTAAGGTGAAGTCTGCCAAGATTGATTTCTCCGAGGCTCTGCAAGTTCCAGTTGCTACCCGTACTTGCAACTCCTGCATTCAGGGTATGTCATCTCACCCGCATGAGACGCTATTGTTTGCTAACATGACAACAGAACTCACGGAGGAGAACTTTGTTACTTGCACTACATGCCCAGATTACGATTTGTGCATCCCTTGCCATGTCGGTATGGAGCATGGCCACCACCCCAAGCATGCTTTCGAGCCAGCCGTTGAGGATACTCGCCTCAACATCGTTGCCGAGACTCTTCTCGCTCCTGGTCGTAACGTTGGACACAATGCTATCTGTGATGGCTGTGACAAGGTACGACTCATAACATCTTCTTTATATTTCTCTTGCTAACATTGCTTTTAGTACATCTATGGTGTTCGACACAAGTGCCTTGACTGCCCAGACTGGGACTTCTGCTCAGCCTGCCAGCCCAATGCTAGCTTCATTCACGCAGGTCACCGCTTTGTGCCTATCTATGAACCTCTCCACGACCTTGCAGCATTGTCAAGATCTTATGCCACCAAGGCTCGTCACCATGGCATCTACTGCGACGGTCCTCTTTGCAATAATGCTAACGGAACCCAATCTTATATCAAGGGTGACCGATACAAGTGTGCAGTTTGCCATGATACCGACTTCTGTGCCAGCTGCGAGGCTAGCCCATCCAACCCACACAACAAGACACACCCTCTTATTAAGTTCAAGACCCCTGTCCGCAACGTCAGCGTCACAACACTCGGTGATCATGAGGATGGTCAACGTATGCCAGTCATGGGCGACCGTCGTGGCCGTACTACACACAAGGCTACCGAGACCACACCAGCTCAATCCACCAATGCTGCTACCCAGGTTCAGACAGTTGCTGACTTGCAACCCACTGAACCTGTAAAGGCTGAAGAAGTTGAGGCTGAGAAGGTACCAGAGTCCCAGTCCGAGGAGGCCAATGAGCTTCCTGCTGCAGCTGTCAAGGAGGAGTTGGTTGCTCACTTTGTCCGTGATCTCATTGCTGATGGTTCCACCCTTCCACCAAACTGTGTCTTCGAACAGACTTGGTACCTCCGCAACGGCGGCAAGACCTCATGGCCTGCTGGATGCACTGTCAAGTTTGTCGGTGGTGACAACATGTGTGCTGTTGATCCCGAACACCCGGCTAGTGTTCACGAGCTCGTCTCTGCTGCTGAGAGCACTACCTGCTATACTGAGGTTGCTCCTGGTCAGGAGGCTGGTTTCACTGTCTTGATGAGAACACCAGGACGTGCTGGTAACTTCATCTCATACTGGCGCCTCACTGGCCCAGATGGCGAGAAGTTCGGTCACAGACTCTGGTGTGATGTCAACGTCAAGGAGCCTACACCGATTGTCAAGGAACAGCCAAAGGAGGAGACTCCTGAGCTTAAGGTCGAGACCGAGGGTAGCCAAATGATCTTCCCCAAATTGGAGAAGGAGTCCCCAGCCTCCAGTATCCATGAAGAGATTGAAATTGCTGAGCCCGAGCGTGAGATTCCTCAAGACGAGGAGGAATTCGAGGAGTTCAACGGAGAGACTCTCGAGGACTCTGAGACAGATGACGGGTTCATGACCGATGAGGAATACGATATCCTTGATGCAAGTGATGAGGAATATCTTGCTGAGCAAGACAAGGTTCCCAAGAAGTAAATCGCCTCATATCACGGCATCTAAAGGAATATAGGATGAAGGAATCGGAACGGAGGCGTAAGATTGTCAAACGAAACTCTGGGTAGCGGATATGGATGGTGCCAGGGGTTTACGGATGATCTCATTTTCTTTTTTAGTGGTCTGCTCGTCTTTTCTTGCATGTGTGTAATTGCCTGGGTCCTTATCTATCTCTCTCGCTCTTTTGGCTACGAGGTTCGCGTTACTTGCGAATCACTCACTTTTCACGACGTTGGCATTTTACTTACGGATCTCTGCTCTTGTATGAGGGTTAGGGGTACGAAGGCAAAAAAGTCACACGAAAAGGAAAATACGAAATACTCAACGAACAACAAACAAACATCGGTCACGATGAGGATCTCTTCTCTATCCATGCTTCGGGTTTGTTTGGTAGCAAGCAGTGAAATTACATGAATGAATTTTGGGTCTTTGAATGTGTGATACGTGACTGGTTGTGAAAGCTGCATGTAGGGTTGTTTTTGAAGCAGACTGTAGACTGGAGGTGTTATTGGAATTTGATGCCAGAACCAAAGAAGTGATGATTGTTCTGCCAGGACAGTAATCTATTTGCTCTGGACCATCTTAATTAACAATAGCGTCTCAACCATAGTTGTGTTCACAAATAAGTACCATTTATGTTGAGTGCATTGAGAGGTCAGTATCATTGCTTCAATTTGCAAGGGAGCAACAATAGCTTCTTTATAAGTGACTGAAAGCACTTTACACCAAGAAATCATTCCATTTGTATTTGAAATGCAACGCTATATTCTAAAACCATGCTTCTTTCTAATGTAATTCATTATCTCGTATTTCGCAAGCAAAAAAGCATCTCAGCCACCCATTCCCTCATCGACTTATTAGTCTATCCTCCCACCCTGCATGGAATCAGAAGTAAGATAGATCAAGCCTGCAAAGCCATCTCCTCCCTACTAGCAAAACTCCCGCCCCTCCACCCCCGCCTCGGATCCTCCGCCTCCCTAACATTCCTCTCCTCCCCCACACGTCCCCACCCGCCGCCGCCCGGCGTACAGATGATGATCCGCTCGCCCTTTTGCATCGCAGCCGTGTTCTTGCCGCCGAGGTTGATGCGGCGTTCTTCGTAGACTGGTTCATCAACCATATCCCTCTTCCCGTTCTCGTTCACGCTGTTCTGGCTATCGCCATTAAACAACCGATCAGACCGTTCCGGATTCGACGTCTCGACCTTCCGGACCCAGATATTAAGCCCGCACGCCCCGTCCTCGCCGCCCGCGAGCCCGTACGGGTGGTAGACGCGCCGCTCCGAGAGGATCGAGACTTGCACCGGGATGCGAAACTCGATATCGCGCACCACGCCATCGCCTCCTCGATGCTTACCCTTCCCGCCAGACCCAGGACGCAGCGAGAATTCGCGCAAGAGAACGGGATACCGACGCTCGAACACTTCCGCGTCCGTGATCCGCGTGTTCGTCATATGCGTATGCACCCCACTCGTCCCGTCCCAGCTGGCGCCCGCCCCCGATCCGCCGGCAATCGTCTCGTAGTACCCGAAGCCCTTCACCTCGGCCGCGCCGGACGCGTTGCCGCCGAAGCCGAAGGTTAGGTTGTTGCAGTCGCCCTGGGAGGCGGCGCAGGCGCGGAAGGCAAGTAGGATGACGTCTGTGACGCGCTGGGAGGTGAGCACGTTGCCTCCTACCACGGCGGCCTTGTCGGAGGGGGAGAGGAAGGATTTCGGCGGGATGAGGACCGTGATGGGGGCTAGGCAGCCTTGGTTTAGGGGGATGTCTTGGGAGATTAGGGAGCGGAGACAGTAGATTATTGCGGAGTAGGTTACGGCTTGGGGGGCGTTTGTGTTTCCTGTGAGGGTTAGTTAAGCGAGATAAAAGGGGGGAGGGATGAGGACGTACCGTAGACTTCGGGGCCAGTGCCGGCGAAGTCGAAGATGGCTTCGCCTTTTGAGGCGTCGATGGTGATTTTTAGCTTGATGGGGCTCCCGTCGTCCATGTAGTCGACGGCGGAGAGGTCTTGGCCTTCGAAGCGCTTGCTGACGTCTTTTAGGAGGTTTCGGACGCTGAGCTCGGCGTTGTTTTGGATGTTGACCATGTAGAAGTTTACTACCTCTTCTCCGTATTCTTCGATAAGTGTTGAGATCAGGTTGATTCCTTTCATGTTACTCGAGATCTGGGCTTTTAGATCGGAGATGTTGTCTGCGAGACATCTGGTCCCGCTGCAACCTTGGTATTTTGCAGGTTCTGTGAGAAGGAGTTCGGTGATTCTTTCCTCGTTGAATCGTCCTGCGCTAACTAACTTCTCCGATTTGATTGCTGCTCCTTCTTGATACAGTTCTCGGGAATGAGGTGGCATGCTGCCAGGTAATATACCGCCAATATCAGCATGATGAGCTCTTGAGGCTACGTAGAAGAGAATCTTGTCTCCTGCTTCGTTGAATGCTGGTGTGATGACTGTGATATCCGGAAGATGAGTTCCGCCGTATTCTGGGTGATTTGACACAATCACGTCTCCTTTAACTAGCTTTCCACGCCATATCTCCGCTTGTCGCTTTACACAAGTTGACATTGATCCTAGGTGGACCGGGAGATGAGGAGCATTTGCCACTAGACCGCCAGTTGAGTCGAAGAGCGCACATGAGTAATCGAGTCGTTCCTTTACGTTTGTGCTGACAGACGTCTTTTGAAGAGCTCTACCCATTTGCTCTGCTATTGCCATAAACCGGTGAGCGAAGATGCTGAGCATGATCGGGTCAACATCTCCGGAGGTATCATGCTTTGAAGCACTAAAAATAATATCAGCAATTGTCTTTAAGATTTGAAACACAGAACTCACTCATTGAGTTCCTTCTCTCCGATATTGATGACAACATGTGTATCAATGATCAGAGCTGTAGCCCCGGGTGTAACCACAATAGTTTGTGTTCCGTCTGCAAGAATTGCAGGCCCCTTAATTCTATCACCAACAGCAAGATCTTCAATCTTGTAGATGGGCGTATCTTGTCGTCCGCCTTCAAAGTAGACTTTCAACCGACCATACTCTGTCTTTCCGGACTCCACATCTTTTGGCTCGAGCTCTTTTAATTGTTGGTCAACAGTCTTGCCCAACCCTTCGAAACTCTTGCCAATTCCACGAACCCTGACATCGTCCACAATAATGTCCCGGTCCGGTAGTGTAAACCCGAATTCTTGCTGATGTTGCTTGACGAACGCTTTTCCAAAAGCCCATTCATCGCCGTCATACTCCTTTTCCACATCTTCCTTTTCGGGCTTGACCACCATAAGCGCGGATTCCGTTCCGCGATATCGCATATTGAGATACTCCTCATAAACAATCGAGCCATCGTCAAAACCCTGTTCCTTCAACGCCTCTCGTGACTTCTGCTTCAACTCCTCAATCTTCCCTTTCAACGATTCCTTCGCCTCGCCCTCGTCAGCCCACACTTTAGAATCGGGTTCTTGACGCTCGTCCACGACGTCCGCTAGTGCCATGCCGTATGCAGAGAGCACGGACGAATAGCGGTGCACTAAAATCTGTCGTATCCCCAGACTCTCCGCAATAGCCACAGCGTGCTGTCCACCTGCGCCCCCGAACGTCGCCAAGCGGTGCTTCGACGTATCGTGGCCCTTCGCTTCGGTGAGCGACCGGATGGGTCTTGTCATCGTCTCGTTCGCTACCGTCAGGAACCCGTAAGCAACCTCGTCCGCACTCATGTTTTTTCCTTCTTCTTTGTTGATCTGCGAGGCGAGTTCTTGGAGCAGCTTTTCGCTGGCTGCCACGTCGAGACCTTCGTCTTCGTTCTTCCCGAAGATCTTGGGGAAGAAATCTGGTAGGAGACGCCCTAGGAAGAGGTTTGCGTCTGTGACGGTGGCGGGTCCGCCTTTACGGTAGCAGCCTGGTCCTGGATGTGCTCCTGCTGATTCTGGGCCGACTACGAAGAGTCCGTTGCGGAAGAAGAGCCGTGAGCCACCACCGGCTGCAACAGTGTTGATGTCGAGCTGTGGACTCTGCACCGTGACTCCAGCGGTGGTGGTCTCGAACACATGTTCATATCTTCCAGATCCGTATCTTGAGACGTCAGTGGAAGTTCCACCCATGTCGAATCCGATGACGGGAGTTTTCGTCTCGGGATCATAGGACGTGAGAGCATATCCCACCACACCTCCAGCTGGACCTGAGAGAATAGCTTTCAGACCTGAGAACTTATCCACGTCAACTAGACCTCCGTCACTTTGCATGAATTCGCATCTTGCTCCCTTCGCACCTCTTTCATGCTTCACACTTTCTGTTCCCAAGCCTCCTTCAAATCCCTTTTGGAATCCTGCAATGTACTTTTTGATCGCGGGCGTGAGATATGCATCTGCACATGCCGAAGTAGCTCTTGGGATCAGTTTGATCATGGGCATAAGCTCATGACTCAACGAGACGTGCTTAAATCCAATTTCTCGCGCTATCCGCCCAACCAAGGCTTCATGGTCGGGAAACGTGTAGCCGTGCATCAAGCATACTGCTATACTCTGAATACCCGAATCACGCACTCCCTGCAACTGTTTCCGAATCGTCTCTTCTTCCGGCCGCTGCAAGATGCGGACTGCTTCCCCAGAAAGACCTTTTACTAAGTCATGGTCCGCATCACCATTCTGGTCTCCCTTAGCCGCGACTTTAGTAACAGTCCTCGTCGGATCCTCAGCATAATCCTCCAGCGTAACTCTCTCTTCAACCTCAACCACCCTCTCATAAAGAACATCCGGTTTCCGAATCGCCAGATCGAAGATCTTCGGCCGGGACTGATTCCCAATACTCAAGCAGTCCTTAAACCCCTTCGTAACCACCATCGCGATCTTCTCCCCCTTTCTTTCAAGCAGCGCATTCGTCGCCACCGTGGTGCCCATGCGAATCGACTCGATCTTAGACGTATCGAGCGCCTCCCCGCGCGGGATCTCCTTCCCCAGGAACCGGGACATCAGCCGTCTGATGCCCTCGAGCGGCGCATCGTCGTAGTTGGACGGATCTTCAGACAGCAGCTTGATGATCACGTCGTCTTCCATGCGGCCGGTGCCCGGGTTGCCCACGCAATCCGTGAAGGTGCCGCCGCGCTTTTGTCGTTGTCAGCCATGCCATGCGATGCCCATCTCAAAATATCACTTTCTTTCACCAGACCAAAGCAATTTTTGATGAAAAGAGAAAGGACGGGATATGAAACTTGGAAGAAAGCTGAAAAGTAAAACACCCCCCCCCCTTCTCCCGCGCCGCCTCAACCAAAAAGGAGAGAGAGGCAAGAAAAAAAAAGCAAATACGTGACGATTGCGGCAGAGACGAGCTTATCAAACAACAGCAATCACTTACATCGATAGCGATGCGGATGCCCCGCTCCTGCACATGTTCGCCCATCTTGCACAACCCGAATCGAAAGTGAAAAAGTGAAGAAAGTAAATATGAAATAAATTACTAGAAGGCTGAAATATTGTTCGAATATTAAAAAACGGTTTTTTAAGACGGATGATCTGCGATCAGATCTGTATGTATGTATGTATGACGGAGTTGAGCCGCCCGGGTTGATGATAAAGCCGGCTGCAAACGGAATGGTGGGGTCGATTCGGGTCCCGCTTGCATCGGTAAGGTATGGGATAAGAGCACGCACGTGATTGAGGGGTGAATATCCGAAGAATGGGATTTTGGGAATCGAGGAGACTAGATTCGTTCGATGGTATAGGTATATATTGTTTTGAAGAGAAGTGAAGCTTCAATGACGTATCTCCCAATTATCTCATGATTACTGAAACTTCTCCCCTCGAAATCCCGAAATCTGTTCTCTCTCCCCCCCTTCACCCAGCGAGCGGCATCTCAACGAGCGACGAGGGTGATCCTAGCCTCCTCATCAGAATCCAGCATCGTGCGTGAACAACGTGGTGTTGAGGCGTCTCTGCTAGCCAACCGTTCACTTTACACCGTCTCAACCTTCACTTGTTAGCGTCCTAGTACCCAATCATGCCATCCAGCATCTTCATAAACCAGCTCTACAGGCCTCCTTCTTCCTCTTCTCCGGAGACACTTCCGAGCCCCAATACCGGCGTGAGAGCGTTCCATCAGTCGCTCCCAGGCTACAAACCGAGTCCCCTGGTCTCGGTGCCGGCGATAGCGGCGCGGCAAGGGATTAGATGGTGTTTGGTTAAGGACGAGACAGAGCGGTTGGGGCTGCCGGCTTTTAAGATCCTGGGTGCGTCGTGGGCTACGTATCGGGCGCTGGGGGAGAGGCTTGGTTTAAGAGAAAATGGGGATGTTGTGTCTTTGCAGAGGTTGGCGGAAGCTGCAAAGGCGGAGGGTGTCGTGTTGTTTGCGGCTACGGATGGGAATCATGGGCGCGCGGTGGCGAGGATGGCGGGGTATCTGGGGGTTGGGGCGAGGATATACGTACCGAGTTTGCTTGATGAGGAGGCGATTTCTAAGATTAGAGGGGAAGGGGCGGAGGTTGTGGTTTATGATGGGGATTATGATCAAACAGTTCTGGCTACCAAGGTAGCGGCTGAGAATCATGCTGAGGGGAAGGGAGTGTTGATCAGTGATACGGCGTTGACAGTTGACGATGAGACCGCGAACTGGATAGTCGAGGGGTATCAGACTATGTTTGACGAGATGGAGGAACAGGTGCTGGAGATTACTGGCACACGGACAATTACGCATGTTGTGACGCCGGTGGGAGTTGGAAGTTTGACTCAAGCTGTTGTTACGCATTTTCAGAGGACCCCAAGGTCTCCGAAGCCGATGGTCATTGCAGTGGAGCCGAAGTCTGCTGCGTGCCTAAAGGCAAGCTTAGAGGCTGGTGAGATGACTAGTGTTAAGACTGAGTATACGATATGTACCGGCATGTGCTGTGGGACACTATCCGCTATTGGGTGGCCGATGTTGAAGAGTGGCATCAGCGCTGCAGTGGCGGTTGAAGACTCTGATGTCGATACCGCTACCAAGAATCTCCAGAGTTGCGGTATTAATGCAGGACCTTGTGGTGCTGCGAGTTTGGCGGCTTTGGAGTCTCTTTCAAGTGGCGAGGAGCTTGCTCTCGGCCCACAATCGGTTGTAGTTCTCCTCTGTACAGAAGGAAGGAGAGGATACGAGATGAGATCGAACTCGCAACCAGAACCGTAAAAAGAGAGGTGTGGTATTTGAGGATTAGTGGTCAGGCGTTAGAACAACGCTGGTGGGGGTAGAAATGCAATGGCATGTTGCGGATCATCAGGTGAACTGCGGCTCTGGCCACAATTATTGTGAAGGATGCTGCTCTGGACGTAGATTAAACAAAGCTGGTGTGTCACCATGCTCAGAAGTTCATTTCTATGAGACTGGATGAAAGACACGGAACGGCACGCAACACGGCACACGCTCTGGTTGGCTGTATCAGTCGTGGCGGTTATAGCCTCATTGCCAGCCGGACGGGACTTCTTGACCGAGACCGAGTCGTACTTTTAAGTGCTTACTTATGTACAAGCACTTGCCCATATCCGTCAAAGCTTTCCATTTCAAGACTCGGTAGAGAATGACGGCTGATGGTCTGACGCTGGAAGACATCGATTGAGCGCGGTTCATCCTCAAGTATATTACAAGGCTGAATGGTGACACCTCCATCCACACGTTCTCCATCCCGACACTTTAGAAACCTCTTCGGTTCCCGGCAGACACGGAGACTATGCCGATCATGATGTACCCTTTGGGAACAGGAAATGGTTCACAAACCACAGAGTACCTAGGATCTCCCCGGTTGTGTGACACCAAGTATTCGGGACTTCTTTAGCCGGTAGCTTGGGACTGGGAGCTAGAATAAACCAGATTGATACCAGAGAACAAGCTTTTTCCATGAACGTGCTCGTCCATGCTTTGTGTTGACGAAGTGGACATGAAACATCATTAAGACACTTCAGGTCGGGGAGGATTGAGCTTTGACTCGATCACCGAGAACAAACCGCAAGAACTCGTGATAAGATAGCAACGCGGGCATGGAACCATAGAGTCAAATAAGGTGTGGAAGTGATGTGTTGACTGGTTCAGATGAGAAGTGAAAGTGGACAACATTGTACTTTCGGGTCATGAACAGCTTTGCTTTTGCTTCGAGGCCTTGACTCTAGATAATGCCGACGATGCGACTCCCGCAGGCTAGGCTGGCCATTCAAAAAGAAATCAAAAGCTGAAAGTATAAGATTATGGGGCGATGATGCCATGATTGAAGGAACATGCAAAAGTAAGGTGAAGTTGCTTTTTGGGGACTAGACTCCAACTGATGATGCGTTGCGATATCCCCAAAACCGACAAACATTCGATTGAATTTAGATCTGTACAGCGTGATTGCTGATTGAGCTTCGGTAAGCTCTTATCGCGTGGCAAACGTGCTTTCAGTACGCTGCAGGAGTTGCAGGTTGCATGCAGACGATGGCTGAAGAATATGCACTCGCGAGGCAAGGAGCTCGAGTGATATTTGTCAAAAGCTACGCCGCCACAGCCGCATAGTACGAGAGAAAGGTCCTCATGGGTTGTGTTTGATGATCCTTTGCGGGCACAGCCGGGCCATGGAAGAGACCCCAGCTTCGAAGCACGGATCAGGACATCAAAGTGCGGGCAGCATGGACAGAGCAAAGCAGAGATAGGAGAGTTGAGGGTTTTCCGATGGGGCGACGATGTTGACTTTTGGAGTGCGACAGTCTACTCCTGAGGCTGAAGAAGCGTGGTTTAGCAGTCAGACACCGCACCAAAATGACTTGCAGATGCGGGTCGACTTGACAGATCAGCAGTGCAGGACTCGTAGTCGGATAGAAAAACTAAAAGCTCGATCAATGTACGAAGGACGGGATAGTCTACTCGGAACGCTGGGGCAGTGAACTAACTAACTTTGCCTCAGAGCTGTCGATGTGAGGAAAAGGGGTATCGATTCGACGAGTCAAAGGTCCCGTCTCGTCCAGGTACGCAGGGTAGAGGCCACGAAAAGTCTCCGTTTCAATATATGAGAGCAGGCCACATCTTACAGGTGGGTGCTCGAACACTCTGTTTCCGATTGTTTCTCCAGAGCCAAGGTCGAATGTGACGAGTGATTGATGTGTGTGCGTGTGTGTGATACTCCTCTCGTGCTGTCACAACTTTGATGTGATCATTGTGATACCTCGATAGGTTCTGTAATTGCTCAATCAGGAGAAAGAAAGTAGGGGATCAACGTATTAGTCCAAGGGGGTTTCTAGGTGGTGCATTAAGTAGAGAGTGCATTCCTTCCCATTAATTCCCCGAATGGACACCCGTTGAGACTTTTTATTCAGCGTTGCGGGTCCAATGGCTCGATCGGTGGTCTATCGTCACATAGTGTGGCTAGACCCCTGAACACACGCACGCCCACGCCCGTTCCTGAAGAAGGCCAGAGGCTAGGAAATACTGAACTGTACAGTCGTCGAGGAGAGGCCGGATGGCATGGCGCACCGTAGCATGGCATGGCATGGCATGGCATGTGGTACAGGATGATCGTAGTGGGTGGAGGTCGCTCGTTGCTGGTGGGCTCGTCTGCCAGACCCCCTGATTTGCGCCTGGACGTCGGCGCCCCATGCTGCAAACTTTAGTGGTGGGCGAGAAACGGCAATCGTTGTGGTTGCTTGGTGCTGCTTGGTGCTGCCGTTCTGTCCTGTGGTGGAAGCGTTGCATTTCTATCTCTCCAAACTCTATACTGAACTTGTATTTTTATATCTTATATCTCTATAATCCGCCATCCTCCACCGCTTTCCACTCCGCGGTTGGCGACTGCTCTGCCATCAGCGCATCGGCCTCGACAGCGCGGATGCGATACTGGGAGCGCTGGGATCTTGCCTCTCCCCCCCGCCTAACCGCCGACGATTCTCGGTCTCTTGTCTTAGAGATAGACGGAAAGCAGCAGATTCGATAGTCCTCCCCTTTTTCCAATTGCGACCCGAGACCGACGGCATTACACTTTTCCTTCGCTGGAGAAGGCGTCCAAGAGGAGATTGTGTGGTTTGTGTAGGATAGAGTTCAAGATCGAGCAAAGACAGGGTCAAGGCGTACGGTACGGTCGAGGGCGTTTATATCACCACCACGACGTGGAGAGTATAAGATTCGGAACACAAACGACCACATCCACACCTGCTGCAACACTGTACCACGCGCACCGACCGAAGCAGGCCCGATGCAGCCAGTTCGAGGTTGAAAATTTGACCGAGTTCGACGACGGACGATAAGTGAGGGACAGGATAACGGGTCGACGAGAAGGAGGTATAGAAGTCGGGTCGGCAACAGCAGAAACAGCAGAAGAGAAGACAAACGACGGCGAGGTGTTCTGGTTGTCAGCATACCGTCCTCTCGAACTATTCCAGGTTCTGGAAGGCAGAGTAACCCGCTTGGAGTCACAATACGGACAATAGGGAATAAGTGAGTGTGACGCGCTGGGGATCTGACTCGTCCCTTCCCTTCCCTCTTCAACAATACTTCGTTCCGTCAGTACCTGGGTAGGTTCTTCACCACGCAGTCATCCGTCGAGGTCTTTGGCGGATCTGCGAACGCACGACCGCAAACCGCACGCCGTCGGGTCGCAGCACGAATATCGCGCGCCTCTCATCTCATCTCATCTCAAACCCTCAATCGATAACAATCATTTATCGCGGACTCGCTCGCTGGTGGCGGCTCCCGCTGCTACATATTATTTGTCGTGGTCCAGTCCAGGGACAAGCAGGGATCCTGAGAATTATCAGCCGAAGGCGGTTTAGTAAGTTCCGGCCTGCGACGAAAGACATCGATGTCGAGTCGAGATGGGCGACCAGCAACCCCTTCCCCTTCCATTCCATGTGGGAACTGATCATCCTCCTCCTCCTCCTCCCATCTCCTCTACTTCTGCTTCTGCTTCGTCCTCGACTGCTCGCGCCGGCGCCCGCCATCAGAGGTCTTCTTCTTTCAACTCACCACTGCGACCAAAGAGCCGGGAACGTACCGCTACCACCGCTACGCCTGTCTCCACCCAGAATGTCCTCACTTCGAAATCTGTAACTGCTTCCGAGCAAGGGGCCAACAACCTCAATCGCTGGTCCAAGTCGACGTCCTCGAGTGCCGCGAGCAATACACACAAGCGATCGAGTTCTTTCACGCGACGGATGTCTTTTGGGGGAGGTGCCTTTCTCGATACTGCGCCAAGTCCCCCGCGCAAGCTACAGAAAAATCGTCCCTCCACCGGCACGTCGCCCTCACAGCCCAGGATTACGCGGACCGCATTCGACCCTTCATTGATCAGCTTGCCTCCGATAAATACTTTACCCAGCCTGCAGACGTCGGTGGGCAGTAATTCCTCTCCATTGACTGGTGCTACAACCCCATCTCCATCGACCGCCCAGATCTTATCCGCCGCGGCTCGTTCCGTCGACTATTTTGGGAGGTCCTGGGAGGATTCGACCCTAGGTCCGAAGGATTTTTCACAAAAGCGAAGCGTATCCGTGACGAGATCTGCGACTCTGGGGCCGTCACCGGTGCTGGGACCGAAGTATACACAGAACGGTGGAGCGAGCAGGCAGCCGGTGGAGGAAGAGCGACCGCGCTCGAGGGGACACTCGAGAAACCGCTCACAAGGGGCGAAAGGCAGTTCAGGTACGGGATCGTCCAACAGGAGCTCCAAACAACCTTCGCAGAAAGCAATGCTCTCCAAGGCGCTTCAGAAGGCGAACACGGCTGTGCTGCTTGACAATGCGCAGAATTTCGAGGGCGCCATGCAGGCGTACTCGGAGGCATGTGGACTTTTACAGCAGGTAATGTTGAGAAGCTCTGGAGATGACGATAGGCGCAAGTTAGAGGCTATTGTAAGTGCTGGAATATTTGCTACGTATAGCATCACTAACCCACTCGGCAGCGCAATACCTATACAAGTAGGATAAGCGAATTGAAGAAGATTGCGCCACATCTCGACGATTCAAGGAAGGCCGGCAAGGCTTTACCCGCACGACCAGAGAGCAACGATTATAAGACGGATGACCTGTCGTCACCAATAGATGAGGAAGAAGAGGCTGCTGTCATCGAAACAGCTACTGTCACGAGGATTGTCAACGATCCGTCTTATCTTTCCGACCAACAAACTCGATCAATACCGACGTCTCAATTACCACTAAGAAGAGAATCGCTGTTACCGTCAGGTTCAGAATCGCTGCAATATCGATCCAAGAACATAGGGGACCAATATGCTGGGCGAGCATATTCAAGGTCACCTATGCGAGAGCGCATGCAAGAATCAAACCTCAACCTCGCACCACCTATGGAGAGCATGTACATGCCACCGCCACTTTCTCCACGACGACCCTCTTCACCCATGACACATGGACCTCAAAATACTAACCATGAGAGACAACAGTCCTCAGATCTATCTACCTCAAACTTGTCGGGTATAGCGGTAACGAGGGGCCACAACCGCGCACCTAGTAACGAATCTATGTCTTGGCTGGACACTATTGACGAGTCTGGAGATTCGGCTGTCTCATCTGTTCATTCGCGGTCGTCGTCAATGGGCGTCAGACGGAAGCATATTCGTGCTCCTAGTGGTGCAACGGAAACCGAGTTTGATACAGCATTAGATGCCGCCATCGAGGCTGCTTACGATGAAGGCTTTGAGCCAATGGATCCGTCCGAACCCTCTCGTTGTGATTACGAAAATGATGACGAGATTGTCGCTAATGTCAGACGCAAGGTAGAATTAGCGAAAGAGAGAGTACGGGAGACGGAACGTGAAATGGAACGGGAGGCTGCAATTCAAGAAGCCCGAGAGCGGGAAAGGAAACGACTGCTTCGACAAAAGGTGGAAAGGCAGAACAGTACAGAAGCTGATTATGACGGCAATGAATCGGAAGAAGAGGAACGTATGTTGGAAGAGATGACCAGGGGTTATGTTCTTGATGACTTCGAATTTGGACTACAGTCAAAGTCTGCTCTGCCTAGAGAATCAGACTCTAGCGGGTTTTCAGGGAGGACATGGCATAGCTCAACTGGATCCAATCCGACTACGGCTGGTACAACACTGTCGACCGTTGCCGAGACTTTTACAATACCCGATATACCTTCAAAGTTGTCAAAGACAGCACCACCATTACATCCTCCTCCGGCTCAAGCACTTCCACCTCCGCCGCCATTAACTCAACCTCCTTTAGCTTTCTCCAATTCTCAGAGTGTACGCAGTCGACGACTGTCTGGTCAGAATGCCAAACAGCTCAAGATCGAAACAACAGTCAAAGCGCCTATGGGACAATCTGGACCCTTGACGCAACCTCCATTGATGCCACCGCCTCGGCTTCCAGATGGTACCGATGCTACTCAACCGAAAAGTGCTGGACTCCTACAGCGTCAACCCTTACCTCCGCCCATGGGACGCCCACCTATACCGCAGACAGCTCGGCAAGCTTCTTCGCCATATCCAGCTCCCAGTCCTTCAGAAATCATCTCTCCTCCAACGCCTACTCTCACTCAGACATATACTAATGATAGTGACCTGAATGGACAACTACCTCGATCCGGATCTCCAGGCAGAACTCAATCGAGGTCTGGCCTGCGGAAAAACTTTTCGTCATCTAGTCTGAAGAACATGAAAAGTCGAAACCTCTCTGTGTCTAACATTGACCATGATTCCGACATATCTCCAAATACGCCTTTGAGCTCACAATTCAACCCAAGAGATCCAGGCGGAAGGATACCCACAATGCCAACTCTACCGACACCAATTGCAATGGCTTTCAGAGAAAAGATGAACGGTATGCCAGCTGGTGGAATGCACCTCTTTGATAGCGACATCCATTCTCCTGAAAGTCCAGGCTCGCCAAATCCATTGAGCTCTGGTGCACCAATCCCACTCGAACCTTGTCCCACTGAATATCTGCTTCGGCCATTCTGGCTAATGCGAGCTCTATACCAGACCATTGCACATCCTCGTGGCGGATACTTATCAACTAAACTCTTCGTCCCAAGGGATGTGTGGCGAGTAAAAGGTGTGAAAATCAAGGGCCTGGAGGATAAGATTGCCAATCTTGACTTCTTGACAGCGGCACTGTTGAAGCTGGCTCAGGTGGACACCTACGATGCCGATGCCGTCTTGGAAGAGATGCAGGCTCTGGAAGGCGTTCTCGAGCAAGTTCAAGCCACCCTCTCCAAGAAACTGGGTAATGAGGTCGGAGTTCAGGGCTCTGGAGGCATGTTCAAGGATGCTCATCTTGGTGGAGATGGAGAAACAGCCACTCTCAATTCGAAGTCAGGAAGCATGTCCAGCAAGTCTTCTACATTCTCGTGGCGAAGATTAAGGTCGAAGAACTCTGGTGTCAACTTGTCAAGTGCATACACAAACAAGACACCCACAGAAGGTCCTAAGGAAGGTCTTACGATGCCGACTCTACCCATGACAGCAACCTCGGTTGCAAAGGTACGATTTGCCAAGAGAGATGTCAATCAGATACAGTTCACGGGTCCAAATGCGAACTACATGAGTGCGCTGGCGAGGCTCTTCGACGCCGCGCAGACCATTGGTAAGTTGATTCTGAGTGTTGTTACCAAAACACTTCTAACTTTCTTTATAGATCAAATCGCACGTCAAGTAGAGGACCCTGGACTTCGACACGCTGATAAGACACAAGTCGGTCTAGAACTCTGTACTCGCCACGCAGCAGAGTTCTTCGGCTTCTACATCTGCCGCTTCGTCCTGACAGATGTAGGCATGCTCCTAGATAAATTCATCAAGAGAGGGAGCGAGTGGGTTCTCATCTGATGACTGACATAACATGTGGCATATATGTTTGCTGTATACAACAACTTGTTTTGGAACACAAAACGCTGTTTGGCTGGCTGGTTGGTGATAACGATTCATGATTGGCGTTCCTCTTTCTTTTAACATAACATATTACCCTTTTTTTCATTCGTCTTGGTTTTTGCTCTTGACGATACCATACCATACCAAATATCATTCTTTTTGTTGAATGAATCAGCGAGCGTTTGTACGCGTTTGTACCGAGCTAGAGAGAGGGGGGTTTTAAGATTTAGAGGGCAAAGAGAGGGCAAAGGAGGCAAGGGAGGGGTTGGAGTGTTTGCTGTGCTATATTGGCTGATCAGATAGTGGTGGTGGTGGATGGATGGGGAGTGTATATTTGAGAAGAATGAGATTTGAATGGCTTCTTTTTGTGACTGTGCGCGTGATGTGTGAGTGTGAGGTGGTGAGAACGGAGATTTTGAGGTGTGGATAGCTGGTATTTGAGACGGACAATGGGTTGGAGGGATGTATGTGCCAAATGGATAGATAGGTATGGATATCTGCTCAATCACAAACACAAACCCAAACAATAACTAAGCTCTCTCCTCTCCTCGGGGATGCTCAAAATCAACATCAACATCGCCACTACCTGATATCTCTCTCCCAGGAAACACAAACCGTTTCTTTGTTGGAACCAACCCAAGAAAGAAAGAATTCCCCATCTAACCGCAGACCTTTGAAAGTCGGCGTTGAAACCTCAAGAGCAGCGAGGTGTAGGATTTCTCGGTGTGGGATATAGACTTGTGGATAGTAAGTAGTGACGGATATTAAGATGGTTGGTTTGCCCAGTTGACGATGTGAGTCATCAGAAAGAATTTGATGTTGGATAGAAAGGGGAGTGAGTGTCTGCGCTCTGGACTAAAATAAGCTCGGGGGGTGAAATACACTACATCTTGATGTACCGGTAGGAGGAAGGGAAGGGAAGGGGAATAGGTAACGAGCTGTTATCATCAAGATTTTCTCCCATTGCGAAAAGAGATGCGAATAGTGCAGTACTGAGTACTCTATGCACGGAAAACGACTCATGAGATGAGAGAGGAAATCATGTTTTATGTGCATACTGTTCGTAATTTCATACACACACTAACAGGGTATCTAACCTCCATCCTCCTCACCGATCCTTGCGCCTATGGAATATATACACACCTCCCCCTCCCCCTTTCCCTTTCCCTTTCCCTTCCCCTTGCCCTTTCCCTCTCACCCACCGCCGCCCCCACTCTCCTCAAATAATCAAATACAAACTACAAAGCAAACTCGGGCCCGTAAAGATCCCGATCCAAAAAATCAGATTCCCCAACGTCGCCCGTCCCTTCAACCACCGCGTCCGACTCAGCTGCACGAGCGGGATCTGCATCATCTGCAGAAACAGCAGATAGCCCCTCAACTTCTTAAACAGGCACCACATGACCAACTCATGGACGCAGGCGCTGAGGAAGAACGTGATGAGCGTCGCGGTGTACTTATTGACCTTCATGCTGGAGATGCTGGAATGGTAGACGTGGCGCAGGAGGAAATTGTGGACGGGGCGGTTCCAGTCGCGGGCGAACTGGTCCCAGGAGACCGAGTTCCACCAGTCGGCGTAGAAGCCGCGGTCCGCGAAGTAGGTGAGTTCGGCGAGGAGGTTGAGGATGCATTCCCAGATGACGTACCAGGTCATCATGTACTCCATCATGAAGGGGAAGATGAGGTCGCTGAGGATCCAGGGGAAGTGGGCGAGGCGGTCGGGGAGGGAGAGGCCTGCATCTTTCATCTCCATGGTGTCGATGACGACCGGGTAGATGAAGGCTTGCGAGACCATGTTCATTACGCCTAGGACACCGATTACTGCGATGCCTTTTTCGGCTACGTAGTACCAGTTTATTGAGTCGGAGCGGGGATATTCGAGTTCGTAGACTAGAGTCGGGAGGACGATGAATTCGTAGTGGTTGGAGACAGTGAGATTTTGTGGATAGATTTTCCCTCCTTTGGTGGATTTGCCTTTTAGGTCTTCTGAAAGAGCATCAATTTCCCAATTGATGATTCGCTCGAAAGTCTGAATCTGATCAATGTCCAGAGGTTCGCCAGATTCGATGGCAGCGGCTATCTGAAGGATGTTTGAAGCTCCATCGTCTCCAGAGATACTTTTACGGCGTTGATTGAGATCTGTTGCTGTAGGTCGTTGGTCGAGATACGAAGTTACTAGTGAAGAAGCTCTTGGGGTTGTGTCTGAAGGCGTTTTGACAGGCGAAATAGCTTCAAGCTGTTTGAGCTTCCGTAGAAGAGTTGCTCGCATCTTGTATGCCTCGGAAAGGTGACCATTGTCTGGATATTGATTAGCAATTACTCTTGGATTATTTTCAGTAGACATACAGAAAGCGTAGGAATGTTGCTTCATAAGCATCACAATGCCATGAAGCACGAAGAACACTGTATGTGTCCATGGCCATTCTCGGAACAAAGTCCATCCTAAGACTGCAACGAGATATAGTGCCTCCCAAACCTTCAGGATTGTCAGTAATTAGAACCTCGTCTCCAATCCGGTCAAACTTACACTTTGTATAATCCATCCCTCTCTGTTCCAACTGATCCACCCTTTGAAAATCATCCATTGCAAGATCAGACCAAAGCCTGTAGCACCACAAAGCACTCCATCGGACAGTCCTAGAACCATAACATCTCGTCTAAACATAAGTCCCATGATCTCATTACTACCAAGGATGTTTCCATATTGTCTCCAATTCTCGGCTCCAAGCTTGATAGTAAACAAAGCCGTACCCAACCAGAATAGCGTGAAGAATCCATGGAATGCTGAATCGGCGCTATCTGCGTTTTGGCGGTCAAAGGCAGTAAATTGTCTTGTGAAGACTAAATCACTGAACTTGCTTCGCCGTTTCTTTGCTCCTGCCGGATCCTTTTCCTGCTTCGCGTTAGCATAAAATATATAGTTTCCCGTTCCATATTGAAATTACCCTCTCTATCCCCGATTTCAAGATATCCCTCAAAGCTTCATCGTCTGCCGTCAATATATACCGTCCCTTCTCCTTCAACTTATTCAAAGTAACAGGTATGCTTTTCAACCTCGGTGCTCCAGGTCGCGTATGCGGCACTTTCAAAGCTTCATAACTCTTATGTCCGTTGCCATTCCCATCCAATTCCGGCGTACTCTGTGTTCTCACGACCTCCTCCTCATACCCTCCCCCTTTCCCACCACCAACCACAGCCGCAGGATCGTGCTTCAAATTATCGTAATCCTCCTCGCTAGTCTCGCTCGTCGTATCCCCAGAGCTATTCCTTCTCGAATCGGTTGCTGCATCGAGAGCAGTTTTCAGTGAACGAGGAGGGTTCGAGCGAGATGGCTTTGCGTATGCGGGGTCTGCTTCTAGGCTTGCGATCCCATCTGCGTTCAATTGACCGACTAGTTGGGGTACTTTGTCTATTGAGGAGGTTCGACTTGCGATTTTTGGTGGCGCGTTGCCAGAGCCGTGCCGTAACATGGCGCAGAGCTTGTAACAGCTTGCTGGAAGTGCTGGCAGAGCAATTGAGAAGCAATATTTCTTTTCTGCTGCGATTCGCAGATTCAGATGTGCAGGCGGTAAGGTAGTCCTTTGCGGCGCAAAGAAAATCTGAGTGTTGAGATTCGCTTCAGAGAATTCTAAAGAGGTCAGAACCGTTCCTGCCGTTTAAGCAATTGAAGCAATAATAGCTTGGTGTGAGGAACTGAAGCCTACATGAAAATTCTAGAAGTTGTATATTTGTGTTGCGAAACGGTGGGCTTATTACCGCGAAGGCCTCGCAAGGCTGTGTTCTGTGATCGACGTCGTTACATCAAGGATCACCACTTCGCAACACATCCAGGGGAAGGCGATGCACGTCCGGCGGCTGGATATAAGTTGCGTGAGTGAGTGCACGTCGGGAATTCCGGAGCTGATTGATTATTGATTAAGGATTATGTCTGCTCACGCAGGCAAATATTAAAACAAGAAAATGGGATTGGAAGCACGAAGAGTCGGACGGAAGTAAATGAGTGAGGATGGGCTGAGAAGTACAAAGAGACTTGGATCTGGTGGATGTACAGCTTATGGGATGGGGTCATGATCGGGAGCTTATTAGAGAGAGCGCCTCGGGAGCGATGCAGTGCGTCGATACGTAGGCCATGGATTTGCTGACGGTCATCGAGCTTCCTTCGTTGGGGGTTTTGCAGATCCGTCGTGTGATGGGGATAAGCAGTGAGTCCAGACTTGGAATGGGGTTACTTGGCACGGACAAGATGGGAATAGAGATACATTATGGCCAGAGCGGAGGGGAGCAGATGGCGCGGTTAGCTGCAGTTGCGAGAGGAGCAAAGGAGGCAAGGAGCAAAAAAAAGAAGAAGGGTTGTTTGTTGACTGTTCTGTTGTCAAAATGATGTCAGACACCACCAGCAAACCAACCCCCCAGCGACTCAGAATCCTCCCGATATCCGACTGCCTGGAGCCACAATCACAGGGCTGGCCCGCCGAAATGCAAGGGCGGCAACTACTGTACCGCCCTGCATCATTTGATCCTACAGTATTTAAATCTGCATCAAACTCCCGCTGAAAGTAAACTTTTCGGCGTCCAGACGTACCCGAGTGCCGAGCAATCTGATCTTCCACAATTGTCTCCTTCTTTCCTTACTTGACAGATGGCGAATGTCGGTAAAAGTCTGAAAGTCTCAGCTTGTGAAAATGTCTTACCTCGCGATATCATGATTCAGTCTTATCTGTCTACCCCTCACTGTCTAAGACCGAAGATACCGGCGGCCAGTCGGGGAAGACGAGGTGTATTCGTGATCGTATTCGAAATCGAATTATGTATCGAGATTGATGCCGGATGTTTTGTCTGGTTCTTCTCGGACGACGGGCTTTATCAAATTTCATGTGATTTTTGTCTCATATGATCCGCTCTGCAGGTGTTGAACCTTGAACCTGACATTATCTCTGCCTAGAAAGTAAACTTTCTTGAAGATGGCGAGGATGGATGTTGGAATCATTTCTTTGCCGCCTGATATGATTCATTCTGAGAATGTTGAGCTCAGAATATGACGTGGTCCTTGCCTGATTGCGAGTCGGATAATGAGCTCTCTATATGAAGTCTTTCCAAGCAAAGCTTTTCCTTCAAGCGTCCTTGAATTCAGTACAAGATGGTCTTCGAGTCGGACATTGCTGCTGTATAAGACATATGCAGATCCACTATGTATACTTACTTTCCAGGAAGACCCTCCTCTTTTCTGAAATTTGTCCTCGACATATGTACTTCTCCCTCTTCTTCTAAGGTGGAACATCACAACCTAGACAGATAAGAGCACTATATAGTCGTGGCTTTGAAACTGATTTTACCTTCATTTTGCTTCGGACATTTAACGAATCTGAATTCCAGATTCAATTTCAAAGCTTTGCACGCTTTCTGCGCGGATTGCGCATTCCGCGCTATTCGCGCTTTAAGCGGGATTTGCGCTCTTTCTCTCGCTTGCGTTCCTCCTTGACACTGTCCTACCCACTTCAAATCTCTGCTCTTTACTGGATATAGATTTTACGGCCTACTAGACTGACACATCCAGCGTCTACTATCACACTGCGAGTTTCTCCAACTTTAATACAATTACTCTTTAAGGCATGCAAACTATCAACCTGCAAAATCTGTATCCAAGTTCTCCAAACTATTACGAACTTTTAAGCACATACTTCTGTTTCCATCAGCACATCCAAGCACCCGCAATAGCAGCCAAGAACCCCAGAAAAGGAACACTAGGCTTGAATATCCTGCTGAGAGACTCGGGATGAAACTGCACACCCCCAAACACCAAATCATGTTTCTCCAAAGTTGAGATATAGGCCGGCTACACTTCCTAACGATGTCAGTGTCGTTCTTTGACTACGACGCCTTCCTGAGGTGCCTCTGAGAGCGAGGAAGATTTCAAGTAGAGAGCGTATAGTTTACTCTCGTCACTTACAGCTTGGAAGTGCGTAGGTCTCACGCCCATTTCATAGTACCACCAAGATCCTCGCGTTCAATTTCGGGCATAACATTACGACAGGGTGGGCAGTGTTTGTATCCACTGTTGCTATTCACAAAAGTCCCTCGAAAATCTTCGAGGAAACGGGGAAACGAGGAAACTTACGCTTCACATCTTCCACGCCACACACATTCCTTGCATACTCGATAACAGTAATCTGCATACCAAAATAAATACCTAGAAAGAGAATCTTATTCTCTCTATCCCATCTCGTGGCTGCAATCGTACCTTCAGTACCACTAGTCCCAAATCCTCTGGGAACGAGAATATTACCAGCTGCACGGATAACGTTCTAAGCTTTCTCATACTCTTCTAGTGAAGATTCCTTCGTGGCTTCTTCTAGATGAGAAGCATCGACCCTGACAAGAACCAGTTCACGTTTGCTAGTTATAGAAGAATGCCTTTGCCAACGCCACTGATGACGCCTATACAAATCAGGAGTTATCTCGGCGTGGTTGGAAAGTAGTACTTGCCTCTAGATACTAAGACGTACTTCAGGATCGCGGTATCTAATCTTACCTGATGCCTTTGAAGATAGGGGATTTTGTGTAGCCCCTGCGGTTCCTTACACCGCAGGTTTGCAAGGAAAAGAAAGCAAAATGGCGTTCGAGTTCTTAAATATGATTTCAATATGTGTCTCTTACACCAGGCGTATGCTTCGAAGCAAGAGGAACTGTAAATACCAGGCAGCTGGGGAGCAGCTATCTAGTCTAGAATACTAGTTCCCATCGGTTGAGTAATATTAGTTTTGGCACGGTTGTAATCAGTGAAGATGGTGAAGTGAATTCATGGTATCTCTAATACTCCAAACAAGTGCCTGCTGAAAAGTCATGACAACCTCACCTCTCCCCCTCTAACCCAAAACACCAGCCCCAACCAACCCAGCCCACGTACTTCCCATCTCCCTCGCCACATCCCCCGGCGTCCTCTCCGCCTCATCCTTCAACCCCCTAACATCATCCCCGTCCCCACCCAACCTCCTCTCCGCACCCATCGTCTCCGCAGCACTCACCACCTCCCCCGGAAACACACCCGTCTCATTCCCACTCCCCACCCAAAGTAACAACCAAACCACCTCCTCCTGCCCCTTCTCCACCGCAACATGCAACCCCGTCCTCCCCTCCTCCAACGGATCCTGCCACCTGATAACTTCACCCGGCCGCATACTCTCGTCCTCATCCTCATCGAGATCCTTCAGCAGCTCGACGATGCCAGAGACATCGCCCTCGGCACACATAGTCATGAAGGCTCGCGCTGGTCGATGGCCGGGGTTGGCGTCTAGGTACGCTTCCTCGGTGATGAGGGGCAGGATATCGAGGTTCGGTTGGATGCCGCCTTCGTTGTGGTAGCGGGCTAGGATCTGAGGCTCGGGGTTTGAGGGCGGGAGGAGGGTGTTGGTTGCTGAGGGGCCCGGGCGAGGGGTAACGATTGCGTTGGAGCAGGCGGGACAGGCGAGGTCGAGGGCGATTTGGGGGGATTCGTCGAGGAGACATTGCCTGGTCTGGGGGTTAATGTTTGGGTTTGTAGGAAGTAGAGAAGATAACATGGGAAGTGAACATGCAGTGATTATTGAAATCTAGAAGATATAAAAAGCAGAAGAGTATAAGACACGTGATGCGAGGAAATCTTGGAGGCTTCGACTTGAGACCTTGATAGACAGACGTGAAGTGCTATGAGAGACTTGAATGGCAGGCATATAACGAGACCTTAAACTGAATAGTAGAGACAATATAACATACCAATGAAAGTGACAGCCACAAGCCAAGAGCAGATCATCAGGCGCAGTTTGAGGTTGCCCTACAGAGGAAGAAGTAGCCTCATCGAATGAATCTGAATCAAGCTCAATGGTCAAAGCCTGTGAGCAGAGGCGACAGACGGTCATTTTGGGTATTCTTATTGAACTGAGATTGAAAAAATCCTGGAGTCGTGAAGTTGGAGGTTGAGGAGATAGCTCCGAAGTGGAGCGGAAAAAGTTTTGGCAAAATTCTTAAGTTCATGAAGACGTCACGGACAATCAAGTCAAAATTGACCACATTGAGAAGGACAGACATTTTGCGAAAGTCAATTTCTGACTTCTTGATTCGTTGAAGTCTTGGTCTATGTCTAGTCTATGTCTATTCTTTATGTAGTCCGCCACAATTACCAGCGCCTCCATGGTCAAGAACGGGCAGGTATCTAAAGCTTGAAGCAGAGGACAATTGGTCTTCGCTATCCGAGTGAGTCCAGCATTCACAGTGAGTGAGCAATATGCCAGACGCAAAGAAGATTGCGTGTATATATCATCTAAGGTTTCGAGTCTTTTCCATCCTTAGGAGCTGGTTGAGAGATATACTTCGTGTGCGAAGCAGTAGCAACCATGGGACCAGGCTTGCCATCAACCAGTTTGGATATCTGGATCGTAGTAAATGCTACTGATCTCCCAACCTTGTTTGCAATGGACTCGATGTGAATCGTCTCTCCCACCTGCGCAGTCCCAATGTATGTAACATGTATATCGATCGAGGCACCGGTCTTCTCAAGTCCATGAGTTGCTATAGCTAGACCACCGCTCCAGTCCACTAATGCCGCACTGACAGCTCCATGTATCGTGCCTCTAGAATTGACATGATTCTTTCCAAGCGTGAGCTGAGCGGTGACGGTCCCTTTCGCAGCAGATATTATCTCAACCTCGGACAAGAGAAAGTCGTAAATAGGAGAGTTGCCTCTCATTCGCTCCCAGACACCTTTGACGTGCTCCAATTCGGAAGTAGAAGCCATTGCGAGGTTTGCAGAATAGTTGCCTAATCAAGGTTGACGCGGAGAAGAAGGTCGTCGTCAGCAGGAGGCAAGAGGCTGTCAAAAATACCTATTCCTGGAGATTGGACGATAGCCTTGCTAGCACCAAGAGTTGGCTCAACGCCAAATCGGACGAATGCGAGAATTCTTTACGATCCGAAGAGGTGTACGGGCAGTCTTGGCAGACGTCCCGAGGTGCCGCTGTAAGTGGGTGGCTTTTTGAGTTGTCGGTGTTTCGAAGAGAAAGGAAGATCAGTGCCTGACGAAATTACGTGGAAGGGAATCGTGGCGGGGTCAAGCGAAGTTGGAAGGAGGCTTCCAATTCAAACCAAGAATTGCTCAAAGTCACAACACAATCGCAAACATTCAGCGCTTTTCTTGACTTTGGAGATTCACCATTCTTTTTACTCAACTCGATTTCTGACCGGTGCAGAAGAGCTGTTGGAAGGACGGATATTGTCTTGCGACAGCGACGGAACCAAGCATTCAGCCCACCAAACCTACCCCTCGTCGGCGCGTTTTTACCTGATTGCCCAACAACAAGCACGATTTGAGGCTGGCGCATTTCGATAAACCAAAGCTCATCATCAAAAGGTCTCATTATGAACGTGATCAAGCTTCAGAGGTACGCTTTGTACCAATACCATATCTTCCGGACGATGCTGACAACCTACCAGGAAGTATCCTCAATTCGCGCAGGATGAGATCTTTGGCCTTCAAGATGCATTTCGCAAGCTAGATGTGGATGACAAGGGATACATTGACGAGGCGACTGCGATCAAGGCAACTCAAAGTAGTGAGAGACAACCATACGATGTGGTCCGTCAGGCATTAAAGGAGGTTGAGCTGGACTCTTCGAGGAGAGTCGAGTTGGATGATTATGTTGGGGTGAGTGATTCTACTTTGTGCAGGTCGGAGACTCTTCTTTTGAAAGCTTTGATGCATAGGCAGGAGTATTGTTCTGATACCGGACATTCATGCATAAGCTCCAGATGCTCTGCCATACCCTTCAGAACATTGCAGGGCCTGCATCTTTCTTCCCTAGCCTTGCTAACCTCTCTATAGCTTGTTTCCAAGCTCCGCGAATCTTCTCCAGCTCAGAAGCGAGTATCTACCGGCCCGGTATCTCCAGCTCGTGGTGGAATGGTCTCGCAACAAACGGGAGGTGGACATGCTTCGAAAGGAAGTGTCAGTGGACGCATTCAAGTCCAAGGGTCTTCAGCAAATGTCACTCACACCATCAACGAGGACGAGAGAACCGAGTTCACAAGACATATCAATGCTGTCTTGGCTGGCGATCCAGATATTGGAAATCGGCTGCCATTCCCCACGGACACCTTCGAAATGTTCGATGAGTGCAAGGACGGATTGGTGCTGGCCAAGTTGATCAACGACAGTGTGGCAGATACTATTGATGAGCGTGTGTTGAACCGACCTGGCAAGAAAATCAAGACCTTGAACGCCTTCCATATGACCGAGAACAACAACATCGTTATCGAATCTGCGAAAGGTATTGGTTGTTCAGTCGTGAACATTGGAAGTGGAGACATTATCGAGGTTCGAGAGCATTTGATCTTGGGCTTGATTTGGCAGATCATCCGAAGAGGTCTTCTAAGCAAGATTGATATCAAGCTTCACCCAGAATTATACAGACTTTTGGAGGAGGACGAGACTTTGGAGCAGTTCTTGAGACTGCCTCCGGAGCAAATTCTGCTGAGATGGTTCAATTACCATCTAAAAGCTGCAAATTGGCCTCGCAGGTGAGTTCTGAAATTAATAAATAGGAATGGTGGCTGACGTTTAGCAGAGTTCAAAACTTCTCCAGCGATGTCAAAGATGCCGAGAACTACACAGTCCTACTTGCTCAGATTGCTCCTGAGCACTGCGATCGAGGACCACTCCAAACACGCGATCTTCATCAGAGAGCAGAGCAGGTCCTTCAAAACGCTGACACCCTTGGTTGCCGGAAGTTCTTGACTCCATCATCCCTCGTAGCTGGAAACCCGAAGCTTAACTTGGCGTTTGTCGCAAACTTATTCAACACTTGGCCAGCATTAGATCCTATCACCGAGGAGGAGAAGCTTCAAGTGGACGATTTTGACGCAGAGGGCGAGCGGGAAGCAAGAGTCTTCACCCTTTGGCTCAACAGTCTCGACGTTCAACCAGCTGTCAACTCGTTATACGATGACTTACGAGACGGCACAATCCTTCTGCAAGCCTATGACAAAGTTGTGAAAGGTTCAGTTAACTGGCGTCACGTGAACAAAGCTCCAGCACACGGTGGAGAGATGTCAAGATTCAAAGCAGTCGAGAACACAAATTATGCTATCGAGCTTGGGAAGCAGATGAGATTCTCGCTCGTGGGAGTCCAAGGAGCAGATATCACCGATGGACAACGCACCTTGACCCTTGGTCTCGTCTGGCAACTCATGCGTAAAGACATTTCTGAGACTTTGTCAGCACTCGCTCAACGATTAGGCAAGCGCGAAATCACCGATTCTGAAATGGTAAAATGGGCAAATGAGATGTCTCGAAAAGGCGGCAAGAGCTCTGCCATCCGCTCATTCAAAGATCAAACCATTGGCTCCGGTGTTTTCCTGCTTGATGTCTTGAACGGGATGAAGAGCAGCTATGTCGACTACGATCTTGTGACACCAGGCAGAACAGACGATGATGCATATCTGAATGCTAAGCTCAGTATCAGTATTGCGAGAAAGATGGGTGCGACCATCTGGTTGGTACCAGAGGATATTTGCCAAATCAGAAGTCGATTGGTTACTACTTTCATTGGTAAGATTATTTTCCTATGCCCACTAAGTGCCGTCCTGACACATAATAGGCTCTCTAATGGCGACGCACGAGAAGATGCAGTAGAGAGGGATGAATGCATGAGTGAGACAATTGAGTTTCTGGTTCATACACCGAGAGTTTATGGTGGATGGCATTTTCGTGAGCAGGCTGTAGAAAAGTTTCCGTATGCGTGGGAGGAATTCTTGGTACTATTACGAGCAATGAAATTCTTTAAGCGCAAAGAGAAATGCAAGTCATGCTCTCAGTTGTTTATTGTATCCCACGCTCTTGGGAGCCCAGGAGCAGACACACATGGGATCATTGGACGTTGAACATTTTCATTCTAGATCCAAAGGACTCTCTGTTTGGTAATCCATGACGTCCCTCTCACACAGCGGGATATTCACCATATTTACCTCCTCTCTATCTTCAAGCTCAAAACAGCAGCCATCAGCAACCAGCCTCGCTAGTCTTTTTCTCCCAATCTTCATAAGCCATTGCCTCATCCTCCATCTTCTCCCAAGTCGTCGGCTTCTTATCCCCCCACCCCGCACCAAACAATCCCCAAATACAAGGAGGCCCCTTCATCCTCAACTCCGCCTTCCTAACATCCACCCTCCAATAAACCGCCCACCGGCCCCCAAACCACGACTGCGCCTGAATCTCCTCGTACCCATCTTTAGCACTCATCCCATGCTCCTGATTAAGATGTCTCCTCACATCCGTCAGATCCCGTCTAATGAAATCACAACGCTTGCACTGAAACGCGTCTACGATTTTCAATTCTGGCACTGGGCAGGAATCCTCGGGTCTGGGCGGGATGTCGGAGAATTCTAGCGGGGAGAGGGTGGAGAGGAGGTGTCTGAGGGAGGGACGGAGGGAGGCGGGCAGGTGGTGCTGTTTTCGGAGGTGGTCTGTTGTGCTTTTGGGGAGGAGGGCGGCTTGACAGATGCGGCATATTGGTAAGCCGGCTGGGTCGCTGAGGAGGAGTAGGAAGGGTTCTAGTTCTTGCGGTATTATGGGGAGAATCGGAGGTTGTGAGGTGGTTTGAGGATACATTTGGATTAGGACCATGGATCAAAACCATACATGGGGTTGAATGAGTGAGGAATTGACTCGCTGAGGATGAGGTTTAAATCTGACTCTTTAGACTAATTGTCCCGAGTTTCGGTTGCTGACCCAATCATGTGTCGATCCTTGCTCCTCTTCGAGGCGAATTCGTGGTTTTAATCCAAGTACTGTGGTTTAAGTTCAATGTGCATTTCCAATTGCTCCGTATTCCCTGAAGCAGAGTTCTATATGATGATACAAAATGTGTACTGATTAGCAATCGTCTGGTTGTGAGTTAGTAGGAAGTTCACGTGATACTTACCAGTGTAAGAATATATAGAGCTCTTCCCACTTGGAATTTCTGGTTTGGAGTACACATATCCATTCTCAGCATAGCCAAGCATCTTTAATTGCCGCCAGTATGGTCAAAATCGCAATAGCTGGTGGCTCGGGGCGTACGTCCACAACTCACTTCCTGTTGTCTTCAATTTTGAAGAACTTCAACTGACTTACACAAACAGACATCGCCAGTGAAGTCATTGACGTCTTGGCAGCTACCAAGAAGCATGAAATTATGATACTCTCCCGCAAGGTGAATAAAATGAAGAAGTCCTCAGTCTCTCTTGTTGACCAACCACTAGGAACCTGCTACTGCTGAGACGAGAACGGGTGTTTCTTGGGTCAAGACGGACTACTCAGAAGAGAAACAGCTCACGAAGATTCTCGAAGGCGTGCATACTGTTCTTTCGTTCACGGTGGCACACTTGGACCCAAGTAATACTGTGCAGAAGATGTTGGTCACTGCTTCAATTGCGGCTGGTGTGAAGCGTTTTGCTCCAAGCGAATGGTCGAGGTAGGAACCTTTCCGAAGACCATTATGGTATCAAGCAAAAGATTTGTCGTGCTGACTGGGAATTGTCACAAAAAGTGCCAGCCTCGAGGAATTGCCGTGGTACGCGCCGAAGGGCGAAATGAGAGAATATCTAGCAAACATCAACAAGGACAAGAAGGTGAGTTTGAGCTCTTGACCTATTACGAACTTCCCCATTTCTGACAACAAATCCACAGGTTCTCGAGTACACTCTGTTCCAGCCTGGGATGCTTACAGACTACGTTGCACCTGAAGGCACCAGCAAGCACCTAGTGCCTCCTGAACTCTGGATGGACTTCCCAAATCGCCGAGCAATTACCCTTGATGGGAAGGAAGGTTTTGTCACTTTGACCACCATGAAGGACGTCGCCAACATCGTAGCTCGAGCTATCGAGTACACTGGCGAGTGGCCTGTAGTTGGTGGGATTCGTGGAACTGATGTATCCATGTCGAAGTTGCTAGAAATCGGGATCAAAGTGCGAGGTACGGCCCACCCCTTCTTCCAAAGTACACGAGAATATAACTGAATCATAAATAAACAGGAGGAAAGCCATGGGACATCACCGCTCTGAAACTAGAAGATGTACAAGCCGGAAATCTTCATACATCATGGGCCCCAACATTCCACGACCCCAATTTGCCTCAAGAACAAATTGATATGTTTTCCAAGGTGATCCTCAGGGGCTGTCTTCTGAGTAGTCTCACTAAGTCCTGGGTTGTGTCTGATGACTTCAATCGACTGTTTCCAGACCACAAATTTGCGGATCTTGAGGAGTTCCTTGCAGAGGCCTGGGCCGGGAAGCCTCGACGTAGATGGCAGCAGATGGGAAGTTCAGATGGTATCTAGCTACGTGGGAAGTCTGGGCCTGTCTCGTTGGTAAAAGTGCAGATGAAAAAAGGAAGAAGAGGAAGAAACGGAGAACGCTGTACCTACCTAAAAATAACTCGATTACTTATATGGTTTGACTCGAAGTTCAACTCTTCAAATGAGGATTTGACATGAAGGATTAGCTTCCTTGCGACGTGCAACAAACCAACTCCTCTGAAAGTGAATTGCTTGCAAGATTGGATGAAAAATCAACTTGTTAAATGATCTTTGATTTCGTATGAGCGATTGGGTTACTTGTGGATGCGTAAAACTTTTTCCCACAGTAAGATTGGCTTTATGCCTCCATTGAAAGTTGAGGTTGAGGCTTGACTTGAAAGTGAACTGTAAGGCGATAGAGTTGAAGTTCAACTCTTCAAATGGGGATTTGATATCAAAGACTAGCTTACTTGCGATATGCAACAAAACTTTCTCTCAAAAGTATGATCAGCTTCACAATATGTCCCAAGTTCTCATCAGGTGCTTCTCTTGAGAGGATCGATTGAATGTCATTTTCCTTTAATGAACCCAAGTCAGCTTTGAAGTCCCAAAAACTGCGTGAGCCAGATGAACTTTGCCAGAAATACAGTTGAAGTTCTCACCATAATTTGAAATACCAACCAAAGCCCGAGTAGAGTCCTGAAAGCTAGTAAATTCACCTTCTCAACTTCAAGTTCGCCTACTAGAAGTTGACTAGCGCGCCTTCCTCACGCTACCTAAAGATCTTCCTCTTCCAACTTTCAAGACATACCAAAGAACTGTAACAAGATGTCGTCCACGACATCCCCATCAGTGCAATCGCGGATCGACGCGTCCGGACTACCAGAGACGCCTTGCAACGGATTCGACTCTCATATATCCGCACCCGCTGAGGATGAAAGTCAAGCAGAAGATGTTCCGCGCGCCAGTCCAGCCACTTTGAGTACGACGCAGATTGTTGTACATAATGGCGCAACGATTCAAGTGTCGGCAGAGCTTTTCAACAGCCTTCTCATGTCAATGGAGAATATGAAGAAGGAGATGTCCCTAATGAAGACGAGCAACCAGATCCAGAGCCAAGAGATAAACCTGGTCCGAAAGGACATTACGACCGTCAAAAGCCAGAACCAGGAGTTACAATCCAAGATTGCTTTCGTCGAACAAGATCTTCGAGCACTGGCTAAGAATGCGGATGTTGGATTCTACCTCTTCTCCAAGCTTCCAACCGAGGTTCGACAAATGATCGTAAGTAGCATCCACGCTAGTTATCAATCTGGTGTGTTGCGTTCCTCGAGAACGTTTCATCCTGGTCGATTTTTGTTATTCAAGAGAGAACCGGCTAATAATTTGCGGTAGTGGACATTCGCTCTCGAGTTCCCACGTGTGATCGCCCTGGAAGCAACTCTCAGAGAAGATGATGAACGTGGTGAAGATTATGTGATCCTAACTCCTACTGCTAAGACCCGACCTTTGGATCCAGTGCCTCTGGTATGCAAACATGCCAGAGCAGTAGCCATTGAAACTCAATGGTTATGGTTCTTTCTTAATCGTCCCAAGCGCCCAGTCTACGGAAAGTGGTTCTTCGTTGTTGAATACAAGAAACAAGAACCATACGTACTTGCCTGTCACCCAGAAACAGATATCCTATGGCTTGTCAATCCTGATTACAACACCAATTTCTTCAAAGACGATTGTCTTCTCTTTAAAGTAATCGACGCATTGAGCGCTGGTAACTTTCCTGCCCGACCTATCAGCATTGCTCTCCCGTACGAGCACTGGGTGCGCCAAGAAGATAGTATCTGTGGCATCGAAAGCTTGATGACTAGATTGATCTGGCTCGGAACTCAAAGGCTTATTCTTGTTGTGGATGGTGAAGAGCACGCTCAGGCAGCTGATGTTATTTTCGTCGAGCCTAGAAAACAACCAAAGGAGCTTCTTTCTGACAAATTCTTCCAATGGAGACGTATAACGTCCGAGTGTGGGGATTATGAATGGCCTGAGCTTATAAGCAAAGTGTCATGGGATATGCTTGGGAGGGAGGCATGTGATTTTATCTCTTATGAAGCGCGGGTTTATGAACAACGCTACAGAGGTAAGATCGAAACTTCGAAACTGTGAAGCTGTGCTGACACCAACAGAGCAACTAAGCCAGGAAGAGATTGGCGAGCTAGAGAAAGATGGAATTCTGGCATGGACAGTGACGAGTATTCGGTTCATGGAAGCAACGACATTGACTCGCCTACGAGAGGCGCGTCCACCAGAAGACGAGCAGCAGCGAGGACATATGTTGAAGCAGAAGACAACCCCACGACAGTATGACGAGGCTCGGAGCGGAGAGAAAAACCTTTATCCCTGGAATCCTTCTCGGAATCGCAGGGAAGTACAGGATGAGCCAAAGGCGGAGTTCCGCGGCGATGCTTTGGAACAATATATGCGAGATGACGAAGAACAATGAGAGGATCCGGACCACGATCGCTTGTAGATACAGCTACAATCGTGCATAGCTACTATTAGATCATCAGTTGAAGCTCAAGTGACTATGCGAGCAGTGGATTGCACAGTTGAGGTGGATCATCGAAGGTCCTGGCAATAAGAAGAGGTACGAATTACCTGTGGGACTGTCTCTCGCTTGAACACATTGCCTGGCTATACTCACGTCAAAAAGCCTACGCAAATGTATATACCAAGGACAGTAATTTTATTCCACATTCAAAAAAGAATGAAACTAAAGTACAAGAGAGGCAAAGTAATCGAAGGATAGAGTCTTGGCCTCCAACGAGCTGATACCGGTATGCTGACAGCAGGGAAGCTCGGTTAACACAGCCCCCGTGCGACAAGCGAGAAAACGATGCCGAAAGATGGCAATGTCATCTAAACGCACGAATGGAAACATCCCAGATTTTGAATATAGAACGGTAATATTTCGGATCTTCTCTCGAAGAGGACTTCAGTCTGCTTTGCCTTGGTACCGAAGCCACATCTTTGACGCTTTATGGCACCAGATGATCGACCGACAAATGAAAAGTAATCGGGACAATGGTTTACGTAGTAGAATAAGACAGCTGGAACCTCTTTCTTTTTCACCGTCCGAACATCCTGACCAGTTGAGGCGTTCGCCTAAGCCTATTCTAATGAGCTTAATGTCAAAGCCTCATTTATTGACCTTGTGCGGGAAGTTTGGGTCCCAATCGCGAGAAGCATGTAGAAATAGCTGAAAATTTTTGATGCGTCATTGCTGGGCCTCATAATTCCAAATTGGTATAAGAAGGTGGTACCTCATGTGAAGTTTGCTGAGACTCGACACTGGTAAGCTTTCTGTACATTACTTCCAACATTAATCTAATCGCAAGTTCAACATGAAATCTTCACACCTCCAGCTGAGCAGTCTGCTCTTTTCGGTTTTCGCTTCAGCTCAGAACTCTCGAATATGCCAAGACTACATGATTCCTGTCAACATCACCTCCCAAGTTCTCGTTGCCAGTTATCCTCACTTCCAGGACAGTTATGATGTCGTTGATTTCATCAACAATTTGGCTCGAAGAGATGCCAATGCTACAAAATCACCATTTTCGGGTGTGGAGAGCGCTACCGCTGCTTATAACATCGGCGCCACATTCTGCAGTCCCGGTACGAATACAAATACATCTCAAGAGAGGACCATCCTCGTAGCGACGCATGGCCTTGCATACGATCGCAGGTATAACAATTACAAATCCCAAGCATGAACACTTGCTGATACTGTTCAGGTACTGGGATTCGGGAATGGATCCGACAAACTACAGCTTTGTAGACTTCGCAATCTCAAGAGGATATTCGGTCTTCTTTTACGATAGATTAGGCACAGGGCTGTCATCTAAGTTGGTACATCTTAGAAGCACAAGGCGTGATAACTGACCATGGCAGAGTGTCTGGGTATAATGAATCGCAAGCAACAACTCAACTTGGAATTTTACAGCAACTTACTGGATTCCTGCGAGACGGAAAGTACACTGGTAACTTCGGAACACCATCGAAGATTGTGCATGTCGGTCACAGCTTTGGTTCACTGTATGATGCTCTCCGTCCTTCCCACTAGCAAATATGCAAAAGTAGCATACTAACTACAACCGTAGCCTTTCCAACGGATTGATTGCAACTACACCTGAGATCTCAGACGGTGCTATTCTTACAGGACTAGCATACGACCAAAACGCTTCACCATTCCTCGAGGCGTTTGCACTTCGCATCGCTAGCGAACAATTTCCTGGAAAATGGTCAGATAGAGACAATCACTACGTGACATCAGTTGATGCAGCTGCCAACGCTGCCACATTCTTCCACGGTGATAGCTTCTCTAAAGAGGTCCTCTGGTATACGGAGTCTATCACGCAACCTGTGGCATCCATCGAACTCCTTACGTCCGGAGCGATCCGACTCAATGCCACAACATTCACAAAACCAGTCATGGTAAGCCCGAACATCCCTGAGGGATCAATAGCTGATAGGGTTGACTTTTTGCAGATCATAAGTGGAGAATTCGATTTCGCTGTTTGTGGGGGCAATTGCGTTGGCATTCTCGAGCATCCAGCCAAGGAAGTCAACTTTCCCAATGCCACAGACTTCCAAGCTATCGTTCATCCATCTACTGGACACAACATCAACTTCAGCTATAATGCAACTGGCGCCTATGATGTGATACTGAGCTATCTCAGCAAGCATGGCTTGTAAATTGGTGAAATAAGGCAAAATCGAATCGGAGGACGTGGAATCGAGGTTGAACATAGTTGCATAGACACACTTAATAATGTAATGACCATAGATGTAATGAGCTGAAGAACATGGATCAGTTGAGCACCGCACTCAGCAGTCTACCAATCGTAGATGCAGATGCAACCAAATCAGATCTGATATCAAAATCAAATCAAACATCAGCTCGTGCTCGGATAACTCCGAGCAAACTCCCGAGGTATTTCAACAGAGGAGGGAGGAATGCGAAGCTCAAAAAGGCAAACGAGAGGCGATCAAAATACAAAAGTTGTGTTCTGTACAAGATGATGCAGATCAATTTTCAGGGGCATCATGAAAGTCGGCGAAACATAACAGACTTATCGTCGACCGCGATTTCGATTTGCCCTTTGTGTGGCACTTCATCACATATCGCAGGTAAACTATTCATGCTGGGGATCTGGAATATTTGAGGTGATGAAGCTAGAAGGGGAGGAGAAAATAGCTCGAGGGTTTAGACTATATTTACACGTGACACAAATCGCCGGCCCGAAACGCCCGGCCCGTCACAAAGAAACCCTTACACATCTCACTCTCACTCTCTTCTCGATCACAGTACATCCCATCAGATTAGATCATTGGATACTCTTTTCACCATGGATACACCCTCAGCACCAGAGCCACAACCTTCTGCCATCCGTTACATCCTCGGCTTCCTCCTCATCGGAATAGCCTGGGGTTTCACAACACCTTTCATTCGAGCCGCCGCGCGTACTCACTCCCCACCGCCTCATCCGATCCTCGATTCGCCATCCGTAAAGAAGAGCTGGTTGAAATCCAAAGTCTACGGAGCTTTTTTCGGCGTCGTGGATCTGTTGAGGAACCCGAGATATGCGATCCCAGTAAGTGATCGAGATCGAGTTTTCTGTCAGATCCTAATCAGGAGGGTAGCTTGTCATTAATTTGACCGGAAGCGTGTGGTTCTTCTTATTGATTGGAAAAGCTGGTGAGGCAAATTTCAATACTCCGTCGGCTTCCGTCGATTTGCATACTTTTTTTTCTTGAGGTTTCATGAAGAGATGGAATGAATGGCGTACAGTACTCCCCCGGATATTTGTATGTCTTAGTGCTCCATGGCCAATGAGACATCTGGTATCAGAATTGTGATAGACTGCCATACAAGGGGCGGGAGTACTGCATGAAGGCGATTTGGTGGGGGCGGCGGCGGAAGTGGGGACTTGCCTTGAGCTGATGTCTAGGGCTGAGAAAGGGGAACGCTCGGGGAAAACATGCGTATTGGCGGATATCGATTTGCTGATCAATTGATTTAGAGCTAAGTTTAACCGTACCGATAACGAATTCGTTGGCTTTCTTGTTTACTGTGCTTGGAGACTGGTGGGTTGATAGAAAAGTTATCTCCAGGGGTAAGAATAATTTCTTTTGAGAAGACAAGACTTGCGGCTGACTGTGGCAAAGATACTTGGATCGGGATGGCTCTTTCATTGGGAGGAATTGCACTCTGCGTTCAAAGCAAGAACAAGTAAATTGTTGAATAGGGAGATTGAATTAATGACTAGACTATTTTGGAGATATCAACTTTTCGTGTACTTAGTGAAACCCCAGAAATAAAATTATGTTGAATCTTGCAATGCGCCTGGCAATGCTTCTAATTGCAGTATCCGGTACCAACAACGTGAAGTGAAGCGCCGTCCCAATGCCCGCTCTTGCAAATAATGCAATATCCTTTTGCTCCGTGCAAATGCAATTACCAATCCGTCTCTCATGCTCATATCTCATCTCTTCCTTCCCCACATTCAACGTCTAGCTCGGAGCCATCTTTGGACATGCCTTAAGCTGGGATCTTCAAGCGTCCAGCGCCCCATTTGATAATCTGAAGATCTCATGTCTGAGTAAATCGAATCATCTGTGATAGCTGCAAGCTCAACTCGTAATTGGGCATCACAAGCGGCAAGTTGCGCTGTATGTCCTGCATGAGGTCTTTGCCCCTGAAGCACTTGGTCTCGCCATCCGATCCACCTTTGAGCAGCTTCCTGGCGGAGATATATCTTTTGGGCTTCATGACGACGCGAGTATGCATCTAGCATGACCCTGATGTTGATTAGCATCATGTACAGTAAAGTTGTAGTGTAAACACGGCCATTTCATCTAGCTTTGTATCCCAAGATTTCGAGGCTCATAAGATGCTTCGAAAGGATGCAGTATACCAAAGGGTGTCAAATGCTATACACTGTGCAGGGCGCATACGTACTGTTGAAGCTCCGCCTTCATCTGCTCTTCTGGGCCGCCCCGTACTCTGGGCACTCGAGTTTCTGCTGCACAGTTCAAGATGTGCTGTCCATCAATGGAACATTGGCGTAAAGCAGCCCATCCTTCCGTGTAGTAATCATCTTGATCTTCAGGGTCCACTGCAACTGCAGCAATATATAATTGAAGATTGCGAAAGTCTGAGAGCAGATCTGCTACCCGAGCAGTCCGCTGGTCATTTACTGAAGCTCTATTAGCCAAGTTCGTGCAACTGAAAAGGAAAGGTGGATAGGAAATACGAGGAAGAAAGAAATAGCCTAACGCACAACCGTCTGCCATTGTGAATGAGTGTGTGAGTGGCTATTACTGGAGAAAAAGACTGGATGTGGGAAGGAGATTTATCGGATCGCTGTATGGAAAGAAACGAGTGAAGAACGGGAAGATAGTGTGGTGAGCCGTTGAAATGTCTCGGGAAAGGAAGTTAACAGAAAGGTTATATGATGCTCTCAAGGAGAACAAGTCGAGCACCTTGGCCAACAACCATCTCCATTCGGACCCTCTGTGGCTGGCTATCAAAACGATCTCAGCCATCAGAATCGTCGAGATGGCCATTGGAGCCGCTGTCACTGGACGTGCCCCACACGATACAGACTATTTATGATACAGCATCTTCTGAGCTCAAAGCTAAAGGAACCCTACCAAGCTGTGAAAATGTGAACGACTTGCATGACGGAGGTGGAAGAGCCAAGTTAGAGGTAATGAGAGCCTCTTCTCATCTGACAGGGGGGCCACGAATGTTGTGAAGCTTGCACTACAGTTTCGCTTCAGCGATGTCAAGGACGCCACAAACGCACGAGTCCACTAAAATCGCCCACAATGCGCCGACTAACCCCAAAACCTTCGGTGGCCGCAGCGGGCTGGCTCTTTCTCGCAGCCAGTGAAAAGAGTCAGGAGCGCTGCAAATGGGCGACGAACTCCTCGCTTCGCGAAGCTGAAGATGCTGGTCGGTTCAACGTGGTAAGGTGCGAACGACTGCGCCATGCAGGGAATATTTCCTCACCTCCTGGGACTCTCGTGGCTTGAGGTAACCCTCGAAGCTGTCCAGTGCTCCAGCACGTCGCCAATCCACTGTCGTTCCTAGCGTCGTCAATACTTGCTCCCTGGCTCGATATTCTGTTTGATCTCCTGCGTAAGGCTGTACTCCTGCATTGGGTCAGATCGATCACTGCAGGTTCACTTCAGTCAAGCCACACACAGGCTGTGTGTGCCCAAGAATACCGCCAATCAACTGCCGCCGCTGCAACGTTTTGTTTTCCCAAATGCTATTGAGGCTAATGACACAAGATTAAGAAGATGTGGCTTCACGCCAACCCCTCTCTGTTCTAATACACCGCTCGCAAGTAGATGCTGCAAAGAACCTTTTCGGTAACCAGTCGTCTTGTCGGGAACGCCGAACGCTAATCCACTCTTCTGGATATCATAAATCACCACTTCAATGACGAACGATTCAGTCCTTCTCCGCGATCGCTTGGAGTCTCTCATCGATCTCCTCTTCTGTCAGAGCCCTAAATCCCGGATCGGTACCCTCCTTCCCGTCCTTGCGTGGCCCACCCACAATGCCAATCTCTAATTCGCCCTTTTTGAAGTCCACACTGAGAACCGTGCTCAGAGTCGTAATTGCAAGCTCGACCACATCTTCCCAGCTGCCCTCTGCACAATCCTTGTTCTTGAGCTTCTTCTCCAGATGATTGAACGCCTCCTGCTGCTTAGGTCCTGACGCCGTACCCTTGTAGCCAGTGTAGTAGCCCGCTGGGTCGCACTTGTAAAGTTGAGGACCGTACTCGGAATCCAATGAAATCAAGGTAGTAGCAACACCATATGGGCGCATGTATGCCTGAATATCTGTAAGTACAAAAGTAGATAGAGTGCTGAGCGGACCGATTGAGTAAGCTTACCCGCTGAGTGTAAACCTGACTGATATTGGCAATTCGTTTGGCCAGAGCATCGCATGGCATCTCGTATCCGTACTTGTATCTGAACTCTGCGGCTTCACCAATAGCTCTTTGGACAGATGCTCTAGCATCAGCGATGGATCCGGTCATGACACAGCCGACTGAGGGTGAGAGTTGGAAGATGTGAGAAACCGATGAAGGGTCAATGAGCTTATCCTGTGGCTCATCGTTAGCACTGTATTGGTCGTGGATTGGAACATATATTCGTACGGGGACTTTCTTCTGCGACAGAACGACAGCACAATCCTTTCCTCTGACACCAATCGACATGATATTCGCAGCTGTGATAGCTTTGAAGGCATATTCTGTCCGTCCATAATTCATCAGCTGGGATTCTCGAGCAAGGTATTGACTTTGGCAATGCGACGCTGTGAGGGTCTCGAAGGGGCTTATGAAGCTGAAGACAATACGACTCCTGCCATCGAAAGTGGAATGTATGCGTACCAACTTGGTATAATCTTCCCTGATCTGAGAAGATCGTAATATGTCTGTCGTAACCTGCGCTGCCTGTACATGTGTATGATTAGCTGTGCTCAATGAAACAATTGGAGCTCTCGAGGCAGTGAACGTACCTGACATCTTGAAAGTCGCTGATGAAGTTTGCGGTTCTTAAGTAGCTCAAGGATCCAAGTACTACACTCAGATAGTAGTTGGATTATTCGTGAGAGGTGTTTGTGGATGGAAGTTAAGTTGTGGAAAGCTTCTGGCAACAGCTCTAGGTACGCGTCTAGCCGTGCCTGCTTCTTCGGGGCGGGAAAAAGTATGACCGTGCCTCGCCCGGTGGGAACATCAAATGTCTATCATGCAATTAAATTTCTTGACTTTCACTAAAATAATTGTATACGTATTCTATATACACGCCTTGAGAATGATACTATTCTAATTTGGGTATCTTAGAATTTTCGGATCACCATTTCAAAACTATCAAAAAGTGTTTGGCTGTACATTTAGGATTTAGGACAAAATATCGGCCACTTTTTTCAGGTATTGTATAGAACTGCGCTATTTTAGCGTGTTACGATAACAGATAGAGAGAATGATAATTTTCATATTATCTTGGGGACACCCTGCAGCGTGGCTTCGGACCATAATCTTCCTCAATCAACGGTGTTTTTGAACAGGTCGCAATCATGCCGTCTGCCACTGGTCCTAACGCCTCCGCCCACGTCCCGGCTTGGAAAAGATTGGGACTCAAACTGAAATCTGCCCAAGAACCTGAACAGCCTGCTGGCGATGCTATCATAGAGCCTGACACGTCAAAACGCAAAAGACTAGCTACTACCACAGACAACGCTCCCATAAAGAAATCAAAGAGAAGTGCAGATCTCTCAGTACAAGTCGGTTCTGAAGTCGCTCCAGTCACTCCACAGCTTACGAGGAAAAAGTCTGTTACGTTTACGCCAGAGACGAAAGCTGAAGACGGAGATAGCATAAAGCAATTATTCAATAGCTGGGTCGCGGAACAGAAATCGGCTGATCCTTCATTCCAATTCAAGAACTCCAGTCCTGCCTTCAAGACACCGGATACCCCTCGCGTCGAGGAGGACGTCGATCCCAACCTCGACGAGAAAGAACGACGAGTGAAAAGAGTCAAGAAGCCCAAGGCAGAGAAGGCAGAAAAGTCGAAACAGCCAAAGAAGCCTGCCAAAATTACAAAGCCTGCTGCCCACTTTTCGCGGCCTTTTCTTCAGTACCTGAAGGAATACTGCGAATCCAGAAGCACTTGGAAATTCAACAAGAACCACCAAAACCACCTTCTACGACACGCCTTCGACGCTGACGTCGTCCCGTCAGACCACGCATTATACTTATTCGAATACGTGAGAGGTCTTCAAGGAGGAGTTAGGACAAGGCTACGTGATACAGCACTTGGAATTAAGGTCAAGGATCAAGAGGACGGCATTGCAGGCTTTCCATCGACAATGGCAGACACCGAGAAGAGACAGAGAGACTACGATGTTGCAATGAAGGAGTATGTCGCTACCATGACTGCAGCCCAAACTCCTGCTAGCATGGGTTACGAGGAGGGGGTTGAGTTGGGGCTTTCCGACAAGGCGATGGCAGGAAGAGTTGCAAAGCGAATGCGGGCAGAGAGAATCTTGGCGGAATTGGCTTCTTCACCTGGAAAAGATGAGAATGGTGCTGTGCTCGTCAGTCATGAGGACAAATCAAAGAGACTTCGGTTGGACGACGGCAGTGTACTGAAAGTTGCCCGAAAGCGGAAGCAGAGGACTATTACAGACGTCGACAGCAGTTCTTCAGAGAGCGAATCTGATGATGAGAGTGAAGATGATGAGGTTGAAGGGGCCGAGGGTGCGGCAGATACTTCATCAAGTTCCTCTAGCAGCTCTTCCGAGTCTGAATCAGGGGAAGGAGACAGCGAGGGCGATTCTGAGGATGGAAGCGAGGAGGACGGTTCTGAGGAGTCAAGTGAGTCGAGTGATTCGAGTGAGAGTGATTGAGAAGTTGAGGGATGCAACAATATCAGATTGTAATTTACGACGATATGACTTTCTCTCTGGTGGAATTGATTCAGGCAAGACTTTAGATTCGAGGATGCGATACCCATAGAGCTCATTCTGAGCCTCAAAATGCAACAAAAGATTTGAACGCATTCCAAGACCAATAGAAACACCACATGCAAGATCCGATATGCTTATCAAAAGTGTGTCTCGTGAACGAATATGCACATGCAGCTCTAGCCCGGCGACCGACATTTTCAATACCGCCTACGTCAGGACATCAAATTACTAGCCACAGCAGCCAACCAAACAAGACCACCATCTGCACATCTCACAATCCCATGCTTGGCCATGCTTGAATGAACATTTCCCCACACAACCAAAAACCTGTCATTATCATATCTTGTACCGACCAGGGTTTTTCTAGACCGCAACTTGCGCGTACGCTGTGATCTGCGCGAATTAGCTTTATTAGGCAGCCAATATCACCAACCTCGACCCCTCACCATAACCCTCAGGCCTGCCATCTTCTTTTTCGCAGATTTTCACGTTGAAGGAATTCTAGGGAACAACGAAGGGGAGGAAATACAGACACAATGACGAGAGTAATTGTATATTCCACGGCGCTGGTCGCATTCATGGCAGGTAAGCTCAATGTCCCGCCACCTCACGATCACTGAGAAACTGACAATGTCCGCCCCCAGCGACTGCGATGACATTTGCCTCAATTTTCGTCCCTGATTGGATCACTTGGTCCGTCGAAACTCAGGATGGCGGGCATTTTACGAAGACGGTCGGACTGCATAGAAGTTGCTCGAGTACGAACAATCAGTGTCAACATTTCCCACAATATGAAGATTGTCATGGTACCGACAGGTACTTTTGTTCAATGTGGCGATCGGTGGGATTTATGATGTCGTTCGCTGCAGTGTTGGAATTGGCTACGTTGGTGGCATATGTGGTGGTTCTTGCTGGTGGGAAGCAGAAGAGGGAGAATGGATGGAAAGTCTTGACTTTCTTGTTGGTCCTTGTGGGAGCTTTGCAATGTGCTAGTATGGCTATTGTGGTATGTATAATTGTTCGAGGACTATTACTGTTGCTGATCTGGTATAGGCCTACTTGTTCGACAACGATGACCGATTCTTTGTCGGCTGGAAGCTAGACAAGTCTTGGATTCTTTGCACAGTATCCTGGAGCATTGCAATTATATCTGCTGCTCTGATCTCACTTTCGGCATTTGTGTTCCCAGCGGAAGATGGCTATGAACTTATACCCAGTGAAAGATACTACGGGAATTAAAGAGGTGAGATTTACATGGAAGGCGTCATGGTAGTTTTTACTTTTGCTAGACATGATTAATGCTTGATGTTTGGGACTCGTTGTTGCATTGATGATAAGGCATTGGGAAGGCTGTATGACCATTATGAGTACTTATTGTTTCACACATACCATATACGCACATAGAAACAGCGCAATATAATGATTTTGGAAACATATAAAGCGGAGGCTAGCTCCGGTTTCTTGATCTAGCTTTGTGATTGGCCGGGACAATGGTGACGACTTCGGAATGCGTCAAGGTTCGGTATAGCACCATTATAGTGAAGGCATAGCAAGAGCTTTGATTATTGTCCAGAGGACTTGTAGAGAGCTTTTCAAGATACTAGCTAAAGTTATTAACTATTTTTAGCGCCCGGATTCGAAGTGCTCCGTAGTGATAGGATACTAAGCGAACTTGAATCCGTCCACGAGCCGGTCAAAGCTAAAGCTTTGAGATATTTGAATAAGTAAATCTTGGCTTACAAATACAGAGAAAGCTCATTTGGCCGAGTGGTCTAAGGCGGTTAGTACATCACTCCGAGCTTGTATGTATCGACAAAGCTAACAGATTCACAGATGGTTTTAAGGATTTATTTCCACCACCATTATCGAAAGATGCGTGCGTTCGAACCGCACAGTGAGCAACGTTTTTGTAATTTAAAATTTTTGGTAATTTATTTGAGTTGCAAGTGGTTGCGCAAAGTGAAGGTTGGCGAGGCGCAAGCGCGAACTTCCTTTTTGGCTAAGCGATCTAGGATTTTCATTTGGACCATCATTGGCTTACTTGAACATTAATGGAATATGTTCTATGCTCAAGCTAATTCTGTGATATTGTTAAGATATATCTTTGATAAGTATCTTTTCAGAGTGCTTGTTAGCCATAAGATTCTAGGATATTTACCAACTAAGCCCGAGTAATATTCCACTTTGGAATACTTCAAAGGATAACATAGAACTTCTCATCAGACACAGTGTTCGACTCCTCTATGAAAGTGAAGTTTCAACTACTTTGAACTCCATTATGGTCAATATAAAAGCTGGGGGAAGTCGCCATTTGGAAGTTCAGGACTAAATTGCGTTCCCTGTCTATTGAAAAAGCAGCCCATCCTTATCGAGCAGGCGGGGTCATCCGATAAGCCTTTAAACTCCAACGCCCCTCCACTTCATTCTTCTCTACTTCCTGAATATCTTAGAAATGGCCCCATCACGCACATCTCCAGAGCCAAGCCTGGCAAAGTCAGAGCAAGGCCTCACAAAAGAACAACTTACAACCTTCAATCGGGATGGCTACCTTATTCTTCCCGACGCCCTCTCACCAGAAACCGTATCCGCCCTCCTGAAAGAAACCCACTCCTTGCTAGATAACTTCTCTCTCGACGATCATCCAATGACCAAATTCTCCACTGGAGAAAGCAGTGAACATGTCGGTGATGACTACTTCCTAACATCCGGGAACAAGATCCGATTCTTCTTCGAAGAAGGTACCTCACCTCGCCTCACCTCCAAACTTCACTAACACAAATAGACGCATTCGATGCCTCCGGAAACCTCACGAAACCCAAAGCCCTTGCAATAAACAAAATAGGCCACTACCTTCACGCGCTCTCTCCGCCATTCGCTGCCCTCCTGTCCCCACAATCAACCCACTCCCCATCCGCCATTGCTCACTCCCTCGGTTTCCGCACCCCGCAATGTCTTCAAAGCATGATTATCTGCAAACAACCAGAGATAGGCGGAGCTGTACCTCCACATCAAGACTCGACATTTTTATACACCGATCCGCCAAGTGCAGTAGGTTTCTGGTACGCGCTTGAGGATGCGACAGTTGAGAACGGATGTCTGAGTTTCTTACCCGGGAGCCACAAGATGAGTGAAGTGGAGAAGAGATTTGTCAGAAAAGCTGGTGGAGGGGGCACGGAATTTATAGAGAATGAGGGAAGGAGATTTCCTCTGGGCAAGGAATTTGGGAAGGTCGAGGGAGAGAAGGAGGGAGAATATGTGCTTGGAGAAGTAAAGGCGGGCAGTTTGGTATTGATACATGGGAATTTGCTGCATAAGAGTGAGAAGAATACAAGTCAGAAGGGAAGGATTATATACACATTCCATTGCATTGAAGGCGATGGGGCTGTTTACGATGAAAGAAATTGGTTACAGCCACCAGAAGGAGGCTTCACCAAGTTATAAATGTAGACATAGACAGTTCACGATGAGTTACAGCACTGTATTTTGCATTGATTATTGTATTGAGAAGACTATGAGCTGTAGCTAGCCCACGCTCCAAGCTCTTGACTCTCGAGCTATGCGCAGAGTGATCTTTGTGATGACTCTTACAAACTTTTCATATCTCCAGGCCTCATTAACTACCCGCGAAACGCAGAAGAAATGGGGAAGATATGTACCGCCAACTACCACGCAGCAAATCAGAGCCCGGCAGAACCCAACCCAGGCAAACATGCGCTAATCGAATCAGATCTCAAGATACCCTCCAGTACCCAAGCAGAATCAACGAGCATATGGATGAAATCCCCGGCTTTGGCCTCTGCCACCGCCCCGATAGTTCGCACCAGGCTTGCCAGCATTCTTTGGACCAGTTGGTGCATTAGCGGGTGGAGCACTGGCTGGGGTTTGCGGTGGCTGAGAACCTCTGCTACCACCTCGTCCTCCTCGACTACCACCACTGTTGCTAGCTGGAACGGCAGGTTGGGGTACATCATCGTACATTCCCTCCCAAGAAGTTGGTCCACCTCCACCCATTCCATAACCACCACCACCACCTTGGCTGTATTGAGATTGATCACGCTGGGCACGACGCATCTGTTGCTGCTCGTACTTTTGTTGCTCGAAGACCTGCTGCTCATAGGCGTTGTATCCAGGCGTACCCATGCGGCCACCAGGATTACTTGCTGCATTTGCACCTCCGAAGCCAGCTCCTCCCATGGCACCAGCTCCTCCTCCCATACCCTGCATTTGCATCTGCTGCATTTGTTGCATTTGTGCCAACATAGCAGGATTCATGCCTTGCATACCACCCATAGCTGCACCAGGACTTTGAGGACTTTGACTTCGATTGCCTTGGCTCATTTGTTGTTGCATCTGTTGCATTTGCTGCATCTGCATCATCATTTGTGGGTTCATGCCTCCCATTGCCATGCCTCGACCGCCACCCATAGCCATATTTTGTTGCATCATGGCGAAGTATTGTTGCATACGTTGCCAGTACTGGGCCATCAATTGAGGGGTCATACCGCCAGGAGCCATTTGATTGCCGCCGCCTTGTTGAACCTGGTTGGCATTTTGACTTTCGTTCTCATTACCCTTACGGAAACGACCTCCTCCTCGAATATTACGAGGCTCCTCCTCTTCTCGCATGTTTCCGCGTGGCTGAGCCTTCTTGACTTCGATTGGCTTGCCGAGAATCTCAAGTGGTTGAGCCAAGCATTGGTCTACTGCTGCCTCACTGTCGAACGTGACAAATCCAAAGCCTCTTGGTCTGCCAGTGTCCTTGTCCATCATGAGAGTGGCATCAACAACACGTCCAAATTGCATGAAGTACTCCTTGAAATCTTGTTCAGTGGCTTCTTGAGAGACGCCACCGACGAAGATCTTGCTAGTACGTTCCTGCTCATCTCGTGGAATTGCCCTCTTGGGGTCGATCTTGGTAAAACATGAGCTGCTGTGTTTGATAGGAGAAAGAAGGGTTGAAGGGTTACGACGAAGAGAATTGTCTTTAGTTGAAAAGTCAGGTCTTACAATTTTGCCATCAAGGTAGTGCTCCTTCACCATTACGATGTTAACGGTACGTGCATCTTTGAATGTCAAGAAACCGAAACCTCGAGAACGACCTGAGGCTCCATCTCGCATGACAGTGCACTCCAAAACCTCACCGAACTGAGAGAAGTATTCCTTAAGTGATTCTGAAGAGCATAATATTAGACATAAAATTTGTGCAAGCAGAGATGCCTTTACTTACGATCGGTAGTCTCCCAATTCAATCCACCAATGAACATCTTCCTGTGAAAACATGACTAGTCAGCAATTGTACCTAGGCGGAAAACCACGAAAAAAAAACTGTTGAAGAAAGAATGTAAGAAAATCAGAACAATGAGGTGCGAATTGGAACGGTGGTGTTTCGCATCTGATCCTGATCCTTGGTCTCGAGCCAGGGAATGCTTCGCTTGACATCTCATCTGACATCTCAGTCCTGCGCAATGATCTTCGAGTGGGACAGCTCAATGTTCTGGAGCGAAGAGCGCAATATGGTAGATGAGCCATACAACTTCAATATGCGGCAAGTTCGTCAAGGGTTGTTCCCGCGCACCACGGGAGACGCAATTCCACGGACCAACACAAACTCCAAGCCAACACCAAAACGAATCCGAAGGGAGTCATGCAACGAAGAATGACACCACGAGATATCCAAGAACAATGGTGTCTTTTGCTATCGTCATGCTAGGTACTGGCGTCGAGCGCTATGCGCTGCCTGATCTGTCTAGCCTATCTGTGGCCTCCCTGATGCTCTATGAAGATTATCTCGACAATAGGCTATGTAGTAGTAGGCTTGACTATGGCCGCTGTCGTTGGTGTTTGCATGAGGCGAGTTCAGCTTCCATCAGCACTTCCACCGATGCCTGCTTGTCCTGTCTGCGACGGCTTTCATCTTCTGGTCCGCAACGCTCACGTGTCTTTGGTTTGCCCACCACAATCAAGCTCCTCCGAACTCTTTGCTTCGTTGCTTGTTGTGCAGAATTTCTCAGCGTAGTCAAAGCTATTCCTGCCAGCAGACCGCTTTCCTCCCCGTGTCAAATTTCCATTTGCGCCCTTTCCATCCCTAACATCAATCTCTACTGAGAAAGGATGTGACGCCAAAGCTTCCCAACCAAGTTCTCCCACGCCATTTTCCAAGATTTGTGCCGTCTTCTGGCTCGCGATTTGCCGTGTAGAGACTGATGGGAGCTCATGTAGTTACGATCATGTGTCGAATCTGTATATAAATCCACTATTAAAGGAAAGAAAATGTCTGTAATCTTACCCATCTTCCTTGATACCCGGACCATGTGCCTCATGCGAGCCAGGAGTGTCATAGCTATTGCCGTTTCCCAGATTGAAATCGATCTCATCCTCCATATCTTGTTCACCATTGTACATTTGCTCATCGCCATCGCCGTTCTCTGCTCCATGCTCATGGGATTCTTCTACCTTGACTTCAGCTGCCTCTGTGACTTCAGGTTTGACTTCGGGCTCCGGCGCAGCAGCTTTTGGCGCAACATCGTCGGTGTATCTGAATACGATTAGCAAATATCTTCAAAACACATGGTTCAAGTAATCGCTCGGGTTCAAGCCAGAGGTCGCGTGTACAACCCTAGGCAGAACGTGGACGAAGCGCGCATGAGATGTCTACTTACAGATCGGCAAACAGATCCTCCTCGAAGTTGTCGTTGTCTGCCATTTTGAGTGAGGTGTAATGTAACTGACGGCCTTGGTTAGTGCTCAATTGAGAACTGAATCTATGCCACCGTTGTCAGGTTGCGAGGCTCTTGGTGAGAGCGCTCAAAGGTCGCTTTGAGTCAACAGAGCATTCAAGAATGTAAGTTGACGTGTCAGAAGTTTCAAGAGCGCACGGCGCGGCGCCTGAGGGTGGATGTTGGATAGACGCGGTGTTGCCAAAGTTTGAAGTTGTGGTGGAAGTCGAAGTGTTCTCGGGTTGGTTTGACTACAGGCGCTAGCGTAAGCGCTTCGCGGGGCCTTAATCCGCTCCGCCTCGAAAGTTAGACGACACTTGAGCTTCAGGAATGGAGTAGAATTGCCAGGATTTGTGGTTTTGCAAAGATGTTTTCTTCTTCTAATGGAGGTAAGAAGCCGGCACAGCAGGTAAGATTGAAATCCGCAGAACAAAAGAGAAGCTCAAGCTGATTTGTGGCCTCTTCTTGAAGGAGATGGTTCAGGTCGGTCAGTTCAGTCCCCCACTACCAGCTCCCGGAAGGAAGATTTGAATTGTGGTCCCTTTGTTGGTCTGGGTCGAAAGTTGCTGACTTGTATCTTTGATGATCAGAAAGGTCAGAGTACGTTAATAAGATCTATACGCGATTGCTCTCAGAAGCGGGGCGGAAGATGGGGTCGACTTGGGACATTGCGCTGACTGGGACCTTCTAGATCTGGGTCTCCTTTTTGGAAAAGCCGGACCTCTGAGGGGCGTCGAGAATCTTCGCCTATGAAACAAGCTCGGGACACTGGTTTGGTCGTGGGAGCCTCATACTCTCATGCGGATATGCTAAAGTTTGATAACCTGCAAGTGACCCTGGCTAGGACGTACACAGTTGCTAATTATTTTGAAGATCTATTTCTTCATCCTCAGGCCGACCAAGAACGCCTCCATTTTCTTCGTCCCAGAAGAACCGCAGCGATACCCCTCCTGTGCACCGAGGCTCGTCCGGCTTAGCATCCCCACCTAGAAGGACTTACACAGAGTTCTTATCCACCACCAATAATGACTGGACTGCGGAGGACGAGGGCGATGACGATGACGAGTATGCCTATGATAATGACGATGGGGATGATTTTGGTTTACCCAGCATATCGAGCATGAAACGAAAGACCAAGAAAGTGCCCGAGGGCCAGACTTTTGACTCTGGGGGCAATCTATCACCGTTTGGGCACGGCTTGCAAGGTGGTTTCGGTGGATTTGGACCTCGAAGGCTATCAAACAGTGCAGATATAGCCATTGAACGTCCTACGCCGAGCTATCCTGTGGCTAAGAAAAGTGAGGGAAAGATATTACGACCACAATACAAGGAGGTGCTCCGAGACCCTGCCAACTCGTTACATCTCATAAATCACCCTCCTATACCGCCAAACGCCTCTTCGAAGGAGATCGATGCTCACTCTGCAAGGATAACGAGGATCAACAAGTTCAAGAAGATATTGCAAGCCACTTCAGTGAACCTTACAGATCTGAGAGCCTTAGCATGGTCTGGAATTCCTGAAGAAGTACGAGCAATGACTTGGCAATTATTACTTGGATATCTTCCAACGAGTAGTGAGCGCAGGGTTGGTACACTCGAACGTAAGAGAAAAGAGTACCTTGATGGTGTGCGGCAAGCTTTTGAAAGGAGTGCAAGCAGTACAGCTCCAGCTGGCAAAATGAGAGGTCTTGATGAAGCAATTTGGCATCAAATTAGTATCGACGTTCCCAGAACGAACCCACATTTGGAACTCTATGGTTACGAGGCTACTCAGAGGTCGTTGGAAAGAATTTTGTATGTCTGGGCTGTGCGACATCCAGCAAGTGGTTATGTGCAGGGAATCAATGATCTTGTCACGCCTTTCTGGCAAGTGTTCCTTGCAAGTTACATTACAGACTCAGATGTCGAAAGTGGCATGGACCCTGGACAACTACCAAAACCAGTCTTAGACGCTGTAGAAGCAGATTCATTCTGGTGTTTAACGAAACTTCTCGACGGAATCCAGGACAATTACATTTTTGCTCAACCAGGAATCTTACGGCAGGTTGCTGCTCTGCACGACCTCACGGCTAGAATAGACGAACCTCTAGCAAAGCATCTTGAACAGGAAGGTGTCGAATTTATCCAATTCAGCTTTCGATGGATGAACTGTCTTCTCATGAGGGAAATCAGTGTCATGAACACTATCAGGATGTGGGATACATATATGGTATGTACATCCCGTAATTGTGCAGAAACAACACTGACAATCGAGACTAGGCTGAGGAACAAGGCTTCTCAGAATTTCACCTCTACGTCTGCGTAGCCTTTCTTGTCAAATGGTCTGACAAGCTACGGAAAATGGATTTCCAAGAGGTTATGATGTTTCTCCAGGCTTTGCCTACAAGGGATTGGACAGAGAAGGACATTGAATTACTCCTGAGCGAAGCTTTCATTTGGCAATCTTTGTTCAAAGGGTCGTCGTCTCATCTCAAAGGTGGCTCAAGTACCACCCCTTCAAATGCTGCTTCATGAGGCATTAGCGAACGAACTTGGAATAATAACCACCCATCTTCTGTCGCTGCCTTACTATCACCTAGAGCGCCAATTCAGCCATATGACCGAGATCAAAGGTTGAGAAGGTCGTCTCGAACGCAGGGATCCTTCAACGATAGAGGGGCGGAACGTAGGTAGACAAGGACTGCGTAAACTTAGTACGTACTAAGTCAACAAGATCAAAGTGATCTATTGTTGTAAGATATCAAGCGGGGAAATGCAGTGACGATGAACTCGGCAGATTTGGTTCTGAAATTCATTATTGAAGAGGATTGGCATCATGTGCACTTATGTAATAACAGACCGTTGTGCATTCCCAGCAAATAAAGCCTATGCTCCCTTGGTATCCTGTTATTCAACGCCTCTCAGATTTTCACCAGCCGCCCTGTTGCAATTACCTAGAAGAAAACCCCTCCAAATCCCACCAGTTGGTTCCATGCCCTTGAACGTGACCCGTTTCGAAAATGATTGCTGCATAACTTTTCGTCTCTGCTCTACTCAGCAATAGCATCCTCCACCGTTGCCTGCTTGGTATCATGTCCACTGGCATCGATTTTTGCTTTCTTACTATCACTCTCCTCTGCGTCATCTTCCGCCTTGCGCTTTCCATTGGTACCATTCGTGCTGGCCGCTGGCTCAGGGGTGGCTGCATCAACTGGCTTCTTCTCTTTCTTCCGAACCATGCCTGTAAGATCAGTTGCTGTCTTTTTCGCTTCCTCAATCCTAGCAGCTTGCTCAGCAGGCGATTCTCCTAATGTCGCACCCAGAATGCCTCCTAGAGGATTCACTGATGCAGCACCAGCAGGTCCAAAGAGAAGCTCCTTCGTATCAATCGCAGGGCCTTTCAATTCTGCCAGGCGATTTTCCATATCAGCAACAATCTCCTTTACGTCGACGATTTGTGCTCGCGTGATGTCATTATCATCAGGAGAATGAGAAGTCGCCAGTTCGACCTCCTTGCTGTCCAGCTTGAGTTTTGTGCTCTTGATGGCGAGTTCAAGTTCCTTGATAGCTTCATCTCTCAAGCCTTGATCAACGTGTGCTTCTTCTTCAGTAGTATCATCCTTGCCTTCAGCATCTTCCTTGGTTCTCGTGATGGACGCGAATTCAAGTGCAAGGGATAACTTGAAGTGAGCCTCAGCAATGATTTCCGACTCCTCGGGATACAAGTCGTTCTTGTAGCCCAGGGCAGATCTGAAATCCTCAACAGCACTAGGAAATCTGGTACAAGTTAATGACTGTTCAAAAGATAAGTCTTAATTGCTTACCTTTCGTTCTCGAGTGAAATCTCAGCCAGAAGGTCGTGCGTCTCTCCCAGTCGCTCCTTGATGTGCTTCATCATAGATGTATCTTCCGTTGACTTGCCCTTGCCTTCAACAGCCTCTGGGCCTTCCATCTTCTTGCTGTAAAGTACTCGTGCCAAGTCTAACATCTCAAATGCTGCCGCCAAGTCATCTTCGTCTTCCTCTTCTTCACCTTCGGCTCCTTCTGCCTGATTCCCATATTAGCAGAAGCAGCGCACCAGATCATAGATAACTGACCTGGTCCTCGTCATCGGAATCGTCCTCGAAGTTCTCATCGCCAGTAAACTGAAATAACGGCCTCTTTCCACCCTCATCTGTCGCTGCAGCGTCTCCATTCTGGCCTGCGATGATTGCTACACCCTCTTCGGCAATCTTCTCGCTCTCGGTCTTGGGCTCCTCCTTGCGCGCATCAGTTGTCTTCGACTTTGTAGTGCCATTGGCCTTCTTCTTTTCACCGCCGGCTCTGCCACCTAGAACATCACTTTTGCTCTGACCGACTCTGAAAAGCGATCGACCGTAGAGAAACAGAACCTCCGCGTTCTCTGGAGACATCTCGCCGTTGAGCTCAGCTTGCAGCTCTGAAGCACGAGCATACAGATCAGCTGCCTCCTCGTACTGCTTCCTAGCATATTTTGCTGTACCCTGAGCGCAGAGGTCGGCGAGCGAAACCTTGACCGAATTGAAGGCTTCCATCGCGGCAGAGGATTGTTCTGATAAGGTCGTCGGTGGTTCAACTGGTTCTGCCATTGTTGATTTCGTAGTAGATTGTTCCTCGTGCTTGAACGTGTACTCGGAAGATTGAGTCGATGCGACAAAGATTAGTAAGGTCGCGTCGTTTTCAAAATGAAGCTGATTGTTCAATGGAAATTGGGTTGATAAAGTTGGCAGAAGTGAAAGGTGCTTTGCGACATGTGAGCAATGGTCAGTTCCCTGAGCAGGGATCACGCGAAGAAAACAGCTCTACGCGGTCCGCGTCGTCGTCGCGTCTCCCAAATCAAACAACGCCTTCTCCGTATGAACAATCGAACGACCTCGACAATGCGAATTGCATAGACACGAATCTTTGACAATGTCTCGCCCAAATCAAGGAGAAAAGACTCGAGCAGCTCCAATATTCAAAGCTCCCAAAACGCCAGCGCCATTGAACCCAATTCCCTCTTCATCACCGGCCTTCGGCACTCCAGCGTATCCTATAAAGCCCTTTAATCCTGTAGCAGTACCAGCAAAAGCCAGTATCCTCCCTGTAATTCTTCCTCCAGCTACCTTGCGCCCATTGGCCTTTCGAACGTTCACAAAGAAGCATAGTCTTACCCTCACATCCTCCGCCTTGCAAGTACTGGCTACATTCATTGGGAGACATTGTGGTACAGAATGGAGAGAAGAAGGATTGGCAGAACGTGTTCTGGAAGAAGTAGCGAAAAGTTGGAAGAACAGAAATGGCGGTGTCATTGTGGATGGAGAAGGCAATGACTTGAAAGAAATATTAAAGAACTTAGAAGGGAGCATGGCTGGAGGAAGAATAGTTGCCAGCAGAGAACTCAGTCGTCAGAATAGTCTAGTCCTTGGATCTTCACAGAATGGAGAAGTATCTCATACGAGACTTGGACTGCGACCAAGCGCCTTGGGAAGGGAGGACAGCCAATCGAGTCTTGGGATGTCAACCTTGGATGTTGAAGACGACGAAGAAGATGAAGGTCTTAGAGATCCCAGGAAATGGCTGAAAGTTATCGATGCTTTTGAGCAGCCCCGGCTGGTATACAATGTTGGGAAGAAACATTTTGACAGGTCAGTTCATCGAGAAGCACAAATTTTTGTTCTAAAGATCTTATAGAGATACATCGAAACCCTCGCTACTTCCTTCGGCATCTCATAAAACCCAGGTATTCCGCAATCGATATAACCTCATTCACCAGCGACTGCTCAGGAATGAGTCTTTCCAGACATCAACCTTCGAAACATCAAAAGCTACTCTCAAAAGATCTTCCTCTACCCTTGCTACGACACAGCAATCCTACAAATTAACCCCAATTGCTAATCTACTTGGGAGGAACGGCACCAATCATATGATATTAGGCCTGCTGACTATCTCACCAACTGGAACCTTAGCTATCAACGATTTGACGGGCAGTATCGCATTAGATCTGACTCACGCAAAGCCAATTCCGGAAGATGGAGCCTGGTTCGCACCCGGAATGATTGTCTTAGTGGATGGAACTTATGAAGAGGAGGATAGTGTAGGCGGCGCACTTGGTGGAAGTGGAGGTGTTGGTGGGACTATTGGCGGCAAGTTCGTTGGCTTCTTCGTTGGTGGTCCACCGTGTGAACGACGGAAGGTTACCTTGGGACTTACGGGCGACGGCGATGGTGGAGTGACTGCTGGAGGTGGCTTTGGCTGGGTTGATTTTCTTGGAGTTGGTAGTGAGCGAGCTGTTGGCTCTAAGATGAGGAAACTCGAACAACGTCTTTTACGGCCAGCCACAGATGAGGACGATATAGGCGGCAAAGGACGTGTAATTGTTGCGGGAGAACTCAATCTGGACCAACCGAGGACACTGGAGGCATTGAGGAAATTGCTGGGCAAATATGCTGCGGAACCAGAAGAAGACACGCCCATGACATTCATCTTAATGGGGAACTTCGTTCAGGATGCTGTCATGGCCCGAGGTAGTGCTGGGAGCATCGAGTACAAGGAATATTTCGATGGGCTGGCTTCGACTCTATCAGATTATCCAACCTTACTTCAATCTGCGACTTTCATTTTTGTTCCAGGAGACAATGATGGCTGGTCATCATCTTTCTCAGCTGGTGCAGCAACTCCTATACCAAAAAAGAGCGTACCGGAAATGTTCACATCACGAATCAAGAGAGCTTTCGCAACAGCAAATGCAGAAGCAGAAAAGGAGAAAGGGAAGAAGTCAGACGGAGAAGCACTCTGGACCAGCAATCCGTCTCGATTATCGCTTTTCGGGCCAACTCACGAGATCATACTGCTTCGAGACAACATGACCAGTCGCCTGCGGAGGACAGCAATCAAATTCTCATCCTCGAAGCCAGAAGAAGAGGATGTCGACATGGCAGGTACACCAGTTGCGACGCCTGAACCAGAGCCAGAACCAGAATTCGAAGCCCCTGAGATGGATGTAGACACAGCTGTTCAGGCAGCAGAGTCACATATACCTGATCCCGCCACTGAAGATGCACTGGCCACGGATCTTCATGTCGCAAGGAAATTGGTGAAGACAATCCTGGACCAGGGTTACTTGTCTCCATTCGCAATGGCCACTCGACCTGTGCTATGGGACTATGCAAGCGCTTTGCAGGTATACCCTTTGCCGACTGCAATGGTTCTGACAGATACAGAGGCACCAGCCTTTTGTGTGACTTACGAAGGTTGTCATGTAATGAATCCGGGGAGTATTGTAGCTCCTGGAAGACGAGGAGTGGCTAAGTGGGTAGAATACGATATCAGGAAAAAGGTTGGGAAAGTGCGAGAGGCATTATTCTAAGCTAGAGCTAGGATACAAGGCGTTTGGAATGGATAATGCTGCATGAATGATGAACTTGTATGTACGCTTGGAATGGCATGAAAGGGTGATCTCCTAATACTTGATGGAAAACCAGATCACGAGTATCATACGAGTGTTTCGATGCCTAAACATGTGGAATGTCTGTCATTTACACCACAATTCTAGAAAATAAAACGAATGTACCAAGTCTTCATAGTAACGTCGGTATTGAGACAAAAGCATAGATAGGGAATAAAATATAGCCAACTGAAATTTGGCTGTCAAAACGCTGGCGAAGAGAACCTCATAACTAGGACCAAAAATAAATCGAATACCAAAGGTAATGCAATACTTCATAGAGTTACGTCCAAAGCTCTTCTCGAGCAGACGAATTTGCACTAAAACGGAAGCCTATCAGAGCCGTCGATTAGCCCCGCTTTCGCGATAACCGATAAGAAGAAAAGTTTCCTCCACCACCAGTTCACCAAAAATCTCGATTCTCAAAGCACTCCGGACTGGGAGCAACATGGGCAAACTCAAATCGAACAAGCGCAACAGCGCGGCCTCTGCAAGCACACCATATTCGAAAGCAGAAAAGGCGACGAACAACGTCTTCAAGTTCAATACGAATGTGGGCCAACATATTCTCAAGAACCCTGGAGTTGCCGAAGCTATTGTCCAGAAAGCTAATCTCAAACCCTCGGATGTGGTCCTTGAAGTTGGTCCCGGAACAGGGAATCTGACGGTCCGGATATTGGAGAAGGCGAAGAAGGTCATTGCGGTGGAATTGGATCCTCGAATGGCGGCGGAGGTCACGAAGAGAGTGCAGGGGAAACCTGAACAGAAGAGATTAGAAGTACTGTTGGGAGATGTCATTAAGACGGAATTACCGCCTTTTGATGTCTGTATTAGCAATACGCCATATCAAGTACGTTGTCCTTCTTTGCGGAGAAGGATGCTGGACTAATATCTGTCTAGATTTCTAGTCCTTTGGTATTTAAGCTTCTTGCACTACCTAACCCCCCTCGAACCTCCATTCTTATGTTTCAACGCGAGTTTGCTATGCGGCTTACAGCACGGCCTGGGGATGCTTTATACTGTCGACTTTCAGTGAACGCGCAGTTCTGGGCCAAAATCACACATATCATGAAGGTCGGAAAGAACAATTTCAAGCCTCCCCCACAAGTCGAATCGTCAGTCGTGCGAATAGAGCCGAAGATGGGTACGAAGAGACCTGGTGTGAGCTGGGATGAGTGGGATGGAATGCTTCGGATCTGCTTCGTGAGGAAGAATAGGACTATGCGAGCCAGTTGGCTTGGAACTAAGGAAGTGCTCGCTATGTTGGAGAGAAACTACAGAGTGTGGTGTGCTATGAATAACGTTGCCGTTGATGATACGATCATTGGTGAAGAGGACGAGATGGAAGTCGAAGATGCTACTGGGCCACCAGAAGAGGATGAGTGGGGTGGTATAATGGATGTGGACGAGGAAGCAGACGAGACGCCTGCATTCTTCAAGGAGGAAGCTGAACGAATAGCAAAGGAGAATGGGGGAAAGACGAAGAGCAAAAAGAAGAAGACGAGAGTTGCCGAGCTGGTGAGGGAGAAGATTAGGAAAGTGTTGGAGGACAAGACGGAGTTGGCAGACAAGCGTGCCGGAAAGTGCGACGAGAACGATTTCTTGAAGCTATTGTATGCCTTCAACGAAGAGGGGATACATTTCGCTTGAGGGAAAGCAGATACCCTGGGTTTTTACTTTAGCATGGCGTTGGTGGGGCTTTGATAAGAAACATCGAATTATATAGAGAAACTTGGAGTTTCTTCATTCGATTAGGTGTTTAGGGGAAGGAAAAGGAATCAAAAGAGAGCTTGCACATAGAAAATGTACCTCGAAGTCATCGTAAAGAATAATGAATCCTGTTGACCTATGACGATTTACTCAAAAGTAAAGCAGAAGTTTTCTTCATAAGATATCTATGGGGCAGGCAAAAGGTGTAATTTAAAGATAAAGACATTAGGAAAAAATATGCAATTCTCGTGACTGGGAACTTATGTATAAGGATGAGGTATCTATCCCTTGACTTTGATGACATCAAAGAGAAGAATGTCTTCTGAGCTTGCTTGCCCTAATGCACGGGAAGCACCACGACTATTAACCGATAATACGCGAAGTGACTCTTTCCCGGTATGTAGAAAAAAAACTTCTTATCTAGATTCTTGGAAAAACTGGAAAACTTACAAAGAATGATCAAGGAGTCGGAAGGAGTAGTGAGTAGGCATACGCAAACAAAAAAAGATAAAATTAAGACACCGAGATAAACTCGGGGTCATGAACTCAAGAGGAGTAGTAACTCTCTGACGGGGAGTCGAACCCCGATCTCCCGCGCTTTGTCTGTTATGACAAGCGGAAATCATGACCGTTAGACCATCAAAGATGCTGATTTGCTGAGTTTGTTGACCAAGATATGCTTATTCGGAATCATACACCTGTCTTAGTGTCTACGTAAGGGTAGTGGGGCAGGTGATCGCTTAAGACCGGACTCTTCGGGGCAGGCTAGGTGCAGAAGGTGCAAACAACTTTTTGTTTTTCACTGTTTGGTATACATTGGTTATGGGCTATCCTTTTACCTGGAGATTAAGTTGGGACTTCTGTTCTTATATTTTTGGTTTACCTCGATTCTTGGTCATGTCATAAAAGAATTCTTCATATTTTCTTTTCGAATACCACTGTAAAATGGCCAATGTTTAAGATTGAGTCATATACTTGGTGGAAGACGACATAGGACGGAAGTTGAATAAATATCTAGTGGGTAACCAGGGCAGTCGTTATTGGAAATGGTTGATTGCGGGATAATGTCTACCTATTCAATATCCATTCTTGTTCTATTGTGGGTTTTGAGGTGCAGATTTGCAACAAGAAAATCTGTAAGCCTAGCCTAGCCAGTGAAGAGACAATGGAGTATGATAGTCAATGCAATGAAACATGGTCACGGGCAACGAGGAGTCTGAAGACACAGTACGTGGTCGCAACTGCAGTGTCATATCTCATCATTCTTATTCCATTGCTGGCAACGCCAATATCCACCTAGTACCCATATTTACAGAATTGGTATCATGCTTTCGCCGAACTCTTACTTTGTTCCCTCGCCGATTGTCTGACCGGTGCCTTCTTCTTGGTAGAAGGTACATACACATCATTAAAATTCATAGTCATGCCCAAAAATCTCATATCTTGATCGTGCTGCAATAGCAAATCACCCAACAACACACACACTTTTGACTTGAAATGCTTCCCCAAAGCCTGTAATCTTTCTTGCAGAACAGGGAATTCGTCGACAATAGACTCGTCTGAGCCCAAAGCTGGTGTAGAATCAGGAAGATGGCGTGGTCCACGTCGAGTAGTAGCTGGCGTATTGATCGATAGGCCGTCATCATCGTCCCGTCGGCCTTGAGAGTCGCTGCGTACGTCTGCACCTTGCCGTTTGGTGAAATCAGATACGGCCCAGCTATACAATCCATCTACTGCATCCCGATAGCTTAGCATCAGCCTCAAAATGTCGCCTAGTTGGACCATGAAGGTATTCTCATCCGTTTCCTTTTTCTTCTTCGCACCAAGGAGACCTTTGTGAGTGATTGCGTTCAAAAATTTAGTGTGCGCTTTTATGATATCGTCCAATGTGCATCCTTCCTTTTTAATAGCAGTCTGAAGTTCCTCCCATGATGTTTGGATGACCTCGAACAAGATATAGAACTGAAGCTGTCCAATGAAGTGAATCATCTCAGCAAGTACGCCTCTTGTGAGCTTCCAAGCCTTGGTGACGTTTTCATCTTCTCCTTGAAGTACACCTCTTGACCCAGTCATACACTTCCGCCAAGTCGAAGCTAAAGCAAATTCGACACGCTTTATTCGCCACAAGAAGTTGAAGACTTTAAGATATTGTCGATTACCCCACTCGGTCACCACAACGTCTACCGGGGCATCGATTTTATACTCCAACGTGAAGCAGTCCCAACCAATGTCTCCATGTGACAATTGAAGCATTCTAGCATCCAAGCGGCGAAGAACTTCAGGGGAATCGTACTGGGCGTTCGACCCTCGAATAGCGTGTTCAAGCTGTGCTGTAAGAGTGTGGCGGTATTGTGCGCCAGCTGGTCGGTCCAGGTTGGAGGATAGTGATTCCATTAGAAGTGCAATGAAATCGCCTTGACCCAGAAGGATATAATTTCTCAGCGCTTTCAAATGCTCGAATAGGTGGAATTTCTCAGACATAAGATGGATGAGACGAGCCATGGTGGTTTTGTAAGCCTCGTCAATCCAGGTTTCGAGGGTTGCAGTGTCTCCATATCTCAACTCTTTTGACGCAGCCTTTGAGTATTCTTCAACCCACTGAGAATCACCGCATCCATAACGAATGAAGTTCAGAGATTTTCCGATTAGAAAGACCTTCTGGGCGAAATCTTGTGTGATGATACTGGGGACCATATCCTCATTTAGCTTGTACTTATCCTCCCAGACACTACTTGCCACTCCGCGATGCCTGCCGTCCGTAGTGTCATTGATTGCAAGGGGATCTTGCTCTGACACAAAGAACTCATGGTATGGATCCAACAGTTCCCCATCATAGATCCACTGCCGTAGCATATCGTAGAATGGGCGGGTGACGTGAACAAGAAGTCGCTCAGCAAATGCCCCAACCATTGGATCACCATGAGATGAAGAGAAGCCATGGATGAGAGAGATCAGTTGTCCTCCTTTTTTACTCTTAGATTCCTCGCTGATCAGACTCATCAATCGAAGACCCATCGTTGCCTCACGAGTCCAGACAACGCATCTCTTCAGAGTGACTCCAGCTTTTCCAATGCCACCTCTTGGTTCTGTCTCGTCAAGGGAAGCCAAAGCTCGTCGAATCTGACCCTCTAAAGTAGCTACCAAGCCAAGATACGATCTTAATTCGCCGCCGATAGCGGCTCGTAAGCTCTGACCTAGCAGCCCACCACCTGGAGATTGAGTGAAGGTTGCCAGACCTCGGTAAAGTAAAGATGGCTCCGCCAGAGTGTGAAGAATAGAAACAATGGGTACGGGTAAGGTCGACGGTAGCTTCAGCGTTGATTCCGAGGAGAATGGAAGATGGCTAGATGACAAGCCTTGGAGGGTGAAAGGTAGGTCTCTTAACAGGGCCGTCTCGGGTGGATCAATCTCGACGTAGTTTTCTGACAGAAGGGCTGTCTTGAGAGCGACGTTCTCACGCTGTGCAGCCACTGATTTTGCAAAGGCTTGCTCTTCGTCTTTCCTGTCCCGCTGCCCACCTTCTCGTTCTGGGAGTCTTTTCAGACCCTCGGGCGCAAATGAATCTGCAGGCGTCTCCTCCTTTCTCCTCGATCCATAACTAGGTGAGCCTGGTATCACATCCTCAATATTTCTCCGTCCCCGAACATTCTTCACTGGACTCTTGAAGGGACTCGTCAAAATCGGTGGTGTTCTCTGTTGCTGGTCGCTGAGTTGATATAGGAAGTACAGAACAGCCCATTTCTGTGTGATGACGGGGATGGAGAGGAGTCGGCTGTAGAGGTGTGTGAACCGTAGAGCTTTGTCAGGGCTCGGGTTTGTTTGTATTAATCGTTTCTTAATCAGGTCTGAAGCTTGGTTGACATCTGCGACGACAGCTGGGGCAGTCGAACTAAAAGATAGAAGTTTTCAGCATGTGCTTGCAAATCAGAGGGGTGATCTAGTACTTCTCCAAGCTCTCTCTCACAAAATCCAAAGCATCATTTTCTCTTTCCTCTGCAGCAGCGGGATCCTCTCCGGGGATCTCAACCATAAGCCGTCGCACTAGGGAATTGATGCCATTATTGACACGTTGACTGCGTGAAGACATATTGACATTGTCCTAGTCAAGGTAGAAGATTCCTTGTGTTTTATGAGTTTATGAGTATAAATTCATTTACTGTTGTGGCAGACGCGTTGTGATTTGGTTCATAACGCGCCAGACCGCACCCCAGCAATACGGCGTAACCGAAGGCAAGGAGAGATCATTCAACGACAACGCTCTGCGCGCTGCGAAAAGGACGATTTTTAATTATCAACCACAACGCCACATTATCTCCAATCATCGCCAAACTTCGTCGCCGACTTTGATTAGGGTTGATAAACATATGGCTTGGTTGAAAAAAGACAGTATCGCGATGTAAAAGCCGCCTCAGGCGCGACGATTTCACAATGCCCGACATCGAGCCATCATTATTGTCTCGGCCCTCCATCTCTACAACTCCTATATTACCTCCAAAGACCATAAGTGCATCTGCGCCAAGCGCTCCGAAAGTTTCCAAGTCCTACAATGTGCCTGCGCGGATTGACCTCGAGCCGCTCTATACGGCACTCAAAAGTGCCATAGGCGAGCACTGGGCGACGTATAAAGAGTCCATCAGTCTCTTTGTAATGGGTTCGTACTTATTATAGTCCTGGCGCATATGTTGCGACCAACTATTTTGCCCTCATAGATGATCCCAATGGCTAATGATATCTCATTGTATAGGCCAGTTGAACCAAGTCGAACTATCAGCCAGAATCGACCCCTTCCTCGTAACTCCATCGGGCGAGCTGGAACATTTACACAATCAGTTGATATCTGCAATATATGGCAATGTCACCCGAGAGATGCCAGATGCGGGCGTGGCGAGCTGGGTGAGCGCAAATGATAAGCCGACAACAGGGGCTGGCAGCAAACCTGTCAGTGGAGATGCTGCAGAACAGAGACTTAAGACGGAAGTAATGCAACTTCCTAGTCGAGATCGAAGGCGCCTGAAAGACCTAAGTCAAAATGATGTAGGAAACTATTTTCCAAAGTGGGTTATTATCCTGCTAACTTAATCTCAGTTTGATCCGCAAGACCCATTCGCTACCTTATGGGGTGAGCGTCGCCAACAAATTAAAACAAAACTTGCAGATGCTGTCCCTGCAAGTGCTGGCGGTTTAAACAAAACGAGTAGGCTCCCCTATGCTTCATATTGAAGCCTAATGCTAAGCGACGATCTAGACTGGGATCTTGAGATCCGGAAACGATATATTCAATCTCTGGCATCAGAGTCTGGAGAATTTCCAGACACATCTACCATAGAGACTCGCATGTTGCCTATATGCTACGAAACTGGACTGGTTTCTGGTCATGCACCAGATGCAGCGCATTTCATGTCCGTGGCTACGGAGACATTTGTCAAAGAAGTCCTATCCTCTATTTTCAGTAAAACTCGCAGCAATGGCCCCGGTACAAGTGGGAGTGCTGGTACTGGTGGTGGAGCTAGCTGGGTACAGACACATAAGTATCGAACCCAGCTAGAGAGAGAGGAAGAGTCATCGTTGCGAGGCGAGGTTCAGAGAGACAAGAGTGGACTGCTGCCTATTGAAGCCAAAGCTGCGAGTGAGCGTGGTCCCCTCGGCATGGCTGATGTTCGAACTGCCTTGGAGCTAGGCGATTGTGGTCTTGGTCAGATGCCAATGATGGTCCAACAAATCATGCTTGGGTACCGAGAAGGTGAAGTTGAAGCATGGGACGATTATTCCTACCCCGACTCGCATGTCAGAATTGTTGGTGAAGATGCAGACGGTGATATTGAAATGGGTGGCGTTAATGGCACGAATGGTATAAACGGCCATACGTATGATAGGGATAACGAAGATTGGGGCTGGGAAGGTTGTGAAGGTGAAGATAAATCTACTTTGGACAGTTTGCTGGACTCTTGTCTAGCTATTTGATTGTCTAGGAGACTAGGGGAGGAGCATGGAAGGTGTTCGCGTTGCATTTTTTCCACGTTACATAACGGCTTTGCATGGTGTCTTGGGATATACAGTGCTATTTATTTACTGTACAAAAAGACATGGGAGGAAAGGCGTTCAAGGATAGGGGCCTTTGTACTTGGACGATACCCCATCGTGGCTGCCGAGCCACTGCTGATAACCACAAAATTATACATAAGTACATTTAAAAATTCTGACAGATTCTCGACTTGTTTTGGTGAGGTCCATTTTCAGTGAGACTTTTGTTCCTGATTCTTGTTGACTTTCCACATTGGCCGAGGGGTATTTCGCCAAGCGATTGTCACAGCCTCGCGGGAGCTGCCCCGCCATGTTTTATGTCCACTCAGCCTACGCAACTTGCAACACGTCAGAAGGCGTAGATATTACACTCATTCTGCAGAAATTCAGTTTCTTTCGTCCTTCAAGTCTCCTCCAAAATGTCGATCGCCATAAATAAGATTTTTGCAGCAACTCCTAGCACAGAGCGTGGCAGGCCAACACAACTCTCTGCAGACTCCAAAGGAGAGCGCATCGCCTATGCAGCACGTAGTCCCAATGTCCAAGATGAGCACAGCTATTAACAATCTCATTAGTCTGGCAAGTCCATATTCGTCCGATCAATCGACGACCCCTCCATCAGCAAGCAATACACCGGACATACAGCACAAACCTCGGTCGCAAGATTCTCCCCCTCGGGTTTCTATGTCGCATCTGGAGATGTTTCTGGCGCAGTCAAGGTTTGGGATTCTGTAGAAGCTGTTAATACAAAGGGTACAACTGTTCGAGTCTGCAAATCAAAGGCTGGTGACTGATTCGGACAGGGGATTACCACATTATATCTGGCAGGATTAATGACCTTGCGTGGGACGGAGATTCTCAACGCATTATCGCTGTTGGAGATGGACGAGAGCGATTCGGACATTGCATAACGGCAGATAGCGGAAACTCGGTGGGAGAAATCAGCGGTCACTCTTCGATCATCAACTCCGTCTCGATCCGCCAGCAAAGACCCCTTCGAGCCGCTACAGGTGCAGATGACAATTCCATGGTGTTTCTTCATGGCGCCCCTTTTAAATTTAATAGCAAGGTTGCGGGCATCCATAAGGGATACGTCAACGGTGTAGCGTTCAGTCCGGACGGAAATCAACTGGTCACTGTGGGCGCTGATCGAAGGATCCAGCTCTACGATGGCAAGACTGGAGAGGCTACAAAGCAGATTGGCGAGGGAGAACACACGGGGAGCATATTCGCTGTATCTTGGGCACAGGACTCGAAGCGATTTGCTACCTGTAGCGCCGACCAGACGGTCAAACTCTGGGATGTAGAAGCTGGAAAGGCTCTTCAGACCTGGAGATTTGGCGGTGAAGGTAATGTCAGCATTCCAGACCATCAAGTAGGAGTCGTATGGCCAGCCGGAAGAAGTGACGGGATGGTGATAAGCTTGAACTTGGCCGGCGATCTAAGCTATCTGGTTGAAGGAAGCCAGAAACCGACTAAGATTGTTCAGGGGCACAACAAGAGTATCACTGCTCTTGGTTCAAGCCACGAGAGTAAATACCAGACTCTATGGACCGGTAGCTTTGATGGCAGAGTTTGTGCTTGGGATGTCGCAACAGGCATTGGTTCTGTAGTAGAAGGAGAGTGCCACAAGAACCAGGTCACAGCATTCCAAACAACTTCGGAGAGAGCTTACAGTGTTGGGTGGGATGACACACTTCGTATTGCAGATGTGTCACAAAAGACTTTCCTTGGAGATACCGTCAAACTATCAGCCCAACCTAAAGGACTTGCCTCAGCCGAAGGTCGACTCTTCGCTGCGACAGTTTCCGGAATCGACATTTTCGTGAAAGATGACCTCGTGGGTACGTTGCCTACGAAAGACTTCACGCCCACAGCTATTGCAGCACATGGTTCATTGGTTGCTGTCGGTACCGATTCCAATGTGGTCCAAATATATACTGTCGACAGCAGCCACAAGCTGAGTCCGAAGGAGACGCTCACAAAGTCCACTGCACAGATCACAGCCTTAGCATTCTCGCCTAATGGTTCACTCCTTGCTGTTGGCAACTCTTCTGGCAAGATTGTTGCATATGAGACTAGTTCTTGGGAAGTTAAGACCGACAGGTGGTCAGCACATACATCTCGAGTCACCTCTCTTGCGTGGAATGAGGACAGCACCCTTGCCGTCAGTGGTTCTCTCGACACCAATGCTCACGTCTGGAGTTTGAAGTCGCCTGGCAAGAGAATAAAAGCACCGAATGCACACAAAGACGGAGTGAATGGTGTCGCATTTCTTGATGGGGGGAAGAAAATCGCCAGTACAGGAGCAGACATAACTTTGAAGATTTGGGATGTCTCGGATATTGAGTAGATACAGTAGAATAAAATACCGCAATCTGATATATGAGCATTCTCAAGTCGCGGGACTTAAGAAAGTAAGCCTATTGACCATCTATTTACATGTGGTTTCACAATGCATGCATGACGTCCATGTGCCTCGCCTCGTGCCCACGAGCTCCACATGCGCTAGAAACGGGAGCTACAATGGAACAGGTCTAGATCCAGTGAGACCTGGGGAAGCCCAATTGTCAATGTTCAACACAACTTGCAGCTAGCAGGTCTCACAAACACACAACAAAACAAACCATGAAAAAGCCACAATGAGCTCACCATCGACTGCAGATGGCCCAGCTTCTCCATCTAGTCGAAGATTCCCTGGAGTGTCGAAACGCAGCGTAAGAGAGCTCCAAAGATGCGCGAACCAAGCAGCTAATATGAACGCTCTACAGAGGCTGAGAAATGGGACCTTCATCATTCCAGGCACGGGCGAACGTGTACGACGGCAGATCACTCTGCGGGGCGCGTCGAGCTTCGATGGCCCATCTCGATCCTTTTCTAGCGATTCCGAAAGTCCGATTCTGCCACTGAGACGAACATATTCGCAAGCGGGCACTTTTCGCACCGCGCTAGACAATACATATGATGCTTTGAGAGAGATATGGGACTGGCTGCGGACTCCTACTGCCAGAGACATTCTAAAATGCTCGCTGGCATACCTGCTGGGTAGCATGGGAACCTTTCTACCACCTCTTGCCAACTTTTTGGGTCATCAGGATGGGAAGCATATGGTTGCCACCATTACTGTCTACTTCCACCCTGCGAGGTCTGCGGGGTCGATGGAAGAGGCTGCTTTGTTGGGATTTGGTGCATTCCTATATGCGACCTTCATTGGGATCTCGAGTATGGCCACATCGACCTTCTTCGAAACACAGCTCCACCTTATAGAGCTTGGTTATGCACTAGTTCTGATTATATTCTGCGGCGGGGGCCTAGGATTTGTTGGTTGGTTCAAGCAAAGATTTAATGCTCCACTGGTCAGTGTAGCTTGCAGTTTGGCATCACTAGCCATCATTACGATTATTACGAAAGAGAATGCTGTTCAAGTTGGTGTATTCGAAAACGACAAGATTGTGCAGGTGATGAAGATGGTTATAATAGGTATTGCAGCTACTTCTGCTGTCAGTTTGCTGGTCTGGCCAGCCTGTGCTCGAACACAGCTTCGAGAGACGATGATCAAAACCACGGACTCGTTCGGAGACATGCTTACGATGATTACTCGAAGCTTTTTGAGCGGTTCGGAGACTGATCTAAGGTCCACCTCCTTCAACAATGCCCAAAGCAAGTACAGGTCGGTGTTTACACAACTAACAAAGAATTTGAAAGAGGCGAAGTTTGAGCATTATCTACTCGGAAGAGAACAAGAGTACAGAGTCGAGGCAAATCTTGTACATTGTATGCAGAGACTCGCTCAATCTATTGGCGGATTGAGAAGTGCTGCAACAACTCAGTTCTCACTCCTGAGAGAAGGGGCAGCTACCGGCAACGCTACACCTATGACAGGGTTACGCATGTTCCCACAACAAGTTCTGCCCACTAATTCGATGAGGCAAGACCGGTTCGCGGTCCTCACTGCCATTGAGGAAGCTTCTGAAGAAGGCAGTGGAGCTGAGGATCAGCAAGCTGATCAAGACCTGCCTCGCCCGCCCAAACGCGAGGGAACAGATATGAGCCTAGGCAGCACTACTATGCCGACAGTCAGAACACCGTCCGAAATATTTTCACGATTCATTATGCACCTTGGACCGTCCATGAAGTCATTGGCGTATACACTTTCACAGATTTTGCAGGAGTTGCCGTTTAGCGAAGGTCCGGATTACGAAATTATGATTAATGACCATTTCAAAACAAGTCTCACAGAGGCGTTGTAAGTATTCACGCTATTTGTGAAGCGTCTCATTGGTACTGACAACATTTCAGACAGTTATATAGTGAGGCTCGAGCTGATGCGCTCAAGCAGTTGTACAAAAGCAAAGAGTTAGATCGAGAAAGACCAGAGAGCATCGAAGCCGACTTCGAGGAGGTTGCTGCAAGTTGCGGTCATTTCAGTTTCTCACTTCAGACTTTTGCAAATGAGATGCAAAACTTCCTGTCAATATTAGAAGAGCTGAAGGAGGCTACCGAGAATCGAGATCAACGCTCATGGTCTTGGCTTCGATTTTGGCAGAAGTCCAAAGCTCAGATGACCCAAAGACCAAATGATGATCCGGAGCAAGAAGCTCTGGTGGATCAGAATCAAGAAGTAGAGGTGCCGAAAGACCTCCCAGATCTTGTCTTAGAGAGGCGAGAAATAAGGAATTTGCAACAACCAGATTACGATCCACTGGACAACCTCTATCGAAAAGTCTTCAAAGTAATTCGTTTCCTTGAAAGAGATGATCGTAAGCCATCCAAGCTCGTGATGTATGTCTCGCTCACCTGTCTTTAGTACGATTTGCCTGTAAGGTCGGAATAGGAGCATCTCTGTATGCTCTATTTGCATTCATTCCCTGGACTAGACCTTTTTACCAACATTGGCGAGGAGAGTGGGGTCTATTGTCCTATATGCTTGTTTGTGCCATGACGATTGGAGCGTCGAACACTACAGGATGGTCTCGATTTATTGGTACTGTGATTGGTGCCGTAATTGCCATTATAGTGTGGGCCATCTGCCAAGGCAATCCTTTCGCTCTAGCATTCTGTGGATGGCTTGTTAGCTTGCCTTGTTTCTACATCATCATTGCGAAGGGAAATGGTCCTTTTGGTCGTTTCATCATGTTGACATACAATCTCTCCTGCTTGTATGCGTACAGTTTGTCTGTCAAGGACAACAGCGAGAATGATGACGATGAAGGTGGAGTTACTCCGATCATTGGTGAAATTGCTTTGCACAGAGTGGTGGCTGTCTTAGCTGGTGTACTATGGGGTCTCATCATCACAAGAGTAATCTGGCCTATCTCCGCCAGGCACAAATTCAAGGACGGTCTATCTTTGCTCTTGCTTAGAATGGGGTTGATATGGAAAAGAGATCCTTTGGCTACTCTTCTCGAAGGAGAGTCTCAAAACGAGTACATGAACTTGAGAGAGGAGTTTGCCTTGCAACGTTACGGTATGTGTACACCAAACCAACTTTCACAGCATACTAACACACGACAGTCCTCCGCCTCGACAACCTCCGCAGCGCAGCAACCCACGAATTCGAGCTCCGCGGCCCCTTCCCCGCTAAGCAATTCGGCCGCATAATGGATTCAACCAACAAAATGCTCGACTCCTTCCACGCCATGAACGTGGTCGTACAAAAGAACCTCAATGCTACTGAAGGCGAAACCGCCCTTCTAAAATGCACAGCCGAAGAACGCGCCCAACTCTGCGCCCGCATCAGCCATCTATTTCAAGGTCCTTCCCCTCTCCTTTCTTCCCCTGCCTTCCCTTTCCTTAGCTAATCAAATGAAACTTCGTGTAGTCCTAGCCAGCTCCCTCAAACTCGAATACCCCCTCTCCGACACCGTCCCGTCGACCTCTAACCCGCGCGACCGCCTCCTAGCCAAGATCTTCCAGTACCGGAAAGACGCCGCCGTAGCAGCGGGGCTCGACGACGATGACGACACGGTGGTCGCCAAAGATGAAGATTATGAGATGCTTTATGCGTATATCCTCGTCACGGGCCAGTTGTCGGAGGAGATTGGGAAGGTGGAGAGGATTGTTGAGGAGTTGTATGGGGTTATGGATGAGGATATGTTGAAGTTGCAGTGAAAACGAGGAGGAGGGGGTTGTAGGATATGTATGTTTTGATGATGGATGGATGGATGGGAGGGAGGGAAATTTGTAATAAAAGCAAGGGAAGGGCTGGCGTGGTTATGGATGGGTATAGGTTTGTATGGTTACCTATGAGACAGAGAGGCGTTGCACAAAAAGAAATAGTGCTCAGGCTTTCAACGAATCATGAAGTCAAAATTTGATTTACTTGCACAGACTCAGAGAGAAAACAGTCTTTCGGTCCATGATCACTGATCTGCTTGTGTTAGTAATCTTAAGCCAACCTCTTCACGTAAACAAGACACTGGATTTGACTTTATTCTTTTTGTTCATTCATCTGTCTAAAAGACAAATAGCCTCCATCATAATGATCGATAGAGACCAACATGCAACAGCATAAAGCCATCCATGTTCAGCAGCCTTTCCCCGGCTGTATCTTCATTTGCCATGATATCTACAATAATCTCAACCCTCGTTCCCAGCCCTGTCCCTCCTACGCAAGCATACTCATTCTCCGACATTATTCCATACAAACAAATCCCTGCCCAAATTAACTTTCGAAAAAGCTCTAATAGCAAGGACCCGTGATATGCTGAACGATTGATGCTGATGACTTTCCCGTCTGAGACCAATGTAACTCTTACAATAACTTTTCCTATCAAATGCAACCAGTCAAGCAATCAAGCGCAAGCAAATGTTGTTGTCGTGAAGAGAAGAATAGCTGGCTCCAAACAATTCGACCCATGGTCTATCGTTCCGTAATCGTAACTCATAAAAGCGTAAAGGGGATGTCTCGCCCTGGGAATTATGTATAGCAAACATGCAGAAGCACAAAGGCTTCAAAGTCTAATAGTGTTGGGGATGGGTTGGTCGTTGAGGCCGGTAGTGGTCGACCGCCATATCCATTCGGGGCCGACTGAGAGATCGTGAATCGAAAGAGGAATCCAACCCTCGTCAGTCCTATCCAGGTATGGTAATGTTTCTGAGCAAGATCTCAGGCAAATCAGACATCCATCATCTCAGCATCGTCAGCCAAGAGTTCATCTGCTGGTCCCCAGTCGCCTTCGAATACAGTGGCACCGGCTCTCCGACGAGGCTCAACCCACTGAAGACCACCTGCAGCCAGGATTTGACCAACATTTGGTCGCATACCCGGAACTGGCTGGAGCATTGCACGAACCAAATTGTCCATAGACCATTCGTGTTGGCTATTCTTCATGAATGCTGGTGCCTTGTGGAGCTCACCTCTTCTCAATGTGCCGAAGAGGTTGGCAGGGTCGTGAGAATGAGTCTTGCTTCCAGCGTTTCGTCTGCGGCTGCTCAGAGTTGGAGATCCAAAGCTTACATCAAAGTCGTCACTGAAGGTGGTGTCCATGGAGTCGCCCTCGTCAATGACCATGCCAGTTGCATCTCTTGGTAGGACACTCTCGCTAATCCAGGTAAGACTGGGAGCATCGCTAGGATCACCAGAACGGAGTTTGGCCCAGCTAGGACCATTTTCGGGGAGAGCAACGTTGCCAGCAATCTCAACCATGATCATACCGAAAGAGAAAATGTCGGCTGGCTTATCTAGGATACCTTTCAAGATCTCGGGAGCGATGTACTCGCGATCACCTTCTCCGTCATGGTTGGGTGGTGCTGGCCAGGTACAGGCAAGTCCAAAGTCTGCGATCTTCAACACACCCTCAAACGTGATGAGAATGTTTGCAGGTTTCAAATCCAAATGAATGAATCCTGAATCGTGAATGTGCTGCAATCCCTAGAGTACTAATTAGCCCTGCTCATAGTCAAGAACAAAACATATGTCAACTTACCTTAGCCAGTTCCAAGGCGATCTTCCAGATCCGGAAGTCGTCCAAACGTCCTCGACGTCCCACTCGTTCGAGGAACAGGTCCAAGCTACCTTCTTCACAATACTCAGTTTGAATGTAAAGATGGTTGTTGGCCTCCCAGTTGTCAAGGAAAGATACGACATAATCAGATTTGCCAAGTGCTTTAAGCACATTGACTTCCTGCAGTTTCCTCTGACGGTCCCTGATGCCTGCATAAGGCTGTAGTGTCTTCTTGACTGCAAAAACTCGTTCCAAAGTAGAGGCTGGTGATTGCGATTGGGGTGTAGTGGTCGAGCTCGGGAAAAAGAGTTGGTTTGGGTTGGTGGTTGGGATGATTTTCGTCACTCGGTAGACCTGGGAGAATTCTCCACTGCCGACCAGTTCTACCCTTTCGAACCTGGAGAGAAGAGCATCGTCTACATCGGCAGCTGCAAAATTGCTGATTGGAGTTGTACTGAGTCGTCGATCTGCAATTTTCGAAAACTGGTCTCGACCTGCTGTCGGCGTGGCGGGTGGCGGCATGGAAGCACCTTTCGCAGCCTGGCCATCTCGAGGGTTTGAGATAGTCAGACCACTAGGATCAGGAGGTACCATGTTGTCTTGAGGCGTATGGGGAGAGAGCCTCTCAAAGAAATCTACACGCTCCAATGGACTGGCTGGAGCCACGTGAGAGATTTTAGCAAAGCCGGGCTTGCTTGAAGGGGTTTGGATTTGGAAGAGAGATGCAGATGCGAGATTTAGCATCAGCGGCGTAGAAGCCTGATAATTCTTTGCACGCTGATTCCGTAATCTGCTGAATGGCACTGCCGGATCTGTAGACTTCTGGTTCCGAACATGTGCAACAGTGGGAGACTCGTACGGATCAGGTGATCCATCGTGTTCCTCTGTTTCTGCAATGGGACTCGAATTACTGAATGGGTTTAACTTACTGCTAGTTCTTTGAGCCTTCTTCGTCAGTCCCAGGCCAACAGCTGAAACAGAAGGCGGGAAACTCCTGTGGTGACTAGGACTTCCACTGTACTGTTGCTGTACCAGAGCCTGCTTTGTTGGAGTTGGTGGTAGGTCGTATTCTCCATTAGATTGGCTGTCTCCTTTGGCATCAGGAGATCCTCCAAGTTCATCTCCGTCAATGCTCAAGAAGCTACCACGTCTCGTAAGACCACGACCCGGGAATGCTCCACCAAAAACGCTGCTTCCGTTACCGAAAGTGCCCTGAGCAGGCGTGTTTCCGTGAAGATTGAATGGAGTGGATGGGGTACCAAACGAGTGTCGAACATGTCTAGCTTTGACAAGAGCGCTTCCTGGCATGGGTGCAGCAGGATAGGTAGCAAATACATTGGTCTGCTTCTTGCAAGGCGTGTCTGGAACAGCTTTGCCACGAGTCACTCGAGGTTCCTCTGGATTCTTGTTCATCTTTGATATCAAACCAGTAGATGCAAAGGCAGCAGGGTGTGGCTTAACATTCTTGTAATTTTGAGGCGTTGCGAAGGTCTCCTCATCACGGGAATACAAGTCTGCCGCAAATGGTCTCAAGGCACCCACGGGCATTGACTTGGAAAAGTCGATCTTGGGTCTGGTCTTCTCACCGAAATGGACCGGAACGTGAGTTGGCGAGTCGTCTGCAATGCTGCCACTCGATGACGAGGTAGTCATGGTTCGCGACAAGGGATGAGGCTGGTGTGCAGGTGGATTCATAACATGAGCGGATGGGTTTGGAAGGCTGGCCTGACTGGAGAAGGGGCTGTCTCGTGGCATCGGCGGCATGAACTGGTCCAAGGACAGTCGTGGCCGATTCTTCGTTTGAACAGGTGTTGATACTTCAGGCACAGAATTGGCTAACTGCTGCGCAGCAAGTGCTTGTGCAGCTGCTCTTCGACCCCAAGATGTCTTCTCGCCATGTCGTTGCTGGAGTGTCGATTTGCGCAATGATGAAGATCTTCTTGGCATTGAAGTAAAAGCTAGCGGGTTGTCTGATGTGATTGATGCTGTCGATAGTTCGTACTCATGATTAGAGTCGTCATGGATGTCGAAATTAGATGATGGTGCTGGACCATGATCAAACACGTTGAAGTCCTGACCGAAGCTCGCAGATCCGTGGAGAGATCTCCTCTTGGCAACTGGGCTTCCAAGGCTCGCCTGATCTAGGTTCATAATCGCATCACTTCGCTTCAGAGGACTCGAAGTCGAAGAGCCCGTTGGAGTGTCGCAAGCACCGTCGCCTCCAAGTCTCGACAGAGCATAATTAAGAGGCCCCGAAGTTTCCATCTTTCCAACTCGCTCAAAGCTCTTGCGTTCGACTGGGCTTCTGCTATTCTCTTGTCCACCAGCGGATCCTTGGGATGAGTTTGGGAAGCTATTGCCGGTATCGGAGGTCTGGCTCAGAGCCCGCTTCATAGGACTTTTGGGTGATGTTCGAGTACGAGAAGAAGGCCGAGGAGGGGCAGACTTTGAAGTGCGGGTCGAAGATCGAAGTGCTAATTTTGCGCTTGGAGGAAAAGGCACAGCCAACGGAGAAGGAGTATGAGGGGCGTTTGCCGGTGTACTAACGGAGAGGGCAGGCTGCGAGGAATGGCGTTTCGGAGGCGATGGTGAAAGAGGCGATTTTGGTGAGGAGCTTGGGGACTTGGTAACAAGTCTGAACTTCGATGGAGATCGTGAAAGTGATCGCCTAATAGTTCTCGCGATAGCCGTAGCATCGACGTGATGTGGATGTGTCGGCGACGGCAATGTGAGAGTCCCACCACCACTATTGGAGTACGACATGATATAGGTTGGAATGCGGGCAGCGCTCGCCTATAGTGTTCGACTCAAAGGGATATCGGGTATTTATCGATCCTGCAACATAGATGTGGTGCCGCAGCAAGATATTTGAGGTCTCCTTATATCGCCACTGGATGTACTGGAGGTATGGAAAGCTGGAAATCGACCTTGGTCGGTATCTTTCCTCTCGGCGCAGATCGAGCTCTCCTTCAAGAATCAGGGTCTGAATCAGTCGCGTGAGGAGGAATAGAACGCGGTGGGAATGTTGGAATATCGAAAGTGGAGGAATGCTGAGGCGGTCAATGACTGAATGAGTGACTGAGTGGCGGTGACTCGATAATGGAAGTCAATGTCACGCGACGGAGGTAATCATGACAGGAGTTGTCGATCGTGGTGTCCAAGAGCAGCAACGGATACCAGCGCGCAACCAAGGGATATCTTTCGATGAGTTGCCAGTGTTGTGTTGAATAGAGTCGAGTCGACGATGGAGATGTGAATGCGATGCGACGAAACGAAAGTTGGGGAATTGGATGAAAGAACTTTACAGGGCGTGCGGTGCGGTAGCAGCAGTTGGCGACTTGGACTTTGCGGTGGAGCCTTCGACGACGCGTCCTTAGCGTTGTTGATGTTTCTTCGTTTCCGGAAGTCGCGCTTGCCGAAAGGGGTATCGCGTTGGCCGATATCAGACGACCCGAGTTAACGATATTGACTGGAGTAGAAGATACTGAGTGAGAGCCGCAGATGTCGATGTCTTCTCACGAGGCGGTGGTCGACGATAGAGAAAGAATAAATGTGGAAGAGATCCGTTCGTCCAAAGTTTGGAGTTTCATGGACTTTTCTTCATGCAGCGGGTTTTCTGTTTATTTGGATCGATGGGCAGCGGCCAATCAACACGTGTTCCAGCGTCCCCGGGCAGTCCAACGCCTGTCCATACCTGCAGCAGCCGTGGAAGTGGCTTTCGGATGCTCCCAGACACGTCCCCTAGTCACATCCAGGGTCTGAAGATCACGGCGCCGCTGCCGCGTCCAAGACCAGTCAAGAGCAGCAGAGATCAAAGGCCCAAAAACCAGCCGATGCGGCACTGTGGATACGACAGAGGTAGTCGAGGTAGTTCAAACGTTGAGGTCCCCCGTCCCTGACCGGAGTCCCTTGAACGATGATGCACGCACTTGCCACGTCGTGCTTCCTTCTGGTGCAAGATGTTCCTCGTCAGCAGAGGGGCAAAGGTGGCGATCTATCTCTATCTCTATCTGTCTCTCTCTATCTTCGCATCCTTCTTCTTTTTCTTCTCTTTGTTGACATCCTCACACGGATCAAAACAACAACAACAATAACAATAAAGCCCAGCAGCCACTTTCGTATTTGTTTTCCCCGATCCCAGCCCGGGAAATGGGGAGCAGGGGTCATCTCCCCACTTGGATATTATTGGGATCTGGCAAAAGGGGTATTGGGTAATCTTGGGTGCGATTTCACGCATGACTTCATTTCTCGAGAGATTCGAAGAGCCCGTGGCCAATTTCGAGAACAATCAACAAATTCCCCCCCTTTCCATTCAATTTCTATCTCTCCTCCTCCCCCTTCCACCACTTCCGATTCCCGAGCCTATCCTTCCATCCGATCCGGCTCCAGGCGTTCAGGCCAAGAAGGGTCCTATAGTAAGACACTGATTCCATACCACTGCAAAAGTGTTACGCAGAACCGATATCGATATGCCCGGGAACGCGGACAGCTATCAGAAACAGACTTTGTTCTATATCGAGCCTGGAGAATGCAATAATACGACCACTATGATCCCTTGATGTCAGAACCTTTGCGATTTTGAACTCCGAGTAACACAGGCGGCGCTGCTGTTCGGTGGAATCTTTCTCCAACTTTTCTTCGGATGGTTTTCCTTTGTTTTGGTGTCACCATCTCACGACATAAGGCTCGAAGGATCAAACAAACGTTCGCTCTCGCATCGACGAGTAAGCAAACATTCGCTTTTAGAGTGAGCTGCAGATGCAGCTGACTGTGTTGATCTAGAGCCTCGAACTTGAGCCTCGATCTTCAATCTGCCTCGAGATGGCGCACAATGTCTCGTATTGCTTAGATTCCGTAACCTGACACCAATATATTCTTTTTTTTTTCTCAATTCCTTCGAGTCTGGATCTACAACATATTATCATGTGTGCTATGCTGTTCGGGTACCCAGAATCCGTACGTGAAAATCTCTACCTATTCTGGTTATGATATTGGCTTCATGTTTCATGACAGCGATCCCCCACACTTTTCATCCCTCGCCGTTCATCTCAGGAGCTTAAACAGCTTCACATGCAAGATCAGATTGGTCAAAATACCTACTGGTACATAACACGTGCATCTATATCACGTGTTTCTCCCATCACACCATCTTTGACACAACCACCCTTCAAACTCCCGCTTCGTCCTGTCTCGTTTCAACCTCACTCTCAACCTATGTCCAAACATCAGCCCTCATCATAACATCTCGTTTCATTTCAAATCAAACCACCCTCACCTCCGATGCGACATAATTCCTTCTCCAAACACCAAACATGCAACAAAGATAAGCTCGTCCTTAATGTTTCACATGCAATAACACCGTTCCAGATATTGAGACTTGTGTCTTGAGAGTATGAAGTCATTCCAGGCTTTACTTCATTCCTTTACTTCAGTATTGAATGCTTGAGGCTGGTTTTGGTTTGGAGACTTGTGAGGCTCTTTGTGTGTTCAGATTGAGTTGGTTATTTTACAAGGGACAGCTAAGATGTTCGTTTCAGTGCTTTTGAGCTGCGAAAGTCCTGTGAGTTTGACGGACAATTCGAAACACAAGTACAGCTTAAATGTTCGTTTCAGTACTTTTGAGCTGCGAAAGTGCTGCAACTTTGACGGACAATTCAAGACCCAAGTGTTGAAAAGTATCAACCTCAAAATGAGAAGCGCATTTTTGAGAGTGAAGTCACTCATCGTAAGCGATTAAGTCAAGTTGACAGCAATTATTCTCATGACAACAACAGCACCTTAAAAGTAGCCTTCTCATCTCCTGAGAAACATTTCCACCTCTCCTCTACACTAGATCTCCCATGGGATGCGTCTTGGATACTGCTTTGTCCGGGCGAGATCCATAGGAGAAGATCAAGCTCGTTTCTTTACATTGAGAAAGTCTGCAGCCACGGAAGTCCTCACGTTTATATACGAAAGAAACCTTCACTACAAAGCTTCGTCTTGCTTTCGATTTTTACATTCACTCTCTTTGCCATTCGCTTTTCTCAATAGATGGATGTGAAGTGACTCGAAAAAAGAGGTGAATGCAAGAATCGAAAACAATTTATCTCCAAAGCTCCTCTCTGCGCAACGATAACTAGAGTAACTCTCTCCAAAAATAAACAAGCACAAAGACACGGATTCATCAATTACCTCGTCCAGAAGAGCCGGCGACGAGCGTCTTGAACTAGACATCATGCTCCTCGTATCTGATGATCGGCACTCAGGACAGATTTCGTGTTATTTCTTTGAAGTTTCGTCAACAATTTCTTTGCTGTCATTTGTCTTTTGCTGTCATTTCCCACTTGCTGCGACTAACTCCTGCATTTCGAACAACTGCGTTGCAAAAATTCCCCGCACCTATCTCATCACAAATAACCCACCCTCACTCACGTACCAAGCACTCTTGATACTCCCCTCAAGATCTTGTCTTCAATAAACAGGTGGACGGGAGACAGGGTAGTAGTATATATATCCCAGATCCATACTGCAATCATGACATCATTGAATGCATGCTTTCAGCTATTTCCATCTCAAAACCAAAATTCACTACCCAACTAAACATCCCTCAAACTCCAAATCACCAGCACAAACAAATTCACTGTTCGGCCAAACTTTTTTCAACCTCCGGCGAATTCACTTTTCAACTAAACCTACTATCTATAAAAAGCCTCAAAGACGGTCCTCTCCTCCGTTTTTTCTCTAAATTCAAAGAATCACGATGGCATGGTCTCCCACAGGCTCTGGCTCTGGTTGCTTAGCTCCAGTGTGATACCTGGCCGTGGAAAGAAGCTAGTTTTCTATTTCTGGGGATCTGGAGATGGTGGTTGTTTTTGATTTGCTTTGGTGATGGCTTGGGATCAATGACAGTGAAAGGATTGACGGTAGTGTTTGTATGGTGGGTGATAGTATATCAAGTGGTGATGATTGCTTCCATGTTTGTCTAGCGTGTGGGGCTTTAAAGTCTTAAAAGGAATCTGATAACTGGGGACAATGAGAAGGCGATCCCCTTAGATTTTTGGGTGTCGGTGTTGGCTTGAGAGTTTGTCTGACTTTGGAACCTCAAAAGCCTTCTGAAGGTTAAGGAAATTGAGAGGATATAATTTTTCCAGACATTACATGTTAATGTTGGGCTTTGCAATATTATTTTTCCTTAGTAAAAGTTGGATCCTGGCTAAACAAGACTTCACTATAAGCTTGTCTAGCTTGTTAAGATTATATTTCCAGGATAATGTCGAAGAGTATTTCCTTAACTTTATATATGTCTCAATATCTGCTGTCAGATCTAGACTTTTTCACATGAGAATGTTTAACTGGAGGCAAAAGTTTTTTTGGGCGCAAGAATCTCTGTCTTCTAGCTGAATATTGAGTCTTAGCGTTAATTTATTTTAATGTGTGTATTAATCACAGCTCTTTATTCCTCAGAAATCTCTATCTACTACATATTTTCAATTCAAGATTAATAAAGTGCCACAACATTACAAACATAGTCACGTGGCACTCGTTTTAATTTAACTCAAGTCATGACAGTTTTAGTTTGAGCTATTGGAGTGTGATTTTGGTTGCTGCTGCCAATCACTCCTCTGATGTTAGATCCTCGGAGGCTACATCAACGCAAACGAGACTTGGGTTGGATTTATACTCTAGTGCCATTGCTATTATTGCAGAAATCCAAATTTCCAGAGGATGTTTTTGAGTGCTACCGTTTTCTAAATAAAGTCTCGGGGATGAACGTTGACTTAGTCTATGCGTATCTTGTACAAATAGCATCACGTGGTACCCCTTTTCAAATCACGGGGAAATATGGCGCTCCCTCTTGTTCCATCCCATCGCTCCTCGTGAAAACATCTTCTCTAGCCTCTTCCGCCTTCTTCAAATTTCTCTTGTCGAGGAATGTAGTTCTTAGTACAATAGCGGGATTGTTGGAGGGAGAGTACGTGGTATTTGGCCTGGAAGTGGTACGCATGTGAACATCGTACGCAGAGATCCTCGATGGGAGGACTTTGAGTTCACCTATAGGAGCAAGAGTGGGAATTGGTTCGCGTATTTTTGGAAATGGGTCTAGTCTGACTGATGAAGTGGTTGAGAGAGATCCCGATGCAAAGGTTGATCTGACGTCGTATTTGCAGAAGGAGGCAGTACACGGGAAGGTGGATTGCGAGCTCATCATGAGTTGTGGTTTGATGTTTGAACAGAAATGGATATTTACTTCCTCTGGAAGACTTCAGAAAAAAAGATAATCAACAATTCCAAGCTGGACTTTGATCGTGACATGAAACTCCTGTAAGGTTGACCGACTTGTTACTAACAGAAGGCGAGAATCTCAAGCTCAGTTATTAGGAAGTTCTCTAGACGCTGGACGAGCAAGGTAGAGAACCTATGCATAAGACGTCCCGTCTTGTTGAGGCTATTAGACGACGTCGTCTAGCAGACCCTAAGATATGCTTCGTCTTCATCTCTGCATTCGCGCTTTGCAACTATGTTTCCTGCAAGAAGCTTGAGATACAAGGAAGCTGGACACTCTTATTCTAGGATGACCTTGTCGTCCTCAGAGCATAGACCGAAGGCCGAAGACCCGAATACTCCCTTGTTCGGCAACAACATAGTGATAATGCACTATGGTGATTGGTTCTCGCTGAATCGAACCTTTCCGTAACTTCCTGCATGCAGATCTACCGCGCGGCTTAGCTAATATGGATGCGAAAGTCCTAGTGGACAGCAGCCTGTCAAATCAGTCACCGCGCGCGCCAACTCAAATACACAGAGTGAACGCCAGAGATTCGATCACTTGAAATCTTTGTATTGTTAGGATTAGAAATGCGAGGTTGGGGTTGACGGATTAGGACTCATAGCCGATGGATTTAAAACGCGAAGGAACTGCCATATTTTACATGTTCCTTTCAAAGATCTCATATCTCGATCTCTTGAGCAATACTCAGGTTTTTGCCCAGTATAATTACCTAGTCAAACATGTCTTCAATTAACTTCAAATCATTAGAACGAATCGATGTTCATTGCCATGCCATCACTCCCAAGTATCGCGAGTATCTCATCCAGACCGGCCATGAAAATCCAGACGGGATGCCTTCAATTCCTGTAAGAAGAGTCTGAAAGCTCTACTTGATATCCAAATAACAAGCATCAGGAATGGACACCAGAACAACATATTTCCCTGATGAAAGAAACCAACATCACAACCTCAATCCTAAGCATCAGCACGCCAGGGACCTACCTCCAACCATTTAATTCGTCCCTCACAAAAGAAATAACCCGCACCACCAACATCGAGCTATCCGAAATCTGCGCCGCGCATCCTTCTCACTTCCGCTTCTTTGCCTCCTTGCCTTTGCCATCTGTCCCAGACTCCATAGCCGAAATCGATTATGCCTTCGACACACTCGGCGCCATTGGGTTCTGTGTACTCTCGAACGCCAACGGCGTGTACATGGGAGATCCAGCACTCGATCCCATTTTCGACAAATTGAACGAACGTAAAGCTATCTTGCACATGCATCCCACGTCCTGCAAAATTCTATCTCATGCCCACTCCCACACAACCGCTTCAGACTCGGAACCAGAAATGCAAATGACGGTCGTCAATCCACTGCGAATTCCATCCGGGCTGCTGGAATACATGTTTGACGAAACCAGGGCAGTAGTTAACCTCCTGCTTTCTGGGACCATAACTCGTTGTCCTGAGGCCAAGTTCATCATGTCGCACGCAGGATGCGTGTTACCTTATATTCTTGAGCGTGTAGCTGTAGCCATGCAAACTTTCTTCGGTGGTGGGGTCGATTCTTATGAGATGAGAAGACTGCTCAGAGAGAGGTTTTATTTTGATCTTGCGGGGCTGCCGTGGCCGGATATGTAGGTGTTGGGGAAAACCCATTTTCCATTTCCTTTCTCGAGACATTGTCTTATCCTTTTCCTGAAACAACAAAGATGGAAAATGCTAACGTCCCCTCCCCGTTACCTAGGATTCATGCTTTGTTGAGGATTGTAGGACCTGACAGGTTGCTTTATGGAAGTGACTATTGCTGGACGCCAACGGGTTTGGTCAAGACGTTGATTGAGAAGATGGATGAAGGTGCGGCTGATATTTGGGATGAGGATACTATCAAGGAGGTTTATGCGGGGAATGCGAAGAAGTTGTTTGGACTGTAGCGGTAGGAGTGTTATGGGATATGGGGAACTCACATGAAGAATATTTGATGAAGTATTATTTGACCATGAAATTGATCCTCAGGCGACTTGGTCAGCACGAGCGTGAGCCGATGGTAAGTGGCCATGAAGAACTCAACAGCATGGATGAATTTGCTGTTGACGCTGCACAAGTTTGATGGAAGATAATTTGAAGACATGTAGTGCGTAATTTTGGTTGTGGAAAATGAAATATGCTTGATTTCAAACAAGGTCAAGACGACCCAGTCGAGGTAGCAACATCGTTCGGTTCCTCCCTCATGCATGATAGTTATACTGCAAATAAATAAGGTTTATTTTACACCGCGGAGTCCCCAATTACCTAAGGAATACTTGCTACTCCGATTCCCAGAACGTCAAAACTCCCGACCAAAACAGCGGACAGTTTAATACATCAAATTAGTCATTGACTGTCAAGTAGCTGAGACATGGCCTAACCCCGAGGCACTCAGCTCTCTGCTCAGGGAAGCTACCTTGTGATTGACGCTGGCCTTTTCCCTCAAAATCATCACGGTTCCACGTTGCGCAATTTCGATCAGTTTCTCGTCAGCTTACATCCCTGCGCCAATCCAGCAACCAGGGACACCTAAAAAGGTGTCCCCAACACCATTCACACTAATGACATCTTCAGCTGTAACGACCTCGACCGGGAGAAAATCGCATATAAACACCGCCAATTTCGTCGCTTCCATTTTCATTTCGAGATAAAATATAAGGGCTAGCGTCTCGATCAGTAAGACGAGGGATCGTTAAGCTTCAATAGTTCCGTCAAAAACACAAGATTCTCTGTGAGATTATTGATATGAGGAGGTGCATAAATCTTGCTCTCGTGCAGTACTGCCTGGGGAACATCCTCTTCCATCCTTTTTTTCGTTTCTCTTTTTTCCCTTGGAAGAAGCTGCGTGGTCGGCGAATTTGACGTGCTAGCCTTTTGCATGATACGCGCGATACGCGCAAAACGCGCAATCTGCGCTGTAGGCGGATCAAACTCCTCGCGCAAGGATTATTCTTCAGAAAGGAGAATGACACATTCATTGCGTTGGACAGTCATACTTGAGTCGGCAGTCTCAACAACAACATGTTGTGTGGACTCGCTCTAACCATTGGACTACTTGTGTTTGCTCGTTACAACTCGATTCTTCATTTCGCTGCTCGTCAACCACCACTGCCCAAGAATGTCCTAGTGTTAGGGATTCTTCAGGTAGTACTAGATACACCCTTTAAGATGAGGGATAGTATGCTTTATATACTTGCAGTAACCCCTCAATGCTTTGCACAAGACCAAAAAACAGCGTAATTCCAATTGCTACCCAAAGCGCGTACCATTGATTTCCCTCTCGTCTATCATTCCACAACTGGGAAACGTTTTTGGGCTGGGATCCGTCAAAAGCTTCTTTCAGGATGACCAGCCGATCATGCCAAAACATGTATTTCTCGATCTGTCGATAGTCATCACGAAGATGGCCACATCTCAAGACACCCGGGTCAAGCTCCTCTGGATCATCCTGCTTGTAATACCATTTCTGGGTATCTCTGTCTCCTTGAGCGAACAATAGTGCGAGGGTACGAAGTGTTTCCTCGACAAATTCAGCAGGGAATAGTGAATTTCTATTGGGTTTGGGTTAGATTGGATCAGCTGAACAACTGCGAGTAACACTTACTTCTTTTGGCACTTCAAAAACGAAGCATGATGAAATATTGATACAGTCCTATCTTCGTACCTCAATCGAAGGTGATCCGCCAAATTTGTCGTCAATTCCACTCGAAACCCAGTCACTCGGTCTAAGTTACGAGCAGTGAAGGACGTCCCCAACTTGATCCCTTCATGGCTCAAAGTAACGTTTTCAGAAAATATGTCCCGCACAAAGTCCTGAATCGAGCCTTCGCTCCAGATGAGCCGTCTACGACCCGAGAATGCATTACGAAGCTCGCCGACGTCTAGCATGAGAGCGAGGCGCACGGCAAGGTCGATGGAGCTCTCGAACGTGTCTTCGGATTCTGTGGTACCGCCAGTGTTGTAATTCCCGACCAGATTCCGCAAAATCGTCTTTCTACAAGACCCATCTTGAAAGGAAGAAACAATGTCAAGTACTTGTTGATGAGTGTTGGCGGAAATTTTTCGCCCGTGAACGTGAAAGGCGATCCGGCATTGCTCTGTGTAGTATTGGAAGTAGGGACGGAGCGCCTCGTAGTCTTTTGTCTCCCAGAGGCTTTCGACGATTCCTTGTTGTGTGCTGGCTGGAATTGGATCCTCTAAAAGGGAGCCAGTCAACTGCATGATTGATGGATATCACGGAATATACAAGGAGAGGATTTTAAGAATGATTCTGTTTGTTTTGTGTTGGGGAAGATATATAATGAGGCGCCTCACCGGCAGCCTCATGATTTCCACTCTCCACATGGAGGTCTGAAGTTCTAGTCGCTGTTCGATCTTTCTCTGATCATTGGCAGATGATCAGGCTTTGCCGATAGATATCCCGTGAGGCACGAAGCGTATGGTTGTCGCAAGCTCCAGGTCGCATGTCTTCTACATTTCGTGGAGGCTATGCTCACCAATCGGAAAGGGTGAAGCCTGCCGATTTCAGAAGGACGGGAAAATATGGCAGGTGCGGTCTGAAGTCAACTCGACTTTGAAGATATTCCATGGAACTTTCTTCCCAGCTGAAAGCAAATGCTTCGATCTTAGTTTATTGATTCCAAAAAAAATCGCCTATGTCTTTTGTTATGACGGCAACGAACTTGGCCTCGTCTGAGGGGAGTCTGACCACTTCAATTTCCCTATCTCCCAGCCTCAGCCTGGCCATCCCTCCACAACTTTCTCTCGTGAACACTGAATCTACCACATCAGACCTCCAAGCCGGACAGACCCAACCATGCCTCAATCAACAGCAAACTAGTTCTAACAATGACTTCACACCCGGGCATACCAGTGAACTTGATGTAGCTCTAAATTCCGGATCTGGATTGGCTCTGAGCTGTGTCCCTGGCAACACGTCCGTTGACGCGAATGCTACGAGGAAAGAAATTTCAAATCCACCACGCAATGGTCGAAGACAGTTCTCGTTCTTCCACAGGGCTAAGCTAAAGTGGCCCGACCCTGAGGCATCCGTGGGGAAATTCTGCGGAATGAAAGGCAAATACAGCTGCTGGGAAGCCAAAGGCCCTGCAGAAGACTCTTTCAGGGTACTGAGCAAGGACATTGCGGCCCTCTTGGAACGTACCTGTGGTCCAGTTCCTGCTTCAAGTCATGTTATCTTCGACGTCTTTATGGTTGGAGAGACGCTAGGCACAGCAGTACCGCAGATTATGTTCTCCTGCCGGAAATCTGGACCTAGAAAGGAGGCCATGGAGACGTTGAAGAAAAGTGGAATTCTCAATCGCTATCCCGGGTTCGAAACTGGGCATTGGGCTTTTCCGCCGCATATTCTAGATCCGCGACTTCTGGCCTACGAAGAGGGACTGGATGAATCAATCCAACGAACCAAAACAAAATCTCTCCGGTATCTGGTTCCATTACATGAGTCTTCAATCATAACGCCAAGTTCAGCTTCCTCTCCAACCATATCGGCTGTACGACTTTTTACGGTCGACCCTTCGATGGCAAGGGGTACTTTATTGAAGGCAACTATGGGTAGCCTTACCTTCTTTTCGGGAAGAACATTCTATGTTACTGTTTCACATGCATTCCGTGAAGGTGTCGATGATGATCGAGAACCATCTTTTGAGGCAGCAGATGATGATACCGACTCTGAATTCGCATTTGGGGGCATGGATGATGGAGGAGATAATTTTGATGGATTTGACGAATTTGGAATGGGTGACAGTGGGAGCATGACATCCGAATCCAGTGGATCTCAAGAAGATTCTACAAACGACCTTGTTCTAGGCGAGAGTTTAGAAAGCTTGAGCCTCGTGGGATCAGATGCTTCCTTCGTAACGCCAATGGAATTGGACGAACCTCAAAACAGGGATGGCTTCACAATTAAGTCATCAACACCTTCTGACCCTCTGATCATCGATGGCAATCAGCTTGCTGTGACGGATTCTGCCACTGTATATCTTGAGTCTACTGAACTAGATTACGCCTTACTCGAACCCAGCAGCGAGCACGACATGACCCCTGCAATCACTACCCTCCCAGTGATTTCATCTAGAACAGTGGGCGTAATACCTCCCGGGGAGACTCGCATATTCACCGTTACAGGATCAAACGGACTATTGTACGGAATTTTGTCTGGGAGGCCATCCTACATTCGTCTTCTTCATAGCAAAACTTTCCAGGAGGTCTTCATAGTCAACATCAGTGGGCCGCTTATGCCAGGTGACTCCGGCTCTGTAGTTCTGAACTCAGACACAAGACAGGTGTATGGTCATATTGTTGTTGGCAGCACCGTCTCCAGGACTGCCTATATCATACCAGCCAGCAATATCTTGAATGACTTGACACGTCGCGAAGAGATTATCACACGCAACGTGGTCGAACTTGCAACGTCTACGCCGCAAACAGAAGATAGCAAAGAAGAGGCAACCCCCAATACGAGCGAGTTGCAGTTGCCGCCAGATTCTATAGATCTACCACCTGCGAGTTCGTACGTTAGCCAGGGCTTGGGATATCCAGATGACACTTCACTTTGCACTTATGATCCCAGTTTGTGTAGCGAAGTGGAAAGTCTCTTCTTCTCCGACGACGATTCTATCGCTTCTTCCAACTCTTCTGTTGGCGGATTTTTTTCAAGCGCTATTTCGGAAATTGTAGACCTATTCCTCCATAGTGAACTGCAAGAGCTGTATCCTGCAGCTATCTCTAAGCTAGGGCCTGAAAAGTTCCAAAGAAACTTCAGACGATTGCTGCTTCGCTATGGGCGCCAGCTCCTGCAGGAAGCTTCGTATAACTTGGAGCGTGAAGTTGCTGTACTTGTTCGTCGATCAGCGACACAGATAACTGTCCAGATCAGAGAATCTATTGCTCAAAATGAGAACACACTTAAAGGTTCTTCAAATGTCGCTGGACTGAATGAGTGGTTGAAGACGGTCAAGAGCCTGGAAGACGAGAAGGATGACGATGACTTGTCTGGCAGCAGCGGGTCAGAGGACTGGGAGCCTGACAATGCATCACTCAGCACATTTGAAGGAGTAAAAAGTTTCATGGTAACTGGGAGAGCCTTTTCTGACTTGTGCGAAACATTTCAGATGTGGCTCAAAGTAGGAGAGGATCGAAAGGAGATTGCGCCAAACATTACTTCCGAGAATACCCATGACGACCCGCCACCAACACCATCTCAAGCACCACAAGCTCCTCCAAAGGACTCTGATGACAGATTTATCTGTACGTACCCTGCATGCGATAAGAATTTAACATTCAAGCGGTTTTCAGACTGGCAGTAAGCACCCCTTTCTAAATCTTCGAATAAACTCCCTAACATAATCTGTTAGAACCCACATGGACCAACACACTCGACCATACCAATGTAAAGTTCCAGGTTGCAAACGCAACGCCGGCTTCGCAACAAAAGGTGTGCTCAATAGACATATTCGCATCGTTCATGGAGGGGTAGTGTCCGCTTCTTCGTCAGTCCTCCCTGACGGATCGCAAGCCAGGGACATTGCTTCAAATGTTTCAGAAAACATTGAAGCCTCGGATTATATAGCAGGCCACGGAACTTCCGATGTGCCCTCAGCTCTAATGAACTACGAGACAAAAACGCTACAGACTTACAACAAACCTAAGCACACGCCACCTGTAAGCGATGATGAAGACAATGCTATTGATCAGCCGGAGCGACCAGATAAAGGGAAACAGCCGAGGGATGTCAGCAAATCAATGTTCTCTAAGGCCGTCCATTTTGATACAACTCTTGAGCAGGTTCGTCACTTACTGCAGATCGATCGACCTTTAGCTGTCGAGGAGGCTGGTTCATCACCTTTCGAAGGCTTTGAGAGCGACGGCGATTTCCCATTTCCTGACCCATTTCCTGACGATGAGTTTCTGTGGGAAATCGTTGTCTCTAATTTCCCTGACGAGACACCTGAAAGGCTGCAGCTTCCGGTAAGGGTTCAAAGGGTGGGCAGGGGCTCGGATGCGAAAAATTTGGTAGGTAGCGTCGTGGTAGCTAATCTAGGATACGATAAACATGTCGTAGCTCGCTTTACACTGGATTACTGGAAGACCACTTCAGAGGTCGTAGCGGAGTATAACACAGATGTTCGATTGTCAAAATACAACGAGCACGACAGATTCAAGTTCAAGATCAAAGTAGCAGACCAGTACAATCTCGAAGCCAAGACAATGTTTTTCTGTGTTAAATACAATGTCAACGGCCAAGAGTATTGGGACAACAATAACGGGAACAATTTCCAAGTTGACTTCAGAAAGAAGAGAAAGCCACAGAGCAAGGAACCCCAAGACTCCAAGTCCGAATGCGGGGGTCTATCTCCCAAGGTCGAGAAAAGTCGAGTCTTCTGCAAGTCTGGCATCGGATGGCGTTCCAGAAAAGCCAGCAACTGAAAATTTCTTCGGGGATCGTTACGATTTCGGAACTTCTTTGAGTGCTGCAATTCAAGCTGCAAATGATGCATTGGGAGAGAAAAAGGGTCTATCACCAAAACCCATCAAATCTACCCCTAGCTCAAGCAGTGAGGATTCGAGCTTGTTGTGCTCAGCGTCAGAGCCACAGGCTCTAACGCTTGAGACCCTAAAAGCCATTATATCGAACAACGAATTACTGGACAAGTATTCTTTTGTAAGGACTCACATTCATTACTGTTTTTTTGAGGATAACAAGCTAATTTTGTGATAGTCCGAGAAGCTCAAAAATGCGCTAGTACTAGAGGGAGCTACGCTTGAACAGCAATCAAGTGCTTCCTTGGACTTGGCAAACAATAAAGTTGCTTAGTTCGCCTCATGAAAGATCCAACAACGGACGAGTGATTGGTTTCAGCAACGAAGAAACAGATTGCAATCGCTAAGGCAGTATCCATTGGTACAAGGGAGGGATTGCGCGCGTCTGGATATGCCATATATGCCATATAAGCCAATATACATTCCTCATCTTCGCGCTTTTCAACAAAGGAGAACGTGGAAATATATCATCCTGTATGATCATAAAATGTAGAGCAATGAGTGAATATCATGCAAATGACAATTATGAGAAGAGCCGAACGCCTCTTACTTTGGAGCCTAGTTGCTTCAACCTTAATCACAGAGAGCAAAAGACCTCATCAGCATAGATTCGTACAACCAGCACCAAACCAAAATATTTGCAACAGTAACATTCCACTCTTCCCTTTCCCAAACATCTCTAAACATCCCCTACCTCCCCTCCCTCCCCACCCCTCGAAAGCCCCCCAAGCCACCTCTCCAACAACCTCACCCCCCTCCCCGAAACCCCATCTCCCACCCCACAAACAACCTCAAACCTGACCTCCCCCTCCTCCTCCTCCTTCTTCGCCAATCTCATCCTCGTCTCCGTCGCTATCGTGACAGCTATATTAATAACCTCTCTCAGATTAACCGCCACAGCATCGGGCGTTGGCGCTGGGGCTGTGTCCCAGTATACCGATGTGGTGGAATTAGGGAGGCTGATATCGAAGATCAGGTGCGGGATGGGTGGGTGGTTGAGGAGGGATAGACGCCAGGCTTTGGAGAGGGGGGCGAGGGAGATGGATGGGTTGGGTGGGGTGGGGGGAGTGTGGGTTGAGGAGAACGAGGACGGGGAGGGGGAGAAGAGGGGGTGCAGGAGGAGGAGGGTTGTTGTTGGTGGTGGGGAGAGGGTGGTGGTTGAGTATTGTTGGAAGAGGTCGGGTGGTTCGGACATTTTTGGAGGGAGGAAGGTTGGTAATATGGTGGTAGTTGGGTAATGTTATGGATGTGAGGTGAGGAGGTGGAGATATACTGTAAGTGATGGATGTGGGTGGGAGTGCCGCTGTTGCCTAATTTCTTAGCAAATCACATTTGGAGTTTGAAGGATATAAAAGTCTTCTCACTCCTAGGAACGCAGATCAAACCAATCATAGATATCTAACAAATGTATTAAACAAAATACAACAGTGAATTATCAATAGACAATTCCTCTAGAAGGTGCTTTCGCATTACCCCTGAAACCGTATAAAATAAGCGAGACTACCGACTCACTTGAGGCTTAATTGAGCATAGAACTTAAATCCTCCCGAAAATCTCCACTACTTGACGACTGTACAACGGTTCATTCATCATGGTGGGTTTCATTCCGGAAATCAAATCTTCTACTCTCTCTCTCTCTCTCGCTCTCTCTTCTCCAAATTCTCAAGGACATCTACACTCTCATCCGCATAGAGCCGCACCAACCCGAGCCGAACCAAGACACACACCCGCAGAAAACGGTGACGGAAGTGTGAGACATGCATGCATGCGGAGAACTTGATTCCTCGGATGAGAGTCCGGGGTCTAGATTGAGGGGTAGGTAGGATACGAGATACGGGGTTAATAAGACAGTGACCTCACTCGATATTGATTGATGTCTTTGTTCCTGAATCACGCGGAGATATTGGACATGGTCAACACCATTTGATTCAGCTCTCATCTCTGCAACAGAGCCTAAAGCCTACGTACCCTCCTCTCATCCCCTTCTCTCCCTTGTCCTCCTCTCTCCACCCACAAACTCATCGAGGTATCAACGAACCCATTTGTACAAATTCCACCCATCCTTCACCCATGCCAATACTCTACACCACACAAACTCAACAATCATATTATCGGCCGTAAAAAGGAGGTATTCCTATACCCCCATCTCTTGAATGCTTTCCTCCATGAAATGCAATGATCCCGTAAGGGCGAAACAAAAGCAAAGAAAAACTTTGTTACTGTATCCCGACGACTTGCTCGTCTCTTTTCCTCCAGTCTTTAGTATGAGTCTGACCATCTATATTGTATTCGCCATGCCCTTTGCTCGTGAGCCATTCCTATAACCCCATAAAAAACATAAGAGACAAGCAAAAAAACAAGAATCCTATCCTTAAAATTCCCTCAAAAGGCGATCAGAAAGCAAGAAAAAGCACAACGCGCGCTCAAGACTTTTGATGAAAAAGTGTGTTTTTTGACTGTGTCCAAATGAAGTCAGACCATCCAGTAGCACTTTAATGCGATATTTTTGAATTGCGCCTCTGGTCGCCCACGCTTGAATAACGGAACGCAAAAACCCCATAATTCGCTCAATGTACATGACTAAAGTAACATGACGACATAGGAAAATGTGGTGACGACCACGATGCCGTCAGAGTTCGGACCCGTCAGATTATATGCACAGCGTCATCTGGGTCCTGATCTGCGGCGTTTGGCTCAACGGTGACTCGGCCTTCGACGCTGATGCTTCGTGTTTTCTGGCCTAGGGGAAGCGAGTATTTCAATGTACCTCGGACGATGAGCTCGAATTCATGTTGTAAAACTCGGCCCCAGCGCACGCTGCCCGCAGGTACCGTGTGGTTACCCGGATGATCGATTCGGATTTGTCCCAATGATGTCGACGTTTGGTTGCGAAATGGTGAGCCTTCGAAAGTTAACGGACTATCAAGCATGTGGATGTGCCCAATCTCCAAATTTGGACTTGAACCGGGATCGTCCCCAACTGGCGGATCAAGAGGATCGTCGTCGCGCTTCCTGAGACCTCGTCGAAGGATCTTCTCTCCTGGGTTCGGCTTCCTCCACCATTCAGTATCGGTGCCTGCATACTTGGATTTGGCAAAGATGAACAGATCTGCATAATCGACCGAGACGACAACCAAGTTGGGATTTCGTGCTCGTACCTGCATATCGAAGATAATATCTTGTTCACTCGCTAGAACATTCTTCAATGCCATGACTTTGACGTCCGTGAGAGGTTGAGTGGTCGCAAATATGAAGACAAGAGCTCCGGAAATCACCATTATAATCATAACAGTTAAAACCAGACAACCAGCACATCGAGCCAGAAATGATTTATCATGCGGTGATGATTGTCGCTCCAAGTGATGCCTCGAAATATTCTGTCGTCGACCTCGAACAGATCTATTTGATCGTACAGTGTTCATGAGTGGTGTTCGCTCATCGTCAGCACCGTCATCCAGGTCGTATCCAGAAGACATCGGTGAAGACTTCCTGCCATTACCCGCCATTCTCATATTAGCAACCCTTGGGCTTGTAGGTCGAGACGAATGTCTCGGATTATTGCCCGCCATCTTTGACTTCGCTGCATTCGGAAAAGGAGATTCAGTATCAAAGAGTGATGGGTGGCCATTGCCACCATTGTTGCGACTCCATCGGCCGCCAATGTGATGATGATGGGTAGTACCTCTACCAGTACCAACATTACTGCGTGCTGTACCTTTGCCGTCATCGTCCCCAGCATTCGCTTCCGGCGCATTGCTATTGTAAGAATTGGCAAATTTCATGCTCTTCTTCATAGCGACACTGTGATGGCCGTCTAAGATGGAACGCAAGCCGTTTCGTTGGTCGGCTTGACTCGCCATCGATGTCGCACTTGGAGTTCGTGAATGAAATCGTCGAGGTCGGTCATTCACTTCAGGTGGATTGGACTCGTAGACGAAAGTTTCTTCGGAGTCGGAAGAATTCGCCTCGTCTACGGCACTGGCAACTTTGGCCTCGAAGATATCTGCTTTTGATGATGCTGGACGTGATCTGATTAGCATAGCACTTACAGCTGGAAAATTGAGACTTGGTTTGCGGGAGGCTGATGGACGCTCAGGACTCGTTGCGAAACTACCATATGATGAAAAGGGTCCTTGACCGTATTCCATTTCTGGTGAATATATGGAACTGGTTTCTGAGACGTTTTCTCGAATGGAATGATGGTGGTGCTGTTTAGACCTTGATGAACGTTGCTGCTCACCCGTATTGGACGTGACTGACGGAGCCTTGCGTGCAGTCTTCTTCTTTTCTTTCTTCGGTCGGATTGTTTCCGTGCTGGGCTTTGTCCGAATGCTTCCATTGTTACCCCCTCCTCCGATCGGGCCAACAGCAACCTGAGGTATTGAGCTGACTGTCTCCGTCTCGACGGTCATGTTCTTGGTTGATCCCTCTCCAGAAGGTTTCCCTCTTCCACCTCCTGCGCTGAAAGACTTGCTTGTTGGAGGGGGGTTTGCGCGTAGATTTGATTGCGGCGCCACCGAGGTTGATCGCATCTTGATCTCTCCCTTCCCACCACTCTCGCTACCACTTTCATTGGCAACGCTTGGCTTCGCCTTGATGGTCTTGTTGGAGGCATTGTCCATAGAATTGTCCGACTCATTCATGCGGGCAGCTCCATTCTCCACCTTCTCGAGGGCGCCATCAATACTTAACGCAGGCGTGCTTGGCTGGCTGATCTCTTGTACCGTCTCGAGTGTTGAGCTTGCCCCACTGACCCCTCTAGCCGGTGTTCTCATACCCGTAGCGGACAATGTATCATCTGCGTCAGTATCCAGCGCGCCCTGCTTTCCTTCCTGCTGTTCCGTCGATGGTGATGTTCGGTGAACATTGATCGCCGGGACCTCTTGTTCGGACTTGCGTGGCGAGAGGATAGAGGAGGACTTATTGAGCGGAGGAGGGGATCGTAGTCTTGGAGATATCGGCCAGCGAGGAGTCTCTCGAATTTCGGGATTGGTGGAAGGTTTTTGGGGTACTGGTGTTTTTATTGTTGAGTCTGAGGTGGTAGGGTGTAAGGTAGGGATCGATGCGGCTGACAATGCTCGTTGTGTTGCGGCAGCAGACGGAGGATTTGTACTTGAAGTGACCGAGCGTGCTGGGCTGACGTCTTGAGAACTATTCTTCCTCGACCGGCCTGGACCATTCGTTGAGCGGCCCGAGGCCGAGGATTTCAGTCCTGGTCTATTTGGAGAGGCCTCGCGAGAAGCCGCAGGGGAATTTGCTCCTGATGTCGACTGTTTGGGTTGTAGTTTTCTTGTTGCGGGTAGTGAGGATGTTGATGAGTTGCGAGTTGGCTTGGGTGCCTTTGAGGACGGTTCGGTAGCATCGACTGGGTCGGCTGTCTCATTCGCAGGCGCGGAGATGGGCGTGAAGGTTTTGTCGTCCATGATCGTGACTTTCTTCTTTGGCTGCGAAGGGAGAAATATTGGTCGGGGTGAACTCTAATCGCGCAGCCACCAGCACCACGCGAAGGGGACAACTCCCTTCCTTGCTTGGGAATCCCCAGTCTTCGTTGGAAATCGTATGAATAATTAGCGCGTGGACAGTCGAGACATGGGAACCAAGGGATGGAATGGCATTGCATGCATCAAGACGGCCGGGAAGGGTAATGCGTGGTTGAGGGAGGCAAGAAAGGCGAGATTTGGGGAAAAAAGGGTGTTGTTGGTGTTGATGGCGGAGGTGACGATGCTGGACTGGAGTGGAGTCGAGGAGAGTGGGTCTGTGGTGCTAGTAGGTAGGTAGTGTACGGGTACGGTGGTACTGTAGAGTGGTAGTGTGATTCTGAGTGTTTGGGATTCTGGTCGTAATGTTGTTGGGCCGTTTAGACCGACTATGAGTTTTGGGGATGGGACGAGATGGGATTGGGACAGTCACAGACAGACGTTACCGCACACTCACAAGATCGCAAGCAAGCAGCAAACAGGAGCAGCAGCAGCACAAGCGTTGTCACAAAGTCGCGGAACCTTTGCTGTGCAAGTGCAAGTGCAAGTGGATCAAATAGCCGGCACTGCGCCAGGGCTTCGGGCTCTGCGCTTTGGCGGTTGCATGGTGTGCACAAGGGGGCAAACGGAGGGCTTTCGGCCGGCTTTTTTTCTTGGGAGACGGGGACAACGTTGCGACCGGAATTTTTTTTTTAATTTTCCTTGTCTTTCTGTTTCCTTTCCACTTCCTCGCCTCATTCTCATCAAGCACTCTCTTGCCTGCCGAGAATAGTCAAAGACCAGAGGTCAAATCGACCCTGCGGTCCGTGAAGAACTAAGAAGCAGCGGTGAACCTGTCTCGGAGTGGAGCTGCGACATGCACGATCCATCGATCCATCGTTATTCAGCTGATTTTATCTCTCATAAAATATGTATGAGTTACCGTAGAGGTCAGGTACAGGGCAGACTGCTCGACGTGCTATGGGTTCACTGGCCTGAAGGGCTAAGAGGTGAGAATGTACCGGAGGACTGGGGGACAAGAGAGCAGCAGACTTCTAGCGCTGCCAGACCATGCACACTGTGCCTTTTCCTCCCAAGTGCGGTGGAATCAAGAGACGGCTCCACTCCAGTATCGATGTCCACAGGGTAAACATTCCAATCGGGGAGCGTGGAGAGAGCAGGCTCAACCTGCAATGCAATTACAGTATATTTCACCTCACTTCCCTAGAGCGACTTAGATCGTGGCCGTTTGACCCGAGGATGCTCCCCCTGGCTCGGATCTGAGAGGAACAGCAGAAACAGACCCAACAATCCGACAGGCAGCCCTGTGAGTGCTAGCCATTAGAGTGGTGACGAAATGTGGTGAAGGATGCTGCGGGAGGGGAGGAGAGGGCCGAGGCAGCAACAGTCAGACAGACGAGGATGACCAGGCCAGGAGGAAGAGTGGCAGTGACAAGACAGAAGATCAGCGACATCTGTGGCTTGATCCATCGAATCGCACCGTGAGGCACAGTCACCACAAGGTCACTTGATATCTTCAAGACCAACTTTCTGCGACCCGTCTTCCCAGAATTTGGGATGTTGTACATAAATCTCGAGGATCATCGAGGGTTTGATTGCAAACATGGGGATTCTGGACCATGGAGAAAGGAATCCCATGATGACTACATTAGGCAAGATCCTGGACCATCGATCGATAGGAAGTTTGTCTCTTGGCGAGAGGTTGACATCACAAGTTTCGAATTGACTGAGTGCGGAGCATTACTGTAAATTCTTCTGGACTCGGTAACTAGTTTAGGGGAACATGATCCGTTACGCAGCTTACGAGTAGGAGAAGATTCTCCGCGTCGGATGGATCTGAGGTTTCTGAACTAATGACTAAAGAAGCAAGACGATGGATGAAAACTCCTTTCCGTCGCTCCTCTCTCTGTCTCGCTCCATCCACCAGTCCCAAGTACCGAACCTCCCGTCCGACTTTAACACCACGCATGCGCAGTCATCCCATTCCAGACAATCATGAATGACCGCGCCCACAAACCACAAATGATTGCTTGCCATCAAGTCGTGTGCGCAAAGTCGCAATACTTCCTCATACCACCCACACTGACACTCGACCCCATCTTACCACCCTTACCATGGGCGCCCTCAAAATGCCGATCGGTGACTCGTCCACGTTTCATTCCAGAAGCCTACAAGCTCCGATCCCACGCTTCCGGGATCCAATATTTAACGGGTTCCTGCCGGTTAGCCTGATCTGACGGGTGAGCCACACCGCGACCTCCCACCCCTTCGTCGTTCTCCTGGATGCAACCCCCCACGGCGACAGCAGGCAGCATCTGTTTGCTCCAAGTTCACGTGGATCACCACCTCGAGACGAACAACGCATCGATTCTCATCACCTGAGAGCCAGAATCTTGTTCAGCTCTACCTTCGACAAATCGAAGGGAGAGGTAAGCCAACGTTCAACGTATGATCCTAAGACTGTATTTTTGGGTCAACGTGGGATTCTGAATCAAGGGCTCGAGTGAGACCTCAAGATCCGAGCCGAGAAAGCCTTTGACGCAAGACTCCTTGGAGACGTATGTCTCGAGATGGTGGCGAGCAAGATCCATATTCACATTGCTTTTTCTAGGTCTGCCTAATTCTTATTGCTAAAATGTACTATGTCATCTCCTTTGAATTCCTTACTGATCGGAACACTGTTTAGAAAGACTGGGAAGCAAGTGCCGCGTCAAGGGAAAGTATGTGTGTCTAAGCCAAACAGCCTAGACACATTGTTTGGATTCCAGATACTTGGGTGCTTTTCTTCCTCCGTCAGCGAATGTCAGGCGTGCTAGGAAGGCCAATGATGTCCGAGAGAGCTGGAAGTTTCCAAGCTGAACAACCAAGAAGGTGTCACAAACACAAATGAAAGGAAGTCGGCGATAACCTCAGCTGAGGCAAACATGAAGAGCCTCCGAGGCTAAGAGAGGGATGTCGGCGCCGAGCGGAAGAGTCGAGTTGCAAAACAGCAAAATCGGAAGCTCGAGCTCTGCGATGGAAAATATGGAATCAAACTTGGCCACTTTGATTACCTAGCCATGTCTCTTCTTCTCTGGAATATCTCGTTTCGCTCGTTCCGCTCCGTTGTCTTGTTGTCTTGCATTTAGCTTGTTCACGTGACCTCTTCTTTTTCTGTAACAGCATCTCACCTGTATCTTATCATCTCTTGATCTTCGCACGATCAATCTGAATAGATTTGCACTGTGCCAATTGATCTCATGCTTTCTTACTGTTCTCCCGTCTGCTCAGTCTCATTGGGTATCACGTGATACTATTCCTCTCAAAGAACCTGGAACCTTGAAAGCACCTTATGAGAGTACATAGGTACCTAGAAACTACCTCTTGGACACTATTATGTTATCGTGGTTATCTATGTGTCATCTTGTCTCAATTAATCAATTGAACCACCCAAATTCGTCTGAAGATTCCCATCCCTCTCAACTCCACCATCAAAACTCAAACCACAACCAAAAATGGCACTAAAAATCCCTGGCCTCTGATTGGCTGACCACAATTGCAATTATCATTTGGTTTTCTGCACTTTTTGATAGACTCCTCTCGTTGTGTGATGCACAAGCACCTTGGAGCAACCCTTTGCGACGTGCAACAAAACTTTTAGCGAGCTGTGATTGGCCAAACTTTTTACTAGCGCCAACTTCACTTATCGCCTTGGGGAAATACATACAAGCACACAGACCAGCAATTTTATTAGCTCTGATACATTTCTATCTCGAAGGATCCAGGGGCGGGCTATTTGGAAGCTTAGCTAGGTTGATTTTTTTTATTTCCTTTCTTTTTCTGTTTTATGCAGTCATGTTTATGAATATCCCAACGCCGTAGTTGTCTCTGTGTCAGCGCACATGAAATGCGGCTCAGCCTCACCTCACTTCTATTCAGCCCCCACCCGGTACTTGCTTGCTTGCGCCTTACACGTGGCTAAGTATCTGGCTTCTACGTGTTTCGGAGGAAAAAGTGAGTGCGAGAGCGAGGAATGTAACGCTGCAGTGGCACAAGCGGCCGATTCGGCGATTTGATTTGAGTTGATTTTCCTTCGAAATCTGTGTTTGGGTTACGTTTTCCGAGGAAAATGGTATTCACTTTCCTGAGAAAGAAGTGAGTGCCCTACTCAACCTCACAAACGCTTCACTCCTGCCTCTAGCACCAGACTGCTCTCTCGCCAAACTATATATACTCGGCTACACCTGCCTTCTCCTCTTCTTCTCTTCAACCTATTCATTATTGCTGGAAGCACTACCAGACGCGGCTGCGGCCCGGCCGATCCCCAAAGTGGTAATTTCCGCAATGGAGTCCAGTCTAGCGTCCGCAATATCTCTGGGTATTTACAACGATGGCTGTAAATAACCGTCAAAGTTGCTTTGACCGTTGTGCCAAAGAACGACAGCAGTGTCTTTTGTTAGCAATAACTGTTTAGCTTTCGTCCTAATTTTGTTTCAATGAGTGAAGTGAAGTGAAGTGAAGTGGCTGAGGCTGGCCTTGTTCATAGATTCAAAGCTTTCAGTTATCAACATACGCAAGACGCGCCTAAACATTATCGCTAAACTATTGTGCGAGGTATCTCTTTGCGGGGATGGCTTCGTGCTTATAGGACGGTACTGGGGTGATTCAACTTCACAACTCGCTTTTCCCTTATGTCTCCATCTGAAATGAATTATTGTTGTCAAACTCCGTATTGCTGTCAACCCATTCATGTTCTCCTCACTCACAACCTCTTACTAGAGCACAGCCTTGATCGAAAGTCACTGCACACAAAATTTCCAGAGCCCTTGATCGCACCCCAGGCACAACAGAGGATACTCTCGTCTTCTTAGCAGGAGCAACCTGCTTTGTTGAGAAGAAGAGAAGAAGCGGAGGGGGCGGCCGCATGTATTTATAGGCGGAGGAGAGGACGGTGTTTCTAGAGCTTGTCATTCACTTGTGTGCAATTGCGGGAATTTTGTCCGTTATTGGGGATCTCTTTGAGTGAATTCAGAGCCTTGTGGGTGCATGCATGATTGCGGAAATCTCGGCCGCCATGAGGATATGTCCCAGTGAATGCAGAGCCTTGTGAATTAAGGCACCATTTCGGAGAATTTAGTCCGTTATTAAGGATACCTCCAAGTGGTTTTAAAGAAGGTATAGTATTTTGGTCCATTGTAAAAGATACTTCCAAGAGAATCTAGAGCCAGTGTAGGATCTCGGACTTGCTGTCCGTCATTGAGGATACCTCCAAGCGAGAATTTTGCCTCATCCTACATTAGAAAAACAATCTGGCAAGATGCCACTATCATCTATCACAGGGTATCCTAGCTTCAACTCTAAAGACCTGGTATAACACAGACTTCTCCCAGGTTGGAATGTCAGATTACCAAAATTCACCCCAGGCGATCCTTGAACTTGTTGAAATTGCTACCAAGTTAGTGTGTCCATTTGTATGTGAAGGCTTAGGGGTTTATATATCAGTGCGAAGTACTTTTAAAATGGAGTGTCACCCCGCTTAGTCTTGTCTTCTAGAGTCAAGAAATTCACTATTGAACAATCACACAGCATTCTCTTGCCGTAAAAACTAGGAAATACAATGACATTGTTCTAGATTTTGTGAGACAATATAATTGGGAAAAGCAAGTTCTTCGAGATTGAAGGAAATCCGCATTATTCTAGCATCATTTTCTCTTTTCGATTCTACTTCACACTTGGGACTTTAGCCCAATTATCTTGTCTCACAGACTCTGGAACAATATGATCTTATTTCCAAAAGCTTACGGCACTTAGATCTGGTAATTTGACTAAAAATCGACTTGAAGAACGGTTTCGCGTATTTACTCCAAGGCTGAAACTTTCAAGTGCTTTTCATCGTCTAGAAGTGGCACGCTTCGTAGTCGGGATGTGAGGAGTTAGTATTGTGGGGTGAAAAACAGTTGTTTGGTATATGAGAGGAAAATGGTGGGTCTAGAGCATAAACGCAAATCAAGAAGACTCGGTATAAAGATTCATATAAAGCTTGAATTCAGGTTCTATCTGGATGTTTACAACTTCTATACTTGTGTACAGTACTGATATCCCAACTCTTCAGGTGACCTCGACGCCGAAGTCCAAAGGAACAGAAACACGAATTCCAAGAACCTCCCTTTTCATTTTTCGAACAAAAAGCAAGGTTGCTCTCAATTTCAGATACAATCAATCAACCACACAACCTCCAAGCCCTGTCAAAGAAAACCACGTGACAGTGGACACGCGCTCTCAAACCTCCACGCCAGACAGCTCAATAAGCACGAAAAAACAACAAAAGGCAACAACGGCCCGCTGTTCATCCATACCGGCTCTGATCCTAAAAATGGTAAGTAGAGCGGAAGTAAGAGCAATATAGTAGATTCTCTCGAGGTTGGCCAGCTGTTCACGCATCCATTCTGGAACGCGGAGAGTGAGTTCGAATTTGTATTCTTGCGAAGGTTGCAATTCTTGGACTGGATCTTGTTCTAAGTCTGTAGTGTAGGCGTCGTAGTCTTCTAGATCTGAAAGGTCGGTTTCGAATGGGTCTTCGTATTGTGGGTCGGGTTGGTAGAATGCATTGGGTGGAAGAACTCCGGTCTCGAAATCTTCCATTTCTTGTTGATCTGCCATGTTGAGGATGTTTTGTTGGTATTATGAGTTTGGTGAAGTGGGGATTTGTTTGATAAGGAGAATGGATGTTGGGTAAAGGAAGTTTTAGAATGGGAAGTATTCTGTAAAAACATACTCGTTTAGCGCATTTGATTCTGGACTGGGGACTGGGAAAGCAAGTACTCATGAGACTATTTTGATTTGAACGGCCTTGGCTTTGCACAAGCACAAGGATAGGATAGCAAAGAAAATTCACAGAAGCACTCGAAAGTTGAAGATATCTTGTTTTGACTTTGGATTTGTGAGCTATCATGTGACTGACTCTCGTCCTTCAGGCTAGATGAGATAGAGTCTTGCAATGCACACTGTTACATCCTTCCCTTTCCAAATATTAAGTCCAATTAGGGAAATAGTACCTGAAGAAATCTACCCAGAGCGTCCATCCAGGAACACATCCCAGCAACACTTCTGGAAATCTCGTCGCCAGGTACAGTTGCCACTCCTCCTTTTCAATCTCAGAATCGATATGAGCTTGGATGTTGTCCAGGAAAGGACGGTGGATGTTCCGCCGTGGAAACAACAATTCAGGCGGTATACCCCTGAGTACCTCTCCTCTCCTCTCCCTCTCCCTTCGCTCTTGCTCTAGAATCCATCTCTCGGCATCCGCGAGCAGAAGGCCAAGCTTCTCCAGACGTTCTGCCCAGAATGCCCGCCTGTCCTCTGCGTCGGCCTCCCGTAACAGCCTCTGTGTTTCAGTATACACCATCCTCCCATGCGCCTTCTCATCTCTCATATCTTCCAATATAGCTCTTTGTCGTTCGAGGAATTGCTCCCAGTGCATTATAGTTAACTCTGCACCGTCTCTTTTCGAGTCTCTCATCCTCCAGAAGAATCTGAGAACACTCTTCAATATTCGAACGTATCCCCGCCCATCACTTTCCACGAGGTCTCGAATGTTCCTTCTCCTCTCGAGCTCGGCCTCCTCTCTTTCCAATCTCGCATATGTATTCAGCCTCACCAACTCCACGAACTCTCTCGCTAGCTTCTTCACGTCCTTACGTCTCTTCAATCGCGTCTCGATATCCTTTCTCTCCTCTTCCCATCTACGCTTCCTCTCTCTCGCCAATCTTCTCTGTTCTCGCTCCATAGCCTCTCTCTTCGAGATATACCACGCACCGAGGATCAAAGTACATGCAAGCAAGACAAGCAACTTTTCCATCCAGGACTCTGATCTGCTTGTGTAGAGAAAGTTGAAGAACCTGATGACATACTTGAAGAGCCGGGGTCTCTCATTGGTCGTTGCTTGGTACTTGCATACCAGTGCATAAAACATGAGGCAGATATCGAGAGCCATGAGAATATTTGAGAAGTGGAGACATTGTGGGCGGAGTACTGATTGCTTCATTTTGGACGATAGAGAAGAGATACGGCCACTTTGGTGGCGGGGTGCTGGTTGCTCCATTTTGGATGATTGAGAGTAAATGGTAGCTTTGGAAGCTGGAACTTCTGATTTGTTGTTGTATGAAGAGTATCCTGAGACGGACTTTGAAGTTAAGAGAGAAGTCGACACTGGATGTCGGTCTTTTTCTGCAAAGTATTGAAGATGAAGTAAGGTTTTAGTGAAGTGTGAGACGAAAAGATTTGATGAACTTGAAGTTTTGAGAGTGCGAGAAAAGTTGCATTGTACGATGTAACCTATATTTAAATATGCTGAGGAATTTCGATCTGGACTGGGGATTTTCATTTGGACTGTGCATTTTCATTTAGACTGACTACTGCCCTTCAATCTAAACCCTTTCGCATCTGGACTGCCAAGTCTCGCTTAAGCTGACGAGGTGAAAAGGGGCTGGCCGTCCCGTGACGACTACATCATGAAGCCGCAAGAATGAACACAAAAAGATTGATAGGCAAGCCAGGGTATACGAAATGAGTGACAGAACGACAATAAAATGAGACAGTTTGAACATCGAATGCATTATCTCAACAATTACAAAAAGTACCAGGCTCGCCAAATGCGCGAATGCAATCATGCTGAATGCCATGCAGGGTCGTCACGAACCGCCCGTCATATAATATACAGATATCATACACGCAAGCCCTAAAACATCTACCGCGCCTATAACCTTCTAGGTACCACTCTAGACGAAGGTATCGTCGCTTGCCCGTCCTATATAAACACTCAAACGCCAGCTACCAAGTCACTATTGTGTGACAGCCCTGAGACCTTGCAATAACAGTCCGAACATCAAGCCCCTAGCAACTTCCTCGACTTGCAGACAATCGAAGATCCGTCCCATTGCCTCTCCAGTAGCAGCTTGCCCCATGACGCCAGTCAATGCAGCGGGTACGCCTCGCTCTACGAGCAGTTTTCTAGCTTTGATTCGCAGTCGCTCTTTCTCTTCGTTGCTCATCTCTGCGGGCCAACCTTTCAGCTCTTCTTCTGTAGGTAAAGTATTTTCTCTGAGCTTGCGAAGATGGGTAGCAATGCCGGTATCCGTAGTGTTGGCTGCGATGACAGAGTCTTGTATAAGGGTCTGAATAGACGAGAGCGAAGGATTTCCAGGTCGTAGGAGGAATGTTTTAGCAGCTGTGAGCAGAGTCCGGCGGATATTCCACGCTGAAGATAGCGTGTACATCTCGTTAATGACTGCGAAAAGAAGCTCGACCGCTACACGGGTTTCGGCCTCACTGAGAGGAGTTGCTTCCTTCCGAGGTCTGCGGGGCAGTGCTGCCGCTTGTGGAAGGTTCGTGATTGGGATAGAAGGTCTTCGGGATGACGACATTGATGGGCGAGCCGGCGAATGCTGGGAAGGAGCAGTGCTCGTAGATGTCCGTGAAGGAGGTAAGATGCTCTCTGATCGAGACTGAGCGGTAGATACATCTGTTTGAGAGCCGTAATCTTCAGCCATCTCACTTGGAGGAGGCGGTAGTTTCATTTCACCTATCGTCCCTTGTATCGGAGACGATAGAGGTGTGCTTTTCCTTGATGGAGCTCTACTTGGTTCTCGACTCTGCGTTGTACTTCGGCGACCACTCATTGATGATCTCGTCGATGTCGCTGTGCGAGGTTCTCGTTCACCTTCCTCTTCTGCGATAGAGTTGTAACTTGGTCTTCTCTCCATGGGTGGAAGCGTTGTCGGTTGAGTGCTCACGACAGGCGTCGCCCGAAGACTATCTTCACTGATTCTACTAGCCCGAGGTGTTGATATGGAGTTCATGCTGTCCATCCTCGGTAGTGTCGAAGTCGAGGAGCGGTTGGGAGTGTGCATTCCCATATTGGTGGAGCTACCATTGGTCTTTTGGCCTAAATTGCCAATATTGTTGAACACTCCTGTAATACCGCCACCGATTGCTTTCCCACCTTGTGCGACGCCTTTAGGTGCGCTTGCAAGAACATCTAGCATGCCCTTGCCCATAGATTCGAACGCAGATGGGGTTGGCCACCCGATGCCTGGGAAGCCATTCTTCCCTCCCATGGAATTACCTTGATCCTTTTCGAGGAACCTCTTCATAGCATCACTCTCTGCCAGTTCTTTGTACCAACAAGCATCTCGAAGATACCGTTCGAGTTCTCCTCTGAGAGAAGATTTGGTATGCTCTTTCCAGTTTGGCAAAACCGGGTGCTGTTCTGTGAAAGCGGTCACGCCTGCGATCTGCGCAATTCGCCGAAGAATTTCATGCAGAGGCTCGAAGTCGGGGTATTTTCGAATGGTCATCCAGCCTGGGTGCTCAGATGAAGCAGGTTCTACTTGAATCAGCAGCTCTGCATTCGGTTTACTTCTTAGTCTGCCTTTTTCTGTGCCTGTCGAGTCATCGAGGATGGTGACATTTGCATTGTGGAGGGTCAGAGGTGTTGGTTTTCTTCGAGGCGAGTCCTCTTGAAGAGCGACAGGTACTGACTGGGGGATAATCTGGTCAAAGCTTGTGAAGGCTTTACTACCTCTTGTTGACGTAGGGGAAGCAGATGAATGGCCTGAAAATGAAGAATCGGAGGCTTTAGACATAGGACGATGTTGGGATGTGGCAGATTTAGGTTCACTGAACGCATTGCCAGTAATTGCCTTGCCATTGGTAACTTCTGAAAGCGGAGTGGTGTCTGTTATCCCGTTGTCTCTGGTGGCTGATGTTTGATTTGACGTTGGGATAATTGCTGGTTGACTTCTGGTCAACGGATTCGTATTCAAATGCAGGGAATCGGCATTCTGCTGTACCGCCTCCGCAAGAGCTTGAGGAGCACCGTCAAGTGGGGTTTCGGGGACTTTGATCTTCTTTGCATCCTCGTCCGCAATTAGCTGTGACAATCTCTTCGCTTCTTCCATGGCCTCTTCCATGGCTTCCTCTGCTTTACTCAAGCGCTTCTTATGTTTCTTCGATTCTTGCTTCTGCTTCTCCACTTGATTTTTTGGTGCTCGAGCGAGGCCAACATTACCAACATTCCCGTCAAAATCGTTGAATGGACTGCTGAGTAGCTCATTCCCACCACCCACGCCGGCGTCTATCGCTTGACTGAAGTCCGGCTCTCCTTCTTCTAGCAGATAGACAATCCATCCATTCAGCCACTCTGGCTTCGAACAAGTTTGCAAAGCCATTTCTAAGACTAAGCCAGCCAGAACCTCTCGCAGAAAGACTCTAGCAGGATCACACTCATATGCTGACTTCTCCAGGAAGTTTTGTAGTATGTCTTCCGCAACCATCTTGAACTTCTTAGCTTGCTGTCTCTGATTGAGAACATTGGCAAGATTTGACTCGGGATTGGCGGACAGGTAGGTATATACAGCCTCAGCTGGTGGGACGTTCGAGCCTTGTGAAGCAGAGAACGCAGACGATAATTCGTTCAGAAAGACAATGACAATCGAGGAGGAGTTCGTGAGAAAATCGAGAAAGGTATCTGCAGGTCTCTTTCTCGATAGATGCGACGAAATTGATAGGAGCAGCTTGACAAAGGTCTGTCTCGCTGCTGCTGGAAATGATTGATCCTTTGGCAAGATCGGACCGTACCACCACTTCACATAGTCTCGAATAACGGCGTCTGTAAGTTCATTGAGAGCCGCGCCTGTTTCTGGCTGGAAACCGTCAAAGCTATTGCTGACAGCCGCGGACTCTTCTTCTTCATCCTCATCTTTTTCTTGACTGTCTCGCAAGTCCAACAGTCTCTTCACGATATCCAGTCCTTTCTCCTTCCGAAACTCTTCAATTAAGACAGAACTTTGCCCTTCCCATGTTGCATGTAACACCACACCTCCCAATGCGCCAATTAATACCAAACCGACCCGTCCCAATACCAGGTATGTGCATGCCGCCAGCCCTACGGCAATGCCGCCTATGGCCTCTGGGGTAGCTGTTGATAGGAATCGCAAGGCACGGGTGGTAAGGTCTTCATCGTTGGCAATTGTCGTCGCAGATTTCGATTCGGGCGTAGATTCGGCATCATTTGCGACAACATGGCCGTTGTGCTCTTTGTCTCCGAGAGTTCCGTTCATTGCGCTCCTTTCTTCTGCTGGCGCATGCTCTCGATCTATCGAATAATCGCACTATCGTGAATGTCTGGTAGGTTGTAGATGGCAAATCATGACAGCTGAGATCTGGCAAATTGAAGAAGCAGGATAGAATTGGAACTCCGTCTCTAAGTGTTTCGTGAAACTGGCTGTTGGTCCCTCCACGGAAAATGTCCATGCACACGTATTCCCCTTTTAAAATAGCATCTCCCGCCGTCAGTAGCTTTGAGGCGTTGAAGTATTGCTTTATGGGGTTAGTGTGGGCGGTGACAGGGGTCGCGTTTGATCGCGTCTTTCCCCAACCTTTGTCCACGATCCGTGCATCACTTTCCAATCTGCTAGGTACTGAGACGTTCGACAGTTCCATCTACAAACTTTCTTCCTGACCAGGTGAATTTATTCCGGTTCTTGACTAAGGTATGGAAATTTTTGATTCTGTATCTGCCAATATCATACCAAGTCTAAGTTTTTATCAGCTCTCCACCCCCTTGATACTTCCGCAAGCTCAACCAACACAATCAACGATATGGTTAAAGGCAAGAGAGGACACGACGAGGTCGACACATACGAGGCGGATGACTTTGTTGAGAATGATGATGGCAGTGCGCTAAAGAAGAAGACTAAGAAGGCTGCTGCAAATAACAGTGCTAAGAAGGCAATAAAGGAAAAGTCTTGGGAGGTTAGTTTCTATTGATTGTCGGTTGCTTGCCTAACATTAATGATTGGCACAGTTATCCTCTGGAAAGAATCCGAAGCGTGTTGGTGTTAGTGACTTCAAGAACATGACGCTCATTCGAATCGGAGAAACATACGAGAAGGATGGAGAATATCTTCCTGGCAAGAAGGTATGATGGATTGGCACCCCTCCATTGAGTTCTACTGATGAATTGTGTAGGGCATTTCCCTCACGGTTGATCAATACAAAGCTCTTCTTGAGGCTCTCCCAAGTGTCACGGCACACCTAGAATCTCAGAGCATCCAGATTGGACCTTCTGCGGTTGATGAGGACGATGAAATGGTCGAGGAAACTAAGCCGCAAAAGAAGATCAAGGCCAAGAAGGAGAAGCCGAAGGCGAAGTCAAACATCGAGGCTACATCGGATGAGGAGGAGGAGGAGGCAGAGGAGGAAGATTGAGACGACCAAGTACTTATTGTGCTTCGCTCGCGGGAGTTCTGGGCTTCAATTCGGTTGTGTATATTGGCAATGGATAGGCGTATGGCTCTGCTTGAATGTATCAAGAAGCTTCGATGAATTGGCTTACCACAGTCTGGAGCAATCTTTGTTCATGCTTGTACGATTAATGTTAATGCATTTCTACATTGCATCCTGAGGTGGCCATTTTATTACCGGAGATCTCGAAAATTCAGTGGGCAACGTGCTCAGTATTCTCGAGGGATTCCTCATAGTAAGCATTCTTCCCATTCCGTCGTATCGAATCTCCAGCTTACGAAAATGGTTCCTAGAACTTACCTGAAGTGTGGCAACAAGCTTATGATGTCTGTCCGAGAAGTGAAACTTCGTGGGCAGCTTCGTCATCTCTTCAGAAGTTCGGACTATCAAAGACACCAGAGCTGTTGAAACGGAGTATCACTGAAGAAGCTTTATCAGTTTTACAGGTAATCTTGAGGCGCCAACTTCCCCGGAAGTGGATTTATGGCTACACATCCCAAGCACATCAAGACAAGGTTCCGACAATATCAAGACTTTCACAGAGCTGATCTGTCTCGAATCCATCAAGTCGTCCGACTTTGAAGCTATTTCGAGGGACAGACATTGGTCCTAATCTTGAATGTACGGCAAAACGTACCAAGAAAAGTCCACTCACTATCATCACAATTGCTTCACCAGCCTTTTCTCTCATGTTCCACTATTGTTCGGTGTCCTATCTGGTTTCGATATTCTAATGCCAGTGAATCTCAAGCCACGCTAAGGTAATATCTTACATCACAGACCTCAGGTGTTGTCTTCATCAGCACAGCCGTCGTGTCTCCCTAAGCAACATCCATCTCTTTTCCGATGCTACCATGAGTCGAACTCCCCAACCTAACATGAGTTACCCTCGAAACTCTGTATACGACAACTCACTCAAGTGGCGCAAAAAGATGTCCTCTTATGATTATTAGAAGCGAGTGAATGAGGGATGCAAAGGCGAGTAGATGTCCAAGAATTTTACTCAACATTACTGATGAGAATGTACGATAGAAATTAGGAAGTCGTAGAATAGCACTCGAGGTGTTCGCTTCAGCCAACGAACAGATACTCACAAGCAAACCAGCTTGGTGGAGCCTGATCTCCCATGGAAATTTCTGAACTCGACAAACTTTACATTCACAGAAGAGCAACGTCTCCCACAAATCATCGTGGAGTGTGGTAATTTCTGTCTTCGAGATCGAGAGGTGAATATATCTTCATTCTCCGAAAGGATCTACTATTGACAGCACCAGAGTGACTCAAACATCGATATGGATGATGATGAGGAAGTAGAGAAGTCATGTCGTTTCGTTTCACGTTGTCACATTGCAAGAGAAGGTTCAGGTAAGTGAAGGATGTGAATGAAGTTCGTTTGTCTAAGTACATGCAGTCCATTACCAATCCCAGCCCCGTTCCACCTCCTGCCAACCACCACCAAATGAAATGAAGAGAATGTCGCTCTGATCCTAGTTTCACCTGCCCAAAAGTTTGAAGATGGTCGGACAAGCTACTCACACCTATCGCCACGTGAAGGCGCCAGAGCCTCGATAGGCTGCCCTGACCCCTCGCGGAGCCAGGACAGGACGTAGTTATCATCTACGTACCAAGAGCAGTCGAAAGATGAATAAGAATGATCGCAGAAGAAATCGACAGCAACGCTATGGTCCAACCGTGAAGCCGAACCGAAATGCATATGTACAAGAAAAGCAGCGCTATGTGTGTCTACGAGCCCGACACACAGGGACGACGAGGTGAATGAAACCGCCAGAAGAAACCACCAGAAGAAGCAATCCAGAGAGAAACGAAGAGGTTGATATGTCTGGAGTCATATCGGAAGAAGCCGGAGTTGTTGTGAGGAATGTGGAGAGTCGAAAGCCTTCTCGGGAGCAGTGACTCGATCCGACAACAAATCCAGCAGAGGTAATGCGAAGGCTGAAACATGGAGCAGGTCCTCAGGCCTTCTCGGGAGCAAGAGGAAGTCGCCCCTGACCATGAACAGCAAAGAAGTGACAGAAGAATATGGAAGCGGACGATGTCGAAGAAACGAAAGATCCAGGGAGCCTTCTCGGGAGCAGCACAAGGATCCGTCGACAAAGTCCAGAACACACCAGAACAAGCCCTCCACCACCACCAACACCATCGAGCCTGTGAAGTCCGTCAGTCAACCAGACATAAATAATGGGGAAATTAGGGAAGTCACTTACCAAGGAAATCCTCCACATAAGCCACCACCATAATCAGGCGGGACCGACGGGGCACAAGTACACCGCTCACCACCAAGAGCTCCTCCACTTGTACCCCGCATGATCTCCAGACCCTGATTCCTCCCCCCCTCAACCCTTGAAGCCACCGGCCCTGTGAAGTCCGTCAGTCAGCCAGACATCAAAAATGGAAAATTGAGGAAGTCAGTTACCAGAAAAATCCTCCACACGAGCCACCACCAATCGTAAGGAGGGGACAAGGTGAGCACAGGTACATCGCCGTCTGCTCGTCACCAAACCTGTACTCCACTTAGAGTCCGCCAGTCCTTAATTCCGCCCTGTACACGGTCAATGCAGAAGCACAAAAAATACAAAAGAGCACAAAAAGCAAAAAGCAAAAAAATCAAAAAAGCAAAAAGCAAACAATACAGCAAAACAAAAATCAAAAAATCAAAAAAGCAAAACAATACAGCAAAACAAAAAACAAAAAAACAGCAAGCAGCTCGGGCAGGGAATGGGCAATGGTGAAGAGTAGGCGGGACAATAACCTCGCTCGAGATATTCAAAAGGAAAACGGGCTGAGGATATGTGGCAGGGAAGATCGGACAGGGCGCTCATGGCAAACCCATTTTCTCAAACGCTTCTAGAAAGGGATGCAGAGCGCATAACTCTAGCTCATAACTAGACAACCCTCTCAGAAACTTTTCTAATTTTCAATTTTTTTTGGCGAGGCCTGACCAGGGTCCTCTATGTGTTAAGGTCTCGAAATAGCAGTGCAGTGAGAACAAAAATCAATGACCTAGAAGAACCTTACCGCAAAGACTGGTATCCCAACCACGACGAGGGCACCAATCACTTGGACCACTAGGTCCGTAGGCGCCCACTCGGGTGGGTGCCAGAAACACCCCATCTTCACGCGACTCCTTTCGGAATCCGTATCCAATTCGCGCCACACTCTCGGGCGTATTGTCGACAAAGAAATGTCGAACATCGTTGTACAGGAAACCCTCGGTCTCCCAGTTCACCCTCCTCGGTCCCTTCGGGCCAGAGGTCTGCCTAAAAGCAGACTTAGCCGGCTTCTTGAGTCGGCGTGCTTCCGTCTCCCTTGTCCGTCGGGCGACCACGACGGGGGGAGGGGATTCGAAGCTTCTGGTCGGACAGGTGGTATTGTCATGCTGTCGTTCCTCCGCTCCTTTTTGCAGCTATAAACCAAATGTCAGACAATGCCATTCGAGAAGGTTGAACATAGAAGAAGCAAATGTACGACGAGCGAAGCCGGTGAAGTTGCTCCTTGAGTAACCACCAGCGAAACGAATATTCAGAAAGAACAACAATACCAAGAGACAAGATAGGGTTGATCAGCTCTAATGGCTTCGAAGCAAGCATGATTGATGACATGAACATCTCGGCGAAGTTACCACTTGAGCACGACGACAAAGACTGGTACCAAGAGGTGACTCAAGAAGACAACAATGCCAAGATAGTTGATCAGCTTGTCAACGACATTCGAAGCAAGGACTGCACAGGATGTATGGACATGACAATGGAAGAACATGACAATGGAAGAACATGACAATGGAAGAACATGACAATGGAAGAACATGACAATGGAAGAACATGACAATGGAAG